CTGCGAGCCGTGCTTGATGACTCAGAGAGACTCGTTATATGGGATAGATGTGTGTCACTGTTAGCTACAGTAGGTGACCAGATCAGAATCGATTGCAACACCAAAGGAGTTGTGCTTTCGAGTCTGAACCAGGCTAACACCAGTCTGTTGAGCTGTCGGTTTGACCAGCCCTTTTTCGCAGAATTCCACTTGGCCCAGCAGGAGTCACACCTTGCTATCTCCTCGCGTAACCTGTCAATTTTATTTAATGGGTCCGGGTTCGGTGCTAGTGATGCAAACAACACGTTGGTGACACTAGAAGTGTCTTCGGAGCAGACCCAGCTGGAGGTGGAGATACTGAGCCGAAACAAGGTGCAGAAGCATTATGCACTGGACCTTTCGGTGGTTTCTGTGAACCACGAGTACGGTTCTGCATTGAATCAAAGAGACGCGTTTGTTACCGGTGGAGCAAATCGTGTTCAGATATCCAATTCCATTGTGAAAGAGTTTTTGTCGATATTTCCTACGAACCTGGAGGATTTCAAGGTGGAGGTTGATTTTTCGAAACAATGGCTCACACTGTATGGGTTTAACAGACAGTACACCTTGACCAACCCGAAAAACGTGGAGAAAGAGAGCCTGATAACCCGTCAAGCTATGAGCCTTGCAATTGACGTAAAGTGGGCTGATTTGCAAGTGCATGAGTTTTCAGATTGGGCCGTTCAGAGTGGTGAGCTACTTGGGTTAAGTTTCAGGCTCAAGGATTTCAAGAGCTTTGTCAGTCTGCTGGATAGACTGGCTCCGTCCACGGACGATCTCGATCCCATGGCCTACGTTGAGTTTCTGTTTGAGAAGCCCGGTGGAAACATCGTGGTTACACGTGAGTTTGAAAATTACCGGCTGGATCTGTGTATTTTGACTGATTCTGGTTCTGTTTCAACCGGACTGGTCAAGCCAGTAGCTGCGAGGCAGAAGGCACAGGCCCAGGCCCAGGCCCAGGCTCAGGCCCAGACCCAATCTCATAATCAAAATCGTGCTGATCCAAACATTGAAGCGGTTCAGCTGGACTTGGCTGCTTTGGCTGCAGAGAACGATCAAGTGTACTGGTTAAACGAGAGATACCATTCCACCACCGTGATCAACGATGATGACGAATTTGGACCCACACAGAGCGTGGTGAAGCCAAAGGGGCTATTTGATTAGAAAAATCATCACACGAAAAGGATCCTATGATTGAGAAAGCAGTGTCTGCATTGAATGTGTATAAATCGCTATGTAAACCTAATAGATTGTGATGAGACCAAGCACCAAGAGAGCAGTCAAACAACTAATCAAACTAATCAAACGAGTAGTCCAAACCAGCAAATCGGAATTGTCCCAATCAATCACTCCACTCAGTTTGCAATATTCTTCTTGCTCAAGTAAGTGTAATCCACAAATCTGTAAAGTTGGCCCAATTGCGCAAACTCATTGACGAAGTGGCAGCCAAATAGCAAGTAATTGGCAGGCGTCACTGCCATAGCGTATCTCATGAAAACAGCGGAGTACAGAACAAGCGAGACCGTCATTGGTCCACTAATAACATCTGGCGGTTTGTTCTGCAGGTCCATAACAGCGGCGATTGGGATTCCAAAGTTGGACACTGGTCCCCAGAAGTGTGTCGTGAACACCATCTTCAGCGTGTCCTTGCTTATCATGTTCTGAAAGAACTTGGAGGTGGTAGAACCTGCTTTGGTAGACATGGTTTGATTGAGCTATTCGTACCTTTGAATTTTTCTCAGCAGTCTGTATAGATAGACCAAGCTTTGCAAAGGGAGAAACCCAATTCGTTCGATGGGTCTTTCTTCCTCCCTGGACCGGTTTCCGGGTGGGGTACGCCCCGCTCTTGGCGTGTGGTGACCAAAGTAGAGTTTCTGTGGGTCGTGTGCGGATCGCAAAAGGGCACATCAAGTTCGCTTCAGGCTTATCATCACCTCCACGATGTGTCCTTTGAAGAACACAATTGAACAAGACAATCGCTCCATGTCAATATCGTTTCAACCAGAGCTGGTGCGGGCGAGACTGCGGCCGTTTGGCATCTCGTTTGAGAAGTCGCTGACGGATCTCATAAAAGGAATTCGTCTCAATAACTCGAACCCTGAACGGTTGTACAAGTTCTTGGAGGATTCAATTCAGGAGTGCAAAGATGAGCTGAAAACGAACGATTCAGAGCTGAAGTCTATGGCTGTACTCAAATTGGCCTACTTGGAGATGTACGGCTTTGATATGTCGTGGTGTTCCTTTCAGGTGCTTGAGGTGATGTCCTCCTTCAAGTTCCAGCATAAGCGTATCGGGTATCTTGCTGCTTTGGAGATCTTTATGGGCAACCCCAACGACGACGCGTTGATGCTTATGACAAATTTGCTGAAGAAAGACCTTCATTCAAGCAATTACGTGGAAACTGGACTTGCTCTCAGTGGAATTGCCACCATTGTGACACCAGATTTGGCCCAGGATATTTGCGAAGACATCGTGAAGATGCTGAACCATTCAAAGCCGTTCATCCGCACGAAATCGGTGTTGGCGATGTACAAAATCTTTTTGAAGTATCCAGAAGCCTTGAGAAATTACTTCCCCAGAGTTGAAGAGAAGCTTAAGGACGAGGACACTAGCGTTGTCAGTGCTACTGTCAACGTGATCTGCGAGTTGAGCACTAAGAACCCCAAAAATTACATCGATTTGGTGCCGCAGTTATTTGAGTTATTTCTCAATTCGAACAACAACTGGATGATGATTCGTCTGCTGAAGCTTTTCTCTTCCCTCTCTTTGGTTGAGCCTAGACTAAAGTTCAAGCTTCTTCCAGAGATCCTGAAGAAAATGCAAAACACACAGGCATCTTCCCTGGTTTACGAGTGTATCAACTGTATACTCACTGGAAGGATGCTCACGCCTGCTGATGAACACATTGCTGAGATGATCATCGACGAGCTGGTGGCTTTCTTCCAGAGCGACGACCAGAATTTGAGATACGTCGGACTGCTTGCCTTTATCAAGACCGTGAGGATCTACAAGAAGTTCATCAGAAAGCACGAGAAGGTTGTTCTTGCCGCTATCGATGACGAAGATCTAACCATCAAGGGTAAGGTGTTGGACATTGTGCACTATCTCGTTACAGCCGACAACATCGTGACCGTGGTCCAGAGATTGCTGATGGAGTTGATTCCCATTGATGAGGCTGACCAGCATGGGGAATCACAATCACAGCATCAGGCCATTCCAGATTCTCTCAAGCTTCAGATCATCACCGAGATACTGAAGATCTGTTCTGCCGAGAACTACGCGAGCGTGCCCTCTTTCGAATGGTATTTGGCAGTGCTGAAGGACTTAATGAGACTCAACAAAATAAATAAAGTCAAGGGTGTGGATAAACTTGTTTCGGAAACGTTTATCGACATTGCTATCAGAGTTCCTTCTATGAGGTCAGCAGTCTACAAGGTGTGCATCGACTACTGTATCACCGATGCTGAAGACCAAAAGAACCTCACGAACGGCCTCAAAAACTTTGTTTGGATTCTTGGTGAGTACTATATCGACTATATCCAAGATGATGAGGACGATGACAAGCTTAATGGGTACCAGATAATTGCCGATATCGTATCGCAACCTGGGATTCTCGATCTTGCAGACTCTCCCCTCTCCGATGACACTCTGGCTATCTTTATTAGCTCGTTGGTTAAGCTGTTTGCCGCTTTTGCGAACGAGGGTTTGGGAAACCAGAGCTACGAGTTCGATCCCGACTCTTGGGATCTTAGACGCTACGAGGCTCTCATTGAACTGAACTCCAAGCTGATCAAGTGGCTATCGAACTTTGAACAATGCATCAACTTCGAGATACAGGAAAGAGCCTGTTCCTTTTTGGAAGTCCTGAAACTGTTGAATGAGTCTCTTAGGACGCACATCACACACGAAGGACCTCCGCCTCCACCAACATTCCTGACCAAGGCGCTGCCTTCGATGTTCAACTCTTATCCGCTTAAGCCAATAGGTGTCTCTGTTCAGGCCAAGATCCCCAAACCAACAGATTTGGACCTTGAACTGGTGATTGATGCCAGTTCCTGGGAAGCTCTTTCAACTTTGGCGTTGGACTCTACTTTTGACAATGCTTCAGACTCTGAAGCCTCGCTGTTTTCGGGCAACGGATCTGAGCCCGAATCCGAAATAGATCTTATCGACCAAGATTCGGTCACGGAAGTGGTGGAGGATGTTTCAAAGAGAAAAAAGGAGAGATTGGCCAGATTGAAGGACGATCCGTACTACATTTCGCTGGATTCGGACAGCAATGTGCCTTCCTCAAAGTCGTCCACACCTCCAAAGACTGCGAATGGGGCCAAGAAGACGAAAACAGCCACCAAGACAAAACCAAAACCTATCAGGAGAGAGAAAGTACTGATTTTGGACGACGAAGAAGGCGGCGATGTGGTCTCAGACCCGGAAACGAAGCCTGTGAAATCCAGAAAGAAGAAACTGATAATCGACTCATCCAACTTGGACAACTTCGACATCACTGCTGAACAACCTGGTGACGTGGCAGGTGCCTACGAAGTGGAGCAACTGAGAAAACAACTGGTTGCAGAAAGTGCTGCTGGCATACAAACCGAGGTCCCAAAGGCAAAAACCAAAGTCACCAAGAAGAAGAGCGGTACCAAGAAGAAAGGGTCCAAGAAACTCCCAGAAGAGTCCGCTCTGAAAACGGAAAAGAAAAAGAAAAGAAAGGCAATTATAGATGAATAAACGGAGCCATTTTCAAATTTTAATGCATCTGATGACTACGAAAACCTGAAAACATTGTTCAGTCTATTACGCTCTAAAGATTTTGCCCTCAATGAAGTAGGCTGCCTTCATGGTTTGTTCCATGAAAGTCAAAGTCAGAATTGTGTGTGGTGCAATTCTCAACAGCTGGGCTCCGAAACCTTTGTAAAGGGCGAAGATACCTTCTGATTTGACGGTCTTGATCAGACAGTCGATAGGACCGGAATACAGATTTCCACGCTGATTGTAGACTCTGGTGAGTAGCACATCCCATGGGTTCATCACTACTCCCACTCCGAGACCAGAAATGGTGGATGAGGCCAAGTGAAGCGCAGGTCCCTCGGTAATTATTTCGTTGGAGACCAGCTCGCCCTTGACGAAGTTGTAGATCGGCAACTGAACCGAAGAACCAGCTCCGGTTCTTAGAATCGCGGCATCGACACCACGGAAAAGTCCTTTGAAGCCTTCTTTTGAGTAGATCTGGGAAAGACCATCCCACATCGACTTATAGTGGGTTTGCTGACCAATCTGGATGGCAGGTGAATAGGATTGCATTCTGGTCTTGATCAGGTAAAGTGGAGATCCCACAATGGCACCCGCAATTCCTGAACTGGCTCCAGCAATCACATTAATTGGAATTGACTGCTTAGCAACCGCATCTTCTCCAGCAAAAACGAACTCGTTGATTGTCTTTCTGAATGGCTCGTATAATCCCAGTCTACACCCATTCAGACCTATCTGGTAGATGTAAGCGCAAAAGAGACCTTTTTGGGTTCCTCTTAATCCCTCGTTCTTGTAGATGACTCCAAGGGCCTGGATTGGATTTTTGTAGGGTCTTGGAGCCGTAGAATCCTTGGCCAGTTCACCCTGTAGCTGCATACGGGTCTTGACCAGTTCGATCGGGTTGGTCACGGTGACTGCACCACACGCCGCTATTCCACCAGCCAAAAACCCACCCAACGTGGAAACCTGTTGCGAAGCACTCTTTTCAGACATCTCGTGGTAGTCAGGTAATTTTAATGGGCTCTTATATGCTCGGGTTTGCTCGTGTGCGGGTTCAAAGGTTGAGTTTCAATCCCCTCCTTGAAAAGTTCACGAAGCAGTCCCCGAACCGATGCAGGAAGTGTGTTGATCAATTACAAGGACTTCCTTTACCCGAAGCATGCGTTTAGTATGCTATTGAATTTATGGTACTGAATAGATTATTGATGCAGCAACTTGGGAAAATACCGGTGGTTTTCATCACACCTAAGCTAATGCATCTATCAAAGCACTTCTGGCATCACAAATGTCATCCTCCTCATCACTGACTGCTTCACCGAAGCCTGTCATTGACTCCATGTTTCCTTCAGCCACAGTGCTCTGAACATATTCCTTCAGAGATTTCGAAGAGTTATAATCGTCAATCTCCATGGATGCCACTGTGGTTAACACTGGGTCCGATCCCAGCTTGAGAACCTTGGGGGATTGCAAAAACCCGTCGGACCTGGTGGACGCGTTTCTAACATGGTGATGGTGCTTTCTCTGAGGATGCAATGTCCACGAAAAAGACTTCGACTTTCTCTTGATGATAGCTTTCCCCGAGGAGTCAACTTCCAGAGACAGTCTCACCGGAAGCATGGGTTTCGAGGATCTCCGCCTTTGTTGGCTATCCGCCTGCAAGGCTTTGGTCTGGTGAACTTGAAGGTGATGGTGATACTGCTGTTGGGGCAGAATTTGTGGTTGAGTCGTCTGTTTCTGTGTTTGAGTATCTGCCCTCAACGGGGTGATCAACATGTTTGGATCATTTGAGTGGAACGATTCCCTTATCTTGACTCCACCTCTTGGAGTCTTGATAATATCCTCGAATTTTATAGGTTTAACCGATAGCTGCACAACATCACCATGGCCATGCACCCCGCCCACGTTCATCTCGTCAAAGTTCCTTCTCATCACAGGGGTTGTCGGTAGGTTGTAGTATGCGTTATACATGGGAGAGGATCGTATCACGTTGGAGAAGTGCGACGTTGGTGTGAGCGGCGAGTAGTACGGCGAGGAGGCCAAAGTCTCCATATATGTGGTCTCTGAACTTTGTGTGCTCTGAGCAGATCCCGGATGATGCTGCTGATGTATTGATGGAGAGTGGAAAGAGGTTTTGCGCTTCTTGACCATTGGAGAAGGCAGCAGCATCGAGGGGTCAACGTGCAAATAGCCGTTCTGGTGAGTTAGCTGAGGTGGCTGAAGTTGGAGTGGAAGCAGCAAGCCTGGAGTTCTCTCTTCATCCCTTCCCTCATATACCACTGACAAATCTCTATTTGGTATGGTCGGCGTGAGGGAGTTCAAGACGGTTGCTAACTTTGCATGGGTCTTGCTGGCCATCACCGTTGGTGTGATTGGAGAGGTCTTTGTCTCCGTTCTCGCGGCTGACTGTGGGGTTGACCTTGCAGAGTTTGATCTTGAAGAAGCGGTAGCTGTTGAGGCCATGCTGGGCCTTCTTCCTCTTGATCTTTCTGGAGACACCTTCATTACAGGTGAAAGAGTATTTGGAGCTCCGTTTCTCAAGGCAGCAGCTGAGTTCATCGAAGCAGAAGAGGTTATGTTGAAACTTGCCATTGGGAGTTGGTTCATACGTATCTGTGTTCCCTCAATGACCTTTTTGGGTAGACGGCCTCTTCTTTTCTTACCTGTAATTTCTGCCATCATTGGCTGCTGTTCATCTTGAAATTGGAACTGTGTCTTGTTGAGACGCTCATTCATGGTGTGGGTGGCAACTCGTGATATATTGGCGGAAATTGTGGAATCTCTTTCAGTTTCAGCCGTATGATTCTCTTTTGCTGGTTGGAACAATGTATAAGCAGACGAACGTATGATAAGTGTGCAATATTTTCCCTTTAACAATCAAAGGGAGTTTTTCAAAAAACAAGAGATATTTGGAGAAATGAGATGAAAAAAAGAATCAGGTGGCAGCAATAAAGCGTAAAGGTTTCAGACTTGTTTCAGACTTCAGATCCAAAAAGAGTGACGTTGGCCGATCAAGGGATAGATCACACGGACAGCTTCAAAGGGAACCAAAGGCTGTGGCAGAGTAAATGAGGAGCTTTGATGAATATTTCAGCACAGCTGAGAGAAAGAATAAACTGTAAACAGAAGGTATCCCCCTTGTAACTAAAGAACACAAGAGTCCTTTCCAATCCGTAGATTCAGGGAGGTTTTCGAATCTGAAGTTTTTAGCAATTTGTCCAATTCTGGAAATTTTGGTTGGGGCACGTTTTTGTGACACAATTTAACCCAATTGAGAAATATTCCTATTTGGGACAACGCGTCGCGCGTGCTTCGTTCGATGCTGAGGCTGGGCCTTGGTTCAACTCACGCCTTGATGTTTGCCGCACAGCTGTGAGGCGGGAAAGACAGCAGCAGACCATACTAGCCCAAGAATGCTGAAAAGAATCAAGAATGTGTAAATAAAAGCCCTCATTCGGCAATTGGGTAATTATCACAGTGGTACGGTGGGCCAATTAGCGGCTTGACGGCTGTCGTATATTATGGAAAACTGGCGATGTGACTCTATAGATTATTAGCAAGAACTTCTGACACAAACTTGCCACTTTCCCTCGGTATCATTACAATTCCGGCCTTGGCCATACTCAGATAGCTCATCTCAAACATCTCGGCCTCTCCTCTGAGGTCTGCATTATGTATGAGCTTTGAAGCAACACCAGCAACAATTCCCTTGGAGTCGACAGGCAGCTTCGAGAGATCTATCACCACCGGGATGAAAACATCTGAGCTGGAGCCTACCAGGTACTTGGACTGGAATCCGAGTTTGGACCTCGTTCTGTGGGATTTGGGAAGAACCAAGGCCACCTCCTGGGAGGAGGCCCTGGTGATAGCAAAGTATTCGGGGAAAGATTCTGTGGTTAATGCAGATCCAAACTCCGGCGGGTTCACCGGAAACTTGGCCAAGGCGGTGGCTGTGGTAGTGATCGTTTTAGAACAGGATCCAGACCTGGCACCAGTAATTAGCAGCTTTGCATGGGTATGAACGTGTGGCTTGATACCAGCCGTCTTAAATACCTTGAACGTTCTGGATTCTAAATTTTCTTCTGGAAGGTCATTCCCTGTTATGCTATCCTGCAGGGAAGGTTTTCTGGAGCTTGGGGCCGAGGACTCGACTGGTGCCATAGAGGATGGAGATGGTGGAGTAGACACGGCGGTACGGTCAACCATATACGACCCACTGATATCTGAAAAATGGAATCCCTTCACCTCCAATGCGGAAACAACCTTCTCCCTGGCATTCTCTGGGATCAAGACGATATCAGAGAAGTAGTTGCTGATGAAGAAAATAGAGATTCCTGCCTCTGAAAGGGGTTGTGTCAATTCCAGCACTCTCTTTCCTATGCTTAACCCATCGCCTCCAACCTGTAGAGCCAAGTAACTATCCGGCAGCACCTGGGCACGTGAGTCCTTCGACTCCAAGGGTTGGTCGAAGAGCGATTTGACGAAACTCGAAGAACATATCACTGTCACTTCATCTGGGGTGAACGCAACATGGAGGAATAAGCCATCATCGTCTTCTTCAATAGAGCTATCCTGCGAATGGGAGTCTGAGTCATATCCCGCAGCTTGAGTCCGCGGCTTTGTGGGCGAATTGTCTGTGTTTCTGGACTGTGCCAGTCTAGAGCTGGACATGGTAGAGGATCCTACGCCAGCAGATGAATAGCTCCTGCTATCGTCGTCGTCGTCTTCGTCAGAACTATCGCCACTCACTTTTTCATACTCGGAGTCCGAGTCATGCAGATCATGAGATGCAACATTGTGCAAAAGTTGCAGTATCCCCTGGGAAAAGAGCCAGTATTGCGAACGCGGTATGGACACTATAGAAAGCCGCGTCTTGAAAAGCTGAACCTGGGCATCCATGTTGGATATTTCTGCGTGTAGCTTTCTATGTGGGTGGCTTCCAATCTCGAAATTATCTCTAGCCTTAGATTCGAAAAATAAACGGCAGCCAAGGTTCACAGATGCACTGCTTAGGGGCGGGACCTATTAAAAGAAAACTATGGCCTGCGCTAAAGTTCAATTGAAGCTCAACAGAACGCGTTTTGTTCTGAATAAATAAATATTGCAGAATACGAGTCACTCCTTGTTGAAAATACAAAATTCAGGTCAGGGAGATCAGATGTAGCAAAGACGATACCTTTATTGCAAGATAGCACATGGTGAGTCACATGAGATTGACACATTGGCGTCTGAAAAATTAATTTTTTAGGCTGGCGTGCCCCGCTCCTTTCGTGCGCGGGCCGAGCCCAGGCCATCTAAGCGATAACGAACCGATACTATTGGAGCCTACGCGGTTGAACGGGCTGGAAAGATATGGTTTGAGACAGCAATTGGCAGGAGATATATTGCTGTGATATTCTCAATTGTCTTTGTAAACGGTCTTCGATAATTGAAGTTATGAAAAACCCATGGATACAGCAACTTATTTTGGGTACATTTCTGCAAAAATATGAGAATCTCCGGAAACCAAGAAAATGGTCACCATACGACAACTATTAAAACGCCTTGTATGATTGCTTCTTTGTGAGAGGCACTTATACCAATTTACTGAAGCTCGTAACTCTAATATTTGAGTTTTTCTTCCAGTTCCATGGAATTGTATTGGGAAACCGTTATTATCCTGCCTATTTCTTCTTTGCATTTGTTCACACCCCTCTCCCTCATATCACCGCTTCATCAGCCCATTTAGTCACCTTTATTAAATCTCCAGCATTCAACTTTGCACAATACAACCACATAGTCCGCATTTAATGCTTTTTTCAACTAAATTGAGTGCAAAAACACAGGCTATTCAATACTATCGTGCGAAAACCAGCACTCACCACTGTACTGTGTCAGGCGAAATATGCCATAGTATCTTGGAGGGTTGGCCGAGTGGTCTAAGGCGGCAGACTTAAGATCTGCTGGACATTCCAGTCCGCGCGAGTTCGAACCTCGCATCCTTCACCATTCTATTTTTTTGAAGCTGGTGTTTATTAGCATAAGAGAGAAGTGTCAGAGAAATGAACATACATACAATGGTCTGCTGTTTATTTTTTTGAGTTATCGTTGAAGTTGTTGTATTGAATTGATGATATTGTAATTATTCATGCAGAGCGAAAACTGCAGCTCTCAACTAGTCTACTACAAGAGCAATTGGATAATTGGAAGCAGCAGATGCGATAGCTTTCGTCTCAAAAACAACCAGCCATATGAAGCGGAGAAATATAGTGCGAAAGATCTTGCTTTGTGGTTGAAGGTGAGGAAGCTTCAATGGGTACCCTTTAAAGCTCTGATTCCAGACTTGAAAATTCGTCCTGGCCCTCACCGGGATACTGCCAAACCGGAATCTCAGGCAGCTTGCTAACTGGAGGCTTTCGCGAGCTGCTGTGATTATTTTTTGTAAAATACTCGAGTTCTTCTTGCCAACTTTTCTTATTATAGAGAGAGTCCAGAGTTGACATAGTGACGGACGAGATCATGCTTGATTCTCGGCTTGACTCAATTGAGCTGGAATAGCGTTTATAGAGCATTCTGTCATTTTGGTCATCCTTCTCAGTTTTGTGTTGTGAGCTTGTGCTTGACTCTGCACTTGAGCATGAGCTTGAACTTGTTTTGGTGTTCTCGTCCTTGACGGACTTGATATACTTCCTAAGCATGGTTGCGCGTTGGGAAAGCACAAGCGTCTAAGGTACTTAAGCTCAAAGAGAGGAAAAGGCGTTTATTTAAACAGGACCATCGTCATACAGGAGGTCCTTCTGGGTAGAACTTTAATATTTCCAATTAAGGATAAAAGCATACATTATCATCATGTCGGAAAATGAATGCACCCCGTGCTAAAGGAGAATTCAGGCGCCTTACCAGCTTCCGAACCTAAAATGGCATTGTTTGGGTGCCGGATTATGCCCAGCAAACGATTATTTGGGATTGCACTGAGCTGAGGAGGCTGGGATCAGACACCTAGTTCACGTACTACAATTAAGGCATTTTGCTAACAAGATTCCATTGAAAAATAGGGAATTATAAAGTGTTACAGATAAGAATGACTGACGAGTCGTGAATTCATCACTGAGTGAAAAATAACAAAACGCGTCGTATGTCCCTCGGCTGATGCCCTAGAAAAACTCTAAAGCTTAAGTTAGTACATTGACTAAATCACGGGATTTCGCTTCCATTATGCAGGTAACAACAGTTTGGCAGAGCTGGTCTTCTCAGTTCATTCAGTCTCGAAACATATCAGAAATTTGGGTATACTGGGTCCTCAACATGGAGAGTACAAAAGTTTCCACTCAGACTGGTGCACAGCTTTTCTATCGTCATGTAATTTCGAGAATCCAGAACATCAACAACAAACTCGAAAGTAAGGAGCATAACACAACGGCGTATCAATATAACATACCTTTATCTTCAAGTATCAAATCATCAAATTTTCTCGACGAAGAAGAAAAGAAAAGACGTTAGGAGGGAAGAGCAAAATTTTCTTATATAGGAAGTCTTCGACGGAAGCTGGGAGGATACCGACTAAGTGCTCCATAACCATAAAATGGCATTTACACTACCTGGAGCCGTCCCCAAAGTCCCACACGGATGCGGAAGCCAAATTGCACCCCGATAACGATGAGCACCCCCTTGGACCCCAATCGGGCAGTCTGCAAGCACAAAGGCTGGATAACGGGTTATTCTCGGGGTAAAGCGAGGAGAGTATAAAGCCCGGCAGATGTGCCAAAATTAGGTCTAACCTTGTGACCTCCCAGACATTCTTGTTCAATTGATTGCCAATGTCTTGGAATCCCGAAGATATTCTTTCTAAGCTCACCACTGGTGAGAAGGTCAACCTCACTGCAGGATCTGATTTTTGGCACACATACCCCATCCCCAGGCTCGACATTCCAAAGGTTCGGCTCTCTGATGGCCCCAATGGACTGAGAGGAACCAAGTTCTTCAAAAGTATACCATCAGGATGTTTCCCATGTGGAACATCTTTGGGTGCCACTTTCGACAAGTCTTTATTGAGAGATGTTGGCGAGCTCATGGCCCAAGAGGCCAGGGCCAAGGGTGTGCACGTGATGCTGGGCCCCACCATAAACATACAGAGGTCTCCACTTGGAGGCCGTGGATTTGAGTCCTTCAGCGAGGACCCTTTCTTGTCTGGTTTGGTTTGTGCTGCAGTGGTCAATGGTGTTCAATCAAAGGATATTTTGGCAACTATCAAGCATTTTGTCTGCAACGATCTAGAGGATCGTAGACTGGCCTCCAATTCGATCGTCACCGAAAGGGCTTTACGTGAGGTGTATCTCAAGCCGTTTGAAATTGCCATCAGAGATTCAAAACCTGCTTGTGTAATGACAAGCTACAACAAGGTCAATGGAGAGCACGCATCCGACTCGGAGTTCTTGCTGAAGAAGGTTCTAAGAGGGGACTGGAAATTTGACGGATTAGTGATGTCTGACTGGTGCGGCACCTACTCCATCAACCAGGCTTACCGTGCGGGAATGGACTTGGAGATGCCAGGATTGCCTAGATTTCGCAAGCAGGATACACTTTTGTTCTTGGAGGAGTCCAATGGAATTGATATGGACGATGTTGATGATTGTGCGTTGAGAGTGCTGAAGATGGTTCATCGTACACTAAAGTCTGGTGTTCCCTCTGATGGTGCGGAAACCACAGAAAACAACACTCCCAAGACAAGTGCGAGGCTCAGATCAATTGCTGCCCAAGGTATAGTTTTGCTGAAGAATGAGACCAATCTGCTGCCTCTTTCCAAGAGTGACGATGTTGCTGTTATTGGTCCGAATGCATTCATGTCTGCTTATTGTGGAGGTGGCTCAGCTTCTCTGAGGCCTTATTATACTGTGACTCCTTTTGAGGGTATTTGCAATGTCCTTGGGTCCACACCAGAAACCGCCATTGGTTGCTTCAGTGACAAGAAGATTCCCCAGATTCCATTGAAGCACCCAGAAACCGGTAAGCCTGGCTATGTTGCAAAGATGTATCTCAAGCCTCATGGATTTGAAGGAGACAGAATCTTGGTTGACGAACACGTTTTGGACACCACCAGACTGCATTTCTACGACTATACCCACCCTAAAATCCACCACTCCGAATTCTATGCCGTCCTGGAGGGAACTTTCACACCTGAAGAGTCTGGAGATTACGTATTCGGAACCACAGTCGTTGGTGCGTGCAAGATCTACCTAGATGGTGAACTAATCATCGAGCACCGCACTTCAGAAGACGATTATGGTGCTTTCTTTACCGAAAACACGGTCGAGAAGAAAACTACATTGCCGTTGGAAGCAAAGAAGACCCACAGGATTAAAGTTGAATTTGACAGTGCTGCAACTCTTGACATGCCAATCAGCGAGGAGTGTGGCGGTGGGGCCGTCAGCTTTGGATGTCACAGGATCTTTGATCCTAAGGAGGAAATTGCCAAAGCGGTTAAAGTGGCTCAATCTCACGATAAGGTAATACTTTGTATTGGCTTGCACCAAGAATGGGAGTCTGAAGGATTTGATCGTCCAAACATGGACTTACCTCCTCACATGAACGAGCTGGTGGATGCCATTCTCGAAGCAAACCCGAATACGGTGATTGTAAACCAAAGTGGTACCCCGGTTGAGATGCCTTGGATCTCAAAGGCAACTACATTGTTACAGGCATGGTTTGGGGGTAATGAGTTGGGAAACGCCATTGGAGATGTCATCTTTGGAGACGTCAATCCTTCGGGAAGACTTCCTCTGACATTCCCCATCAAGTGCAAGGATAACCCTGCATATCTCACATTTAGGACCGACGGAGGTAACGTCGTGTATGGGGAGGACATCTATGTGGGATACAAGTACTACGAAGCGCTGGAAAGGGAGGTCATGTTTCCTTTTGGCCATGGACTTTCTTACACCACTTTCCAGTACGACAATGTTGAAGCAGTCCTGATCGATTCGAAGTTGCAGGTTTCTCTCCAAGTCACCAACACCGGAGCGAGGAAAGGCTCCGAAGTAGTTCAGATCTACATTGAACCTATTGCTTGCGAAGCAGCTAGACCTGTTAAGGAGTTTAAAGACTTTGGCAAGGTGACATTGGAGGCTGGCGAGAGCACACCTTTGAAGTTTGAGATCTCTTCCAAAGATGCTTTTTCATATTGGGATGGAGACAAAAAGAGCTGGTGTTTGGCTGCTGGAGAGTATCATGTGTGCATTGCCAAGTCGAGCGCGGATGTGGTCATTAAGAAGGTGATTAAGTTGGACACCACGTCGTTCTGGAGGGGGATTTGAGCGACATGAAGGGGTTCGACCCAAAAAAGCTGAAAAGCTAAAGGAGACTTCCCCTAGCCACTATTTATAGACATCAGTAAAGATAACCAACTTATAAAAGCAGTATCCATGGTTAGAAACATACAACACAATTTCTGACTCTTTGCTTTTTATTCTGAAATATCGTCTGAAGGGATGTGGCCCCAGCGAAGGGATGAAACCTAAACTTCATACCCCCAGCCACCGGTGGGCTTGCACTGAAAACCACCGCGATCCCGAGTGCTAAGAAAATAGCCAAAAAATCGAGCCTTGCTTAGGCTGTCCTCTGGAAACAAGACTGCTCAATTTTCGAGTTTAAAGCTTCTTCTATGACCCATTTTGGCACATTGAATGCGTCTGTTCAACAGCCAATGTAAGCGAGCACACGCGGCTCACTAAACGCTGGCAATGCCTAAGAAGCTAGCCATACGAATTACCACATGCAGGAGGATCACAGAACAATAAGCTAGTGAAGCACGGTGGAGAATGTGGAGAGTGGTCCAATTAGCAGAGAGGGCAGAAGGGGGAGGATATGCACGAATGCATATGAGCCAAAACTTTTCAGACGCGACCGATCTGAACCTACGGGCCGTTTTGGGAAATCAGTCTTGGTCTGCGAATTCTGTCTGAGTTCGAGGCAGGGCTGGCTCATCTGAAAAATTTGCTGAGGCTTATTTGCCGCGACTTGGATTCTGGACTGAGACGCCTGTCGAGAGATAATCCTAACAATCCCCCCTTCCAAAAAGCATGCTTTTATTTTATCTCTGCCAAAGTGTTCCTACGAAGCCTGAGCATTGTGGCAGACTGCATTAGTCCATAGTCAAGCACAGAATTAATACGCTCTCGTCTGATAGCATCGTCGCTAGATCAAACTTTGCCCTCTAAAGATGTTCGTCTTTTACTAGAAACGGGTATGAGACACGCGCCAGACGCGCTCCGCAGGAGACTCAACCTATGCGGCCATAATTTGGCCATAACACTACATAGTTAACGGGGTCGTGTTTACCAAAAAGGAGGTGCATCGAAGGAGTCCATGCCCGACATGCATGAAGCTGCTTACGGCAAGATGTGAATCAACTCCTTTTCTGTCGGTAGCGCGTATTGTATTGTTTTGCGCCTGTTTAGTGCCTGTTTACAGTCTGTGATGGCTCGAAGACCCACGCGGTGCCTGTTTGCACGCTACTTGCTCATATATATTGCAAATTCCGTTCTGTTTGGATTTGTTGTTTTTAGTTCTGATATTTCATTCGATCGGTAGTCACTTTGCACCACTCTAGCTTGAATTCACCAGAGCATAAACTCGTCTCAGGTCCACCTTCCCCAATGTCTGACTCTCAAGCTCTCTCAATCTTTCTCAAGTCTCCTGTTTCGCAGGAGATGATCCACCATTTGGTGGTTGCGACTTTGCAGGTGATACCTGACAAAACTGAAACAGCATATCCTCTGTCGCCTCCACACTCGCCAAAGAAGAACTCTAAGGAAAGAGTGCTACCTTCTTTGATGACCTTCATCACCAAGCTGGTGAGATACACAAACGTTTACACGGGGACATTAATGTCAACACTTGTATACCTAGAGAAGTTGAAGGCCAAACTTCCACAGGATGCCCAGGCATTGCCATGTACTAGACACAGAATCTTTCTGGCATGCCTGATCCTGTCCGCAAAATATCACAACGACTCATCGCCAAAGAACAAGCACTGGACGAGGGCAACCGAGGGATTTTTTTCAAGAGAGGACGTGAACCTCATGGAGAGACAATTACTGTATCTGTTGGACTGGGATTTGAAGGTTGAGGAGAAGGACCTAATTCCCACTCTTTCAAGGTTCTTGGAACCAATCAAGAACGATATCAGGAGATCTGCCAAGATCCGTCGCAGTCTCTTGATCCAAAAACAGAGACAAAACCATATTCACCACAGATCCTCGTCGTTCTCATACGCAATGCCATCTCTCTCCTCCTCCAACTCTTCATCTTCTGTGGCCACCACAGTTTCGTCTCAGAATTCGTCGTACGGTTCATCACCCTCGGCGCCGTACGAGTCTCACTCCAGAAGCTCGTCGGTGTGCTCCACACTTTCATCGTACTCGTCAAGCTCCGAGTATGAATATCAGACCCCGGTGGTCCAAAGATCAAACCTGCCTCATTCAAACGCCATCAAGACTGGTCTCAACAACCATGTGGTTATCCTCGGTGAACCTGCTCTGGACGAGGTTGTTGCAAGAGAGGAACACCAGCTGGAGACATTGATGAGACAATACTGCACATCGACATACTGAGCCCGTCACCTCATCACACCATTTTTCACATTCATCTGCATCACGATTCACGCTCGCTTATAAATCGTCACTTTCACCATTTTTATATAATTTTCGGCACTGGGTTCATCATTCATCGTTCGCCATTTAGGACCTTACATTTTCTGTTTTTTCGTTAAGAGTACATATAAAAATACCCAATTTCGTTCATTGCCTATTGTACTCAGCTGCAGAAGTGCTCCCACTCTTAAGCCAGATCCGGGGTTAAATACGCCGCTCATTTGACACGGGGGATCTACGCTTCCGTTTCCTAATGTTAGGCTATTTCTTTCTTTCCGACTAGCCAAATTTTATACTTAACGGTTTATTGTTGGTCAGAGCACATAATCAACTAAATCTTCTCATCTTTGCACAAAATGTCATCCAAAGCGATAATTATGGTGAGTATGGTCTTGTGCCCCCGTGCAGCAAGTGTTTACGTCAAACCAGGCACGGCTAGGGGTTCAGCATTACTAACTCTTACAGGTTGGTGGCGATACCCGTGGAACGCGGTTCAGGCCTCTTTCGCTGGATATAGCCAAGGTTTTGTTTCCGATAGCTGGAAAGCCTATTCTTTCCCACATCATTGACTCAGTCTTGCTGGTCCCCACGGTTACCGAGATCTTACTGATAGGGTTCTACGAGGCCTCTACATTCAGCGATTTTATTCACGATTATCAGGTCAAATTCAGGTTCCAAAAGAGAAAAATCTCCATCAAGTATTTGCGAGAATTTAAAGCGCTGGGCACGGCCGGTGGATTGTACCATTTCAGAGAAGAGATCCTCCGAGGTAACCCAATCAACTTCTTTGTCATCCATGGAGACATTGTTTGTTCGTATCCTTTAGTTGACATCTACAATTTCTATGAGTCAAAGCAGAACTTCGAAAAAGTGGATGCGGTGATTTTTGGCGTGAAAATTCAGGATTACAATCTTTTCCTCGCACTGAATGGGCCTGAGTTCTCCTCGTCGGGTGCCAATTTTGGCACCATTGTGAGTGACAATCATGGCAAAGTTGTGCACTACGTTGAGAAACCAGAGTCGAAGATCTCGAACGTGATTAATGGTGGTATCTACATGTTCAACGAGAGGTTGTTCAGACGGTTGTCCAACGCCAAGATCAGCAAGATCAGCATTGCCAACGATGTGGCCCATCCTGAATTCGTTGACGAGGACGTGATCTCTTTGGAAGAGGATATTCTGAAAGATCTGCCGGAATCAAGCACTACGTACGTTTACGAATACAAAGGGTTTTGGAAACAGGTCAAGACGCCTTCTGGTGCTCTGTTTGCCAACGAATTGTATCTTGATAAGGTGTATCAGAGCCGTCATCGTCAGATATTTTCCAACGACGAAAACAAGTCCAATTCTGCCTCCTCATCTTCCGGCGAGGATGAAGAAGGAGTGGTGATTTTGGCTAAGCCATCTGCCAACATCGTTCCTCCCGTCTACATCCATCCTTCTTGCGCCATAGCAGATGATGTGAAGATTGGGCCCTACGTCTCGATTGGTGAGAATGTGACCATCGAAAAGGGCGCGAGGATATCAAACTCGATTATCTTACCAAATACAGAGATCCACGCCCATTCCATCGTTTTGAATTCGATTATTTCGTACGGATGCAAGGTGAAGGAATGGTGTAGGATAGAAGGAACTGGGGTCAACCTGGCCACGCTTAATGAAATCGTCAGAAAGGGCCCCAAGGCACTGGGGAAACTCAAGTCGGCGGTTACTGCTCAGCAACAGGTAATTGGAGTGAGGGACACGGGAAACATATGTATTTTGGGATCAAATACTGTGGTTTCAGACGATTGCTATGTCTTGAACAGTTTCATTCTGCCAAATAAGACGATCAAGCATGATGTGAAGTATGAGATTATCATGTAACGGCGCTGATGCCATGGAAATTGCTCGAGTATGTCATTCGTTGATAATCTAAATTCTTGTTTGTTCCATCACATTTTCAGCTTGGTTAAATATAATGCTTGAATCTAATACTAGTCTTTTTTTTTCAAATTTGATACCCCTTTTGGTGCGGCGCAAATCTGACGCGGTTATTGCACGACTAAGAGACGCGACTTTCCTACCCGTGTTTTTATGGCCCTTCTTTAAGAACACAACTCTTCTTGTGTGATTGCGTGACAAGGATATCCAACACGGTTGGGAAGTAATAATGTCAAGTGCAACCACTTCTAAGAAGGGGGTCAAGAAGGTTGCTTCTGTGGCCTCCAACGGGAAGCTGAAGCAAGCATCTCTGATGTCGTTCTTTTCAAAAAGTAAGGCTCCAGAACCTTCAGAGCCTAGTTCCGAGAAGTCGGAAGATGCTCTTCCCTCGCCGGTTTCTTCTTCACCTGGTCCATCTGCTATCAGTGACACGGAAGACCTTACTGTTACAAAGGTTGAGACGAAAATCGCGGGGACCCCTGTGGCAAGCAGTAAGAACAGGCTCGCAAGCACTGTCTCGCAAACCCCCGTCTCAATGGAGAAAAAAGAGACTAAAAACTTAAACAATGAGCCTCAGTCATCGCCAATTGTGGCCCGCAAGAACAAAAAGAGAATTGACTACGCTGAGAACGACTCAGACGAAGACGAAGACATCGTGCTGAGCACCCAAAAGAAGAGGAAAACTGCCAAGGCAATCGTGGAAAGCGACGATGACGATGTGTTTGAGGCCGAGTCTGAGTCCAGCGAGGATGAAGAAGATGATGACGATGACTTCATAGTTCCTGACGATGCAGAGGAAGATGAAGCCGTGGTCGAGGACGTTGACGATGACGACCTTGAAATCTTCGAAGAGGTTTCAAAACCGAAGAAGACTAAAGTCAAAAGCTCAAAAGTGAACGTGACTCCAACAAAGACCGCAGTTGAAACTTCCAGTTTCAAAAGTTCCAATTTGGCCAGCAAGTTTGGGGCCTCCTCGTCATACGTCTCTTCAACTACCCCTGCTAAAAAGGCGACACCCTCTTCAAACGGCGCCATCAGTCCTCCAAAGAAGAACTTCGCCAAGGCAAACGAGGAGAGATACAAATGGCTTGTGGAAATTCGAGACGCCGATGGACATTTGGAGCAAGATCCAGAGTATGATCCGCGTACCCTGTATATTCCCAAATCAGCTTGGGCCGGATTCACACCTTTTGAGAAGCAGTACTGGGAGATTAAGTCGAAGATGTACGACTGTGTTGTATTTTTCAAGAAAGGTAAGTTCTACGAGCTTTATGAGAAGGACGCAGACATTGCTCACGACAAGTTCGATCTGAAACTGGCCGGTGGTGGAAGGGCAAACATGAGACTTGCGGGTATCCCGGAGATGTCTTTTGACTACTGGGCATCTAAGTTCATTGATGCAGGTTTCAAGGTTGCTAAGGTTAACCAGAATGAGTCCATGCTTGCCAAAGAAATTAGAGAGAAGGGCAAGACAATCACCAGAGAAGAGAAGATCATCAAGAGAGAGCTTTCTTGTGTCCTCACAGCAGGTACCTTGACAGAGGAGACCATGCTTACCGATGATATGGGCAAATATTGTCTGGCCATCAAAGAATGTACCAATCCTGATGGTTCCAAAGTATTTGGTGTCGCATTCGTCGACACTGCCACTGGAGCTATCCAACTTACCGAGATTGAAGATGACTCAGAGTGCGGAAAGTTGGAGACTTTGCTGGCACAGATCCGCCCAACGGAGATTCTAGCAGAAAAGTCGAACATCTCGTCTTCTGTCGTCAAGATGTTGAAGTTCAATTCGGCTCCGGGTTCACTCTGGAACTTTTTGAAGCCTGGAAATGAGTTTCTCGATTACGATTCTACGTGGGAGGAGCTCACCAGAGGCAAATACTTCCTTGCTGAGAACCTGGATGACTATTCGAACTATCCCAAGATCCTTGTGGACTACCAGGAAAACCACCATGTTGGTTTTAGTGCCTTTGGTGCGCTTATGTGGTATCTCAAATCATTGAAGCTGGATAAGCCTATCATCTCAATGGGGAACATCACAAGATATGATGCGGTGAAGAAATCCACCCATATGACTCTAGATGGTGTTACCTTGCAAAACCTGGAGATTTTTGCAAACTCTTTTGATGGTTCTGATAAAGGAACCCTGTTCAAGCTGTTGAACCGCGCCATTACCCCATTTGGTAAGAGGCAGTTCAAGAGATGGATTTTCCATCCTCTCTTTCAACAGAAGCAGATTGAGGATAGACTCGATTCTGTGGATGTCCTGCTGAACGATGGTGATCTGAGATACGTTCTTGAGTCTACCTTTTCCAAGATTCCTGACCTGGAAAGACTTTTAGCCAGAATTCACGGAGGTACTTTGCAGGTCAAAGATTTCTCCCGGGTCATTGAAGGGTTCGAGTCGATCGCAAAACTTGTGAGGAGCCTCAAGGAAAGTTACGGCGAGAGCTTCGAGAGTATCTCTGGAGCTCTAGGTACCACTCTTTGCACAATGCCTCCTAATCTGGAGGTTCGTGTTAATGCGTGGACCGATGCATTCGACAGGGAACTAGCAGTCACCCAGAATGTCATCGTACCAGAGAGAGGTGTCGAGGAAGAATTTGATGCAAGTCTGGATAAGATCAAGGGCCTTGAAGAAAGTCTCGAAGCTCTCGTTAGACAGTACAGACGTGAGTACAAATCTCAAGAGATATGTTACAGAGACAGTGGAAAAGAGATCTATTTGATTGAAGTTCCTGTGAAGGTTGCTTCGAAGGTTCCAAAAGACTGGCAACAGATGGCTTCCACTTCTAAAGTCAAAAGGTACTGGTCCCCCGAGGTGAAAACACTGGTCAGAGAACTGATGGAAGCCAGAGAGCTTCACAAGATTTTGATGGAATCGTTGCAAGGACAAATGTACGCTAGATTCGACGAAGACTACGAAACCTTGTGGGCTCCCGTCGTGAGATGTGTGGCTGCTTTGGATTGTATTATTTCGCTCACGAGAGCCTCTGAGTCGTTGGGAACATGTTCATCCCGTCCAGTCTTTGTGAACAGTACGCAAGGAATGATTGATTTCAAGGATCTGCGTCATCCATGCTTCACACCAGGTGGTGCTTCTGGTACTCATGATTTTATCCCAAACGATATCTCTTTGGGCGTCGACAACTCAGCCAAGGTTTCCTTGCTGACTGGTGCTAATGCTGCAGGTAAGTCTACCTTGCTCAGAATGTCCTGTATTGCTGTTGTCATGGCACAGATTGGCTGTTACGTGCCTGCTTCATCTGCCCGTCTGACTCCAATTGATAGAATTATGACAAGACTGGGTGCCAATGATAACATCATGCAAGGAAAATCGACCTTTTTTGTGGAGTTATCTGAGACGAAAAGAATGCTGGACACCGCGACCCCCAGATCGTTGCTCGTGCTTGACGAGTTGGGAAGAGGTGGTTCTTCCAGTGATGGTTTCGCGATTGCTGAGGCCGTTCTTCACCACATTGCAACTCACATACAATCGCTCGGATTTTTCGCTACACATTACGGTACCTTGGGAGCTTCTTTCAGGCATCATCCAAGAGTCAAGCCCCAACGTATGGCCATCCTGGTTGACGAGGAGTCCAAAAACATTACCTTCCTGTACAAGCTGGAAGCTGGTGCTTCCTTGGGTTCGTTTGGTATGCATGTTGCGTCAATGTGTGGAATCGATCGCAAAATCGTTGACGTTGCAGAAGAAGCTGCCAAAGAGATGGAACATACATCCAAGCTCAAGAAAGCCCAGGCGAAGGTTAGTGGAGATGAATTGGCTCTGGTGCCATTAGGACTGCAAAGTGACTTTGCTTCATTGCTAAAGGGTGACTTTGGATCATGCCAAACAGAAGAGATGAAGATGGACGCCTTGACCAGCATTCTTACGATTATTGGTCAGATATAGTAATAGACTATGTAACCATCAGTGCGAAACAAAAATTCATTATTACCTAAAAACCCATAAAAAAATGTAAAAGCAAAAGAAAAGATTCATAACCAGGGTTTCATTTCTGCCCTGCAGTATCGTGAAGAGAATCACTTGAAGCCTGTGATTGGAGAGCAACGTTTACAAAAGTCTTCATCTCTGGCAGATTGAAAGCTTCACAACGTGGTGCCAAGATTGGTTGGACCTGATGAACAGGAGGTGGTGTGAAAGAATGGAATTGTAGAATAGACACCAAAGGCTGTGACGGTGTTTCGAGTTTCGGGACTTTCAATGCAGCTTGCGTCTGCAGCAATTCCTGCTCTGCTTTGCGCTTCTTTCTGTTCGCTTCCTGAGCTCTTTTCTTGAGAAATCGGAGGTAGATGGGGTCATTGGGCTCGTTTGAATAGGCGTTATCGCAGTATCTAGCAATTTGCTCGGTGGAATCTTTCAGTTTATAGTACCACCATCTTGCAGAATCTTCCATGACTTCTTTGGGCTCTTTGGACTGCTCAGAGGTAACAACCTCAACGATGAAATTGCCGTCCACAGTCTTGGAAAGCGAGGGAAACGAATAACCTGTTACATCGAAATCTTCCAGTAGACGTTTCTGCTTCGCCAGCTCTGCAATTCGTTTTTTCTCATCCAATTTCTTCATCTTGTCGAGTTTTCTCTGTGCCTTCTTTGCTTCTTGCTCCTCGCTTTTAGACTGCTGCTTAAGCTTATTTTTCTCCAACTCAGCGAGCAGTCTGGTGTGCTCATCTCTCTGTGCATGAAGCGAGATATTCTTGGCCGAAATATCCAGTGAATTCGCGCTTGGAATCAGCACGTTCTCATACATGATTTCCAATCGATCTGAAAGTTTGGAGGAGAATATACTAACTTCCACAGATGACTCCCCTCTGTTATTACAGATCACCTCCCCTGCAAACCACTCGCTTCCAACAGAAATCTGAATATACTTTCCCGGTTGTATAGAGTCCAGGTAACTTTTGACGTACTCGTCTGAGTAGGTGCTGTTTCTGGGCCTGTGGAGTTTGCATCTGTGTCCCTCGTTTCCGTCAGCATCACCACCTTCCGATGGATTACAAAGCAGAATACCTGCTCCCAAGGCGCACATGGCATGGAAAGATCTAGCGCACTTTCCAAGGCCACACTGGAAGCAACCTCCGGACCTCTGTGGATTTTCAAGACGACAAACACTGCACTTGAGACGTCTCCTTGCCGTAGGTATATTGGGGAACCCGAGAACAATATCCCGATCGTCTTGAACTTCCTGTTTGGGGTTGACATCTGGTTCAGCTGACACCGACTTAATTGCCTCGGATTCTATGTTCATTGGTTCCTTTCCTGCTTCGACCGAAGCCATGTATTCATTTTTGCTCAAGATCTGCAATTCGGGAATGAACTGTGCACAAAGTCTATGAGCATAGTGTACCTTTTTGGTCCGCGCAAAGTCCACCACCTCAAGAAGCTCAAAACTCTTCAACTTGAGAAGCTTTTTCGAGAGATTCTTAGGACACAGAACGCATTGAGAGGGAGGAGACTTTACCTTTTCCGCGGGAGCCGGAAGAACTTCTTTCATCTTTGCAGTAGCATCCTTTTGCTTTTTAACTTGAATAGTAGTATCTTCTTCCATCTCATCAACCACTTCGTCCTCTTCGTCCTCTTCCTCTAATTCGTCATCCGTAATGGAGTAATCACCATTCAACCTCTTCATGAACTTTCGCATGTCAATTCCCACAGAGTCAGACACACATTCACATTTCTTCGTCATGACCCCAATGTCCAGCCACTCTTCAAGAGCAAAATTCACAGACTCTGCTAGGTTATATCCGTAATTGAACCCAGAGTGGTAGCCGTATGGATAAGTAATGATGAACTCCTTTTCTCTATGTACAATCTTGTTTGCATGAATACCGTGCTTCGACAGAAATGCTGGCGATACCAAAAAGGTCTTGTGCCTTAGGAACTCTGAACAGTGCTTGTAGTCCTCTGGATAAACGGCTGCCATGGCATTGTAGAACTTCTCATGCTGATCCTGAGGTATCGAGTACCACTGTTTTGGAGCGCCAAAATGGAGGTAGTTGATAGAATACAGGTCTTGATCTTCTGTGTGCCAGGAGAATGTAGCCTTCCACAATCCGCCGTATAGGTAGGCGTCGTTCACTCCAGGTAGTTTTTCAGGCAGATAATCCAGTAGATTCGGCAGTTGGGCAACGTTCCAAGGCCCAAAATTGCCAGGGAAAAGTGACCCCAGAGAGTCAGCACCGTAAAAAGGTGAAGAAAAGGTCAAAGTTTTCCAATATTGCTGTTCGAGAAAGTCACATTTTTCGGGTGTGTACATGGAGGTGTCGATGTTGTAAGGGAAATTCTCAAAGAGACTCGGCGTAATCTCGTTTTTTGTAGCCTTTTTGGCCTTATCAAAGAAAAACTTTTCTTCCTCAGAAATTTTGGGCTTTTCCCGGTTTTCACCTCTTGGAACAGGTAACAGGAAGTTCGACTCCATGCTTAGCTTCTTCCATTGGATCAGATTGTAGTTCTTCTGCTTCTCGATGTTCTGGATAGCGTACTGTCCATTGGTTCCACTGATTTGCTGACTTATAGGTTTCTGGAATTTCACACTAGAAAGCACCTCTGAATCAGGCTCTGGAAGCGAATCGATCCATTCCTGCGGTGGTATCACCTTCACTATGCCTGACTGCATACCATATCGATTGATCGATTTTTGGAATAGATAGAAATCTTTGAACTCGTCAATGGTAGGCTTGAACACTGGGACTCCGCCCTCCACATGGTGGGGCGAGATATCCAGTAGTTCTGTATATTTGTTGAATAGCTTGTTGGAATCAGAGTCCCTGTCTGGAGTGGTTGCTCTTGTAGATGGAGCGGACCGCGGCGATAACCCATCAGACCCGGGAGATGGCAGCTGGTGGTGATGATAGTGATTGCTGGCCTTTGAAGACGACCCTTTTCTCGGTGAAGACATTTGGAGAAAGTACCGAAGTCAGGACGCGGAGATGAAGAGTAGCTGCCCTAGCGCTTCAGTCCTCCTGATATGGCGTGGATCCTTCCGTCACGTTAACAAGCAGTTAATATCAATTCCTCCGCTAAAAGAAACTGATCCCACTATAAACTCTGAGTAAATCGCTTCAATGCTGTTTAAAAATATTGAGAGACCTGTTTGCTATCCCGATATCTGCCCTACATCTCTCTCTACTCTCCGAAATGAGACCACCTGCCATATTTGAGTGTGTCATTAGATCTGCACACGACTTGAGGCCTCAACCCAAAACGGGAACCTTGAAACTATTGTTTTGGTTTGAAAGATCTTAGTGGAGGATTAGATGGTGATGGCTGAAAACAGGAAGGAAGATGCTAGAATAGGCAGGAAGACCAAAGTGCGAAAGCGCTATATGGTTGAGACAGATTCGTCGGAGGAAGACGACACCATTGAAGAAGAAGAGATTAGGCCAGTGATAAAGCTAGCCAAGACAACCAAGACAACGAAAACGCCAGAAATACCAGGCTTAAACCCAGAAACTTTGCATAAACCCTGGAATGAAATCCAGCCCGGACTATTGGGCGAAATAGCCATACATCCTCGAAAACTCACGGATCTAAAAAAGGCAATGACAAGCATGCTGCACGCGGACCCCATATTTGGGTATTCCTGTCGAATTTTGATTTGTTCAGGCCCTTCAGGGTCTTGCAAGAGCACGGCGGTTCAGCTGGTGGCTCGGGAACTACTTCCAGATGTGTCCAATCCAATAGTCGAGTATATCAATCCACAAAGCATGGTGTCTGCTGGTGGTGGGACTGGATCCACAATGGGTTCTTTCAGCAATTTTATGAGGCAATGTGCTGTGCTAACTGGCAACAACAAGAGGTTTGTTGTGGTTGAAGATATACCGAACATTTACCACGACAAGACGCGAGAAGAGTTTCTGACGTCGCTAAAAGAATGGCTTGATATCAGCGAGAAGAATGACCTGCCTCCGGTTGTGATGATTGTCACTGAGTATGAAACTCCACAAGAGTACGTGTCTGGTGGATTGAACCGCAATTTTATTGCGGAGACTGTGTTTGACCGTGAAATTCTGTTCCATAGGCGGGTGTCGCGGATCAAGTTCAACCCCGTGGCCAAGACGTATCTCAAGAAGTGTTTAACCAATATATACAACCGAGAGACAAAGCTCTTCAAGGCAAAAGGAGTATCGAAGACCCGGGCATTTGAGGAAATAAACGCGTTATCGACCAACTATGGAGACGTGAGATCGGCAATCATATCCTTCCAATTCTGGTCACGATTTCACTCGAAAGGTTCGAAGAGCATCACCACTTTGGGGAAGGAAACCAACATGGGCATATTCAACGCATTGGGAAAGATAATTTACGGGACACAGCATAAAGAAGAAGAGATTCTGAACTTTAGGAAGTTACAGATAGGAGAGTACAAACTGTCAGATCAAAGTGATGCGGGAGCCATCAACGTGGACGTTGCTTCTGTTTCAAATGTACTCAAGGACTTTGGCTCACAAGCAACGTCCTTCAATCTTGGGCTATTGGAAAACTATACCGGGTTTGACCCCGCAAACCTCAAGGTTGACGCACAGCTGCTGCAGATTATCGACGACCTGTCGATAGCCGATCTGTGCAGTACGAGGGGTTTACCAGAGTACCAAGGAAATATAGCAATGAGATCCGTGAGAATACACATGAGAAATATTGAGTCAAGTATTGGAACTACGAAAAGGCACGATAACTTGAAATTTTCTAGACAATGGAAGGTGCAACAGAAGCAGAATAACACCAACAGAGAGCTTGAAGACTACAGATTGAGAAAACTGAAAAGACTTTCTGGGATCTCCCGGGTCAGTTCCAGTGATTGTCTCTTATTGGACGGATTCTACGAACCAATAATTCTCAATTCGAGGAAGAGCCTGCTGAGAACGAGATACCCTCGAGTGGGAGGGTCGCTCAACAACCCTATATATGCCGACTCCGAGATCGTGATCGAGAACGAAGAGGACGATTACTTCACCCGGGTCAAGAATGCCCGACAGGCGGATCTCGAGACCTATGGCGTGGATGTTGAGGCCGAGGAAGAGGGTGCACTGGAGAGTGATGATTCCGACCCAGTGGTGGACTCCGAGGAAGATACCACTGTACATGACGATGACTCTGTGGAACTGCTAAGTGACTCTGATTTGGATAATGTATAAAGAAAATGCTTCTGTCAGACAGTATTTGACGTGTCCATAATATATACAAGCATTCAATTGACCGTTGCCGTAATGGGATAATTTGGATATGTCATACTATTAAGGACTGAAAAATTTGGACCCGAGTCAATCAATGCCTTTCCTCATCGGCTCATTATCCATGCAGGCTAGGCCTTTGGAATTCATCCATCGCCTAATCCAGACTTAAAAGAGACAGCAATTTTGGCCTAAAATATATAAAAAAGCGATAAAAATTACAGAAAATAAATCACATTGTCGATATTCATAATAATTCAAAATAAAATTGACAAACTTCAACAAAATCGTTGAGAAAGGGACAAACGGAAAAGACCAAAGCCCCGGGGCTGGGAGGTCTCTCGATTTTTCGAAACGGCTAACTTTAACTTTAAAGCAGTAATCGGCCCTTCCCCCCTCCTTCTCCTATGACAAGTCCATTTTTCGCAATTTTTTGTACTGCGTCCTTTTCGGTCTTCTCTCAATTGTCACTTGATCTCGACAAACTCTATCGGACAAATTTCACAATCAAGCTCGGATTATCTCTTGAAAGGTCACCATGTCTAGTAGTGTCATGATTCCAGACGGCGAATACGAGATAGACATCTCCAGTCTGCTGTTTGCACAGCGGATTGAGAATTTTGGGATACGATGTGAGTAACTGAAGTGTTATATTGGATGCCATTGGGCTAAAAACTAACTGATTTTTCCAGATGGGTTTAGACCGGACTCCATTGACCAGAGTATGCCTCTAGACCTGGTAAAAGACACCCTTGATGATCCGATCAATTCTTTTAAAGGGGAGGGCAGCTACATTTTGAGAGCTCACGTGGACTCAAAACACTCGAAAAACAATGGCAAATATGTTTTTTTTGATGGTGTGTTGGGTTCTGCTCACAAGGGTACGCCTCATAGTAGCACTCCTAATTCCCCCGCTATTGGTGGATCTACTGCTACACCATCCACAGAGTTCCTTCTTTTGTATGACAACAACGCCAAGGATTTCAAGCTGGAGCCTTCTGGAGGAGTCTTGAAGATGAACAAATCGAGGAACCCCGAAAAGCTTTCGAAAAAATTTAGCAAGTTGAAGACTCAGGCCAAATCTAGGATGGGAGTGTCTACGCCATCGCTGTCAACCCAATTCGAGTTGAAGACCAGTCCATCAAGGACAAAGAAGCTCAAGAGCTCGTCAATGATGGAAACGAGTGATGTCAATGCAAAGACAAAGACGAATCACCATAAGACATCGGCTGGTGAAGCACCGCCAATGAGTGAAATTTCGGACATCGAAGAGACGGGACTTGCAAAGTCCAAAAAGCAGAAATCGCAACAACAGGCTACAAAGGAAGCGAATTCAATGACACCTCTGCTGGGTGCCAGTTTATCACCCGAGGGTTCAAATGGACATGTTAAAGAAGATAATGAGTCATCCGGCAAGGCCGAACCAGAACACCAAGACAGAGCAACAGTCAAGTTAATTTCACAGGTCATGGAAGGCAGCTCTCCTTCTTCCCAGGACAATCAAGACAAAATACAACCACTGGAGTCTTCGAACGCATTCTTCGACGAGGATGATTGGGACGAGAATCTGGACGATTGGGAGGATGCGTTCTTGCCAGACGGCAACACCGATTCGGAATTTGCCATAGTTGTGGATGAGACGCCCCTTTTGCAAAACCAAGCCAATTCAAGAAGTCGCAGAGGCTCAGCTTCAAGTCGGAGATCATCCATGCCAAAGGCGACGAAGCCCACGAGTATGAAAGCGTTAAATGAAGCGGCCGAGGTGAAGATAGCTAGGCGTACGAGAAGGAGGACTTCGGAGATCAAGCAGCGCGAGGAGGTGAGAGACATGTTAACCCCCGAACTGAACGGAAAAGCTACCAACTCAGAAGAAGAGGACGATGACGAGGACTTTAACTTCGATGACGACTTTGACAAAGCGATTGATTCATTTGAGGAGGAAGAGAAGAAAAAGGGAACTAATGGAGGTGCCAACGGAAGTGAGGATGAAAGCGAGGAGGAATAATAGGGTACAATGCTCTTAATCGGTGGTTTGTTTTATACGGAAATTTTAATAGTTATATACACAGAGTAAAATGGGGTTTATTGCATGACAAACTGGCCTAAAAGGGAAATGACTCAGAGTCATCATGTAATGTACGAGGCGAGCAGTCTTCCAACGCTTTACTGCGACCTTTTGTTCCTCTTCCTAAAATTTTTGGTTTCGAAAGTGACAAAGACGAAATATCCATAAAAATGAGCTTCCAAGTTTTGACCAAAAGTGCTTCCAAAAGACTGGCCATGTGGACCAAATTTCGTTCAATGTCAACTGTTGTGGGGGATATGCTGAAGACAGACCTAGCCAATTCAAGAGACGCTTTGGCCAGCTCTTCAAAAAAAGGTTTTGAGGCAACAAAAAGACAATCTGTATTACAATTAGCAAGATCTCTCAAATCCCCGAGAACCGACTGGACCAAAGAAGAATTGCGTGAAATCTACAATACTCCTCTGCTGGAGCTGCTTCACCAGGCCCAGTTGCACCATCGTGATTTCCATGATCCACAGGAAGTCCAAATTTGTACCTTACTAAGTATTAAAACTGGTGGATGTACTGAGGATTGCAAGTACTGTGCGCAGTCCTCCAGATACGACACTGGCCTTAAAGCTGAGAAACTCATTCAACTTGAAGATGTCGTGAAAGCTGCTGTGGAGGCTAAAGAAAACGGAGCCACCAGATTTTGTATGGGGGCAGCCTGGAGAGACATGAAGGGTCGCAAAAGTGGCATCAGGAAGATTGGAGAAATGGTTAAAGAAGTCAATAAACTAGGTCTGGAAACGTGTGTTACTCTGGGAATGGTGGATGAAGAGCAGGCTGTGACCTTGAAAGAAGCAGGACTTACCGCATATAACCACAATATTGACACTTCTAGAGAGCACTACCCCAAAGTCATCTCCACCAGAACCTATGATGATAGACTGCAAACCATAAAGAATGTGCAAAAGTCAGGCCTTAAAGCTTGTACTGGTGGAATCCTTGGTTTGGGGGAAACTCGTGAGGATCACATCGGTTTTCTCTTCACTCTGGCTACAATGGATTCGCATCCCGAATCTCTTCCAATCAACATGCTAGTACCTATTCGTGGTACCCCAATGGCTGAGGAATTAACCAAGAAAAACTCCATAAAGCTGGAGTTTGATTCTGTTTTGAGGACTGTTGCTACTGCCAGACTGGTAATGCCTAAAAGCATCATCAGGTTGGCTGCTGGAAGATATACCATGAAAGAAACAGAGCAGTTCCTTTGCTTTATGGCTGGTTGTAATGCGATTTTTAGTGGAAAAAAGATGTTAACCACTATGTGCAATGGCTGGGACGAGGATAAGGCAATGCTTGAAAAATGGGGGCTTAAGCCAATGAAAAGTTTCAAGAAACACAGTTCCAATTTATCACTTGTCTAGTCTATTTATTTTGTAATCAAGACCATTTAATATCTTGCAAGTTTCAAATCCTTTGATGTAAATTGATATTAGACCGCAAGTATCAACTAGCGTCCCTCGGTGCGATGCGATAAGGCGTCGGTCAACCCCAATCGGGTAATCGATGATCCCCCCACCTTAGCTACCGCCCAGCCTTATCAGTAGGCGACCCTTCCTGGCCAATCCCAAACCCTGAAACTTACCTAGCTTGTACGGACTATAAAATCTGGTTTTGCCGGTATTGGAGGCAGATCGATCTATTTTATTCTTCTTTTCTATTTATCAATTGGCTGATCAATTAACGATGGGCAAGAAAAGTACGTGACAGCTTTGATTCTATCGATCAAGACCAGAACACTGACGTTAACTAGGAGTTTTGTGCTGCTATGGCATTGACATTGATGCAGTAGCTGGATGGTTGGGATCCTATGGTGGTGAGGACTCTGCCAGCGATATTTCAAGAGGTATGTCAGTTGCTGAAACCAATAAAATTCCGGCTAATTAACTAACTTGTATAGGTCTTTTTGCTGGGCATGTTGGTATCCCAAGAATGCTAAAGATGCTGGACAGATACAAAATCAAAGGTACCTGGTTCATTCCAGGCCATTCTCTTGAGACTTTCCCAGAGGAGTGTGCTATGATCAGAGATCAGGGCCACGAAATGTATGTGATGCTTTCGAAGTAACAACCTAGGACTTGACTAACACCCTGAAATAGTGGGTTGCACGGTTACTCACACGAAAATCCCGTCGATATGACATTGGAGCAACAAAGAGATGTATTGGACAAAACCTTTAGACTCATAACCGAGTTTTGCGGAAAGCCTCCCAAGGGTTCGGTTGCTCCCTGGTGGGAGACCTCCGTAGAAGGAGTCAAGATGCTAATGGATTACGGAATTGAGTATGACCATTCAATGTCTCACCACGATTGTCAGGCATATTGGTTTAGATCTGGCGATACATGGACTAAGATCGACTACACTAAGAAGGCCAAGGAGTGGATGAAGCCATTGGTGAGAGGCCAGGAGACAGGACTGGTTGAAATTCCCGGCAATTGGTATATTGACGACTTACCACCAATGATGTTCATCAAAAACACTCCAGACAGTAATGGCTGGGCCAATCCAAGAGATATTGAGGATATTTGGAGAGACCATTTCGACTACTTCTACCGCGAGTATGACGAGTTCATCTTCCCAATCACCTGTCACCCTGATGTCTCAGGTAGACCACACGTTTTGATGATGCACGAGCGTTTGATCGAGCATATAAACAAACACGATGGTGTTGAGTGGGTTACTATGGGAGAAATGGCTGCGGATTGGAGAGAGACCCATACTGCACCAGAAGGTGCAGAGATGCCGTTATCTACCGAGGAAGTGCTGAAAAAGCTCAACATTGATCCAACTACGATGAGATCGTAAATCAGAGTCGTGGTATATTCGTGGTAAATTGTTTCTAAAGACATAGTATACTACTATATATTTATCGTAATTGTGCTCAACATTATCGAGTGCCCTACTAATGTTTTTGGATTCTTATCTGTAGCTCGCAAATCACCCCCACTCTAGATCTCGAGATGTGCAGATAAGCACTGATTTAAATAGTCATATCCCCCTCAACATCACGGAAATCCTAGAAATCCTCAAGCAAAATGGCTTTCAAAAAGGTAACAAATAACCATCGGGAAACGATCTTCAGCATGAAACTTTACTAACACCTGTCAGTTTGACATCTCTGGTAGAACCGCCTTGGTTACAGGGGGTGGAAGAGGCATTGGTCTTGCGTGTGCTTTAGGTCTTATCGAAGCGGGATGCAATGTTGGAATCTTTGACGTGATCGAGAATACTGCTAATATAGAGCAGCTTCAGAAAGACCATGGAGTGAAGATTGTCCACTACATGTGAGTTCTGATTTTGAGATTAAAGGTGGAACAAGACGTGAAAAAAAGTAACTAACCAAACCAAGCGTTGATATCTCAGACCCGGAGAAGCTGGATGAAGGGTTCAAACAGTTTTCTAAAGACTTTGGTGGAAATCTCGACATTTGCGTGCCATGTGCGGGAATCAACAAAAACCTTGAGTTTTTGAACACCACTTATGAACAATTTGACCACCTCAACAGCATCAATTTCAGAGGATCCTACTTCACAGCACAGTTGGCAGCAAAACTGATGATCAAGAATAAAACTGAAAAGGGAAGCATCGTATTCATTTGCAGTATGGGATCATATATCGCTATCAGATCGCAGAGAAGCAGTGCTTACTGTGGAACAAAGGGAGGAGTCAGATCTATGGTGGCACCAATTGCTGCTGAGCTACATAAATATGGGATCAGAGCAAACTCCATTAGTCCTGGTTATGTGAAGACTGCCATGACCGAGTGTTTTCCTGATCTTGTAAGGGACTGGGGTTCAGAGACTATGAACGGAAGAGTCGCAGATCCAGAAGACATAGCTGGGACGTGCGTATTTCTAGCCAGTGATGCTAGCAGCTATTTGGTCGGAGAGGACATAGTGGTCGATGCTGGTGTCACAAAATGGTGAATAAATAATATACATTTTGGAAGGTAATCTTTTGTAATTTTTTTCTGGGCTTGCGCGCCCAATAGAAATGCAGCCCGCCCGCATCTCTTATCTGCCTGCCTGCATAATTAAGGCACATCGGTTGGGCTCACCCACGTAAGATAAAATAGGTCCAATTCCCACCCTAGAGAAAACTGTCCTCCACTCATCCCCCATTTTACATTCTCTTCTAACATATTTTCTGAAGAAATGCCAACAGAGAAACATCATGCTTGTCCTAATACTGAATGCGGGGCTACATTCAAGAGAAGAGACCATCTGACGCGACATCTGCTCAACCATAAAGCCGATAAGCTCAGGTGCCCCAGATGCGATGGTGAATTCTCCAGACCTGATCTGCTAAGTAAGTACTGGGCAACTGAATACAAATTGCTCTGTTACTGACTCTTCAATAGAGCGTCACATTAGAAGACATGAACAAAAAGATAAGGAGGCTGGAGGAATTGGGTTGGGTGATCTTATAATCCGAAGAAAGTCATGGACGCCTAAGCTAGGTTATTCTGCTGGTCGAAGAAGGCGCAACATGTCGGTAAATGACTCAGGATTAGAAGACAAAAGTGTTCGAAAACCTTTTGAGGTTCCGCATCTCCGAAAAACCAACCACGTCATTCCAGATATTCCCAATGAACTAAACTCGGCGTCAATCGCAGACTCTCATATTGACAAAGTTGATACTATAGATGGCGGCACAAATGTTGCATCCGTGCAGGCCACAGATACTCTCTCAGGAATTCCTGGTATTTCTGAAGAAACAGCCACTGAGGAATCGCCAGATTATACTATTTCTCATAATTTCACCGTCAACAGCAAGTATGACCCTGATCTGCAGGACAGATCAACAGCCTCGGAAGGAAGCTTCGCCAAACATCCGTTTGTTGGTTCAAATGATTTCATGGCTGATTTTGGCAAGCCGTTTGCAACGCTTAGAGATTATTCTTGGATATTTGAGAATCTAGACGACTTGTCCCTCCCCAACCATGAGTTGAGTGATAAAGCTTCTTCCACGAGTTCTAGCGGTCAGGATTTCCTCTTCGCCACAAAAAAACTGTCTCCTGAAGTTGCTAACAAGTACAACTTTGAGTCTCTAGACCAGTTAGAACAGATTCTGCCTCAAATTACTGAAGAAGACAGGTTGAGGTTACTGGATTTTGTTGCTTCCACCACCTCAAGACACTCTATTGAAGACGGGTTTGACGGGAATAGCGAGTTTTTTCGTCTGGAATTCTTGCAAGAATTCCTGGAACTTTACTTCACTAAAGTTAACATCACATACCCGATAATACACTGCTCTAGCTTTGATCCTCATCAAACTCACAGCTTATTGTTGATAGTCATGATAACACTGGGAGCAACGTACAGCACCAAGGCAGCCCATCGTGCTGCCGTGGAGATCCATGATTTGATTCGTGGGTCACTTTTCAGTTCGCCTCATTTCAGTGCAACACCCGAGCTTTGGGTCCTCCAGGCTCTTTTGTTGATTGAGACGTTCGGAAGAAATAAAGGTGGAATGAGGCAGCACGAAGTATCCAACCTTTTTCATGGTGTTCTCATCAACATTCTCAGGAAATCTGACTGTCTTTCCACTGTTGGACCTGTATATTCTAAAAAGGAACAAGAAGGCCTAGATACTGAGAAATCCTGGAGAGAATGGATCGAGATTGAGTCAAAGAAAAGAGTTGCTTATTTCACTTTCCTCTGGGATGTTCAGCATGCTACCATTTTTGGCCAGACTTTGGGAATGTCCGCTTTTGAGATAAGAATACACCTACCTGCCGATCTAAATCTGTGGAACGCTCCCTCAAGTACCGAATGGTTGAAGTTTAGGAAGTCTGAGGGCCAGCAGAGATTTTACTTGCCGACGTTGAAAAAATATCTCAATTGCTCGAGAGACTTACCTTCCATCAACCCTTTATCAAGGGTTCTTATTTTGCATGGCCTGATGAGCATAGCTTGGGACATGCAAAGAAAGGAACACACATCGTTGGGGTTGGAAGTTGATCCCTATGCGTGGAAGACTCTTATGGCCAAAGCATATGACTGTTGGAAGGAAGATTTTGAGAAGTTTTATAGCAGAGTTTCGCGAATGGTTGCCAATTCGTCATCAGAGAGGTTTCTGGTCAAGTTTGCAACTACTAACTCAGCTCTATATCATTCGGCCAACATTTTATTATGGTCCAATATGTTTACTCTCCAAATCTATGCCGGCGCAGAGCACATTTTTGGACGCAGAGTCACCCAACAGACCTACGATATGGCCAAAAAGGCAGTACTTCAATGGAGTCAGCAAATTGGCAAAACTGAGAAGGCAGTGATGCATGCCTTGCAGCTTTTAAGGGAGGGCTTTGTGAACCTGGATAGTTGGGAGGTCGACGGTACCATGCATTATAACTGGTGCTTGTATATTGCAACTTTGACGTGTTGGTGTTATTTTGAGGCTCTGTCTGATAGCGGTATTGAACGGAAAATTTTGGGAGAGGCAAACCAGAACGATCCAATCGACACTGACTCTCTGGGATATCTGGTCGACGATTCGATCCATTATCCTGAAACGCCTCATGGCCGAGATGCAATGGGCAACTTTTTACTCCTTGTCACACATGAAACACCAGACAGATACCGGAATCTCAATTTAGATTCTACATGTGTTCTCCAAGAAATGGTCAGACATTTCAGAACAGCTAGATCGGGTGTGATTTACGAGGCGCTGGTCGTTCTCAGTAATATTCTTGCTCGCAAGGTGCCGAATACCGAGGATGTGAAGCAGGTTAATAAGTAATTAATAATATCGAAATGAGGTTTTGGATAAGTCTGCAAGGTGGCCACACATAGAATACCATACGTAGTATACCGTACGTAGATGCAAGATGATCATGCACCGTGGATAAAAAATGCAGCCCCGATGCAGTGGGTGGTGCCCCCACGCAAGATCAATTCCTTTCAAGCCTTACTCCATTCTGGTTACAGGTTTTCTGTAGATAGGAAGACCCATCACCTATATATGGAAGTTAACCCAATTTACCTGATTTTTATGAAACAGCATGGATGACTTTTCCAAGCGACATCGCTTATAAGTAGATGAAGGTCATCATAGTTGGAGCAGGTCTTGGAGGTCTAAGTGCTTCCATCTCCATATTATTGGCTGGTCATGAGGTTCTGGTTCTTGAGAGTGCAAATGAAATCAAAGAGGTTGGGGCAGGGATCCAGATATTGCCCAATGCTTCTCGAATCTTGATAGAGTATGGTTTGAGAAGCCAGCTAGAGGAAGTGGCCACTATGCCACAAAAGTGTTTTATGAATGGCTGGAAAGGTAAAAAACTCGCCGAATTGAATTTCCATGAGCAGGCCAAAAGAATGGGATCACCCTTCTGGGATTTCCACAGAGCGGACCTCCAGAGAATTATGCTCGAGAGAGCAAAAGAGCTGGGCGCCCAGATTCTCGTCAACTGTAGGGTGTGTTCGGTCAACTACAATATGGATGAAATGACTGTCTCAGCAACCACTGCCGGGGGCGATAGTTACACTGGCGATCTGCTGGTTGGGGCTGATGGCATAAATTCGAGACTTCGTGAGATCTTGGTTGGACATGCAGACCCACCAACACCAACAGGTGACTTGGCTTATCGTGTACTCTTGGACGGAGCAAAATTACTAGAACATCCCTCCTTGGCCGAGTTCATCGAAAATCCACAGGTTAACTACTGGTTAGGTCCTCAATGCCATTGTGTCAATTATGTTCTCAAAAAAGGAAAATTCTTCAACTTCGTGCTTCTATGTCCGGACGATGTCCCTGAGGGAATGAGCATTTGCGAAGGTAAGATTGATCAGGTGAAAAGCGTTTTCGCCAAATGGGATCCAAGGGTTGTAGATTTGCTGGATCTTGTTGAATCTTCTACTATCGATAAATGGAAATTATGCTATCGTGAGGGTATCAACAAATGGTACCACGAAAGCGGTATGTTCTGTCTGCTAGGTGATGCAGTTCATGCCACTCTTCCCTACCTAGCCTCTGGTGCAGGTATGGCTATTGAAGATGGAGCCGTGCTGGGTACTATCCTCGAAAGATTTTCAAGCAAATCTGATCTGAGAGAAAGCATGCGGCAGTACCAAAATAAAAGAAAGACGAGAACGGAAAAGATCGTTGCCCGTGGCAACCTGCAGCAGACGTTGTACCATCTCGATGATGGACCGGCCCAAGAAGAAAGAGATTTCATTCTCGGTCTCTCCGATCCGCCAGCAGGAGAAGCTTTTGTCTGGAGAGACAAGGAGATGGCGCCTTGGCTGTTGGGCTACAATGCTTTCAATGATGCAAAGATTTAGATGGAAATTTCATTTCAATAGACTCAAAATTTTATTGAATTCAGATTTGAATAAACCAACCTTAGATCATTACAGGACTATTCACTTCACGCTTTATTTCCTTAATTGACTCAGGCATTGCATAATTCAATTCTGACGGATCTTGCGTGGGGTGCAGATAATAATGCACGATGATAAGCATTCCTTGGGTGGGCATATTGCGTATACGGAAACCCACGTTGGTCGTACAAAATGGGGTTTCCGGGCAAATAAAAAAAAAGTTGATACGATTAAATAGTGAATATTTGGGTGGTATATATGCTGTTTTTGACTCGATCTCAAGCCAGTAACAGGTGATATAGACACGCCAGACTAATGACACTCAACCCAATCATCGAAACAGACGTCCTTATTGTGGGAGCCGGCCCAGCAGGTCTCATGCTCGCGTATGTAGTTCGACAAGACTTTGCATTTTATTGAAAGATATCCAACTAACGCCTCACAGTTGTACGCTTTGCAGGCTTGGAATAAAAACCAAGATCATTGATGAACGGCCCACAGAGACTTCTCAGGGCAAAGCTGACGGACTCCAGCCTAAAACTCTGGAAACATTTGACCAATTGGACCTCTTGAACAAGGTTTCCGATCTTGGGGTGAAGATATATGATATCACCTTTTGGAAACAGAAGGAAAGTGGTGAGTACTACAGGGCACAAAGAGAAGAGCATTTTCCCAGTGTTGTTGACCTGAGAAGACCATACATTCTTTTGACACACCAAGGTGTTGTTGAACGGATGTTCATGGATGACATACTCTTGAGAAATCTCAAAGTTGACAGGAACTGCAAATTTCAAAAATATCAAATCACCGATGGCCCTGAGAATTCAGTGTTGTCATCGCTCATTGTGGATGGTGGGGAGATTACGGTGAAGTCAAAATACGTTGTCGGAGCTGATGGTGCGCATTCACAAGTGCGGAAGTCAATGCCAAACTCCTGTATGATTGGAGAGAGTAGTGATAGTTGTTGGGGAGTGATTGACGGCGAGTTGGATACTAATTTTCCAGATATTTGGAATAAAGCAGTCATAAACTCAAACGAATACGGTTCTGTTCTTGGAATTCCAAGGGAGAGAAACCTGACCAGACTTTATATTGAACTTCAACGGGACCTTCATAATGATCTTACTGAGGAGAATAAAAAGATTGTTCAGGATGCCGCTCGCAAGGTGGTGGCCCCATTCAAACTGGAATGGAACACCGTTGAATGGTTCGGAATATACAAGGTTGGGCAAAGAGTGGCCAGCTCTTTCAACGATCAACTCAAAGTGTTCATTGTTGGTGATGCTTCACACACTCATTCACCCAAAGCAGCTCAAGGCATGAACGTTTCTATGCACGATAGCTGGAATCTCGGATGGAAACTGGCCCATGTTATCAGGGGTTACAGCAAAGAAGCTATTCTCGAGACTTATGAATTGGAAAGAAAGAAAATAGCGCAAGACCTCATTGACTTTGACAAAGAACATGCAAAAGCTTTCGATGTTGGTGATCAAATTGAGCTAGCAAAGAATTTTGCTAAGAATGTTAGGTTTATATCTGGACAAGGAGCCGAATATAACCTGAATATGATCAACCAAGAGTCAAACGTCAGTTCTGAGACCTTCGCCCCAGGAAAGCTACCAGTACCATCAAATGTGATCAGACTTGTGGATTCCAATCCAGTCAAATTAGAATCTGATATTCCTATTTTGGGCCAGTTCTCCACTTACTTCATTGTCAAAAAATTTGATGCAGCTGTTGAGTTCCTGGAAGCGTTCAGCGACTCAGCATTGAAGTCAAGCTCTTACTCAAAATTTCTAAGCAAGTCTTCCGACAAAGAAAGGAATGATTTCACTGAAAAGGACTTGATAAACAAAAAGAGATACACGCCAGTCTCTAAAATCTTGACTGTATCTCTGGTCACAACATCAACACTCGACGAGTTTGACTTATCTGCTCTGCCCTCATTCTTCAAGCCATACAGATGGTCAGTTTATCAAGAGGCTGAGAATGGTCCTTCAAAAAAGTGGCTACCTAAATTAGAGGATGACAGTACTGCAATTGTTATATTGCGCCCTGATGGTTACGTTTCGGCTATATCTGCGTTTGACAGAACGGTTGCAGGAGCAAAGAAGGCTTCACAATGGTATTCCGAGTACTTTTCCAAGTTTTAGTATTTATAAGCTTTACTAAATTAAAACTCAGATTATGAGGATAGACAGCCTTTTTGACTTTGTAAACTTGAGTAGAGTTATATAAAAACTTAAGCCGCTAATTCTGACTCGGCAAAAACGGGATAGTCAGTATATCCAGTGTTCGGTGGGTTGGAACCATAGAAGGTAGATCTATCATACTTCGATAGGGCCAAGTCTTTAGCGTAACGGTCCACCAGATCGGGGTTCGACAGGAAGCTTCTCCCAAAGGCAATAATGTCAGCTTTTCCAGCAGAAAGTTTTTCAATGGCATCCTCTTTGCTAAAACCACCTGCACGAATGAAGGCAATTCCCCTGGCTTTGAGAATGTTTCTGAAAGGGTCCAGTGAAAACTCTTGTCTTCTAATAACTTGATCCTCCAGTGACTTTAGCTTGTCCTCCTCAGAAAGTACCTCATCAAACCTAGGCTCAATCATATGAACATATGAGACGGTTTCCTTGAGGTCTGCAATCTTTTCGCAAATGTAAGCCCAGTTTTTATTTGGATCAGAGTCCTTGGTGTCCTGGTAAAAGTTATAAGGAGAAAGTCGAATTCCAGTTTTTGCCCCACCAACGGCTGCAATAACTGCCTCTAGAACTTGAAGAGGAAACTTGACTCTATTTTCAATGCTTCCGCCGTATTCGTCTTTTCTGGTGTTTACGTTATCGTGGAAGAATTGGTCCAAGAGATAGCCGTTAGCCCCATGAACTTCAACACCGTCGAAATTGGCATCGTTGATCGCGATTTTAGCAGCATCGACAAAATTTTGTATGATTTCCTCAAAATCTGATCCAAACATGGCCCTTGGAGGGGCATCTGCGTAGTCAACTCCGGGAACAAAAGATGGGCCCTTGATAGGAGTAGAGACGGCGGAGATTGGTTGTATACCGCCAATGAGCTGCGCGACAGTCGCTCTTCCAACGTGCCATAACTGGCAGTATATTTTGCCACCTTTCTTGTGAACGGCGTCTGTAACGCGTTTCCATCCAGCTATTTGCTCCGGTGTGAAAATACCTGCTGAACCAAGATAGCCGCAAGCAGTGGCCGAGATAGGGCATGCCTCGGTGAGCAAGAGGCCTCCTTCAGAGGCCCTTTGAGAATAGTATTCCACCATCAAGTCTCCAGGAATCCAGAAGTCCTTCAATTTCTCTCCTCTGAGTCTGGTGCATGGTGCCAGAGCAATTCTGTGGGAGAGATTAGTGCTTCCCAGCTTAAAGGCTTCAAAGAGCGGTGATGCTTCTGGCATGATTTCTAAATATGAAAGCTTGAAGATTTTTTTTCTGAGTCTCACGAGAAGTTAAACTAAGATGCAGCAAAACTTCTTTTTCTTTATTTCAAGGGGAAAGAAGAGAAAGCTCAAGTCACTCGTAATTTTTCATTTTGTAGTGGAGCTTATCGGTCTCTCTTACGTGGACTGCGCAATATCTCTAATAATTTTTCTGTCCCCACCTTATCGTGCATAATACGTGGGGGATGCTATCGATGTCCAGCACCCCTTGCAATATTATTACCCGCACAAGATAACGTTGTTAAACATTTTCGAATGTGCTTTAGATAGCCTTGACGTTGATGTAACCCATAAGTGCTCTGTATGTACTAGTATATATAAAGCCGAGGATGCTGAGGGCTACTAAAGGCGAATCTACGTCGGTATCTCCGTCTTCCTCAATCGACGCCGATAAGATGTCTTTGACCGATGAAAAACTTGTGGATAGCCATCTCGTTGCTGAGGTCGGCTCTGGATCTGAAACTGATCAAGAAATTTATATAGATCCGAAATTGGAGAGACAGTATGTTCGAACCTTCGATTTCAAACTTCTGCCCTTTCTTTCGCTCATGTATTTCTTCAACTCGATGGACCGTTCGAATCTTTCCAACGCCTACTCCAACGGTTTTGCAACGAACATGCACTTCAAAGGCCAAGAGTACTCGTTACTATTGCTGCTATACTATATTCCAAATGCTTTCTGTGATCCCTTTTGGAATATTTTGACGAAGAAGTTTGGCGCCAGATGGGTTCTGCCATCTCTGATGCTGGGATGGGGAGGATGTTCGATGATCGAAGCAGGATGCACCAATTTTGGTGGTATGCTCGTCGTTAGACTGCTTATTGGTGTTTTTGAAGCTGGGTTTTATGCAGGCGTTGTTTTCTACTTGACTCTGTTCTACACCAGAAGAGAGATCGCTTTCAGAATATCGCTATTCTTCGGCTCTGCTCTTATCTCTGGTGCGTTCACTGGTCTTTTGGCTTATGGTCTGTTCCACATCAAAAACGACGCCCTTTATGGTTGGCAATACCTTTTCATCATCGAAGGTGCTGCAACTGTTCTGATTTCCTTGATTGCCTATTTTTGGCTACCTTCAACCCCAAGTACTTGCAGGTGGCTCACACCAGAGCTGAAAGAGGTTGCAAGGCTTCGTCAACTCAAGAACAGCGTCAAAAAAGTCGACTCCTCGTTCTCCTGGGCTGATTGCAAGGCACGTGTCAAAACATGGCAGTGGTGGGTATACGCCTGTATATCATTTACCTATACCTTGCCATGGACCACTGCGTCGTTGTTCTTGACCCAGATCATTGGAAGGTTCGGGTTTTCCACCGTGAAGACCAATCTCTGGACCGTAGCTCCCAATTGCGTTGGCGTCTGTGTTCTTCTTGCAGTGTCTTTCTCTTCAGATAGAGCTCGTGAGAGATCTTACCATATCTGTTTCGCATTGACACTCTCTATCATTGGCCTGATCATCCTTGCTTCAGTGGACAGCTTCAAGCACAAAGGTGTGAGTTACTTTGCATGTTTTCTTTTGTGTTCCGGTGCCTACATCCCATCAGCATTGGTCCATTCATGGCACAATAACAACAACTTGAACGAGAGTTCTAAGGCGTTTGACACCGGTGTTTTTGTGGGTCTTGGTAACCTCTCGCCAATCATTGTCACTGCCACTTTCAGAACGACATATGCTCCAAAATACAACCCCACAATTATTGCAACATGTGTCTCCGCTGGTATTTGTTGGTTTTTGGTTATGTTTTTAGGAACATGGCAAAAGAAAGAGAATAAGAGAAGAAACGAGGCCCAGGGTATGAGCATCAGAGCTGACGATATCGACACGAGCAAGCTTTCAGGTTACGATGATCCAAATTGGAGATATTACAATTGATTTTTGCTCTGAGAGTTCTGTCTATCTGCTTATTGGTCGATTTCATAGCTTTTGGTTGTTATTTTTTTTAAAATCGTTCTATAATTACAAGATTTCAATATACGATATTGCTTCATTTCTAGATTTTTACAGATTTCTGCCCAAAATATTTCTTGAAATGTTTCAGGTGTAGCTTTGAATCTTTCTCTAGTTGATAACCTGTAGGCTTGATATAAGCAACAAAATACAATTTCAAACGATATATTTATAGCAGTGACTGTTCACTTCTGGCTTGCAGAACAAAAAGTTGAAAGAGAGACTACTGCCGGCCTGTGTGCAGGTTCAAGCTCCTTGGCAAAGCATTGCACTATCGACCGAGATAAATAGATAAAAGAACCGAATAATCCGGAATTAGATCAGATCTTCATTTATGCCCACGTCAAACTACGTCATATTTTTTTATGCTTTAGTGTAACTCTCACAGGCTGGTTATCTGGCTACCCCACCCTCAAGTCCCGCATCGCCTACACCTCCACCTCCACCTCCACGCTAGCTTATCAGCTGATACGAGATTCATTCGCCGGTAGTCCCCGTACTGAAAAATCATATTTAACGGCTACGAGCTAGTGGCTGCAAACACACCAATAGCCAAAAATATGCGCAATAACAATGACAAGAACTATGGAACTGCCCTCAATTGATATTTCGCCCATGTTTGGCGTTGATCAGGTAGCAATTGATCGGGTGGTCAAGGCGATCAGAGACGCCTGCCTTGATAAGGGATTTTTTCAAATTTTCAACCACGGAATAAGCCCACAATTGCAGGATGATGCCTTCAAGGCCAGCAAATGGTTTTTTGCCCTACCAAAGGAGGAAAAACTAAATCTTGACAAATGTGAGTGAATGTTTTCGAGAAAATAACGCTATTCAGTTCCGACTAACAGTCCTAGCCAAAAACTCTTACAACCGAGGCTACGAGAGTGTGGGATCCCAAATGTTTGAGGAAACTCAGAATCCAGACCTTAAAGAGGGCTTCTACGTGGGGAAAGAGATATCCAAGGATCATCCTCTGTTTGGCAAGATTAATTGTGGTCCGAATCTGTGGCCTTCAGTAGAGGGCTCAGACCATTTCCGGAGGGTATGCATGGAGTATCGTGAAAAGGTGTTCAACCTCTCCAAAATAGTGCTCAGAGCAATTGCACTTGGTTTGGGGACGGACGTTTCTTATTTCGACACTTTTACACAGGACGCAATTGCAATAATGCGGTTATTGCATTATCCTGCTCAAGAACAACTATCTGACAATGACCGAGGAATCGGAGCCCACACAGACTTTGGAGCATTGACCCTTCTTCTTCAGGGTGATGTGGGAGGTCTCCAAGTCTTAGACGATGTCAGTGGTGAGTGGATTGATGTTGCCCCTACTAAGGGAGCGTACGTAGTGAACCTGGGGGACATGATGCAGAGATGGTCCAACGACGTCTACCATTCGAACGTCCATAGAGTGTTGAATATCGTGGGTCAGGAGAGATACTCAATTCCACTTTTCTTGAATGGAAATCCAGATTGTTTGGTCAAATGCTTGCCTGGATGCGAGCTTCCAGGCGGTATAAGCAAGTATCCACCCATAACAGTTGAAGATTACGTTTCAGGCAAGTACGGAGACTCGTACAGCAAGGCGATGGCGTTTAAAAATAAGTACTAGAGCAAATAAAGAGGCTAGAACTAGACCAATTCCCCCAAAGTTGTACATCTATTTTCCAGCATGAATTTTCACTTTATGGCGAGATTCTTACCCCAGAGTCTGGCCCAAATCCACAATATCGTGTATATACCAAAACTATTTCAGGGCGGTGCGGGTTACCCTCAAAACTGACGAATTCAATTCTGCTTCCCAAAGCCTTGTTTTTCGATCAAAGATCTATCCAGATTTGCTACCTCTGCTTGTCCTAGCTAAAAATTGAGTATGTCCTCATCAGGTTTAGAGCTGAAGCCGGGGCCGTCCACTGCGAGATATCGTAGTCCTGTTTCGGAAGGGACTCGGAATTCGTCAATAGATCGGACGGAATTGGAGCTGCTCCTCATGAATGAGGTCCGTGCGGCAGTTGAGACCAGTGACGATGAGACTCTGGAAGAAAAGGTTCTGGAAAAGCTGGACGTCTTCCTGAAGAGTCTGGAAGCTAAACTCGACAGGTTCGAGAATTATTTCGTGAGAAATCCCAAGTTGCCTGACAACCGTGGAAACATCGAAGACCTTTACAAGGGCTTATTGTCCGTTAAAAGCTCACTACTCAAAGTGTCGAATCTGGAGAGTCTTTCAAGCGTATTTGACGATTATTATGGAAGTCTGCTTCCGTCCGGATTGAACACCCAAAATATCCACGAGAAGGCTCTGATGGGACTGCATTACCTGGATGCCAAAATGGACCAAGTGGAAAAAAGCCTCAACATAGGTCCAAGTCCAGCAGAGAAGCTGACCGGGCTCAAGACCAAAATTTACAACTACGAGACTGCTGTGCGTGTGGGGGCTGAGCGACTGCTGCACTGCTATGAACTTCCATTCCAATGGAGAGAAAACAAGTTCATCATCTATGGTTACAGGTTCAACCACAAACATGTCCATGCCGCAAAATCGTTCTGTGGACTTCACAATGAGACGACAAACATCTGGACTCACGTGCTGGGCGCGATTTTGGTGGGATATCTTGCATTGGTACACTTTCCTTCGACAACGGTCTATGCCAGGAGCACCACTCTTGATCTGTGCATTGTCTACCTGTTTTTCGGTGCTGCCATCAAGTGTCTTCTTTCGTCAATCATATGGCATACCTTTAATGGTATTGCCAATCTGGACCAGAGGCTGAGATTTGCGTGCGTTGACTATGCTGGAATTACGGTGTTAATCACCGCTTCTGTCATCACCACAGAACACTTGGCTCTGTACTACCATGTCATTCCCAGAACCATCTTCATCACCTTCTCCAGTCTTGCAGGTGTGTTTGGCGTTTGGTTCACGTGGTCTCCATACTTTGACAAGCCTGAGTGTCGTACGCTACGGATCCTTTTTTTCGTTTCGTTGGCAGGTCTGGGGTTTGCTTCGTTTGGATTCCTTTGCTACTTCAAGGGCGTGGGACATGCTACCCATTTCTACTCGCCAATACTGAAAAGTTTGGTTTGGTACGCAGTTGGTGTTTTGTTCTACGGTCTTCTCATTCCAGAGAGATGGAGATCGGACGTAGAGATTGAACAATTCGAGATCAACGAAGAGACTGTGAAGCAATTGGAAGAAGCCGGCACCCTTGATGACTACTTCAAGAAAAGTCCTAAGCACACCGAACATAGTTCAAAGTTTTTATCCCTTTGGTGGGTTGATTATATTCTGGCATCGCACAATATCTGGCATCTATTCGTCCTGGGCGGGATATTAGGCCATTATGCTGCAGTCTTAGACATGTCTGCGACTGTGGCCATGAACGAATGAGATAGGAACGTTTGTATATATTGGGCCATAGGGTCTGTCTACGAGTAAACCAGAGATAACAACAATCATGATATTTGCAACATAAACCATAAATACAGAAGTCAACCACAATGCATGCACACAATTTATGCCCAAGCACTGGAAAATAAGTCACTCCACAATTAACCTTCCAGGGAAAATCCGATATCCTTGTTCTTGTTCTCTTCCGCAAGCTTCTCAAGACCAACCTTTAGCTGAGCAAGGTTCGCGTTGCGAGGCTCCAGACGATCCAACCAGGAAGCAACTCCATGCTGAAGAACCAGTCTGGCACGGCGTCCACCGTTATCAGTATGTCCATAGCATCCATGAAGCGTCAATCTTGGTTTTTTCGAGTTATAGACACCTCTGTGAACAATATTTGGGTTGTAGAAGGCCAAATCACCCGGCTGTAGAGCAACGGCCATTTGGGATGAGATGGGCAACTTCTTGGTTTCATCGGTGGTCTTCTTACGCTCCTCAGCAGTACGGATTCTCTTGTGAGATTTGGGAATCACGATCAAACAGTCGTCTTCGTAAAGCGCCAAGTTGAACTGACAACCGGCAAAAGCACAATCCAGTTGTTCTGCCTCTTCCTCAGGCGTGACATCAGGCCTGATATCATCTCTGTGCCATTCCAGGTCGAAGTCCGTCAAGGGGTTGATCAACATGTTGAACAGCTCCATGCTAATTTTTTCCTGAGGAACCTGGAGTATATCGCTCACCACGGCCAGCATCTTGTCAGAGGCATAGGCCTCGTGGAAAGGATAGGACAGCTCCTTCAGGTCTGGGTGCAGCAATCCAGAAACTCCCCAGATGTCGGGGTTAAAATCCTTAGGCCAAGGAGGAAACTGTTTGCCTCTGATTCTCACATCATTCCAGTTCCCAGCACGGGCGTAGTCAACCAGCTTGGCCGAAGCCTCTCTGTAGAGCGTGACCTCTTCTGGAGTCAAGAACCCACGGATCACGGTGAACCCGTTCTCGTCGATATCGTCGCGGTATTTGTGAGGTAATGCGGTGGGCATGAGGAACGTCAACGTAGATTTGTTTCAGCGTAAGAATTGTAAAAAAAAAAACACTTGATGAATGTCAAAATTTCGTTATTCGAGACTGTACAGCTTCTTAAGTATGGCCCGATTTAGTGTGAGGACTGATGTAACCATCTCATCTCTGATTGCAACCAAAAGGGTCCCTCGATTTGGCCTTTTTATTTGGAATGCAATCTTCAATATCACCAAGCTTGTAGATGGTGTACTTTTGTGGCAAGTTTCAAAGAACTTTTAAAGTAGACAAAACTCTTTGAGTTAAATTGAAAAAGACACCTATTGTCATCATACAATGAAGAAAAGAAGGATTCGTGGCCTGATAGGACTAAGTCTTGTGTTAGACGTATAGCCATTAATTGTACTTTACACATCACCTGCTACATGTTCCCGGTTGTACCGTAAGTTGTTTCCGCAGGCGATTTCGCCTTGCAACGTTTCTCTCAACTTTTTACTCTTCCTGCGTCTGTTATATTCCATAAAAAACTGCAAAGAGTTATCTTGTTTTCTGTTGCAATGTACTACCCAAGTGAGTATTCTCGCGCAAACCCTCGTGTCAGAAGAGCTACCCCGGATTACGCGGAGAGAGCATATCCTGCTAGATATGCCCCCCAATTTGTGCCCCAATTTTCTCCCCGCTACGGCTACGGATACCCTAGACGTTCCAATGCATACGATTTGGCAGATCTCCTCAATTCACTCGGATACCAAAGACCACATCCGTACTACGCTGAGGATCCGTATATCGGAGGGTATGAAGACGAAGACGATGAGGTAGACGAAGAGGTTGACGAAGAGGTCGACGAAGAAGGTGACCAATTTCAGCCAGAAGCCCCCGAAGAGCGTCCTGCTTTCGCGAAAAGGCCAAGCGAAGTCCAATACACTAATTTGTACGGGAATCCAATGCAATCTGGTGGCGACCCATACTCTGCTCTTGCAAGTCTATTGGAGGGGCTTCCCAGATCAACCCCAAAAGAGCCAAGAATCCGCTCTTCAGTTCAGTATCAGCCCCCAAAGGATGAAGCTCCCCCAGCTGTTGCTCCCGACCAATCATTTTCAAGCAGACCATCGAGATCAAGTCTCTCTGCTGGACGCCCAAAACTGGTCAAGAGACCCTCTCTTCTACAGGCTGTCCACGAACCGGGTCCAGGAGCCAGTTTCGATCAATTGCAGATTTCCAGTCCTCAGACGAAGACCGAATTACCATACTCTCCACCAATCAACGTGTATGATTTTAAGGACAAGTACGTTGTCATTGCACTATTACCGGGTGCAGATAAGCAAAAAATTGGCATTGACTTCCACCCATCTTCGAACGAATTGCAACTCAAAGGCTCCATCGAAAACAAGTACTTTGACAGGGCTCAAGAGGAAGATGCCTTGAAAGTCTCCGAGCAAAAATTTGGGGCTTTTGAGAGGGTGGTCAGATTCCCCAGTTTCCCCAGACTCGAGGAGGATCTTGTGAAGGCCAATTTCCAAAATGGTGTTCTGGAAGTTGTTGTGCCAAAAATATTGGAGGAGAAGACGAAGAAGGCCAAGCAACCAAAAAAGATTCTTCTTGAGGATATTCCAGACGAAGAATTAGCAAGGGAGTCCAAGGGTGGGTTTTTGGTCTGAGCCTTCAGTCTTTAGAACAGTATCCCACCCAAGAGAGGCTCCGAATTTGTACAAAAATTCACCACTCAGAAACAACTGTCTAAATACACCCAAACCCAGTTCTTGAACTTATTATTCTTAAAAATGACTGACAACTCCCGAACTTGACTTTACCCCATGTAACTACCCCACTGTTTATTGAAAAAGTAGTGTACTGTTCACCAGTGATTTGTGCCGAGGGCCCGGTTTAGGTCCCAGGAGTGAGTCCCAACAGACTCACTTAAAAGATACACTCCTCACCTCGTTATTGCCTTCAAGGTATCATGTCTAGCCCCTCGTTCTCTGAGTCTGCAGAATTCTTGAGACAAGCTACGCGAGCTACGCTATCTGACACAGGTGTGTTAACCAAAGGACAGACAGTCCCGACATCATCAAGCTCTTTAAGTTGTTGTGCTGCAGGTGCTCCCGGAGGTAAGTAGTCTGTTTTTACGGTATACCCTAATTGTCTATTCTAACCTTTCTCAGGCTCAAGCATCAACATAATGCCGTATGAAAACATTCTTTGGGCCAAACGCGTGTCCGAGGACTCGAATGATATCGAAATCACATATGCAACCGAAAGAGGCAAGAGACTGATACCAGCTACCACGGTTTTGGATATCGATAATGAATATGGTCAGGAATCAGCTGACGCTGTGGTGGAGAAGATCATGAAGAAGGCCTATCCCCATTCGAAGCCTGGGATGTCTGTGCTGATCATATTGAACCCCCATGGAGGCCAAGGCAAAGCACTCAACTTGTACCTTAAAGAGTGCAAACCGATCCTAGAGGCTGCTAATTGCAGAATAGAGGTGTTGAAAACGACTTACCACCAACACGCCATTGACATTGGTAGAGAGATAGACATAGCAAAGTATGACATGATAGCGTGCTGCTCTGGAGACGGAATTCCCTACGAAATTATAAACGGTCTATATCAGCGCGAAGATCGGGTTGAGGCTTTCAACAAGTTAATCGTCACACAATTGCCGTGCGGGTCGGGAAACGCACTTTCGATATCATGTCATGGAACCATGGAACCTTCCTATGCCACGCTATCAGCTCTGAAGTCCCAGATAGTCACCACAGACTTGATGGCAGTGACTCAGGGCGAAGGCACTGATCAGACCACAAGACTGTCATTTCTGAGCCAAACTTACGGAATAATAGCCGATGGAGACATCAGGACAGAATGGATGCGTTTCATGGGGCCAGTGAGATTCGACATCGGGGTCGCCATTCAGGTGTTTTCGAACTCGAAATACCCTTGTGAGATCTATGTGAAGTATGTGGCCAAGGACAAGTCTGACCTATCCAGATTTTATCAGGAACATTCCAAGTTGCAATATACACACTCACACACTGGGCTGGATGAGGGCGATTTTGTCTTGAAATGTCCGGGACTAGAAGACCCTGTGCCCTCAGATTGGGAGCCAATTGACCCAAAGCTGACTGCTAACCTTGCAATCTTTTACACTGGAAAGATGCCATACATAGCCAAAGGCACGAACTTCTTCCCGGCCGCCCTTCCCAACGATGGAACAATGGACATGGTGGTCACTGATTCGAGGACAAATGTGCTCACAACAGCCGAGGCTCTTCTTTCCTTGGATAAGGGGACTCACGTGTGGAACTCGGAAATACAGCACTCCAAAATCACCGCCTACAGAATCATCCCCCATCCTCTTAGACACACCCAATTCTCCGTGGACGGAGAACCGTTCTCCACGCAACCATTACAGGCTGAAGTGTTGCCGGCGATTCTGAAGACCGTGATGAAGAATGGCTCGTTCACGGAAACAGGATTCTCGAAATATGTATAAAGAATAAGACCTACCATTCAGCACTGTAACTTCAATGTTCGATCCGTATTGGGTCCAAATTAGCAAGAGCACGACCATCTACGTTTTGGAAAAAATTTCAGACGATACAACACCTGGCAAGTGTGATAATAGTCAAACCTGTTCATCTTTTCGTTGCTGAATCCGTGTTTAGTTTCATTTCCACAATGTCGGGATATAACAATTACAACAACAACAATCAGGCATACGATCCTAATGCTCTGTCCAATGACCTCTCTAAGGCTTCGCTGGAAGGAGGCAATCAGAACAACAGGTTCAACCCCAGCGCTGCCCCATCGTTCACCCCAAATGTGAACGCTCAGAGCTACGTTCCTGGGCAATACGGAGGTGGATATTCTCAATATGCTGGCTCATTCAACCAGTATGCCGCCCCAGATCAGCAGCAACAGCAGTACAGCCAATACAACCAGTTTCAGAGCAATCGCGGAGGCTACTCTAACCAGTACAACAACCGTGGAGGCTTCAACAATAATTACAACAGTTACAACCAGTACAGCCAGCAGCAACCCGTGGAGCAAAGTGGTGCTCAGGGTATGAGTTTGGAGGAGTACACCAAACAGCAGCAAAGCGCGTTGAACTCCAAGATTCCAACCACGAAGCCTAAGGTCAAGCTGAACATGGGTGGTATCAAAATCGTGAAGAGAGAACCCAAGCCAGAGGTCAAAGAGGAGGTGAAGGAGGCTGCAAAGGAGGCTGCAAAGGAGGAGGTCAGTGAGACCAAGACTGAGCCAGTTGCGGAGGCCAAGGAGACTCCTAAGGAGGATGCCAAGGAAGAGACCAAGGAGGCCCCTGTAGTTAAGGAGGCTGCTAAACCTGTTTCTGCTCCAAAGACAGAGACAAAGAAGGAGGAGGCCAAAGACGATGCCCCTAAGAAGACGGCAGATTTGGTCGCCAAGCAGCAGGAAGAGGAGATTGACATCTCCATCGTAAAGGACATGTATGGTGGAAAGGACCATTTGTCGATCATTTTCATGGGCCATGTCGATGCTGGTAAGTCCACCATGGGTGGTAACATCCTTTTTCTCACCGGTGCCGTTGACAAGAGAACCGTGGAAAAGTATGAGCGTGAAGCCAAGGATGCCGGTCGTCAAGGTTGGTATTTGTCTTGGATCATGGACACCAACAAGGAGGAGAGAAATGATGGTAAGACCATTGAGGTTGGAAAGTCTTACTTTGAGACTGACAAGAGAAGATACACCATTCTGGATGCCCCAGGTCACAAGATGTATGTCTCTGAGATGATTGGTGGAGCCTCGCAAGCCGATATCGGTATCTTGGTGATTTCTGCCAGAAAGGGTGAATACGAAGCTGGTTTCGAAAAGGGTGGTCAATCCAGAGAACACGCCATTCTTGCAAAGACCCAGGGTGTGAACAGGCTGGTGGTTGTCATCAACAAGATGGACGACCCAACTGTGAACTGGTCGAACGAAAGATACACCGAGTGTATCACCAAGCTGGCTGCTTACTTGAAGGGTGTTGGCTACGGAAAGAACGAGGTGGTTTATATGCCAGTTTCGGGTTACACGGGTGCTGGTTTGAAGGACAGAGTTCCAGCCAAGGAGTGCCCTTGGTACTCCGGTCCTTCGCTGCTGGAGTACCTTGACTCCCTTGACACCATGGACAGAAAGATCAACGCTCCATTCATGTTACCAATATCGGGCAAGATGAAGGATCTGGGTACCGTTGTGGAAGGTAAGATCGAGTCTGGACACATCAAGAAGAGTGACAGCGTGCTGCTGATGCCCAACAGAACTTCGGTGGAAATTTTGGCCATCTACAATGAAGTCGAAGAGGAAACCGCTAGCGCATTCTGTGGTGACCAAGTGAGGCTCCGTATCAAGGGTGTTGAAGAAGAAGACGTCTCCAGTGGCTACGTCTTGACATCCTCGCTGAACCCAGTAAAGACCGCAACAAGATTCGAGGCCCAGATCGCCATTGTCGAGCTGAAGTCCATCATGGCTACCGGTTTCGCGTGTGTCATGCACATCCACACTGCCATCGAGGAGGTGGCAGTCACCAAGCTGTTGCACAAACTTGAGAAGGGCACCAACCGTAAGTCCAAGAAACCTCCGGCATTTGCCAAGAAGGGAATGAAGATCATTGCAATCCTGGAAACCAACGAACCAGTGTGTATGGAGACTTTTGAGGACCACCCACAGTTGGGTAGATTCACCCTCAGAGACCAAGGCCAGACCATTGCCATTGGAAAGGTCACGAAGTTATTGTAAATGAGTCTGTGTTCGATTTATAAATCCGTGAGTAAAACATGTTTTTTTCTTTATATCAGAACAGTCTGTGGTACCAACTCTTATGTAGATCTTCGTAAATGGTGCTGAACTGCTGAAATCTGTCCCAGCAGCTTTGATGCTTCTCACAGTTCATGAAGTTGATCAGGAAATCGCGGTCTGTCTCGTTATAGTGGAAATTCTTCTTGTTGTTCAAATACTGTGTGGTGAGCTTGGATGATTTGCCCTGCTCGCCTAACTGTGATGACTGCCCGGAAGCTTTCATGAGTGCTTCCAACTCTTCATCATCGTCGATGTCCATGCAAAAGTCTTCGGAGAGCGAGTTGAATGCTCTGATAGGCATGAAGCCGATCTTGGACCTGAACCACGTCTGTGTGGTGTAAAAGTATTCTAGACAGTTCTTCTCCTCCTCGTCGTTGTTGTATCCATTGCTGTTGTATTCGTTGCTGTTTAAGCTGAAGCCATACTTCTTACGGTGGCCACTGTTGATCCACTTGACATGCATCTGTTTGTAGAAGACGGGATCCCACAGAAGATCGAGCAAAAGATTCGACCACTGCGACTTTTTAATCAGAAAAGAGTTCAAATTGATACCACCGCAATCCTGGGTCAGAATGAGGTCAATCGAGTGAGCATCCTCATCGTTTTTGGGTTCATATCGTAAGCTGTGGGAGGATGGCTCTTCATCAACCAGAAGGTTGTTGGGGTTGAAGTACTCCATGTTTCTGTACATTAAGTCCAATTGGTTGAAAATAAGATCGTCAAGTGACACTTGAGGCTCCATGATCAACGTGTACATGTCAACGTACCAATACCATTCCTCGATTCCAGAGTCGCTCGTATCTTCAGGCTGGTCACTGTAGACCCTCATCACCTTTCTCAACAGATCAAATTTCTCCCAGCCTTCCCTGAATTCATGCTGATACTTCTTCTGGTGCAAAGCATGATTCTTCAGCGACTTACCGTCTTTGTCGTACATGCTGCTGGTTATCGTGAGTTCGTACCCATGCTTCTCGGCATAGTGCTTTTTGTTTATGATGGAGAACTTCTCGATGATCCAGGACTCCTTGGACTTTGAGTTTTTGATCCCGGTTTCATAATTTTTTCCCAATATGATGTAAACCTTCCTTTCTTTGCCCATATTCAGCGAGGGAAACGCCGATGATGACCTCTTAGCAAGATCAACCGAATCCTGCTCCAACTCACAATACACACCTGGAACCTCAGGGGTAGGAGGTGTACCGGGCTTCTTATGCAATTTCCTATAATCCGCCATCCCAAAACCAAAACCTGCTACAGACTCGGTATTTGGTTTGATCTGATCATTCAAGACTTGATGATATTGGCTGTTGGCTGTATCGAAAAAGTTTCTCCTGACCGTCTTCTTCACCTTCCCAGACGAAGGGCTCTGCTTCGCAGCCAACCCCCAGAACAATAAAATGAATACAACCACTATTACTACAAGCTGAGAGAGGGCCCTTATATCGCCCGCAACCAGCCTGCTCTTGTAGTATCTGAAAGCTGTATTGAGTCTTGTTCTCAGAGGCTTCGACCCTTTGCCTTGTTTCATGTCAAAATCTGACGCAAACGAGAAGGAAATTATGTCCGGCATGATCTCACAATGCACTCAATTGAGTCTCCAATTGCAATGGCCAGCGTTTGCAAGGAAGGTTTCAACACAGACTAACTACGATCCGTTATCAGCTTCTATTGTGTGTTTCAATTTGCAGATCACAGGGACAGGGCCCAGGCACACAAAGTCGTGCACACCCGATTCACACGAAATTCCAAAATGGGGTCACGTGATATAGACCTCCAATTAACCTCTTTGAGAGTACTTGCTTAATTTGGGAGGAGGAATCGGTTGACAACCGATTTACGATCTTACGGGAGAATTGCAAGAGTTGTTTGCTTTGAGATTAGAACTGAACTCTGAGAGCTAGTGTATCATACAGTACACTTCAGCTTTTGCTTATCCCTATTGGCTAGCAAGGACACCATCTACATACTCCTCGCCTTCTCCATAGTCCCCATTTCGCCTTGACAAGGGAATTTTGACCAGAATGGCTTCTCAGGTGTCCAAAGGCTTTATTCTTTCACCCACGGCGGCACAATTTGCGGACCCAATTGCCTATCTTTCCTGTCCGGAAGTTATTAGGGCCGGCCAAGAGTATGGAATTTTGAAGGTGATCCCTCCTAAGGGATGGAACCCACCTCTCTCGGTCGACCCCGAAAGGTTCAGTTTTATCACACGGATGCAGAAACTCAGCGAGCTGAATATGAGGAACAGATCTAGAGAATTTTGGTTGCAGGGGTTCTCGAATTATATGAAGATGCGGAAGAAGAAGGTGCCCAATGAGAAGGGTATGGTACGTCTTTTGAATGGTGAGTCCATACACCTGTACGACATTTTTGTGGATGACGATCCCAGAAGATTCGAAGAAGATCTAGAAGACAATCGAATGGTGAAGCTTGTATTGGACTACAAAGCGGTACTGAACAACTCCGGCAAAAAGGCCTCGAGCAATAGCGACTCGCGGAAGAGAAGCACTGCATGTGAGGTTTGTCACTCCAAGGAAAGACAACATAGATTGCTTCTTTGCGATGGAAAAGATTGTGATAAGATGTACCATCTGGACTGTTTGAGTCCTCAGCTGACATCCGTACCCAAAGGCCTATGGTTCTGCGAAGATTGTATTCTGGGTGGTTCGCACGAGTATGGTTTTGAGGAGGACATGGATTCTGTTTTCACCTTGTCTGAGTTCCAGGAGCATTGCAAGGAGTTTGAGGATGAGTATGTGAAGAAAAAATGGCAGAATGAGAGATATGGCCCGTCTATCCATCAGTTAGAGGGCGAATTCTGGAGATTGGTGGAATCCCAGGATGACCTCGAGGTGAGATATGGTGCAGACATTCACCAAGATGATCCGTCCCAGATCTCGGGATTTCCCATACGAAAAAACCCCGATATTGATGTGGAGAATTCAAAGTATTCCCCGTATCTGGACCATCCTTTCAATCTATGCAACCTACCATTTTCGAATGGTTCCGTCTTCAATTACATCAAGGACGAGGAGATATCGGGCATGACCGTTCCTTGGATCTATGTGGGGTCGCTATTTTCCACGTTTTGCTGGCACAAAGAAGACCATTATACCCTTTCGGCCAATTATTGCCATGCTGGTGCCACGAAGAAATGGTACGGGGTTCCTGCCAAACACAGTGACGCCTTTGAAAAGGCATTCAGAAGCATAGCACCCGCTTATTTCCAAAGACAACCGGACTTGCTGCACCAGCTGGTTACTCTGATTTCTCCGGATGAGATTATCAAGACTGCACGTGAGAAGTTTGGCGAGGAGATCGAGATCACCACCTTGAACCAGCAGGCTAATGAGTTTATAGTCACGTTCCCCAAAGTTTACCATGCTGGTTTCAATTGTGGCTACAACTTCAACGAGGCCGTTAACTTTATCACGTCTGATTGGTTGAAATATGGTTACGATGCTCTCCAAGAGTATAAGACCATTGGCAAGGAGAACGTGTTCAACCACTGGAAACTGCTGGAGAGGATCCTCAATGATGCCCTACATACTCCGGATGATGTCCTTATTTCCAAGCTGGAGGATAAAAGGTTTGCCACGCTCTTGGAATGGACCACCAAGAACTTCAAAGAAGAGTATGCGAAGATCAACAAGTGCATATTCGAGGACGAAAAGATGTCGAGAGTGGTAGACGGGATCACGGATGTGAAGTTTGCAGATTTGTTGACTACCGAAACAGTTGATGATAGTCCCAGAAGAATACGAAGAAGAATGACTCGGATGGCTATGGCTGGTTCCAAGGGCCATTCCGACGAACTGCTGTGTCACGAGTGCAAGACAGCACTTGGCTTTGTGTGGTTTGAGGTTGATCCTTCCAAGGCGGTGAAGCAGGAGCAATTACCTACACCCAAGACTACTCCTGTCTTGAACTCGGAATCTAAGAGTTTTGAGGACATCAATATGGATCGCGAGACTGAGTTCCAGAGGATCATAGAGGAAGCCAAGAGAGAAGACAGTCTTGAGGCCGGGGAAGATCGCCGAAAGCTCAGAAGAGTTGCTCGTTCAAAAGACGACAACAATTCAGTTCCTCGTCCGGTTGGTCGGCCCCGCAAGAACAAAGACATTCCCAGGCTATTATGTGTGAATGACTTCAAGAAACTACAGGCTTTGAAAGTGTTTCTGAGCTCGGGTGATCTGGACGCTGCCAAATTTGAGCAGTTGAACAAATCCACGACGGTGTACTACGACAAATTTGTTCTTGCTATGACCAGAATACAGGAAAAATTAGGCAAACTCCTGTAATGAAAGTTATATAAGTGATTCAATATACGATGCTAATGTTATATAATACTTGCATATGACTAGTAAAAAATACCAGAGCGGTCACGTGATCTTCCCATGGTTGGAAGTTACCCGGCTCATATATATGACGAAAGCTCCCATTGGCCAGCTCCGATCTGCCAACCATCGCTCCCGAGAATCCTTCTTCTCTTCTCTCCCTTCCATCAACACCCAGCTCTACAGAATTCTGTACCCAGCATTAATAATATTCTATTATTAAACGATGGTTTTGCCCAGATTATACTCTGCTGCTTCTCGTTCTGCTTTAAACGCCGTTAAGCGTGACCTCACCTTCTCCAGAGGTTTGGCTACTGCTGCCCCAGCCACTGGTAAGATCAGGTAAGTGACCAACGATACTTTCCCACTTCCTTCCCAAAGAAATACAGTTACAGGACTAGAGCACTCAGCTCAAGCATTCAATGTGTTCGCTATCCTACCGAATATTTTGATGGGTTTGCCGTTCAATTGAATATGGATCTTGGTCGGGTCCGAGAAACTGGTTTGTTGGTTTCGTCGATTTCGGCGTTAACCGACATTCAACACTCGAACGCGTGAATTGACTATATTCCGAGATCAATTGATTGCTGAGTTTGCTATACACCTTTCTTCCCGACTTTTCCGATACTATTTGCACCATTTTTCATTGTATCCGACCCCGGTGTCGACTCCATGGCGCGGGCAAATCAAAATCGCTGAAATTTCGTGTGTGCGCTCATAACCATTTCCACGTCGACGCCAACAACGTTGATCAAGAAGATGGCCGTACACGGGTGTCTACGTTTGTGGGACTATATTATTTTTGTGATGGGCATTGGCGAATATATTTAATTTTTCTTGATCGATACTAACCCTTTGCAGAGCTGTCATTGGTGCTATTGTCGATGTCCAATTCGAGCAAGGCCAATTGCCAGCCATTTTGAACGCCCTGACTATCCAACAGGGTGACTCAAAGTTGGTCTTGGAGGTTGCCCAACATTTGGGTGAGAACACCGTCAGAACCATTGCTATGGACGGTACCGAAGGTTTGGTCCGTGGTACCGCTGTCCTTGACACTGGTTCTCCAATCTCTGTCCCAGTTGGTCGTGGAACCTTGGGCCGTATCATCAACGTCACTGGTGACCCAATTGACGAGAGAGGCCCAATTGAGCACACTAAGAGAAACCCAATTCACGCCGAGCCACCTTCGTTCGTTGAGCAATCCACCAACGCCGAGGTCTTGGAGACTGGTATCAAGGTTGTCGACCTTTTGGCCCCATACGCCAGAGGTGGTAAGATTGGTCTTTTCGGTGGTGCCGGTGTCGGTAAGACCGTTTTCATCCAAGAGTTGATTAACAACATTGCCAAGGCCCACGGTGGTTTCTCCGTCTTTACCGGTGTCGGTGAGCGTACCAGAGAAGGTAACGATTTGTACCGTGAAATGAAGGAAACCGGTGTCATCAACCTCGAGGGTGACTCCAAGGTGGCCTTGGTGTTCGGTCAAATGAACGAGCCACCAGGAGCCAGAGCCCGTGTTGCTTTGACTGGTTTGACCATCGCTGAGTACTTCAGAGATGAGGAAGGTCAGGATGTGTTGTTGTTCATTGACAACATTTTTAGATTCACCCAAGCCGGTTCCGAGGTGTCTGCCTTGCTGGGACGTATTCCATCCGCTGTCGGTTACCAACCTACCTTGGCCACCGATATGGGTCTCTTGCAAGAGCGTATCACCACCACTAGAAAGGGTTCCGTCACCTCCGTCCAGGCCGTTTACGTGCCAGCCGATGATTTGACTGATCCTGCTCCAGCCACCACCTTTGCTCATTTGGACGCCACCACCGTGTTGTCCCGTGGTATCTCTGAGTTGGGTATCTACCCAGCTGTCGACCCATTGGACTCCAAGTCTAGATTGTTGGATGCCGCTGTTGTCGGTCAAGAGCACTACGACGTTGCCGTCCAGGTTCAACAAACCTTGCAGGCCTACAAGTCTTTGCAAGATATCATTGCCATTTTGGGTATGGATGAATTGTCCGAAACCGACAAGCTCACCGTCGAGCGTGCTCGTAAGATCCAACGTTTCCTCTCTCAACCATTCGCCGTCGCCGAGGTCTTCACCGGTATCCCAGGTAGATTGGTCAGATTGAAGGACACCATCACTTCTTTCAAGGATGTCTTGGCTGGAAAGTACGATGAGTACCCAGAGAATGCTTTTTACATGGTTGGTGGTATCGAAGATGTTGTCGCTAAGGCTGAGAAGTTGGCTGCTGAAGCCAACTAATCTGGTCATTAGTCGTCCAAGATTTTCTCTACTATCCACAAAAATGTCATTATGAGAAAACATGTTTATTATTGGGCCGTTGGGCCCAATTCTATAAAAACGAATAGTATTACGTAAACAGACGTTAGATTTAAAACGCGTAATTACACGACTCTTTTTAACACGTAGTCAACGCGGTCCTCTTTGAGTTTGCCATTGGCTTTACACCGGACCATATCCAAACAGCCAGCAATGTTTTCGTTGATTCAGGTGTGTAAAACCTATAGGATTTCATGATCGCTCCATCGTCTTTACTAACAATTTCAAGGCTGCGTCCGATTTTGTCGACAAACCAGGCTTCAACTGGAAGCTACTCATCACTGGCTTCACGATTTCAAGCTTTCTGTTCGAATCGTATCTGACCCACAGGCAAATCAAGAGTATTCGCAGCAATGGCAAAGTGATTCCAAAGCAGTTGGAATCCAAGATTGATGAGAAGACCGCTATCAAATCCCAAGATTACTCATTGACCAAATTGCGATTTTCCCAGATCACCAAGCTGGTTTCATTGGCTGAAAACCTGGCTTTCATCAGATTCGATGTTCTGCCAAAACTGTGGGCTTCTTCGGCCTCGTTTTTGGCCAAGCTGACTTTTTTGCCTCCTATTTTGACCGGGGTGATTCCTCAATCGTTGGTATTCTTGACTCAAATGGGTTTCATTAGCACGATTTTGGGGTTGCCTATAGCCTACTACTCAAATTTTGTCATTGAGGAGAAATATGGATTTAACAAGCTTACAATCAAGCTCTGGATTACCGACATGATCAAGGAAGCGCTGGTTTCCATCGTTATTGGGTTCCCAGTCATGTCTATCTTCCTGAAGATCATTGACTACTTTGGCGATTCGTTCATGTTCTACGTTTCGATCTTTTTGTTTGTGTTCCAGATCTTCATGATCATCGTGTACCCCAAGTTCATCCAGCCTCTGTTCAACAAGCTGGAGCCACTGCAGGAAGGTGAACTAAAGACCGAGATTGAGAAGCTTGCTTCTAAGAATAAGTTCCCTCTGGACAAGTTGTTTGTGATTGATGGGTCTGCCAGATCTTCTCATTCCAATGCTTACTTCATGGGATTGCCATGGGGATCCAAACAGATTGTTCTCTTTGATACCCTTATTGAGACTTCAACTGTTCCCGAAACTATTGCAGTCCTGGGGCATGAGATTGGCCACTGGGCGCTTTCGCACACGACCAAGACCCTGATCACTGGACAATTTCACATCTTCACCATGTTCACCATGTTTGCTGCGTTTGTCAAGAACAAGTCTTTATTCCAGAGCTTCGGATTCGCTAACGAGACGCCAATCATCGTTGGATTTTTGCTCTTCAACGACATTTTGAAACCAGTTGATGCTGTGTTGAGTTTTGTCCTGAATCTGGTGTCAAGAAAGCATGAGTATGAAGCAGACAAGTATGCTGTCGATCAAGGATATGCCACTGAGCTTAAGACCGCATTGATCACTCTTCACAAAGAGAACTTGAGTTCCCTCTCCACGGACTGGCTCTTTTCTTCTTACCACCACAGCCACCCCCACCTCACAGAAAGATTAGAGGCCATTGATGTGGCTTCTGAAAGTTTCAAGAAGGAGTAGACCTTGACAGAAGTTTGAATATATCTAGACGAATAAAAAATGCCGTCACAAACCGTATACAAAAAGCCCTTAGACCCAAATTTTCAGCTCGCGCACGCCCGTCAAAGTCAAGCTTCCTTCATCTACAACAAGAGGATTTCAAGATTACGTACCCTAACCTCACCAATATTCTCCCAAACAGGTCAAACAGAATGAAGATTCCGCTCAATTCTGCCTTAGTGGATAATTGCCATAAGGACCCATTTCAGCAGGAAGAGTAAGTGCTGCTAACTGATCATTAATAAATCACTCCCATCAGCCAATTACCCTCAGAAACTAACATTCAGTCAAGCTCTGCACTGCCTTTATCGCAATTGATCCCGGTCATAATAGCACAAAGAGGCTCCTTTCTAAGTGTAACCGAGCAGGGCCTTCTGGAAGAAATCGATTCGCTCTCGAGGAACTCTCCGGATAATGAGACTGAAGCCTTGGCCCTTATAGACCCCGACAATAGCAACTCCAACGCAGCTGAAAATGACGTTACTACAACTCAAGAAGACTTCTTGAAGGCCAAGTCGGAAGCATTGACATTAGTGCGATCCGCCCTTAATGAGTCCCATCTATCACTGGATTTCGTGTCTCTGCTCATATCATGTTTGCGTCCAGCCGCAGGGACAACATCAATGTCTCCTCATCTTAAGCAATTTGTAAGGGTAGGATCGCTGAACTCTGACAAGATTGTTGCTGAAGATGATCCGAATGAGGCTGAAAGGGTTTCTAGAGTGGGTCAAGGGTGGAAGCTGGATTCTCTTACCAGGGCAGGTTCCAGTCTGAGATCTGCAAGTACCCGACTGAGTGAGGAGGTTCTGAAGGAGAGAAAGTATTGGGGCGACGTTGTTCAAGTCCTCAAGTGCAAGGAGGTGCTTACCAAGTCGAACTCGTTGGGTGGAACTTCTGGCAATACCAAAGAGTTCGGAGTGAAATATGGGTTTGGTGATTCTGGTTCAAACTACTTCGATAAGGGTATCGGACTATTGAAGAAGAACAATGTGTATGGAAACGTTATGTTCAGACCCGCTACTAACGAGCAGATTGAAAGAACTTACAAAGTGGTGACAGTGCGCGTTCTGGGAAACGTGGATGACCAGTTTGTTTTACTGGGGCAGTCAGATATCAAAACTCAACTTGCCAAGTTTGAGAGGCGGAAACAGTCCGGAATACCAGTTCTTTCTGAGATTGAAAGAGCCCGGTTTTTTCTCTTTGAGGAGGAACTCTTCTATCAACTTCTGAAGGAGGCTGCGACTCTGCTTTCGACAAATGTCCAAGTCGAATCTAACAAGATCATTGTGAATCTGCATAACGAGGTGGTTGAAATTGAAGCCATTGCTCCTGATATGAGTGAAGAAGACAACGAAGATGATGATATGGATGTTTCAAAACCTCTTAGTGTCCATGACAGAAGAGCCGAGCTGATTGCTCTGTTTTTGAGACTAATGCTCTGTGCACATCACAAACGTAATAGAGAGAAGAAAAGACAGCCTCCCAAATCGCTGCAGCAGCTCAACCCTGAACAGCATGCTCAGAACAGCCATGAAAATGTTTTGCTGCTGCGTCCATTTATCGGCTACTACAAACACAACGAGTTTGTGAGAGAGTTGGAGAGCATACTGAAGGAAACGGTCCAGAAAGTTTTCGATAACGATTTTGCACGCGCTGAAAAGATCATGAATGATCCGGAAACCTTCAAAATCACAAGGAGCCACAAACATGCGTCCGAAGTCAGTGATTCTGACCCATTCGGTAAATGTATAACACCTCCACAGTCCGATTTCCAGTTAACCATCCCACTCAAAACCGGTACAGGAAGCCTAAAGATCGTGATAGCCACATCTGGTACTCAAACGTTTTGCAATTTGTCCACAAAGATTGACATATATCGCATAACACCATCAGGCTCTGTTTCCGATACAGATGACTACGAGTTGCTGCTTGACGTCAGCTTCAACGATCTGCGTGACCTGCAAGATTGTCTGTCGTGGGCAATTCCACAGTACGTTATATGAGATGCAAATGTTGAATTTTATGAGCATTAAAAATACACACGGAGCCCTTGGTAACCGGTGGAAAAAGGAGAGAGAAACAGCGTTTGTATAGAAAGATAGAGCATAAGAACATTGTTTTGCGATTGAAAACGAGTCGAAGCTTGAGAAATCTTTTGCGTTGAAATGTAAGTCCTGTTGAAAGCGTTGAAAGGTGATATTGCTATCTATCATTAAGCAGTGTAGGTCTGCTTAGGGAAAGGGTAGGATGGTCCCACCTCTTGGATACTCAGGGAGGCCAACCAGTGACCTTGGTCAATGGAGGTAGCCAATTCCTTGCCCTCAACCAAACCAGCAACGAAGCCGGCAGCAAAAGCATCACCAGCACCGTTGGTGTCAGAGATCTTGGATGGCTCCAAAGCGTGAACTGGGTACTCGGTAGAGGTAACAGAGTCACCACTGGCAACAACAGCCAAAGTGGCATCGGTACCTTGAGTGAAGATAACGGTTCTTGGCCTGGCAGAGTTGACCTTTGGCAACTTTGCGATGAAGGTTGCAATCTCCAAAAGAGTGGACTCGGCAGTCAAACCATCGTGGGACTCGGCGTAGGCAGCGGCTTCAGACTCGTTGCAAATGACGTAATCAGCGTATGGAACGGCCTGGTCAAGAGGGTCCTTGAAGAACTGAGCAATGAATGGGGCAGAGAAGTTGAGAGCAAAAGGCTTGTTCGTCTCAGCAGCGTGCTTACCCAGCTTCAAGATCGATTCTGGAGAAACGGTGAAGTGGAAACCTCCGATGTAGAAGGCCTTGGCCTCTTCAACAATCTTCCAGTTTTCTGGGATCTCCAGGTGACTTGGCTTGAAGTGGTTGGCAGCACCGAGGTCGGTGACCAACGATCTGTGAGGGCCGTTGATCAAGGCAGCACACTTACCGGTTGGAATGGACTCTTGCACCATGTATCTGGTGGTGAGACCAACGGACTGGTTGGCCTCGCTCAATTTATCAGCAAATTTGTCCTTGCCAACAGAACCAAAGTAGACCACAGAGTCCGCTGGTAAGAGGTACTGAGCACCACGTGCAGTGTTCTGCGCAGCACCACCAGCAACGAGCTTAACACCGTCCATGGCGAGACATTCGTCAAAGATTGGAATGTGCTTGTCTTCAATGAGAATGGCATCGTTCTCCTTGAGATCGTATTTGTCCAAATAAGACTTTTCAACATCCACCTGGATATCTGTATTGGGTGGAGGACGTTAGCATGTGCACACGACAAGACGGCCACGACGCTCTGCAAAAAAGGCACTTACCGAGTAATGGGTTTCCCAAACAGACGAGAGAGTATGGCATTTTAGAAAGAGAGGCAAAAAAAGCTTTGTTAAAGAAAGATCTGTTCCTTGTCAAACGAAGCATACCCACCGGTGAAGAACAAGACTTGGTGGTCAAAAAAATATGCCATATGGAAATTGGATCACGGAGTACACGACCTCGGCGTTTACCAAAAATGTTGGGCCGTTAAGTGTACCATGGTAGTTTCGCCAAGATAGCGTATTGACTGAGCTGTTCGGGCAGGATAGAATCACCAAATGACTTATGAGAAGGATTACCTATTGGCTCTCAGGCCATTTCCTGAGAATCCTACTTCGCTACTCGGACAGCATTGGCATGAAATCGTGATATCGTTTGCCTTCTACGAGGCGCTGTACTTTGTGTCTCCTCTGATCTGCAGAACTATCTTTGGGGATCTTTACTCCAAGGACAGATCCAAGAAGGAAAAAATAAACTTTGACATACACGTGGTGTCGATGGTTCAGGCGTTGGCGTCGCTGGTGTTGTGCGTGCCAATGTTCTACCACCCGTTGTACTTCTCGGGCGCCGTATTTGGGTCTACTCCATACGGAGGATTGGTGGCCAGTCTTACGGTTGGATATTTCATATGGGATTTGGTTGTTTGTGTTCAGCATTATTCGCTTTTTGGATTCGGGTTTTTACTGCATGCCGTCGCCGCTCTTTACGTGTTTCTGATGACTTTTATGCCTTTTATGCAACCCCACATTCCTTCGTTTCTGATCTTTGAGCTCTCTACGCCTTTCGTCAATGTCAATTGGTACTGTTCAAGACTTCCGACAGGTTCCGTTCCCAACAAACTTATTCTGATCAATGGTTTGTTGTTGATGATCTCTTTCTTCACAGTCAGAATCCTGTGGGGATTTTACGCTGCGGTTAACTCTTTCCTCCTATGCCTCAAAGTCTGGGATCAACTGCCTGTGTGGCTGCCGGTGAGTATCTTTTCGCTGAACATTGCACTTGACTGTTTGAACCTTCTGTGGTTTTACAAGATGGTTTTGATCGCCAAGAAGAAGGCCAGGGGAGCCAAGTCCAGCAAGCCAAAGGAACAATAAGGCCATAGATCGTGGAACAAAGATATTCATACTTTGGGCTATTCGACATCACGCTGCAGCATGCTACAGCACACTAGAGGCCTGTACTGCGGAACGCGCGCCGTACCCCCAGCCAAATTCCAAGTTTAAAATTCCGTGTATACAAAATAAAACAATTAGTATATAAATTCTCAACTCTTTTTAACTAAAATATTTGAAAAGACACCAAAAATCCATCCAATCTCTGACTCCTCATGTGAATCCCAAAAGAGTAGTGAAAGACACAAATTAGCAGCCCAAATGAAAATTTCCGTAATGAAAGATTCGTTAGCTGAAAGAAAGTCATAGACATCTGAGTTAGTACCTTGTTCATTCTTGGAAACCGTTGGTTCGGAGCCGCTTTCAGTTGCAGAATAGTTGATTGACCTGATTTCTCACTCAATCCGAGCTGGGAATTTAGTTTTTGGCGTAATTGTTTGACTCTCTATCCAAAGAGACTTGCAACCTGTAACGCCAGGGTAGATCAACAAATACTTTTCACTGAAACTTGATATTTTATTCGAACTAAGACACGCAGAATCACTCGACTACTGCCGTTTGTGGTTTGTGAAATTTAAACGCGTTTTGGTACACCATTTTTCAAACATGTCAGCTTCTCTTCAGCCAACAGACGTGTCATCTGTTTTGCACCATCTCCTCTCGGGGTTGGCATCATCTGACAACTCAATAAGAAAAGCCGCTGAAAAGAGCTTGAATGAGGAATGGTCCAAACTTGATCGTGTTCAACTTTTGCTGCTGTTTCTTGCTGAACAGGCAGCCACTGGACCGTCTGAACAGATAAGGGCCTTTGCGGCTGTTTTGTTTCGCAGAATCGCCATCAAGTCCCCTTCCGAACAAGGTTTCAGCGTCACTTCCAGACAAATTGCCCACATCGACGAGCAGATAAAGAGCCAGATTCGCAGCATCTTGGTCCACGGTTTTTCATCACAGCAGTCCAATAACGTGAGACACAAGCTGTCGGACGCGATGGCTGAAGTTGCCAAAGAGGATTGTACTCCTCCCAAAGGGTGGCCAGAGCTCATTCCGTTGATTCTACAAGCCGTGCAGAACCAGGACCCAAGTTTCAGGGAATCGGCATTCCGTATGATTACTGCTACCCCAGGGTTCATAGCCAGCACCAACCTCAACGATGTGCTTCCGCTGTTCCATGCGGGATTCGTGGACACCAATGACGATGTCAGAATCGCGGCTTGCACTGCGTTTGTGTCATTTTTTAGAGATTTGCCAAAGGGACAATGGGGTGCTCTTAGTGGTCTCCTTCCCAACCTGCTGAACTCGTTGCCAAAGTTTATGGAGAGTGGAAGAGACGAGGCTCTGGCTGCCGTTCTGGAAGCTCTCATGGAGCTGGTTGAACTTGCTCCAAAGATGTTCAAGCCTATGTTTGGACAGTTAATCGAGTTTTGCTCCACTGTGGCCAACAACAAAGACCTCGAAACCAGTGCCAGATTGGCAGGTATGGAGTTGCTGGTCTCGTTCAGTGAAGAGTCTCCCAACATGTGCAAGCGTGAGCCTTCCTATGTCGAGACTATGGTTATCATGACGCTCAGCTTGATGACGGAGGTTTGCATTGACGATGACGACGCAGCTGACTGGAACAATTCTGACCCTTCAGACGAGGATAGCGGCGAAGAGGAACATCTGGCTGCTCGTCATGCCTTGGACCGTATCTGTCTCAGTCTGGGAGACCAGTTTCTGGTTGGTCCTCTCTTCAAGTACATACCCCAGATGATCCAGTCCAGCAACTGGCGTGAGCGTCAAGCTGCTCTGATGGGACTGTCTGCTGCTGCTGAAGGATGTCGTGAAGCGTTGATCGACCAGATTCCTAAGATCTTGGACCTAATTCTGCCCTCAATTCAGGATCAACACTCCAGAGTTCAATATGCCTGCTGCAATGCCATTGGTCAAATTTCCACCGACCTGGCTGACCGAATCCAGAGAACTGCGTCAGACCGCGTTCTGCCGGCCTTGATATCGGTCTTGACACCTCAGTCTGTCCCAAGAGTCCAGAGCCACGCCGCTGCTGCTATGGTTAACTTTGCAGAAAATGCTTCGAAGGAGGCCTTGGAGCCTTATCTGGACAGTCTGTTGACCAATCTGCTCTCATTGCTGAAGGGCCCCAAACGCTACGTCCAGGAACAGGTGGTGACCACCATCGCCATCATTGCAGACGCAGCCAAGACAAAATTCATCAAGTATTACGACACCTTGATGCCGATGCTGGTTGACGTCTTGCAAACCGATATGGGCGAGGAGAACCGCATGTTGAAGGCAAAGTCGATCGAATGTTCCACTCTCATTGCCTTGGCTGTTGGAAAGGAAAAGTTCGCACCAGACTCACAAACTTTGATCCAACTGTTTGGCCATATCCAGCAAAACTTGCAAGGAGAAGACGATCCAGTGAAGACCTATCTTGAGCAAGGCTGGGCCAGGATTTGTGTTATCATTGGCCATGACTTTTTGCCTTATCTGCCTCTGGTTCTTCCTTCGTTGATCACCACCGGTGAGGCTACCCAGAGCATTTCTGTTGTCGAGGAAGACGAGTATGACGACTATACCCAGAACGAAGAGTACGATGTGGTTGAAGTCTCTGGAAAACATCTTGCAGTCCACACGGCTGTTCTGGACGAGAAGGCTGCTGCCATTGATCTCATCACCAGATATGCCGGTGTGTTGGGAGCCTCTTTTTTCCCTTATGTTACCAACATTGCGGAGAACATCATCATTCCAAGTTTGTCATTCTACTTGCATGATGGAGTTCGTGAAGCTGGTGCTCTGGCAATGCCGGTTCTGCTCAAGTCTGTGGTTGCTGCCACCAGCCAGACTTCTAATGAGGCTGTTGCCATATGGACCAAGTTTGCAGATGTTCTGTTCACCACCATGGAGCAGGAGCCTGTGTTCTCGCTGCTGATCCCATACTATGCCTCGTTTGTTGAATGCTTGGATATACTTGGCGCAGGTGCTCTGTTCAACAACCAGACAGACAAGTTTGCGTCTGCTGTCTCGACCAACGTTTCCGAGATTTTTGAGCGTATAAAGGCCAGGGAGAACGGCGACGACGAATACACCGAGGATATTCAAGAGGACTATGACGATTATACTGACGAGGACATGGTGGACGAAATTACCAAGGGCCTGACTGCTGCCTTCAAGAACAGAAGGTCCGAGTTCCTGCCCGCTTTCCAAAGACTGGTGCCCATAGTCGCTTCATGCTTGAACGATGAACAGAATTCCTTGAGACTTTTCGGCTTGATAGCTGTTGCTGATATGATTGAGTACACTGGTGCAAATGCTTATGAACTCAAGGACATGTTCATGAATCCAGTTGGTGAATCTCTCACCTCTCCGGATGCCAGCATCCGTCAAGCTGCTGCCTATTGTGTAGGTGTTGCTGCTCAACATGGTGGTCCACAGTTTCGTGACTTTTGCCTTGCAACGCTTATGTCTATGTCACAGATGGTTTCTGTTCCCGATGCCCGTGCCTCAGATAACATCTCTGCTACTGAGAACATGACTGCTGCTATCTCCAAGATCTGTCACAGTTACGGCTCCTCGATCCAAGGATTCGACGAACTTGCTGCTAGTTGGTTCAAGCTCCTTCCTGTTGTCCAAGACGACGAGGCTGCTCCATATGCGTATATGTTCCTCGCCGAGCTCATTGAGCGCCAGCATCCTGTGGTGATGTCCCAAATTCCAAAGGCCGTGGAGGACGTGATCCAGGCTCTTTTACACAGCTCCATCTCTGGAAAGACTGCCGAGACGGTTGTCACGTCTACGAAGAAATTACTTGGGTCTATTCCTCAGAGTGAGGCTGTGTCCATCTTGACAATGATCAGTGGACAGTCCACGGAAACTAAGATGGTGATACAAAAGTGGTTCTCGTGATAAACCTACTCTATATACTTTTGCGTGTTAGTTTTATAATTCATTAAAGTTTTGAGATATTATTCCCTAGTCAAAGGGGTTCAAGTTCGTAGATAATTAAGTTAGCGATATGACCTGTACTGTCTAGCAAGTCGGGAAATGGAATCAGCCCCAGATCGAGCCGAGCGACGTTGGTGTCTCGTTCTGCAGAATGAATGACGGAGCATTTGCTCCATCGGAGTTGTTTGCTCCCCATATTGGCGACGGTCCCAAAAACAGGCCTCCGACCTTGAACGGATTGAGAGCCTCCGATGGAGTTCTCAGGTAGTCCATTTGTTGGTTAGGACCGGCAATTTCAGAGAGCAAATGGAGAGGGGTGATGGGTGGTGGCAGGTCTTCCGGGTCACTATAGGAGACATCTGACATGGCGCGAACACTCATTTCTGGTCTGGGATCGGACGAGTCAAGCAGGTGCGGGGAAAATGTGTTCATGAATCTCATCAGTACATTCTTGACCAACGGATTCTGGGACATGTCCACTGCTGACAACAGCTGAGCTAAAACCTTCGAACAAAATGGGATAAGAGAAGGATGTGACTCGCTCAAGCCTGTCAGCATTTTAGTGAGACAAAAAATCGCAACATCTTCGTAAGCCAGATACAGCTTTTGCAGGCCGTTGGAACAGTGATCACAAATACGGTTGGAGATAGTCAAAACATCTCTTGCAAATGCGTTATCACTACCCAACGATGCAGCATAGGTTTGAGCGTTCAAACCAAGAAGCTGCGAAGATAGGTTTTGATCTACCTCCAGACCAAGTAGACGAAGATTCAAACCATCCAAAACGGAACCAGGCTGGGAGGCGTTTACTTTCTCGCCATCATAAGGCAGATCTGTGTCCAACTCATCAGAGCGCATACTGCCTGATGTGAAGACAATGGGAAGGCTGCTTGCTGATTTTGCCACAGTATCAAGCACTTTCTGCTGGATGTCGGTGGCCAGTGCCAGGCATTGCATAAGACTTGTAGCATTTGCAGTGGAACTTGACTTTCCAGCAAACATGGCCGAAAATGGGCTCGGGGTGTATGCTGATTCCGGGTAGAACAATGAGTCCTTTTTGGGAATCGGAGGGTTGGAGAACTCAAACTGGGCACCAAGTTCAGGTAGCAGAGGGTATCCCAGAGGTCCAAGTCCAACGCATATAAGGTAGATTGAGTTGCTGAGCAGGGAGGGTAGAGATAATGTCAGAGCATGATCATCGATAAGATCACACAATTTGTTCACATTGGCGGGATTTGCCTCCAAAGAGACGTTGAGAACTTTCAGAGCAAGGTGGAGGTTGTTGATGAAAGCCGACTCCTCCAGCAGGGATATGCTGAGGTTTTGGTTGACCAGTTCAGTCAACACCTCAATACTAGCAGATGTTGGAGACCAGCGATCTTCATCTAGGTTACTCCCGATAATTGCTTTAAAGGAAGCGTCCATGTGGGAACGAACAACGTTGACGGCATCGGTAGAGCGCAAACGATCAAAGTGCAATGCGAGCCTATTGCTGATCCTAGAGAGAAAGTATTGCAAAGCTAAGGAAACGTTGGCTGGACATTCGAATTTCAACAGATCTTCCAATTGGTTTAAGAATCCTGGCTTTTGCATCGCGTAGATAGCTAAGTGTTCTTCGAGCATAACATCACCCTTAACATCCGCAAAAGCATGACATAAAATTGTCACTATATCCTCATGTGGCACATGGGCCAATGATATAACAAGGTTGTGAGCGTACTTGAGCTTGAAAATGTCAACGGAGGAGTTGCTGAGATTATGCTCATGCTTCAGATAGCTCAGTCCGCTTAGCGGACCCAAGGCTGTCGCAGAAGACTTGGAAGCATTGACATCTGTCAGCAGTTGGGATAAACACTCAAATGAAGTCCTACTGTGAAGCGCAAACATGAGGATCACACCGACATCCAGGGCAGTCGCACTGTCGGAAGATCTTTCAGAGAGACATGTTAAAGATCTCTGAATCAAAGGCTTCAACACATCAGCAGTCAACAGGGTTTCGCAGCTTCTAAGGCAGAAGTGTTTGTCTGTAGCAGAAAGACACAAAAAAGTTCTCAAGACTTTGGAAGCTTGGGATATGAGCACTGTAGAGTTGACATAGCCGTCTTCACCTGTAAGACCTGGCATATCCAACTTCCCCGCGATTTGAACAAGACTAAAGGCAGAAGAGAGAGCCTTTTTGTCAATATCGCCCAAGTCTGCATCTAAGCGTTTCAGAGTGGAGCTATACTCATCGCTTTTCAAAAGTTTGTTCAAGTAGTCCCCGGAGTGAGAAAAAATTGGGTCTTCCATTTTCGGCTTTGGCCTGAGAGCGTGGGGCTAGAAGAGGAGATGGTAGCTTCAACAAGACAAGACAAGGCAAAGACAAAGACAAAGTCCAAATTGAGGGAAAAAATTGAGCTTCAGTCACAAAATAGACCCAACCAAAATATCCCAATTGTCAATTCAAGTGTCCTTAGGAGATAACCTTGATGTAACCCAGCAAACGTGGATTTGTCTTGTTCGATAAGGAGGACGATGAGATCAGGCTCACTTCGCTAGATCGCAAGATTAGCGAGATACTAAAGCCAAAGGGGATCGAATGAAGAATAGGAAATATCTCTTGTCACGCTCAAGAGAAGAGTCACAAACTACTATTCACTTTCGATCACAGAGATTGTTAGTCAAACTGCAGACAAGAGATGATGAAGGAAGAGGGAGGAGAGATGCAGTAAAACCGATCTGGGGACCCCAAAATTTCGCCGTGAAAAGCCGCCTCGGACTTGGCTACCGTGACATGTCAGGAATGGGGCTAGAAAGTGTGTTCTGAATATTATTTTGTGATTCGCTGGTGATAAAGGGTTAATTGAATAATACAATTGGCTAGATTTACAATCGAATCAGAGCACTAGTTATTGTCAATTCTGAGACTATCAGGTGATCTGGGGCTACGCGTTTCGTTGAAGTGCAGTGGTTTACCAATAGTCGGCTATATAAGATAAGAAGCCGACCTCCACACATCGCGATCTGGTGATCTATTGTTTAGTCAGGTTTATTGTTTGCTATTTCTTCAAATCCTGATATTTCAATATTTCGATATTTCAGAATTTTCAATCTTAATCTACTTGGATGGCTTTCAACCCAGCACTTATCGTTGTCGATCTCCAGGAGGACTTCCTGCCTCCTTCTGGCTCACTGGCTGTGACGGATGGCAGGGACATCATTCCCGCAATTCTGGAACTCACGGATCTGGAAAAATACAACTGGAAGACCATAATTGCCACTAAAGACTGGCATCCGCAGGACCATTGCTCTTTCGCCTCAAACAACAACGTCGCCCCATACTCGAAGGTATGGTTTTCCCACCCACTGGGCGAAAAGGACCCCATCACCCACGAAGTGAAAAAAAGACTGGAAACAGTCTGGCCCGATCATTGTGTTCAAGACTCCAGAGGATCCGAGTTTCCAGCTGAATTCCAGGCCCAATGGGATATTCTTGAGCAATCTGCGACCTCAACCCATCTGGTCAAGAAGGGCTATCTCAAGGACCGCGAGTATTATTCGGCCTTCGAAGACGTCTGGAAACTACACCACACAGAACTGGAGGATATACTGGTTTCTGAGAAAATTACACATGTGTTCACGGTGGGATTGGCGTGCGACTTTTGCGTTGTGAACACTTCGATTGATTCTGCCTCTCTGGGGTTCCCAACGTTTTCAATCAAGGAGTGCAGTAGGTCCGTGTATCCGGATAAGCAGAAGGAGACGGACGAGCTTTATGAGGAAAATAATGTGAAGTTGATATCACTGAATAGTGATATCTTGAAAAAGGTAGAAAAACATTGAAATTTTTATAATTTTTGACTGTTAGTGACATTTTGAAAAAAGGTCAAAAAGCTGGTCTGTCTGGCTTGGACCCCTAACGCATAACCCCAACGCAATGACCAAATCCAATTAAGAACCAGGACTTTAATGACCTGTTCAGTATCTAGACTTAGGCCAGGAAAGATACACCCCATCAGCTCATATCCCCACAACTCACGACATGTTACGTCACTCTCGTCATTCAATCAAATCATCATCCCCACCACGGCTTTGGCAACGCCGCACAAACAGCGTGGATTACACAATCAGCACACACACGCCCAGAAAAGCTTTTTTGCCGGTGCAGGAATGACTCCATTCCCGGGGACGGGCGATGAGTGTGCTTTCTCTCAATACTTTTCATCCACTGCAAAAGCTTGTACAACTTGCAAAACAACGTCAAGGATGAGTTCTGTGGAAACTGTTGAGATTTTGGGTTCCAAGACCATCCATGTTGGCTACAGCATACAATCTCACATCGTCAGTGAGATTGTGAGGAACAAGGCTTCCTCCACATATGTGATCATCACTGACTCCAACATCGAGAAAGCAGGCCATCTGGCCTCCTACAAGGCGAAGTTTCTTGAGGAGCTTGCAGTGAGTAGGCCTGAGTCGCGTTTGCTTACTTATGTTGTCTCTCCGGGCGAAGCCAACAAGACCAGAGCCACCAAAGAGAGTATCGAGGACTACCTGCTTGCCAGCGGGTGTGTTCGCGATACCTTCATCATTGCCATTGGCGGTGGTATTATTGGAGACATGATTGGCTTCGTAGCAGCTACTTTCATGAGAGGTGTGAGATTTGTGCAAATCCCAACCACTTTGCTGGCTATGGTGGATTCCTCCATTGGTGGAAAGACTGCTGTTGATACCCCGCTCGGAAAGAATTTCATTGGGTCTTTCTGGCAACCAGATTACGTCTTTGTTGATGTGTCCTTTTTGGAGACTTTGCCAGAACGTGAGTTTATCAATGGTATGGCCGAGGTTATCAAAACCGCTGCCATTTGGGACGAGGTTGAGTTCACCAGATTGGAACAGTACTCCAAGTCATTCTTAGAGGTGATTAGAGACAGGAAGGCCGATGGCACCGTGGACCTGACTCCTTTGAGAGATCACATCCTAAAGCTAGTGCTGGGATCTATCCGTGTCAAGGCCGAGGTGGTGAGCTTGGACGAGCGTGAAGGTGGCTTGAGAAACCTACTGAATTTCGGCCACTCCATTGGTCATGCCTACGAGGCCATATTAACTCCACAGGCTCTACACGGTGAATGTGTATCTGTTGGTGCTGTGAAAGAGGCCGAGTTGAGTAGATACTTGGGTATTCTCTCTTCTGCAGCCGTGTCCAGACTGTCGAAGTGTCTGAGTTCATACGGTTTGCCAATCTCTCTGGATGATAAAATACTGAAGAGTAGGGTAAATGGAAAGACCTGTCCCGTTGATGTGGTGCTAAAGAAAATGGCTGTCGACAAGAAGAACGATGGTTCCAAAAAGAAGGTTGTGCTGTTGAAAGAGATTGGTGCGTGCTACGAGCCAAAGGCCTCGGTAGTCTCCGACCAGGACATTCGTGTGGTCATTTCTGACGAAGTGATTGTTCATCCGTTCGTTTCTCCTCCCAAGAAGGTGGAGGTGGTTCCACCAGGATCCAAGTCTATTTCAAACAGAGCCCTTATACTGGCTGCTTTGGGTAAAGGTGAATGCAAAATCAAGAACTTGTTGCACTCGGACGATACCGGGTTCATGCTGAAAGCGGTAGCCGCTTTGAATGGTGCCACAATCTCTTGGGAAGATAGTGGTGATACTGTTGTGGTGAACGGTAATGGAGGTGATCTCATTGCTTGCCCTGAAGAGCTCTATCTGGGTAATGCCGGCACGGCCTCCAGATTCTTGACCTCTGTGGCTGCCCTGGTGAAGTCGAACGGTGATTTGAATACCATCGTTCTCACAGGTAATGCCAGAATGCAAGAGAGGCCAAACGGACCTCTGGTGGATGCTCTTCGCAACAACGGTTCGGAAATCACTTACCTCAACAACGAAGGCTCTTTGCCAGTCCGTGTCAAGACCGGCAAGGGACTCAAGGGAGGCCGTATCGAGCTTGCTGCCACAATCTCATCCCAGTACGTTTCTTCCATCTTGATGTGTGCACCATATGCTTCGTCTCCAGTGACTCTTGCACTGGTTGGAGGAAAGCCCATCTCGCAGCTGTATGTGGACATGACCATTAAGATGATGGAGGCCTTCGGTATAAAGGTCACCCAATCAGAGACCGAGCCATACACCTACCACATTCCCCAGGGTCATTATGTGAACCCTGCCGAGTACGTGATCGAGTCTGATGCTTCATCTGCTACATATCCATTGGCATTCGCTGCCATGACAGGTACCGAATGTACCGTTCCCAACATTGGATCATCTTCTCTGCAAGGAGATGCACGTTTTGCAGTTGATGTTCTCAGACCAATGGGCTGTCACGTGGTTCAGACAGAAACCTCTACCACGGTCCAAGGTCCACCAGTGGGTCAATTGAAGGCGCTGCCTCAAGTTGACATGGAACCAATGACGGACGCTTTCTTGACTGCGACTGTCGTTGCTGCTGTTGCAAATGATCCAAAACAGACCACGACTATCACCGGAATTGCCAACCAGAGAGTGAAGGAGTGTAACAGAATAGAGGCCATGAGAGTTCAACTTGCAAAGTTTGGCGTGGTGGCCACAGAGCTTCCTGATGGAATTGTCATTCATGGCATCGACTACAAGAACCTGAAGACACCAGAGGCTCCTGGTATCCACTCATATGACGATCATAGAGTGGCCATGAGTTTCTCGCTGCTTGCTGGCTTGGCTCCAGCTCCAGTCATTATCCAGGAGAGAAACTGCACAGCAAAGACTTGGCCAGGCTGGTGGGATACTTTGCACACCACTTTCAATGCCACGATTGATGGCCACGAGTCGTCCTCAAGCTCTGCCACTTCAACTGTTGTTAATAACGGCGACAAAAGTGTGGTGGTGATTGGTATGAGAGGTGCGGGAAAGTCTACCCTGTCAAAGATTGTCTCGCAAGTCTTGAATTTCCAGGTCACCGATCTGGACAAGGTGTTTGAGGAAAAGGAGAACATTGGAATTCAAGACTTCATCAGAAAACACGGATGGGAAGAATTCAGGGTCAGAGAAGAGAAGATCACCAAGGAGTGTCTCAGCACCCTGAGGACTGGCCATGTCCTCTCCACCGGAGGTGGCATTGTTGAAAGTGCCGCATCAAGAGAACTCTTGAAGCAATACGTTAAAGATGGCGGAATTGTTTTGCATTTGCACCGTGATATTGAAGAAACGGTCTCCTACTTGTCTGCTGATGCCACGCGTCCAGCATACATCGAAGAGATCCAGGCTGTTTGGAAAAGAAGGGAGTGTCTTTACAAAGAATGCTCCAACAGCTATTTCTTCTCTCCCCATTGTTCTTCTGATGACGAGTTCAAAACGCTCAATGCTTCGTTTGCCAATTTTATTCGCACTATCACTGGGGCTCCAGCGCCTATTCCAGATTCGAGGTCTTTCTTTGTGTGTCTGACTTACAAGAACCTGGGTGATGCGAAGTCTGACTTGCCTGATATTGGCATTGGTGCTGATGCCATAGAACTCCGTGTTGACCACTTGGCTTCGTTTGATGAGGACTTTGTTGGTGAACAGGTGTCCATCTTGCGGAACCATTCCAGTCTTCCGATCATCTTCACCATCAGGACAAAATCTCAAGGCGGTCTGTTCCCAGATGACGACATTGCCAAGATTGAGTCGTTGATCCTGCTTGCGTTCAAGATGGGTGTTGACTACCTGGACCTGGAGTTGACTCTGCCAGCTGCGCTTTTGGACTCCGTTTCTTCTAAGAGGAAGTTCACCAAGATCATAGGATCGCACCACGACTTCTCCGGAACTTTGAAATGGAACAACGTCGAGTGGGAGAACAGATATGCTCTTGCTAAGGGCCTGAATGTTGATCTTGTCAAGTTTGTTGGAACTGCCACCACATTTGCGGATAACATTGCTTTGGAGAAATTCAGAGCTGATCACACCGAAATACCTCTTATCGCCATAAACATGGGAGAGTTCGGCAAGATGTCGAGAGTGGTGAATCCGCTGTTGACTCCGATCACCCACAAAGCTCTTCCATCCGCATCTGCTCCGGGTCAGCTCACGATTCAGGAGATCAACGAAGCCGCTAATCTGATTGGTCTGTTGCCTGCGAAGAAGTTCTACGTGGTTGGAACTCCTGTGGGCCACTCTCGTTCGCCAGCACTTCACAACGCTGGCTACAAGGAACTCGGATTGCCCCACTCGTTTGAGCTCTTTGACACGGGCAGCGTCCAGGAGGTCAACGAGAAGCTTTTCAAAAGCCCCACTTTTGGTGGATGTGCCGTAACGATCCCTTTAAAGATTGATGTTATCGATCAATTATCGGAGCTCTCCGACTCAGCCAAGACCATTGGTGCTGTGAACACGGTTCTGCCGCTAGCAGCAGGCGGTCTCAGAGGAGATAACACAGACTGGATCGGAGTGGCCCAATCTTTTTACAAGTCTGGTGTTCCCAAGCTTTCCAAACAGGCTGGAATTTCTGGTCTGGTGATTGGGGCCGGTGGAACTTCTCGTTCTGCTATCTATGCTTTGAACCAGATGGGATGCTCCACCATCTATCTTCTAGGCAGAACGGCTTCCAAGCTTGAAACTGTCAAGGATCATTTCCCTTCCTCTTACAACATCAAGGTAGTCACCACTGCTGAACAGGCTTTGGGGGCCGATCCAGTTTCGGTGATTGTGAGCACCATCCCAGGTTACTCTGACTTGGATTCGTCTCTATTGGAAAGTATAACAGCTTTCTTGGGTAACGGAAAGTCCCAGTCGTTATTCCAGCCAACGCTGATGGAGGCTGCCTACAAGCCAAAGGTCACCCATATCATGAAGACTGCTGAGGAACACGGATGGAAGACCATTTCGGGATACCACATGCTTGCCAACCAAGCAGAAGAGCAGTTCAAGCTGTTTACCGGGATGTCGGTTTCATATGATTTGATTTACAATGCCGTTGCTGCCGAATAGACTGGCGATATATATTGAGACCAACTAATTTCATCATTATCAGTTAATTTAGACACATAGCGACCCACAAAATCCTGTATTTAGTCATTCTTAACAACCCTAGCAACACATACGGAAATATCATCCGTTTTACCACCCATAATGAACCCAGCACCAGAACTTTTGGAGGGCAGTTTGTTCACTATCTCCACATATGGACTAACAGCAAAGTTATCGTATGCCACAGTCTTTGCCTTATAGACTAGTAGATTAGCCAACTCTTTGAGCGACTTCTTCTCCCTGAAGATGGTCTTATCAACATAGACGAGTATCTCGTCAGGCCAGAGGTTATCTGTCAATCCGTCAGAAGACATCACTATGATGTCATCCTCCTCCAATTCGAAGGAGTCATACCAGGCAATTTGAGACGGTATCACGTTGATGTTGTTGGTACCCAGCTGTTGGGGACATAGTGCTGAAAGCATTTGGATTTCGTTAGTCTCAACGACATCACCATCCCGGATCACAAACACCTTACTATCCCCTATGCTGATCACGGCCAACTGAGACCCCAGAATAGTACATATAAGAGCAGTCGAGGACCCGCTCAGCCCTTCCACGTCCATCAGGTCCGACGTGTGAAAAAAGGAACTATCCAGAATCTCCTGAACATCCTTCAGAGTCGGGGAATAGGGACTGGATTCCACCTTGTGCCTGGCAAGACCTCTGCTCATAGTTTCCAGTAGAGACCTAGCCCATAGACCAGCATCCGCATTCTCCTTCCAGTCTGAGACCCCATCTGCAACCCCGAGAAGACTGGAAGAACATATCATAGCATCATCGCCACTTCGCACGGACAGCGTATCTAGTGGAGATCCCGGAGCCCTTCTCAATGGCATGAGTGCTGCCACATTACCCCCACCGCTGAGATCAGCCAGGGAGGAGATCATTGGTATTTCGGAAGGCGAATGGTAAGCATAACAGGAGAATGCAAATTCAAACTTGAAATTGTCGTTTGAGGATCTTTTGGCTGAGAACTCAATTCTGCTTGGCCCAATTGACACATTGTCTCCTGTTGCATAGCTCCTCATCTGTCTTAAGCGACACAACGAGGGAATTTGTTGCGAAAACTTCTTCAAGGGTTTACAACAGCCAATCCGGTGATTTATCATGGGCCATCGTGAAATCCGAGTTTTTAATGCGAATGCTTCTCAAGCAAGGCGAACTAAGGAGGAGGAAACTGCAGACAAGTTAGGAGATTTGGGCTGAGCTTGAGGCCGGGGAAAAAGATAGAGTCACGTGATGTACGGCTCCATAGTGGAGGAATACTGATCTGAAATTTCTAGCCTTATTGTGAGAAAATTCATGTTTTGATTCCTCCAGGATACTTTGATCCGTCCAGACATGGTGCAGGAGGATCTCCCGACACAGGAATGTGAGTGACTTCGCCAACTTTCCAGTACTTCTTGTGTGACTCGTAAAACGAGGTCCAGGACTGGATTGCCTCCTCCACGTCGTCCTGATCAAGTCCTCGTAAATCATAGGTGTATTCGTCATCCTTGTTCAAACATCCAGTCACAAGAACCCGGGTGGCGTCTTTTCCTGCGAATTTCGCATATGGTCCACCGGGCCCATAAATCTCCTTCGAAGCCGTAACATCATATATCGTGCCGTTGACGGCGATATAAATAGGAAAACCGGTGACCTGTCCGTTAAACAATTTGAGCTCATGATCAGTCAGCACCATGTTAGTTTTGCTCACCTGGTGTCCAAGAAACTGTGGATTGAGCCACTTCCCACTGTATCCCCAAGTGGATGACCCTGTGAACCAGTTGGATAGTATTGCGTTCAGCAACAAAATTCCTCCGAGAATTCTGATGTAGTCTACCGCACCGAATCCCTCCTTTCTGATACTATCCTCTTGGTTTTTATTGGACGACATGGCGATAAAGATCAAACGGCTGAATCATTGATTCTATGAAGAGCGTATGCGTTTCCAAGTACTTTTCTACAATGAGATGCCTTATTAGGACGGACACTAATTAAATAATTGATTTATATACGCCACATACGGCTAAACCATCTATACCAACAACTATCACTTCCAATCATTAACAAAATGCTTTATACCTTCTTCACGTTTACTAATTTACAAAATGGTCAGATCACATTACGTTTCCATCAAATTGCTGGCCAGCCAAATTGAACCCCATGTGGTCGGGGTCCTGGTTGGTATCCACAGACATTAACAGGTCACTCCAGAATTCATCGTTCAGCGCCCAATAGGACAACTCAACAGGGTCATTTTCAACAGCATCAACACGGGGAGAAACTCCCATATAATTCTTGTCATAGATGGAGTTTAGTCGACTCCGGCCACCGTTGTAAACCGTGCTATCCAGATTCATGGGGATGTGAGCTCCTTCGCTAACCACAATGTTGGGTAGGACGTTGTCCTGAGAACCCTGTGGTTGGTTAGCACCGGAAGCTTGATCTGGTTTGCCGATTCCAGTTTCTTGCATTGCAGCAGCATCCGAAAGGATGTCCAATGGCGAAGCCGGATTCTGGGCCGAGGAGCCGTTGTTCCACGTTGGCGACAATCTTGACCCAGGAGCACTACCACGGTTCTGTTGTTGTTGTTGTTGCTGCTGCTGTTGTTGCTGTACATTTCCATCTTCGAAACCAGCCTTTTGCATAGCCAAGTTGTTTATGATAGCCTGGATCTGTGACATGTAAGTCTGGGTGAAGAGCCCCAACACCAGTCTCATCTTGCTCAAGAAGTTGTTTCCTGGATGGGACGTGGAACTGCGGTGAACAAGATCACACAGTTTCTTTACCACCACCAGCGCATCAGCAGTGACCAAATTGTATTTGGATATGACTGGCACACTGACACACAGATAGCGCAGACGAAGCAGCATACCGGCAGTGTATATGATTCTGGAGGAGTAGAATAGTGGCATTGTGGTGACATCCTCCTCGGAAAGCTCACCGAAATGGTACAAACAATCATAGCAGGATTGGGCGCATCTTTCGATGGATATTCCAACAAAAGCCGGAAGAGGCTGTTCAGGGCTCTCGTGGAACCGGCCTTCGTTGAAGATTTTGTGCAAAGCAGGCTCATGGAGATATGCCTGAACCGAATAGAAATACGCCATAAAGATGTCATAATCGTTGGTACCCTTGGTGTGGATTATTATTTTCTTCTTGATTCCCTCCAACTGTCTCTGGAGCTCACCCACCACATACCTGTGTCTGTTTCCACCCAGCTCCGAGATGCTCACACTGGTGTCACCGGGAGAATGTATGGCATGGTGGCTCTTTTCCAGAATATAGTTCAATCTGGCATACATGGAAACGTTCATGTTGTCCTTCTGGCCCGTGAGCTCTAGCTCGTTGCAACAATCCTCAATGTACTCAGTCCACTGTACAGGGATCCTTCTTCTCAGGAACAACGATATGCAAACAGAGGTGAGATACACTACCAGCAAGAGAGAACGACGCTCCAGAGCCTGGGGGTCATCCATCATGGTCCTACGAGTGGTGCCCTCGTCCTTATTGTAAAAGAAGAACGGTCTTCCACTGAGACCCAGATCCTGCACCATGGCGATACACAGAAGACTGATCATGTGGTATCTTCTATGGTGGAACAACTCAGGGCTGTTATACCAGATAGATAACAGCAGTAATGATTTCAACAGCTCCATGGACTTGTTGCCGATGGTGAGGACCTCTATGGAAATCACCTTCATCACAAGAACGTCCAGTCTCTTATTGATCTCGTTTGGAGCAGATAACACCATCGAGCATGTGGCCATTATGGTCAAGAACAACACAGGCTGTTCCTTGCGCAAATCATCAACCGTTAAGCTGGCATCCACCAGAATAAACGGATATCTCGCAGCCATCTGCACTCTCCACACATCGAGGCGAGTCTCTGCCTGTTGCTGGGTCAACAGTCCCAAGGCTATGGGATCGAAATTTTCAATTTTGTATGTCTCCGCTAGAATCGAAAGTCGTCTTTCTGCATTGGCCACTGCTGACACTGTAGAATTAGAAGCAAAATTTTGCAAGTCATACAAGATCTCGAGCTCCTTTCTGAGCTCGTTGACCTGATGATTAACAGGGTCCTCTTCGTCATGCGAGCCCTCGATGGAAGATAACGAACTCATGTACTGCCTTTGTTCTGCTGGGGTCCCGTTCGTGCTGGTGCTTTCGTATGGCTGGGGCATTTCGTTGGGAATTTCAGTCTTCAACATTGACGGTTGCGGAGGAGTGGGACGATTCTGTGGGCTTCTGTGCATACTGCCAGAAGGGCTCACCACTGAGGGTGATGAGTGCATCATGAGCTCGGGTGAGTTCGTGTTTGGAGGAGGAGGAAACCCATGTGGAGAAGTCCCCATCATGGCATATACCGACTGCGCTGGTGGTACCGAAGCAGCCTGCGAATTCATCCTTTGCTGCCTCGCCAGTTCCGCCTTCACCAGCAAAAGTTCCTTCTCTAGCGCCGCCATCTTATTGGCGGGCGATTGTATTGTTGTGGCTCTCTTCTTCTTGATTTGGGTGAAGTCTATTTCGCACGGACGCTGTGCCCTGGTGCACCGGATGCAAGGACCGTTAGGGTCCTTCTCATTATTGGGCACACATCTCACTTTCAAAGAGTGACAGGCCTTGCAAGCCACCGATCGTCTTTTGCTGGAGTCTTTATGGGATTTCGTGCCATTTTCGTGGTCGGCGGACCAATCGGCCTGGAGAGTTTCAGACAGTACCGGCACATCATCACTCGGCACCCGCTCCTGCCGCTCCTGGCCTGAGGGGTGTGTTCTCTTGAGCGACATTGATGGTAATCACGAGCGGAAACAATGTATCAGCTGATTATTAGTACACAATAACGTTTGGGCGCTTTTGATTCCAAAAATAGGCTTCGGATCGGCTATTAACAACACCAAACGGCTGATACCCTACTCATGCAAAGACGGGACCCTCGAAAAAAACACAGCCGGCCTGGAAGAGAGTCCGAGTCGTGCCCGGACCAATAAAACTGGGATATCGGAAATGCTGTGGAATTGTCCGAGCAGTGAAAAATAGATAGAGCAAAATGTATGACATAAGCAATTTCCGCCTCTACAAGAGGTGTATAGAATGAAGAAAGTACATAGATAGGTACATAGATAGAGATTAATAGGCTAGATGATGCAGTTTTATAGCCTTTTTTATAGCTTAAGTTTTGTAGCTTTTTCGAACGCTTTCCGTTCGATCCACTTAAGACTTGATACAGATCTTAGAACCATCCTCCAGACGCTTCACATCAGCCTCGGCTACCGCCTTATTAGAGCTTCTGTTGAGTGCCATATGACTCTGGACCAAGTGACCAGCAGCAAGGGCAGAGCACAGAGACAATTCCGCCGCAAGCACGGCCGAGGCCACGATCTTGGCCAGTTGTCTGGCGTTAGCACCTGGCTCTGTCATATGAGGGCCCTTGACACCCAGGAGTTCTAGCATGGCTCCCTGAGGTTCCAGAACAGTCCCACCACCAATGGTACCCACCTCAATGGAAGGCATGGAGACCGAAATTCTCAAGTCTCCATTAGGGAATTTGCTCATCAAAGTGATACAGTTGGAACTCTCAACGTTCTGAGCAGGATCTTGGCCAGTGGCTAGGTAAACCGCAGTTACCAGATTGGCAGCATGGGCATTGAATCCACCGATAGCTCCAGCCATAGCCGAACCAATCAGATTCTTGTCCATGTTCAGTTCTATAAGAGCATCAACCTCTGACTTGAGCACCTTTCTGACCACTTCGGCAGGAATGCGAGCCTCGGCAACCACACTCTTACCACGGCCCTCTATCCAGTTGATAGCAGCAGCCTTTTTGTCGGTACAGTAGTTACCTGAAAGAGAGATAATCTCCATGTCGTCCCATCCACCCTCTTCGATCATATATCTCAAAGAGTGCTCAACACCCTTAGAAATCATGTTCATTCCCATGGCATCACCAGTTGTGGTTTTGAATCTGATAAATAGCAGGTTGCCCGCAAGAGCAGTCTTGACATGCTGCAATCTCGCGAAGCGCGACGTAGAGTTGAAAGCCTTCTTGACAATTGCCTGACCCTCTTCCGAGTCCAGCCAGATCTTACAGGCACCCGAGCGTGCCAAAGTAGGGAACGAAACACATGGACCTCTTGTCATACCGTCCTGAGTCAGAACAGTCTCCACTCCTCCGCCAGCATTGATAGCCTTGCAACCTCTCATGGTAGAGGCAACAAGACATCCTTCTGTGGTAGCCATTGGAATGTGATAAGCCTTTCCATCAATGATTAATGGACCAGCAACACCAACCGGTAATGGCATGTAACCAATAACGTTTTCACAACAAGCTCCAAAGACACGATCGTAGTCAAAGTGCTTATAAGGCAAACTGCCGGATTCAAGAATTGGAGCATCGGCCAGTTTGGCGATGGCCTTTCTTCTGACAAGAACGGCACGAGTCTTATCGCCCAATTGCTTCTCCAAAGCATAAAGGGGAAGTTTTCCTTCCGTGACAAGCTTGGTGATCTCATCATCGTAGCACTCCTTAACATTTCCTGCCTTCAATATTTCTACCAAATCCTCAACAGGTCTAAGCTTGGCAGCTTTAGCCAGATCAAGCATAGATGAGGACGAAGAGCTGGACGAAGACGAATATGATTCGCTTTCCTCAACCATCTGGGCCTCTTTGACATGATCACCAACATGGACAGGCTCAATCTTTTGTGGCTCAGCAACAGAGACTTTGCGTGGACGGGCAGATCTTTCACTTTTAGCTTCAGAATGACGACGAACAGAACGAGGAGTCTGTTGAACCTCAAGAGTAGACTTGGCAGCATTCAGCAAATAGATGTTTAGCGAAACACTGATTCCAGCAATGACAAACAAAAACTTGCTCACCAAGGGATCGACGATGGTCTGAGACAGCTTGGAGAAGAAAATCGAGATCAAATCCTCTAGAGTGACCAACCAGTTAACAGGAACGTAGTATTTTGGAGAGAACAGAAAAACGATGGTTCCATTAGGTCCGATTGGAATATTTTCTGCCAGAACCTTTGAAATCAGGAAATCATCTCCGAGGAGAGAGATCGGCCCAACAGTCGTGGAATCGTACAACCAGGAAGTACCCAAAGCAAACAGATGGAAGCCCAAAAAGCCCACGATCATGGCCACTTTGAACGACAAAACACCACCGTTGCGACTGAAGAGAGGAGTTTGAGGAACAGACGAAGAGGCAACACTTTCAGCGACCGATTCGCTGATGCCATCCTCTTCCAAGACATCTCTTAAAGCAATTGACTCGTGGACTCTGTTTATCTGGGCCTTCAAAGAAAGGATAGCAGCGTAGAAGGTGAACGTGGACAACAGATCGAAAGCCAAGATGTTCGAGGATAAAATACAGAAGTTCCTGAGACCAGTCAAATTGGGCAACACAACAGCACAGGCAAGAAAGGCAAATATCATAATGGTGTGATCTCTGATCAGAGGCCAAGCAGCTGTCCTGTGGAGCACATCCGCAATCGCAGAAGGAATATCTTTATTGTTGCGGCTTCTAACAGAGGCTAGAACCGGAGCAGTAAAGTCAACCTTGTGTTTGAAACCAATGGTAGCAACCAAAAACGGCAAACCCTCGCTGAGAGAGATAAGGGGAACCGTAATCTCAAGGAGTTCCGTGGTGAATGCTAGGGCAAACAAGAAACCGAAGCCCGAAGACATCAATGACCCAAATGCCAGCCAAAATGTGGAACCCTGTTTTCTCATCTCTAGGAAGAGCTGAATGAACGTGTACCACATGGCCACATACGCGACCGTAATCAAGGCGATATCAAAAGGTTCAGCACCTCTGATGACATTGGTAACCTTAGAGAAGACCTTTCTGAAATATTCAGAGTAGCGCCCCAGTCTTTGCGAGGGCTGGATCTTCCAGGCTATTCCGTCAGGTCCATCCAGAACACGGATCGCTTGAAGAGTAGCAGAAACATCATCTTCTTCTTTGACTATCAGAAAACGTTCTGGCGAGCCCTCCTGACCTACTGTTCCAGCAACATCGGGCAATTCGTAGGATTGCGTCATTCTAAACTTCAATGGAATGGCTGCGAATTGGCTTGCAGACCCAAAATCAACAGTGTTTTCCACCTGTACCCAGCTCTCCAATTCAGAAGAGCCGGCAGGATGGTAGAAGGCAACATGCTCCCGGTACTCTTCCGAAAGAGAGACATATTTGTCGATTATGGTGAGGTAAGTGACTGAGGCCAGAAGAGTGGTGGCCACGATGATGTGGATAGGCCTATTAGCACAAAACTTGGACAATTGAGCCACAACCGACGGCACAACCGAAATCATGGTGGTTAAACGTCTGAAGTGTGTTGTTAGTGGACGGACTTTCAGATGGTGAAGCTGGTAGACGAGCGTAGACGAGGCTAAACGAGCTCAAAATCGCAAGATGCGAATTTCCTCGAAATTCTATCAACTTACCTCCAATTGGGGATATATCCAACTAGACTTGCAAAATGAGCCAGGTTTTCGAGAAAAATTCAATTCCAAGGAGAACTGGCAGATCTGGCTAGAGTGGTTTTGAGAGCGGGAACGAAGGCTTGAAATTCTAACAAGCGGCAATCTCAGACCAGAGCGGAAAAGGCCTTTTCAGGGGAAAGAGAACGGAAACAGGTCGGCAATAAACACACCCACACAGAAACGGAAGTATAACCTCGAAAAGTCGCGCGCTGAAGTCGTTTGTTGAAAAGTTGATTTGAACGTTTTCCCACTTTCTCTCTTCCATCACTTAAGATTCTCGTGTCTCCTCTTTGTTCTCGAGGTCGTGTCGGCGTTAGGTTTGGTGGTGCACTACGGCGCGTAAAGCAGCAACCTAATTGGGATAACCGACAGATGTGTGCGGCTTAAGCTCTACATGAAAAAATACACATAATTTTTTGGTTTTAAGCGAGGGCTAGATTACAACTTCAGCAAGGCACCTATTTCAAGCTCAACAGCTTGACGTCAAAGGTCAGCTCAGAGTTGGCTGGAATGCCTGGCAATTTCTTGGATCCGTAAGCCATGGAGGCTGGCACGATGATTCTTCTCTCACCACCAACAGCCATACCGGCAACACCGACATCCCATCCCTTGATAACCTCACCCTTTCCGAGGCCAAATGTGAATGGCTTACCAGAGGTGTTCTTGTCAAAAACCTTACCGTTCTTGAGCTTTCCGATGTAACGAACACCAACCTTGTTACCGTTCTTGGCGACTGGGCCGGATCCGGTGGTTCTGTCCTCAACAACAACACCACCAGTCAAGGTCTTGGTTGGGAATTTCTTCTCCTTCTTCTCCTCCTTGGCAGCTGGGCCAGTTGGGCCTTGTTCCAACTGCTCGTTGAACTGAACAACCTTCTCTTTCTTAGTGTCCTTCTTAGCTTCCTTCTTGCTCTTCTTGGTCTCCTTGGTTTCCTTGACTGGCTCTTCTTCGATTTGACGCTTCTTAGTGTCCTTCAAGGCCTTCTTGGGAGCATCCTTCTTCTTCTGCTCCTCTTCCTCGATGATTTCCTCGATTCTTCCCTCGACGTCCTCGACGTCCTCAAGGTCGTCCAGGTCGAAATCCTCGCCCTCCAACAGCTCGTCTTCGTCGGGGGTCAGGTCGTAGTCGTCAGAGTCGTATTCTTCGTCGGAATCAGAGTCGCCAAAGTCCTCAGAGTCGTTGTCATATGGGTGCTCGACGTAGTTACCGGTCAGGTGGACGGCATATGAACCAGTGACGACAAAATACACTTCGTCATCAGCGGTGATAGTCAGATCAAGAGTCTGTTGGAATTGGGATTTTGGGCTAAGGGTGCAGACAACAAACTCCTCAACATCGTCATCTTCGTCATCATCTTCGTCGGATCCCTCTTCGGAGTCCTCGTCGTCCTCTTCGTCGTCCTTCTCTTCGGCCTTCTCTTCTTCTTCATCTTCAGCACTCATGTCAACGTCGTCAGCTTCGGAACCAGAGTTCTCGGAGTCCTCGTCGTCATCATCGCTGAACTCGTCTTCCTCAATATCACCGAAATTGATGGATCTCTTCAGGATTCTGAGGGTAGATGGCTCATCTCTCTCGTCAACTGACTCTGGATCGATAGCAGCCAAGGTCAATCTGATGGTGACTGGGAAGTCCTCAGAAAGAGCTGGCTGGGGGTCAAAAGGATCCAGCTTCAAGTTATAGGCGGCTAAAGGCAAAAGTGCAGACATTGTATGATTATATGTGTATCTGGATTAGTTGTCGGGGAGGAGAAAGAACCTGGGAACGTGCTAAATAAATATGTAGGAGATGGCTACTTGCCTTTTCAGAAAATTTTCAAATAAAAAGAAATCTGCGATGGATTTGAGCCGGGTAATGGAAAATAGAGAAACTGGGTAGGGAACGACAACTTTTGAAGAGACCAGAAGGTGGAGTTTATGAATTCAGCAAGGGTATATCTATCATGTAGCATTTTCTAGTTTTCAGGCCTGGAGGGAAACCTGACCATCGGACAAGTATCTACACGTTATCTCGTTAACCAATGTGTTTAATTCTTTTGTGTGTCTATGTATTTAGAAAACCATAGAGTGTGGCTTGTCACCCTTCTTCAAGGAGAAAGAAGAGGCCAAGTATTGCTTCAACAATGGGGTCTTCTTGATCTCACCAATCAGGGCTTTGTCGACAATCTTTTGGTCTTCCACTCTCTCGGACTTGATCTCCTTCTTGGCACCTTCTTCGAAGAACTTGGCCTCAGACTTGGCCGACTTGGCAGCCTTCTCTCTGGCAAAGTAGGCAACGTCAAACTTGGACAGCTCCAAGGAAGCAACGTCAACCTTGGTGGAGGTGGCGATGGCGTATCTGGCGTTGACTCTTCTCAATGGAACACCGTTGATCTTGAATGGACCGGTGACCAACAAGGTGTTGTCTTCTAAACCCTTCAAGTAAACAACTCTCTTTCCTCTGAAACGGCCGGCAAGGAGAATCAAAACGGTACCTGGAACGATCGATTTCCTCAATTGTTGTGGGCGGGCAGCCTTTCTAGCCTTCTTAGGAGCTGAGACTTCTTCAGCCTTGTACCACTTTGACTGTTGGGGGTTAGTATTGAGTACTTTGTTAACAAGTTCTTCTAGAGCGACCTTTGGGTGGCAATTTGAGGAGGTAATAGCGTTGCATCTAGGACTGTCGAGCTAGGAGAGCGTCACTTGAGCTGGTGCAGTATCTTTTCACTTTCTTGGATCGAGGGTTCTTCACTTTTCACATCAACAGTCATATTTGTAAATCATTGTAAACTGGAAAGTATGAAAGCATGCATTTTTCCGCTCAAAAAACGGGCTGCTCCAGATAACCAAGCAAATTTCATAGCCACTAATTCCTCAAGTCTTTCTTCCTTGACATGTTGTAAAGTTTTCACCACCTATGCTCAGACCGTCAAGCCAACTTGGTCCGCCCCTAAAATAGCCATACCCTGGCTTTTATCAAACTCTAGACAAGATCATAAAAATAACATACTGCAACCATGTTGAAAATGTAATATTGTATAGGTTTAGAAACGACACAAAAACAACTATGCTAGGTCCACAACACTCTTTTCACAGTGAGAACCCACCTCGAGCGTCCAGCAAATAGTTGATATGCACACTACTAACATTGGCTGGTTTTTTTCTTTCGCCCGTTCCGGTCAGAAGAGCTGGCCGCAGCCTGGTTATTCGTGACAGACTATACGCCTACAAGCGTAAACAGCAGCATCGAAATACCCAATACGGAATAACGCAGTCACATTCAAAAGAACGATTAGATCTCCCGATAAGAAAATGGTAGAGCCACACTTGGGAAGGTGCATTACTGATATACGAGATACTGATAACTTTTGTGATTGTTCTTGATAAAAATTATACTCGGTACATTTGTTCGCCTTTTACTTCATTGGCGTGACCCGTAGTTGAATGTCACGACAATGTCACCAATCTCGTTGCTGATTGGCACCTTGATCTCCTCTGTCTTACCGGAGATATCTTTCAGATAGACTTCCCCAGAACCCAATGTGGTAGACTTGCCAAAAGTATGTGATTCCTTCAAGGAAAAGATCACCTTCGCAGTTGGAGGTGCCTTGAAAGAGCTGGACTCATGCCAAACAAATGGACCACCAGAAGAGTTCCTAACGGCCCTAGTTTTGTAGATATCCTTGAGCTTAGAAGCTTCAATACTGACTTGGACCAACACATGTGACCTCGAGGTGATACCAATTCCTGTGAGAATGCTCAAACGACCAGGAATGACGTCAGCACCGGTGAAACTACTGGCGTAGCTTCCATGCGAATACTGCGAGGCACTTCTCGAGTGGCCGTTAATGCGAGTACCACTAGTAGCACCCGATCTGATGGAAGAAACGTCTTGCATCCCGAGGGGAATTGGAGGAGCATCGAAACTGTTATCAGCACTGCCAGCCCCCAGAGTTGGCGTATCGTCAAATTCATCCACCTTCTTCTGATGTTTGGATTTGAAAAGCCCTTTGACTAGTCCCCCACCTGAAGAACCGATGGCACCAGCTGCACCACCAACGACTCCTCCAACAGCACCTGTAGCACCAGCGACGAGCTTCACAGGAGCACCAGCCACCGATCCAAGATCGAGACCAGAACTGGCACCAATTTTGGGTCTAATGTATTTGGGTGTGAACACAGCGTTGAATCTGACAGAACCCTGGGTGTTCAAATTGGCCTTGAAGACTTGGCTCTTACCAGGCGCTAGGGCCTCAAGGTTCAGCCTAGCCTCTCCAAGGAAATCATTCTCACCAGCAAAGTCCCAATCAAAAACGGCCGCAATAACGCTAGATCTCGCTCTGGAAGGAACTGGAATGTCAACCGACTCGTTCCACGTTGGACTCAACGTCTTCTTAACCACCTTTGTCTCATAAGCCTCGGTGCCATTGACCAAAATCTTCAAAACTGGGTCTGATTTTCCATTCGAGTCGGCTGCCTTCAAATCAGCAGCATCAAGAATCTCCAGGTGCAAAACTCCTGTGTCTAACATGGTTTCCGAAACAGGAAGTTTCACTGCGCTTGGTACGTACTCAAACACGAACTTCACATGACTTCCACCCACATTGAGAGTGAAGGATGAACCGTAGTTCTTCTTCAACAGATCCAAAAGGTTGAAGCTTTCCTCGGAAAGAATGTCCTTCTCTGTCTCGGCAATGGCCTTCTTGGTCAAACGCACTATGAGCACCGCATTTTGCAAGTCTCTCACGAAGGCTTCACCAACATCAGTTGAGGCCATCCTGCGGCCTGTGGCTCTTGGCGAGATATACGATGGAAAGGGCTGTTCGTCCAAAACACACGAAACATAAAGATCTGGACTGGTGAACTGGCCTCCCATGACGGTAATACCAAGCGTTCCAGAGTTGTAGGAGAGCAGCTCTGAAGGCGATAGTTGCAGTTTTGTTGGCTTTCTGGTCTCCTCTTCGTCCTCTTCTGGGACATACCATTCGTACTTCTTTGGGTTCTTCTTGAAGTCTTCGGCCATCTCCTGCTGGGCCTTTTCTTCTTCGAGCTCTTTCTCCCTGGCTTCTCTGGCCTTCTCATTTGCTGTTTCGACTTCCTTGATAGTCATCGAAGGGAGCGAAGGATAGAAGGACACAGAGTAGAAAACTTTGCCCTTTGGACCCTTGTTTGGCAGTGAAAGAGTGACATGTTGCTCGGTCTTTGAGCCCTCGTACGCCAAAAAGTTACCACTCCCTGACTTCTTGAGATAAGGACTGAAATCAATCGAAGCGGATCCGAGAGAACGGTCTTTGCCAGTGGTTTCCTTATCCATAACCTCAAGACTGGCAGTTTGACTCTGGGAAAAGATCGGAATGTAAATCAAATCCTCAAAAGTAGGGTTCAAGGACGAAGGGTGAACCACAGACTTGTACTTGAGATGCCCAGAAATGAAGAGTCTGAAGTAAGGATCCACCTTACCGATAGTTTCCAAGTTGCGCAGATCATCAGCACGTCTGATATGGAGTCTGGCAACACCAATAGGAGCAAAGAAAGAGGCAGTTGCAACATCCGCAGTGATTCCAAGAGGTTTCCATTGGGAATCGACTCTCAGGGTTCCGAATGGGGCAAACTTGACAGTGTCAATAAACACCAGATCGGATATGGAGCCCTCCCATTTACCGATAACAGGCTCACCAAAGGCAGACCCATCTCTGACCACAAGTTTGACTTCGGCAAGCGACTTGGTGGCCACAAGATGCTCCAAAGTCTCACCGAACTTGGGCTCATTGGTCTCTTTGGAAGCTCTGGTCGTCAGCATAAGTTCACCATTCAGATAGACTTGCACATAAGCCGAAATTTTACCAAATGGAGAGTACGAGGGGTCAAAGTTCTTACCTTCGTGAAGAACAATCTTCAAAATACCGGACTCAGAGTCTGGAGCAGCTGACTTGGAGCCATCTTCCAGAGTGGCACCTTCCAGGACTGGAAACCAGCGCAGGTCACAGGTCAAGCGACCAACTTTCCTGCTGCTCTTGGTGAGGTTTATAGTCTTATTGGTGATCACGTCTTTCTGAAGCAAATCGGCAAGCTCGAAATCAGCAGATCCAATGAGCTTATCGTCGCCATCATTGAAATCCTGGGCCTCAATGTTCAGTTTCTGTTGCATGTTGTTAATAATAAGATACTTGACCTCGTTGAAGCATGGGGAGCTGGTTTTGGCTTTAACATCAGTCTTGTGGATCTTGCTAGGGGCATCGTCAGTGAAGAACGAGATATATGGATTGCACTCGTCTTTGGTCTTTAAGTCCTCTGCATATTTGACGGTTAAAGCAACACATCCAATGGCAGTAGGTGCGTTAGCAGCCATTATCTCTTCAACATCGATATCCAAAGAGTTGGGAGCATACAGCATTGGCCTCAAAGTCGAATGGATCAGACCATTGACGAATGAAGAAAGACCAGGCACAAAGGACATGATATCCAGACCCAAGGTATCACCACCAACGGGCTTGAGAGCATAGTCAATACTGGGTGGTTCCAAGAACATGACTGAGACGGACTTCACGTGGGGAAAGTTCTGGCCAAATCTCAAGGTGATTCTCATACGACCAGTAAACGACATGTCCTCGACCAAAATTGGAAGGGATTTGGAAACGAAACCCTTACCAATTCTGACACCAAGCGCAACCTTGGGGTCGACCTTCTTTTTGATCTCGTTTTTGGTCATGTCGTCGGTATCATTCGGAGCAAATCCAAAAGCCCAGTCCATTTGAACTATATCCTTACCCAATTTTGTGTAAGATTTGATACTTTCAACTTTGGGGGCTTTCGAACCGAGAGTGAACTCATCAAGACTCAATTCGTCAATACCGAACCCTGGGGCCGCATCTTTCAAAGCCTCATGAGCTTGCTGCAACACCATCTCAGAAAGAGCAGGCATGTAAATAACCCAAAATTTTGCCAGAAAGTCATTCATCCAATCCATAGTCTCAATGGTGTTTTCCAGGCGATCTGCAGCACCAATACGAGCCATATCGTCACGAAGATTGCGGTTGAACCTCCTGAACTCGGCACGATACACCGAAGATGCACCGAAAAGTACGAAAACCAACGCCAAAATACCCCCTCCAAAGCGAGCAGCAAACCACGCAAAGAAACAAGTCCCAATCACCAAAGATGTGTTCCAGTACAAGTCAGAATAGTACTTGTCCATGATGTATCTCTGCAGAAAGGCAGTTTGCTGCTGCAGAAAGGTCGAGGAATCGCTATCTCTTGGGGTAAGCGTTTTTTTGACATTAGTGTCGTTGAAGAATCCAACTTCCTGCCATTTGAAGTCAAGTGCCTGGAAAATAGGTGTTAGACATAATTCTGGAAAAAAGTGCTTGTTTTCGCGAGATGCCTATAGCCGAGACAGGTCCCGGTTAAATGCACCACCACATCGTTGCTAGCGCAACCAAAAGTCCGAATATTCGAATAAAATTAAAACTTACACTAGCAGTGCTCACTTTGGAATTTGCTGGTGTCTTCTCGTCCAAAACTGTCGAGGATTGACCGTTTTGTAGCTTGTCTGGTATAGCTGATCCGTTAGGGCCATCAACCAGTGGCTTCTTTTCTGCCTGGAACGCGCGAGCGGTCACGTTAGCCTCTAGAAATGGACAATACTCCAAAGAGTATATAAACCGAACAATTCACTTACTAAACTCATTTTCAAAACAGACTATACTCAACAGTAAAATCGAAAGTGAATTGGACCAGATACGATGAATCCTTAGTCTTGAAAGCAAGCTCTGGTGCGGGCTTGGAATTTCAGTTACGTATCTGTGAACTTGGCGCGCACACTACGTAGGTCTCAGCCCCAACTTCTGAAAATTCATTGATACTATGTGATGTTTTATTTTGTGGCGATATACCATGGTGGAAAAAATGCCGTTCGGAATATGCCTCCTATCACGTGGACAAAGGATTGTTCAGGGATTTGACCAAATCCTTCTGTTTCTTGAGCACCAGACACCAGGCCTGTTTGCTTATTACCTCTTCCCCAGGCAAGCTCTGTTGGAGATCATTCAACAGGATAACACTGAAATCACCACCAACACGGCCCAAACTCTGGCAACAGTAGATAACCTGTAGCAGCAAGCCATCCTTCACGGACTTCTCCGTTATCATTGGCAGAGACTCCCTGAGGATTGCGGAAAGGCGCGATATCACGGCGCTAATGAATGAATAGAGTAAAGTCTTTGTAGCTCTTGAAATCACCTGCGAAGAACCTTCCTCGGGGAAAACCGAGTCGTATGACATAAGCGTGGCAAAGCAGTATTCTCTGATCACCTCAATGCTCCTTTTTAGGTACTTTTCCATCGAGTTGGATTGTTTCAACGGAGATAGCACATCCAGCTCGTTCATGATAAACTGGTATCTTGATTTCAGGAATATCTGCTTCAATTGCTCGTTTCCCATAGAGTTTGCGGACCTGTTATCATCATCAACGTTCAGGGGCCCTATTCTTTTCAAATAAGATATGATCTTTATTATGCTCGTCTGCTTCAGGTCTGCGTTCAACAACCTTATCAGACCCACCTGCATTTCCTTAACCTCTCTTTTGATGGCCATTTCCACCTGTGAAATAATGGCGATATCCGAGTATCTGATCGCCAGTCTTCTCACGTGCGAGGCTATCTCAACACATTCTGCATAATGTCCCTGTTTGACACATGCATTTGCCAGAGCAGGGAGTTCCAAAATATCCATAATCCCGTCCATGTTCTTGAGCACTATGAAAGAGGATTGGGAGTTTGAAGCTTTGGAATCCGCTAGACCAGTAAAATCTTTCCAACCTATCGACTCATCATCATCTCCCCTGTGTCTTGCGTCGATCTCATGCGTTTCGACCTCATCCTCTTCTCCGTCCTCGTTCTTATCTTCATCTTCATCTGATTGGTATCTGCCAAAACTGTTGCGTATCGTTTTCACACTCCCACTAAACTCACCCTGGAATACATTGAACACATTTTCGACCTGAGCATTGGTTTCCAGCACCAGCGAGATGTTTGAGGTGAGTGTGTTCTTCAGCTGCTGGACAAGGGTTCTTTGCTTGTTGTCCAATTCAGCAACTTCCTCGATCAATGTTTTGGAGCTCTGCTCGGAATCCAAAGAGGGGGGAACCGAAGTGGCCAGAAGCAGATCCGAGTCCTTTCGCGACAGCAATTCGTTCAAAAACACCAGTGATTGCTGCTTGTACTCCTCTTCAGACAGCAGGTCTACGATGTTCGGAGCAACATCTTTCGCCAACGTCTCCAGCAACACACCTATATTGAGCAGGTTGTCAGAAGAAGGCGCTACCTCGGCGCTCATTGTTCGCAAAGGAGGAAAGACAGCAATTGATATGGATCGGTGATAGTGAATACAGTTACGACAGATCGACACCAAAGGGTCGTGTTGATAACCACAAGGTTAGCAGCCCCGACACGCGCTCCCACGACTGTTGGCTGCTTAGTTAGCTGTACAAACCTCCTTGGCCTTCCAATACCTGATTCCAGCTTAATATATTCCAAGAAGACCCAATTGAGTTTCGCCACCATGGAAGGGCTCTATTTTAACATTGATGCTGGATTCATCGAAGGAGTTGTGCGCGGATACAAGTCTGGGCTTTTAAGCTCGGCTCAGTACATTAACCTTACTCAATGTGACACCCTGGAAGATCTCAAACTCCAGCTTTCTGCTACCGACTACGGCAACTTTTTGGCGAACGTGCCAAGTCCGCTGGCTACGTCGGTGCTCCAGGAGAAAGCGAGCCAAAAACTGTACGAGGAGTTCCATTATATCAGGGCACAGGCCACAGAGCCATTAGCCAAGTTCATGGATTTCATCACCTATGGATACATGATCGATAACGTGGCATTGATGATCACAGGAACAGTCCATGAGAGAGACAGGGCCGAAATTTTGGAAAGATGTCATCCGCTCGGTTGGTTCGACACTTTGCCCACGCTTTCAGTTGCCACGGACATCGATTCGCTGTATTCGACGGTGTTGATCGACACCCCATTGGCACCATATTTCAAGGATTGTCTGAGTGCAGATGACTTGGATGACATGAACATTGAAATCATCAGAAACACGCTCTACAAGTCCTATTTGGAGGATTTTGCCAACTTCTGCTCCAAATTGCCATCTCCCTCGGACGAGATCATGCTGAGATTACTCAACTTCGAGGCAGATAAGCGTTCCCTCAATATCGCGCTGAACTCACTGGGGACAGAATTGACCCCAGATGTCAAGGTGAAACTACTGCCCTCTCTGGGAAAGCTGTACCCCACGTTCCAGGTGCAGCTATCCCGTGTTGAAGACATGGAGAGCTTGAAGGGGATCGTTGACAACGTTTTGGAGTTCAAGGACTTCTTCGACACTTCAAACGAGAAGACACTCGAAGACCACTTCTACCAATACGAGATGGCATTGTGCAGGGATGCGTTCACGCAGCAGTTTACAATCTCCACCATTTGGGCTTGGATAAAATCTAAGGAGCAGGAGATCAGGAACATAACCTGGATTGCCGAATGCATTGCGCAGAACCAAAAGAATAGAATCGACAATTACATCTCTGTGTTCTGAGCCAACAATGAGGAGACTGTGGGTCTGGTATCGATGAAAAAAGACAACGGCTAGCTTGAATTTGATAGTTTCGGTCCAAATGAATGCAGTCAGCTTGGAGCTGCCTAGAATTTACATAATTCGGTTAGCCTAATGGGTTGAATATCGACACAAGTTATTAACTGGTTGGTATATAAAGAAACAATCATGACACAAAAAAACGTAACACCGCGAATAACCTTTTGGTATGGAAAACTAAACGACAAGCAGAAGAAAAGCAGCATTGAAATAAAATAAACAGGGTCGTAAAGGGGAGCACGTATAAAAACGAGACTCTAAATGAGTGTATTTGGGGTAAACAGGGGGTTAAGCTGGTGTTGGAGTGAAAATGTTCGTACTCTCATAAAACAACTTCGACAATCTCATCGGTTGCGGAAACCTTCAAGTACGCAGTTTTGGTACCGGGACTTTTCTCGAAAGGCTCAACTGGGTTCCCTTGGTACTCGTTGATCCGTGGACACTGCGAGAGATCCAAGTGACGCAAACTCTTGGAGTTGGATAGCAATGTGTCAATGCCCTGTCTAGTGACACGGATACACCCAGTGAGAACCAACTTCTTCAGATGGGGCAATCTCGACAACGATACCAGCGAGCTATCAGAAACAGCAGAACCACAGAACGACAGATTCAGAACGCGGATGTTCTTACAACAAAGATACAAGATGGCAATAGCGTTGTCAGAAAGAACACAGCAGAATGTGAGGTCAAGTTCCTCCAGATTGGGTGAGGCAGTGGCTAACGAGGTTATGGCAACATCGCTCAAAAAGGTGCAGTCTCTTAGCACCACCTTTCTTAAGCGTGGAAACTTCCAATTGGACCAGTACGAAAATCCATTGTCTGTGATGGTGGTGCATCGGGTGAGATTCAACTCCTCGAGCCTGTCGCTAGCATTTTCAGCCAGCGATAACATGGTTCTGTCTGTGAGATATTTGCAATATGATAAATTAATCTTCGACAACTTAGGACATCCGATTTGGAGGGTGGATGACTGGGAACTTGAACCAACCAATCTTTCTATGACATCAACTCTGACTTTTCTGCAGTTGGCAAGGTCTATCTCAACAAGATCGGAGCCAACACTGGGAACACCCAGATCCATTATGGCCATAGCAGAGATGTTCCAATTGTCCCTCATCCTCAAAGTCTTGATAGAACCACGAATACCGATCTCGCTGATCATGTAGGTGAAACCTTCGTCTGTGATATGGTGACAATTGGATATGTCGATGACCTGCGGTCTTGATCCCACAAAGTTGGTAATCCTGATGAGCGAGGCGTCATCTATCTCGCGAGAGTAAGGTGTCAAGTCCAGGGTTTGACAAAGATTGGAAGCCAAGTACACCATCTGCTTCCAATGACGACTGACAGAGGCACATCTGGCCAAGGTCTTGAGGTCAAGATACTCAAATATCTTCAGCAATAGCGAATCGGGAAGCGGCCCGGCAGAAAGAACAGATTTCCTTCTTCCCGTTCCGCTGACAGAGTTGATCCGCAATCTCTGAGCGTAAGGTGTATACTGGAAGTTAGCCCGAGTTGGCTGGAACTTGTCCAAAGAGTTCACAGAGGGATCCATAGAGGAAAGTGAGAACTGCTGCATTTGTTGTTGCGGTTGTGACTGCATCTGCGGCGTGAAAACGGGTGAAGACATAGACAAAGGCAATGCAGGCCTCTGTGGTCTGAATTTGGGATCCTCTTCGATATTAGACATGGACGTTGAGGACGAGGAAACAGAGGAAAAAACAGAAGATTGAAAACTTGCTGATGGGAGCAGTTTCGGTCTGGATAGCGGGTCTTCTTCGTTAAGACTTGGTTCATCAGAACCCGTAATGTCCTTGGGACCCGAATCCTCATAGTTGCGGTTCCAACTTATGCTGTTGAACAATGGCTCATCGTGCTCATTATGCGCAATAAGAGAATCCACGGTAATTCTATCGAGCAAAGAGACCTGCGTAGAATGTATCATATTTCCAACAGAGTCATTGTTGCGCAGTCTCTCCCCAGCGGTGGTCTTCATATCCTCAGCGACCAATGGAGATCTTCTACAAAGATCTTCAAGAGTGTCACCTCTGACAACGAGCAGCTCACACTGTGAAATTGCCCTGATATCTGCGCTTCTGGCTTTGGTAGTGGACTCCTGCTCAGACAACGAGGATAAGAATGCCATTTCTCCAAAGTATTTGCCAGGGCCTAATCTCGCAAATATACGATTATCGTTTGAAGGGTCAACAACTTCGACCTCTCCAGAAACGATAAAGAAGATATCACGACCCATATCACCCTTGCGCAGAACGTACTGAAAAGTGTTGCATTTGATCATCTCCACACTCAGAGCCAGTTCGTGGATCTGGTCAGATGGAAGCGTCTTGAAAAGGGGTAGACTTCCAAGAAACTCACGAACCGAGATGGAATCATCCACGTTGTCCCTCAAGGGCGAATTTACCACGGGCTGGTTCGAGTGACCTATATGACTGAGATGCGCGAGACGGTGGCTGGGATGCATTAAAGGGAGCGAAGGGCCAGGCAGAGAAGGACCAGGAACAAGAGCTGACTGTATGACTGCATCTGAGGATACACTGGGCTTGATCATGTTTGAAACCACAGTGCTGTTATTGCCTCTAACATTAGCAACTGCTCTGGTAGAGGGAGATGGTGTATTCACAGTCTGTGCAATGAAACTTGCTCGCCTTCTTTTCTCCTGCATTGCAAGTCTTTCCTGGCCTTCATCACGAATGAGTCTCTCGATGGCGGGGTAATCCGGCAAAACGGTATTCAACGACTCCTTAGTCAAAACTCCAAGCAGAACCTTTGTCCTGGCCACCACCGTAGCCGTTCTTGGTCTGTTGAAAAGAATACCAATTTCACCAAAAAAGGAACCGGCAGTCAACTCTGCGTACGTAGACTCACCGTCGGTTGACGTCACTCCAACAGAACCCCTCAGGATCCAGTACATCGACTTCGCGGCCTCACCGCTCTTGACAATGTCCTCTTGTGGGTGAAATTGTATCAGCTTCAACGACCTTCCGACAGCGCTCAGGAAGGCAGGTGGAGCATTAGCGAATAGCGGGAACGTCCGCAAACGATTTATGAGCTCCAACGGTATGGCTTTGTAGCTCGTGGAGTCGTAGCTTTCGTCGCTTTCGTCATCATCATTCTGATCCTCGGCAGATCCCGTTTTCATTAATTTATTGTCTAAAGACTCCATTTTTGAGCCTTTCCGCTTGGTAGCCGAAGTATCAGGTTTCCGTGTGAAATCTGGTTGTGAATTTTCATCGTGTAGTCTTCGTTCCTCGTCATCTGCAAGTGGAGAGCTTATGGACGGCGTGAAACTTGACCTTTTCTGGAACTTCATCGTTGAAATTAAGAGCTCAAAAATTTGAAGCGACTTAGAGCAGGACAAGATTCCTCAAGAAGAAGACAGATGGAACAGACAAAAGAAGGGACCAATTTTTAGAGGCGGCCAGACAGAGTAAATAAGCGCCGGTGTCGGTGTTCTTCAAACGGCTGCTTCCTCGTGGAACGGGTATACGAAGCTCCTTCTATGTTCCTCTTCGGCCCTTGGCTTCTTTGGTGTGGTTTGGTGCCTTTGCTGGTTTGTTCGCTTTTGTTCTTGCTTGTTCACCAACTCTCAAGCATGAGTACAAGCAACTTTGCGATCTCCTTGGGTGTGCAAACGCAAATTATATGATATAGATACCAAATTCAAAGTCCTTTTTGACTAAAGACTTTCAGAAAAAACGATATCGAAAATAGTATTTGCCGAAAAGAGGCGAGTAGATGGTCGAAGCCTTGTTAAAAGAGAGGATGACAACGAGAGTCTGGATGTGTAGATGGTGTAGGGAGTAGTGTCGGTAACTAATTCAGATTTTAGCGCGCAACGTAGAAGATTCACTTTGTGGCTTGATAGAAAAAATTAAGCTCTGTGAAAAGAAAAGAGTCAATAGAACAAAATTTGAGGCATGTATAGAGAAAGCAATTGCCGATCGTGTGCATCTAGAAGATCTTCGAAAAGGCAAATTTAGTGCTGTCTCGGTTGCCGTGAGGCGGAAAGCAAATCAGAAATTCCGCTTCAGCCGGTCGCAGTGGCCCCTCTTAGTAGGAATTTATGTAGGTACACGCAGCATTGCTTGGCGAAATGTATTATTTACTCGTCATTTGTCCTGAAGCGAAAGACAGCCAGAAAGACTCACGGGAAAATCCTGCACCAAAAAACGCAAAAGAGTTCCGTATCCGGGCAGCCGAGTAAAGGACATTGGTCTTGTACAGGTTTACAGAAGTCCGGATCGAACGGAACCCGAAATCTATATGCGTGAAAAATTAGCTAGCATTTTATGGGATGAGGACAGGGTCTGTAGAGAGGTAAAGGTTTTTTTTTTTGGCAAGATACTGTATATAACACACTCACTACAAGATCACATCCCGGAAGACGCAAGATGCGGCCCTTTGAAATACTAGTGTCAAGGTTATGCACGATGTACATGGGCGTGCGCACTGGGAATTTCATTGGTTCTTTCACGCGCTTTCCTTGCTATTATAATTTTTCCAGCAAACTCTGTGTACGACCCATGTCGGCCTAGTGTGTCGGATCACCAAGTTGCATCTTATCTGGAAGATAAATAATATAGATACGCAACGTCAGCGATAATGTATTCTTTAAGACCATCACGTCATCCAGTGTAGTCGGAGGGGAAGCATACGGAGTTTTGTGTGTGTCTCCTTCATATGAGGGGAAAATGTTCTGTAAGTGCATATAGTTAGGTGGTCACATGGTCTGGAATTTGTCAATCTCAAATAATTTAGCGCTTTTTTTTTGAATTGTACGACCATGCCTTTTTGCTTACCCCACATTCTTGGTTACCGGCATGATGTCATGCAATGGTTGTGTGCATTACATGGTCAACTATGACCACCTCGCAGTAATTCAGATATCCCGGAGTTTCTCGTGTTGGTTGCTCCCGGTGAAAATTGTTAGTGACTAGGGAGCGGAGTTCGGGATTACTCCGCATTCAGAGAACATACTCACGTCTTCTATGCACATATGACTATATGAGTATATGACTATATATTTGACCTTGACTTCCCACATTTCTGCAAATACTTGCAGCATTTAAATTTTATCACCAACACAATGAGACTCCCACAATTATTTAACTGGAATCAAGATGACAAACAGGAGGTTAATAAGCTGACCCACGAGGTCAACGTCCTCAACTGGCACGTCAAACATCTTGAAAATATGCAACCAATGCAAATGCCAAAAGCACAGACTCAACCCATGTCGGACACACATTACGGAGACGCTCTTCAAAGCATGTCAGAGTCCTCATCGAGGAGGGGTTCAGATGTTTCCACAATGTCCATTCCACCGCCCACTGTTGATCACTCAATCGCTTCCTCGCCTCCAAAGACACCGAGAAAGTTTGGTCCTCTGGATGAATGGTGCGTTTTTTTCTGAAACAAGAGATTTTTTGATGCCCTTGCTAATATCAACAGTCTGGTCTTTTATTGAAGTCTGATAGTGAAGAGTGAACCCAAGAGGTGGATCAGTCTATACTTCAACGCATATGGTGGGAAGACAATACCAAACTATACTATTCTCGAATCTGAGATTTCACGCATACCCTTTTTTTAGTAACCGCATCTAATATTCAACCATCTAATATTTCAGACAGTGTAGACGTATTCGCTGTGTGATCCAGTGTATCTCTCATGTGAAGAGAGCGTGCACATGTAGCCTGACTCCACAGCCATATTCTCGTAAAGTAAGTCCCTCGACTCCAAGAATTGTGTTTATCTGAAAAATGCAACCTTACGTAGAAAACGACGGTAAGGTCACCACCAACCTGTCGATATCACTAGTGAAGGGCTCACTACCAATCACCTGACCGGCTCTAAAATCCACAGGGCTCAACGCGTTTTTCACGACGTGGTTGACATAACAAGAAGTATAGATCTCATCCAGCAAAAATTGCATATCTTCTAATTCTGGATCCGTTAATAAACAGAACTTGAGTCCAGATCCCGTCTCTTTGAAATGGCATTTGAACCTTAGGGTAGAGAAGCTCTTGAGCTTATTTTGCTTGCTCAGATTCTGTGATATATTCTTCATGGAAAAAATCGTTCCAAACAACAGTTTGGCAGTGTCTTTGGCATTGTTGACATTCACCAGGCTGCTTTTAGACTTGTTGTCCCACTCTCTGCTGTAGATGCAGTTTGCTATAGGCGTTAGTCAGAGGTTAATAATTCCCAAAGAGCCCATCACTTACAGTGTCTATCAAAGATCCAGAGGGAATATATGGCCATTGTGCAAAAAAAAAGAGTAATTTCAGGGTATGAATTGAATGGTTTACTCGAGAGAGCGAGGAAGGTGTTCTTCAAGTGCGATCTGGATTGTATTGAGACTAGTGTGGATCAACGCATACTGGTCAAGGCTCATAACCAAAACGGAAGATAATTAACAAATCAGCATTAAAAGTCCCCTCAAAAAGCAGAATTCTTATTATATTTGCTCTTTTTTTGAAATTTTGTGCACTTAGTACCAGATTGAATAAAAGCGTGTATATTTTCCAAGATGCTCTAGCATGCGTAGTTGTTTAGACTCGCCGTGTGCAGTCTTCTTGCTTCCTATCGGATCGCTGCCAACTTTTCCAGTAGCTTTTCGTGCCATTGTCTCTCAAAATCTGGAGACAAAGACATTGCAAGAGACTCGAAGGTGGGAAAAAGATCGGATTCCTTTGGTACCTGCGTACCCAAATGACTCCTAACAAACCAGCCATTCTCACAACAGTATATCTCAGCGCGGTTTTTAATAGACCTACCCTTGGGACCACCAGAAGCAATTTCACAGCTTATAAATGACCCATGGTCGCCTTCAGAATGATATACCAGTTTATGAAAGAACGCATTGTATTCGTCAACTGCCCCTCTCAGCTCATCATCCATTGTCAACCAGTGTAGATGCAGCGAATTCCAGAACAAAACCCAGATCACTCAAGAAATATAGTTCTCTGATATCTATCCAGACATTAATTTGGGGATTAATCCAATGGCTGAATACGACAGCTATGGACGTTGTTGCATTCAGGATCGTGTCACGTGGGGTATCTTTGGTCTTTTTGGGTTATGAGCACCAATCCCAAATTTTGCATCCGACTTCCTCAACAGTTTCCATTCAACGACGACAGCTATCTCATACACACCCTACTCAACGCTATACTTCACAGTCAAAATGTTTACGAGGCGGTTTTTCAGTGTGCTGACTCCACTCAGAGAGCAAACTCGTGTTTGGGGCGAGCGTAATGCCATATCGCCTTTGAAGAGATCCATCAAGGTGTTGGAAACCGAGGCCGCTCCACAGAAGATCGTGATTGACCAGAATTTTGTGCAAAAATTCAACGATTTGAAGACATACGATCCATTTGATTTCTCTATTGCTGGTATAAAGCTACAGAAGTACAAAAAGTCGCAGGAATTTGAAAAGAGAAGACAGGTTTCTGGTTTCAACTCTAAAAACGTGAATCCATTGGATTTCTATTGTCTTCCTTCCACTCTGTCAAACTTTCTGCGTCCAAATGGAGATATACAGCCCAGATCGGAGAGCGGTTTGAGTGCTAAGAAACAAAGAGCACTTTCGAAGGCGGTGAAGAGAGCGAGAAAATTAGGCTTTCTGTCGCCAGTGGCCAGAGACGGTTCGAGGCTGCTGAAACATTTGGATTGAATGGAATCCCATGTCATGTATATAACCAAAATCACAAATGAAATCATTACCGCATCATATGGCGTATTTGCTGCGTTCCGTTCACTTCAAAAGGGATGCATCCGGACCCCTCAGTCTAATATAAACGTCCGTTCCATGGCCATATATGGTTTGAACATCCAGGTCACCACCAAATAGTTCAACATAGATCCTACTTAAAGGTAACCCATATCCCATTCCTGCAATAATATTGACGGCACCGTTTCCACCAATGTTGTTCAAAGTTTTGTAAGAATCGCCAGCCTCTTCTGAGTCGAAGGTAGTAAAACTGTACTCGAACAATCTCTCCATAGCCTCAGGAGGGATACCACCGCCTTTATCACTAATCCGGATCTCTAGAACGGTATCAAGATGTTCATTTTCCTTCAAATTCTGATAGTCTTTAGCTACCAAAGTGATCTGAATGGGAGCCAACGATTGGGACTCTATGAGGGCCCTTGCAGAGTTCTTGAAAACCTCGTTCAGAACATATTCAAGATGAGAAGGAATAAATGGGAAGAATACTTCCGCATCAATGCCATCAACATTTAGTTGAGGCTCGTATTTCGTGAACGTGGTAGTACCATCACTTTTGATGATGAAGGTCTCGACTTGAACTTTAACTCGTTCATCGTATTTCAGTAGGCACATCCCATTCACAAAATCGATACTCTCACGAATAACCTGCATCACATCTAGCTTCTTATCGACGACGCCAATGCTTCTGAGAGCCCCACTGTCGATATCGGAGTTGCTCAACGGAGCCAACTGAGCCGAAAGAGACATGTGATGGTTTGCAACCAATCGCATCATGATGCGCTCCTTCAGATGGTTATCCAGGAACTCTGCGCCGTTGAAGAGATTCAAAGGAGCTATTTCCTCGAACCCCTTGGACAAAACCGTGAGGTTATCTGTGTGGATATCAATAGACTTTTGGAGCACACCAATGAGCCTTTCGTTCTGTTCCAAGCTAGACAGCTTGAAAGAATCCAGTTGTAATTTCGAATCATCTCCTTGAACAGAGGCCACAAATTCGAGCAGTACCTTCAAGGTCTCGAGGTAGGCGTCATATATCTCGGCAATGTTAGGGTTCAGCACCACAATGTATGGCAACTGTCTGAACACTTTCAATCTGGTAGCAATCAATGTCAGCATATCCATAACAGTTTCGTTAGCATTCTGGAGGATCATGAGCTCCTTGTTGTGTTTGGTAGCGGTGTTAAACTTCAGCAGGTCATTCAATGAGATCTCAGGCAGAGGCTTGTTGGATGATTCATAGATAATGCTTTCCAGCGAGGAACGGATCTGGTGCTGTCTAGTGATGTCTTCATGTGATGATAGAGGAATGTGAGAGCTTGAATTGTGCCTTTTCCAAGTGTGCCGTATGTACTGCTGATGGTGCTGCTGCCTCAAGCGTAGTCCCGATCGTATGGAAACCAGGATTGGAATACGCCTTCCGAAAACACCAGAGACACAGCTTCTGGCATGCAATGACATCGTGGCTCCAGATCTGAATATATATATATGCCAAATATCACTTTTGTTTGTTCGTAAGCCCTGTGCGAGAAGAAAAGAGTCATAATCGGCTGGCATCGCCTATCAGTCTCTCCACAATGGGGTATTACGTGGGACACACAATTAGCAGCCGCACGTAAGTCATTGATACTACGGGCTACTTGATTGGACGGGGATCGTCAACGTATCTCTACGGTTTATTATCGCGAGAAACTCTTGATTTTCAGTCAACTCTTCTGCCAGTTCTTGCAAGGGCAACGTCAGAAGATGAAGAATTCCGGGAACCCAGCATCTTGCGGGGTAATGGGGGAGGAGGGGCTCTTTTGCGAGGCTTAGTAGAACTGCCGTTGGATGAGTTGGATGTGATGGAAATCGCATCGTCTCTATCGTTCAGCATGGTGGCATTGTGATATCCCATGCTGGCTGCCACCTGCGGCGAATCAGGCATATCCATCCCCGAGTTCGAAGAAGAAACCGAACTGAAGCTTTTTCTAAGGAGATCCCCCTCATCAGCAAACTTCAGAGCTCGCAACTCCAGACATCTTCCGGAAAGTCTCTTCGTAGATTCAGCACTCTCTTCAGCACTGTTCAAGTACCTCATTACTTCCACCAAGCTCTCCTTCTTGTAGCTCTCGCTTTTCAAAACAGAGAACATCAGCATAGGGTAGATCACCCTCAAGTATGTGTTGATCAAGGCCTCGTCCTCGACCAACGACAAATCGTTCAGTTCCCTAAGAAAAATGTCTACCAGAACCTTCAGGTCGTTCAGGTAGAACCATTGGCATGTGGACGATGTGGTGAATACCATGTAAAGCACCTTCAGCATGAGTATCTGTATTATATGGTCCTTCTCCCTGTTGAAATTGAGCATGAGACACTCACTAAAGTTCCGGAAGTTCGTTCCCTCTATCATCGCATTGAATGCTTTGTTGGGAATCCTCTCCGCCTCTTCTGAACTGTAAAAAGAAACCATATACTGTTCATTCATTACCAGCAGCAGCTTAAATTTCAGAAAGTTCAATTCGTCTTCGTCTCTCGTCGAAATAGTCAGCGACTTGAACAAAAACTCCAGAAAACAAATGTCCACTGCTGCCAAATCTTCCGAGCTTATGGTCGAGTTCTTGCAGATTTCATAGAGCAACTCCAGGAAGTTGGAGTATGTGCTATAGTATGGATTCTTGATCGCGTCACTGTATTCAGGCAGATCCTTGAGTTTCTCCTTCAACTTGCAGTAGCAGGTCAATGTCTCACATATCGTTATGAACCCCTGGAATTCTTCCAGTACCGTCATTATGCTGTTGTTGGCGGTGTAGTTGATGTACAGGATCCAGCCTATCGTCCGCACCATTCGCTGGTTCATGTTTAATGTCTCTTTGATCTCAATCTCGTGTCCCACTCCCTTATCGTATTCTATTCCCTCGGCCAAAGTCAAAGCGCTCTGGGCTATGTAGTTCAGCAACGAGAGTAGCTTCCTGATGCAAAAGCCAAGATTCTCTTGGTAGTACGAGCAGTCTATCAACAGCTTTGCTGCACTGTAATGAAATGAGTCAACTCCTCCTTCAAACAAAGAGCCGATTTCCTCGGAATGCGTGGTACACAACGAGATGTACGAAACAATGATCATGTTCATCTCGTCCGACGAGCAACTGTCCGGCCTTATCGTGACATACTCCCCGGTATTCGGATCAAAGTACACTTTGCTGTACAAAACCTCATTAGCCATATCCCAGAACCCATCTACTGTCAGATGGCTTTCTTCGCCATCTGGCATCTCTGCAGAGGCTGTTGACATTTCCTGGGGGGTTGTGACCAAGTCACAGCTGATCCTCAATCCCTGGCGATCACGGTGTTAGTCCACTCAACCGGGTGAACAAGCAAAGTATTCAAACACAGTGCGGAAGACAACGCAACTATATTTCGGAATACGAGTTTTCAGCAATAAAATGGCGTGGTTTCGGCGTGTATGTTAAAGAGTCATGTTACGTAGTGTGACGAAACTCGTGATGATGTCAGGTTGTGCGGCGGCTAACTTTTGGGAGTCTTCCCACTTGCCCCATACTGCAGAGTTAGAATTTACAGGCACAGACAACAATATTGGTGTTGTTGACAGGGCAGCTACAGGCAATGCTAACAATATTAAACAGAGTGAGTAACTGAAACGTGCTGAGTTTTTGTGAGATCATTAATGGTGACATGCTTACTTACTCCTTAACCAGGCGTATCAGCTGGAGAGTGATGCCGAAAGAGCCACGCTGCGGGGAGACATCTCTAAGGCAATTGAATACCATGAGAAGGCATATGAGGTGTTGAAAGAATTCACAAAGGAGACCGAGGGTCCTGGGCAAAAGGAAAACGGACTTGATGAGGACTTTGGTGTTACCAAGGCGATTCATACTCTACTATCCCAGATCGATAGGCGTATGGAAGAATTGAGGAAAGTGAAGAAACTGCGCGAACGGCCGTCAACCCAGAACCTGGAAAGAACACCGGAGAAGACGAAGCAGGCAGAACAGGATAAATCTTCTGCTGATATGTTGATCAACCAGATAAATGTTCTGCTAATAAAGAACCTGAACGTTGATCTCACCGATAAGTCTTTGGGGCAAATCGAATTGCCAGCAGAGCTACAGGTTCAAGATTTACAGCACAAATTGAGGATTATTGGTCTTTCTGATAGCAAGAAGAAGAATCTGTCGCTTGAGAATGAAATGCTTACAAAGCTGAATGCTTACTACCAGTCGCAAATCCACACCCAGAAGACCTTCATCGTGGAACTGTATGAGCTATTACTGAAATCATCGAGCCAGGGCGTTCCATCCATTCCCCACTACAAAGAGGAGTACAAGGTCATTATTGGTGATCTACAGCAAAAACTGAGCGAGGTTGAAAAGGATAAGGTGATTTTGGAAAGCCAAGTGGTTAAACTCAAGGAGAGGTGGAATGGGTTGGTCGAAAGTGCTCGCAAGAGGAAGGAACTTGATAGAAGAAAAGCACCCGATTCAAGCAGTTGACCTTGAGGCATGTACAATCGTTGATTAGTTAATGTTAAATGATGGGCGTGATGACATGGATTTTTGAAAATTTCCTTAAAAAGATCATCATTATCAAATGGTCATGATCCAATTACTTGATTCAATGTCGCGCTACCGGTTAACGAGAATATAACGATAGCACTCATTTGAGCTGCACTAGAATTTTCTTCTAAGCGGCCTTGATACCACTCATCATCTCCTCTTTGTTGATGAGATGCTCGATAGTCTCGATGTGCTCCAACAGCTCATCAACACTGGCACTCCAATCATTCAACAGCTCGTTCTCGGACTTGTTCTTGATAAAGCTAACAATCTTCAAAGGTCTGTTGATTCTGGCATATATGACTCCCTCATTCACCATGGTCGTGATGTTAGCCTCAACCTCAGCTTGGGGCAGTTGGAGCAGCTCGGTGAGCCTTTCTAGGGTGATGTTCGAGTAATATTTTGCAATCACCCGCAAATTGTGTTCAATGATGCGTTTCTGCAGGTCTTCCCAGTGAAGCTTACCTTTTTCAGTGGACTGGTCGAAAGAAGCGTTCTTGAACAGTTCAGCAGAGTACGAGTCACGGAATGCGTTCCATCTCATCAGCTCCTGCGTGGTGAAAGATTTCACCAGCTCAGACTCCATAGGCAACTTGATCAGGTCTTTGTCCAGCACAACTCTGCTGATTAGATCGTTCTGAAGATTGCTGTATGGCGCGAGAATCACGAAATGGACAGTTCTCGCTAACACCTTTAAGCTCTCCTCCTTATTATCAGAAATCAGAGGTATGCTGTAGATGGAAAGCAAGTATTTCACAATGTTAATGTAATCGTTCTCTTCCAGAGCAATCTCAATCACCAAGTTGTAGTAGTGTAGTTTGAGTTCTGGGAACTTGTCTAGTGACTTCACTAGAATCTTTCTGCTCAGGATCTTTGCAAATGAATAATCTCCCTTTCTGTTACACAATTCCACCTGGTTCAAGATGAATTCAATCTTCTCCTTTATTTCCATCGATCCATAAGTCTCAACCTGAAGCTCACAGAGGACCTTCGTAGCCTTGTCCAAGTCATTCTTGGTGTTGAGCAAGATGTCTGAAAGAATCTTAGTAACCCTTGCCCTTTCTAGCTCAACGTAGATTTTGTTCTCCGTGATACTGCGAATGTTCTCAATAGTCTCTACTTTGACCTCTATATCATCAATCTCAGCCAGATGTTCTATAACCTGTTGGATCATGACCTGAACGGTATTTTTGAGCTGACCATGTTTTTTGGACAACAACGTAATCTGCTCGTTCAACAGAGACCAGTCCCTCTCATTAGCAAGCAAATCTACTAGATACGCCACAATCCTTTTGGAAGAAGCAAGATCAGAAGCCTGTCTGGTCTGCTTTTCAAGGAGTAGTAATTTATCCAGCGCAGTTTTGTAATCGCTCTGTTCGACGTGTTAGTTCGTGTCATCAAACCCCCATAGTGCGCATCAACATACCTTGGCCAGAACCTCAATTTGAGGGAACTGCTCATCCAGAGTCTCGGTGAAGTCTTTCTCTGCCTTTAAGGGTGCTTCTCTGGACATTGTTCGATTGTTCTATCCTGAATACTAAAAATGTTGAAGGTGAACGCCAAAGTGCCTTGTCACGGCAGTGGCAACTGAAGGCCATCTGGCAGAGGTTGGGAGCGATGCCCCAACCAAACGGTTATGAGCCGTTGTTCCCATAGCCCCAGACACGCTAAAGCCTTTATGACAGACGCATAGTTGTAATGTCTAATAATCAGTTCTACTACGACTAACGTGACTCCTTGGCCAGTGAAAGCCTCTCAATTTGCAGAGATTCCTGAACATGGATGTCACATCATATTTCTCATCCCAGTCCGTCTCATCCAGGGACAATCTCAACTGGGTTTTCCTTGTTGATTGGATTCTGGCATTCATATCATGCATAGCTGTTATATTCTTCTTCAACAGGGCCATGGCATGGGCTGTCAGCACTTCACTCAACTTTGTGCTCTGGAAACGACATAAGGTGAGGTATAAGGTGCAATCCTTCAAAATATCGTACCTCGGAGGAAGAGTGTTCTTCAAGAACTTGACGGTTATATCTGACAATCAGATAGTCTTCATACACCAGGGCTGGTTTACCTGGAGATACTGGCTAAACGCCTCACGAAAATCCGACTACATCTTTGATCGAGTTTTCAAATCTGAAGGAGATGCTGAAAATCTCAGAAGCCCGTTTAACGATTCGCTTCCAGCCCGGTTTGCTCTGGAGGCGTATGGTTTGGAGATCTTCATGTACAATAGAACCGAGGTCTACGACAATATCCTGAACTTCTTGAATAAACACGATGTCGAGACCCCAGACGATTCGGCTGATGAAAAAGAAGGGAATGTCGGCTTGAGGCAGCGAAAACATGTCAATACTGATATACATGATGTTCCCCGAACTGTTGCACCAATCATTGAGGGAATGAACGAGCTCAAGATCAACCGTAATCTGGGTCCATATTCGTTACTGAGAACATTACCCATTGAGTTAAGCATCAAGAAAGCATCCTTAGTTCTGGGAAACGAGAACACAAGTTCTCTTGTGGTCTCTTCATGTTCAGGAATTACGGGAGAGCTTACGATTGCTCCATCCAAATGTTCTTTGGATTACTACAAGATTGTGTCGAATCTGAAGTTGCAAAAATTCCAGAGCTTTATGAAACCGAACATTTCTAGCACCAAGAATCTAACACCGACCAGTATTGATGCCATACGGGCATATAAGCAAAAACGTCGTTTGCAACGGCTGAGGAGGTTTCTTGGATCTGTGGTTCTCAAAATTGTACACAAAAGGGATAGGAAGACCCTCGAGCGCGATAACTCCCAAAAGTACGAAGAGATGTGGCCTGGTTTGAAAAGATACTTACTGGACGACAACCAGGATGTGAGAACTTACCATTATCAGAGTTTTGAGTATGCCAAGTTCTCTCAGATTCTCGAATCTGACTACATGCACTTGGTTTACTACTATGACGTACCGGGAGTAGTTCCACAGAACCCTCCTCCCACGCTTGCTAGCGATGGGCCTGATGTCAGAAATGGAGGTCCTCCCCCCATGGCTGGTATGGATATTCGTCTTTCGAAGCCCATATTTCACTATGGTCCGTGGGCTGAGCGCCAGAGAAGCACGATCCACAAGGCATTCTTTCCTTCCGCTTGCAGAGATGCTCTTGCGTTTGATAAGCTTAAGCCTGGCAGCGACAGAATATATACTGGTTTCCAGCTCAAGGCGGAAATAGTTGACTCGGGTATATTGATTATTCCATTCAGAGAAGGAAGCAAAAATCCGCAGTATCACGACCAAGCTAGCACTGAGCATGATAGTGGGGAAACAAATTCAATCAGACCGTTTGGTTGGCTTGAACTGGGGCTAGGAAAAGGATCTAGTATCCATTCCCATGTCTCCTACGTGCCGACTCCTGATGGTTGGCAAAATCACATGGATATTAAGCTCTTGACTCCTAAATTGAGCTCTAGTGTGAATCATGATGTTTTCTTTAGCGCCAAAGAACACTCTGTTTCCTGTGATGTCGGTTATCCTTTGAAATGGAACGGACCTACTGTGTGGACTTTTAACAATCATTCCTTAGAGGCAAATACCTTTTTTCTGAGAGAACATGTGACTTTGATTGTTGATATGCTTGACGATTTTGCTTCGGGAGATCCTGTTCCTTATGAGCTATTCAGACCTTTCACGTATAAAGTCAAATGGAACATCAGTCTGTTTGCAATATATCTGAACATTAACGATTTCAACATCATTGACAACTCCACAGACTTCAATGATAACTCTTTTGTCTCGTTTCAAGGTGAAGACTTTTTTTTGGACATTGAAATTCCCCTCGATGCTGTGGTTAGGACCTCAAACACAATCACTTACAAGCTGAAGACAGACTTTTTTGATCTAAGGCTTGATACCCCACCTTGGCACACAACCAACAACTTTCTGAAACGGAGAACAGTTGGACGCGCGAATAACTTCGAAATTACGGGATCGTATACCTACTTCTCCATGGTTGACATCGACTCGGTGGATAACATCGTGATTGCTTGTACCTGTGACGACACTACGTTGGAGTGCTACGGTTTTATCGTGAGATACATAATGGTGATCAAAGAAAATTACTTTGGTGACCATATTCATTTTCAGACTGCTTCCGAGTTTACCGAAACTAAAGCGAAGGGCTCAATGGATATGCTCAAATCTCAATCTGAAGAGCTTCCAGCAACCACTGCTTATAGAACAGAGAACGAGACAGACGTGCTATTCTCTTTTTGCGTGAATAATGGCTCATTGGTTCTTCCAGGCCATTTGTATGACTGTGAGTCTCACGTGGCTCTCCATTTTTCGTCCCTTGATATCGATATTAGGTTCACCAACTACTACATGGACATGCAGGCGGATTTCTCGCCCGTATATGCAAGGCTTGTGAAAGACTGTGATCCCGAAGAAATTTTCAACGTTATTATAAAGGAGCCAAAATTCAAGCCCGAACTCTTCATTGACTGCCTTTCGGTCCATGGACACAGAATGTTTGGTATACCACCGGCAGAACCCACATATTTTTGCAAGTGGGACTTTGTTTCCGGAAATATAGTAAACCATTCCAGTTGCGAATTCATTGATGGTCTGAGTAAGGCAATCTCAAACCTGGGATTTGGATATAAGGATGTTGAGAATGCTCTCATTGCTGGAGAAGAGGTTATCCATGATGCCGTTGCCTTGGCTTTCACTTGCCCCTTAGTTGACCTCAATTTGAGAACTGGAGATGATGTTCTCAAGTGTACACTGCAACCAATTGACTTCAAGTTCAATGATTTATCTAATGAAAGATACACTGGTCGGATGTCACTTGATATCCCAAGCATTATCGTGACTTCTTTCTGCGTACTCAGCAGTGATAAGCTAACCATGGCTTTCGAAACGTCATTGAAGCTAACTGATTTCGTTCAAAAGGAAGACATGGATTTGAAAAGACAGTTGCAGCAAAAGCACATTCAACTGCATGACGGGCCATTTCACCGTTCTCCATTTATTTTGGCGAGAGCGAATCGTGCAGGAAAAAATAACACATATTCACAAAGTTATGGGAGTATTAAACCTTCTTTTTCGATCCCTGATTTGCCATGGCCGCTGAATGAGCAGACGGTGGATATACTGATCGAAGACTTTCCAACAGAAATGATGAGTGCTTTCTCTGATGGTGGATCAAGCTCCTCTTTCACGTCGTTTGAGGACTCTGAATCGGATTTGAGGGATTTCGCGGTCAATAAACCTATTATGGCTGGCGATGGTTTTCGTCCGGTTTTGGAATACGACGATCGTGATTACACTCCCCAAATCAAGCCAGACCCCAAATACGAGTTTGACAACATCATTGTAAATGTTGGGAGTATCAGGGGATTTGCTTCACCAGAGTCGTGTTCAACACTGGTTGATATTATGCATGATATGGACAATTTTGATGTCAAAGGGGTAATGGATTCCCTTCATATTGACATCATTGACGCTGTCATGAGACTGCACTCCACAAAATGCGAGGCATTCAACATTCGTGTAGTGAATCCCGTGCTCAGCTTCAGATTTGGCGAGTTTAATGCTTCCAGTATTGATGATGTCTTTGATTCTGGCAGCAAGCTTCCTGACCATTTGGTTCTGGAAATAATGAATCCCTCCTTAGTTGTTTCCAAGAAAGTGACCAGATCAAGAGTACAGGTCAAATCGGACTTGGTTGGTAAAGTCGAGGAAAGCCTAACCGGGGCTCTACATCTTCGTGAGGTTGTGCTGGGAATCAGGAGAGCTGATGCAGTCAGAGCGGAAAACGAAGAGTTGGTCTTTCGCTGTTCTCTACAAGATCTTGAGTTTTGGTTTACAGATGACGAGACGGACGGTTTTACTGGATCCCTGAACATCAGAATATGGGACAATGCGATTGAGTCGTTGTATTTGGCGTGGCTAGGACAGTATCTGTCGGAGCTTCATGCGCTGGGTGTTGCACTTGGGAAGAGACATAAAGCGTTAGCTGATAATGTTCGTCTTTCCAAGATTGATCTTATGCATTTGGTTTCGGCTGCTAGTGTTGATCACAAAGTGCTGCATGATCCCTCTGTGATCACTAAACCATCTAATGTCATTAGGACATCGAAAGATCATATTCGGTATCAGGACAGTTGGAAGGTGGTCACTCGTCTTCGCCATGTGATTGATAGTGTCCCTGAGAGCTGGCGCAAACGCACAGATGCTTTGTTCAGAGCTTGCAAATGGGATGCTGACTCTTCTGCTAGGGCAGAGGTTTTGGAAGTGTTTTCTCGTTGGAGAACATGGGAGTTTTCGAACATCGAACACAGTTATATTTTCAGGTTTGTGTTTGGTGGCCTTAAAGATACTCCGGTGAAGGGTTCTGCAGTTCAGTTCACCCTAGAAAGTTTTGCCTTGAGATTGTCTGCCTATGACTTGGAGGACGATTATATTCGCCTCGATTACGTCTCTTTGGGATTTATGAAGACCATGAAGAAAGTGGACGATGCCTTCAAGAAGCTGGTGCCAGATACACACCCAGATATTCATCATATAGATATCACTATGGGCTTGTCCTATCTTCGAAGCAAGTTCAGTCTGCATTGCCTGCGATTGAAGGATTTCATGGAGACATTCAAGCCGATAGCGGATCACAGTGAAGTTCAAGAAGTCCAAATCAAGGACGGTATACCCTCCAGCTTCAGTTTCAGTTGTTTCCTTGAAACATTTGACAACAAGGTCGAGTTAAGTCAAATCGCTTCCAACATTAGTGGTACTGGCCTTACCATCTCAGCATTTGCTTTGATTCCTGAGCTGAAAACTGATCCTATGCCTTTAAATGTGTCACTCGAGTCAGAATTGTTCTCTACAGAAGTTCATTTGAACAACATGACACTCATGGGAAGTGCAGTGAAAGGCGGAAACATGTTTTTCTCATCGGTTGGTCCTATTGAGACTGGGCTGAAAAATGTCCTATTGCAAGCAGAATCGATAAAACTTTCGGCAGGAAATGATACTGATGATTATGTGGCCTTTGTGGCTGCTGTGCTGGAAGATGAGTTACCTAGGTTTGACGACATCAGGGCGCTCATCTCCAAATCTCAAAAGCCCGAGCTGTCTCCGCTAAGCTCTTCATCAGAGCATGGTTTGCTTGATTTTGGATTTCCCTTATCTATCAAAATTGAAACCAAGAGTATTGATGCTAAGGTACAACTTCTCACCCCGCTGAGATACGTGATATTGTCGCAAAATTTTGTGTTCAAAGGTCAAGTTTTGCAGGGTATATTTGTCTCTGACCTTTCCGTGACCAAAGCAGCTTCCAGTCTACAAGCGAATAATCCGAATGGCTCCGGCCACACCTTTGTGCGGGCTGATCTCAGCAAGTTTTCTGTTTTCCTTCGAGTGAAAAGTGACCCAGCACTGCTTTCTGTTGAGTCGTCCATCAACATGGAACACTCAAGGTTGTCGTTTCCGAAGGTTGTTGATTCGACCAGACTATTCTATGATATTCATGAGCAGATTTTTGACAATGTCAACAAACTTAAGATGGCTATCAACAGGATTTCAAAGCAGCTAAATCCGGAGAGCACAAACTCTTCACCCAGTGCCAGTTTGCCTTCTATCGTCTTTAAAGTGGAATCTTTGGCTGAATATATGGCAATCGTTGTTTCTGGATCCTCTTGTGAGCTATCACTGGAAAGCAGGATTGTCAGCCTGTCTTGTTGTAACTATACTTTCAATGATGGAGAGAAGGCTGCTATAAACAGGGTAAGACCTCATGGTTGGATCAAGTTTCCCTCGACTCGTCTTGTGGTGGCTGGTTCAAATCTCCCACACAACAAATTTGAGGTCATGGAGGTGGATTTCGAGATGAAGTTGCTTGAACCTGAGAAAGAAGACCAGAGGTATCAATCATTCCAGATTCTTTCGCAATGGTGTCGCTTTGTGCTTAGTCCGTCTGTGCTCATCAAATTCCTCGTCTTAGGTCATGATTTAAGAGAAGCACTCTTACCCTTTCTTGACAAGAAATCGTCAGAAAAGATATCTGAGCCTGTTGTGAAAAAGATCGAACCTTCCGAATCAATGTGGTCTTCGTTCTCTTTGCACATGCTGTCTCACAACATGTGCATTGGTTGGCTCTTTGAAGAAGGAATGATGGATGTGGAAGACATTCCAGGGTTGATAGCAGGCTACGAAAAAGCCTACATCACCAGCGCAAAGGGCATGGGCAAAGTGTCGATGGTTGGAGCATATCTTTCCAGAGCCCATGGTGATCAGCCTAGTAACTTCTACAGCACCTCGAGTGAGATTGACAAGCTAGATCGTGCTTTTTTCCCGGGATTTCAACTGACGTATGTCATTGCGTTCACTGATGAGGGAAAGCGAATCAGAACCCGCCTGAAGGGTGAACAGCTTGATTTCAGAGTTCATTCTCGATCGCTGCTGCTACTGGACAAGATGTGGCGATCTTTCACCGCTGTGGAAAAGGTGATCAAACAGTTGGAGAAAGTAGCCACTCCTAGGAAACACATTCAGCTTTCTTCCACTGAAAAAACTGAGGATCTTGCCACCAGTCTGGGTATCAACTTCATCGATTGCCTCATGACATTTGATGGAGCCAGTATCTCTATCTCGCGCCCTGATCTCTCGACGGAAGACGAAAAAGCTTCGTTGTTCTTACGTGCCCCGGCTGTCAACATAGCCGCGGAATACCACAAGGCCTCTAAGGGAGGAAAACATGTGCTCAAATGGGAGGTTTTGACCTCTTCTTCGGAAAATATTCTTTACGCTGCCTGTGTTCCGGTGATCCTGGACGTGTATCGTGGATGCAGAAGCCTGATGAGATCCTCTCAGTCGCCTTCTGCCGAAATTGAGACTAGTCAAAAAGCAAAATTGCCGTCTACAAAGTCAGGGTTTGATATCTCCAATTTCGTGGACATGTTTGATATATGTTTTGCTCTGAGGATAGAGCCTCAAACCCTATCTCTTAGCTGTGAGCCAACTGCGAAGGTTGAAGCAATTGTCAGTTTCGACGGTATTGATATACATTTCAATACTATAGAGTCCAAGGGTATATCTGGAGCAGTTGAGATTGAAAATGTGATTATCAAACTGCAGCACGTCTACTCTAGACAGACTAGTGGGTCCATTGTGATTGAAGATTTCTTGCTGAGTGGAATAATGAAAAGCCAGAAGCAAGGAGAAAGCTTGGTCACGGTTGGTTCGATCTCAGATGTCAACGGTTATGTGAACATGACTCAATTGCAAGATTTGGATCTGTTCCGCGACATTTGGATGCCAAATGAATTCTTTGAGCAGTATGTTGCTGTAGATGAGGAAGTTCTAGACGACAGCGCTGATCCAAAGACATTTGCAGCCAGGGTCAAAGAAGTGTCTTCTACAGCAGCATTTCCTTGGTTCCTGAACTTCAACGTACTGAATGTTGGTTTCACCGTTGATCTAGGCAAATCACTTGGGGTAGTTACCTTGAGTCTCGACCGGGTCTGGGCGTTTTCGAGAAAGACAATTGACTGGGAGCAAAACTTCAAGCTTGAGTTCAACAACTTCAGGCTCACTTCCAAAGGACGTCTAGGTGGAGAACTGGAGCTCAACAAGCTCAGGCTCCATTCCGCAATTGCGTGGGAACGTGATCACGAGAGTATTCCATCTGTTCTGTTATCTGCTGGTTTTGACAGTTTGCAGGCCAAGGCTTCGTTCGATTTCCACACCTTTTTCATTGCAGACATTCAGACAATTGGTGTCAAAGTATATAACCAGAAGGGGGTGGGTGTTCTTGATAGTCTGGTGGCATCAGGGCATGTTGGATCTATCCAGTTGTTTTTAACGGCGCTTTCCGCTTCGAACTTTCTGGAAATCTACCATACCGGTCAAAGGATGCACCATGATATCAATCTTTCCTACAACGAGGTGCTTCATGATTCTGCCATGTTGAGACACGATGATCTTCGCAATACGACCAATTCTTTGACTAGGGCCAGATCAGTGATTTTGAACCATCACGACCTAAATATGAAATCAAAGAAGAAAGCGGTACAAGATTTCGCTCATGCAATCGTCAAGTTGAAAACAGCGCTTGATGTCTCAGTGGAAGCCATCGACATCCACATATATCCAAGTTCTCTTCTTGATAGCCAAGTGCTAGTGATGCAACTGGGTTCCGCAAATGCTGCTTTTACTCAGGATCAGGAAGATAGAGTTGCTAGCAAGTTGAACTTGAAGTTGAAGGACGTTAAGGTTGCTCTTTCCACAGTGAAGAACAGTGCACCAGAATCGGCCCTTCAAGAGGTTGAGATTTCGAAGTACGTGAAACATGCCAAAACTGCCAAAGGAGGAACCATCTTCGTGTTTCCATCGTTGGCTGTTTCCATGAGTACATGGCAGCACAATAACTCTAACACGGTTGAGTACATCTATGAGTCATCATTTGGCGGAAAAGTCGATGTTCGCTGGAATCTTGGTTCCATTAACTTTATCAGAGAAATGTGGACTGTTCATGCGAATGCTCTTTCGACCAGACTCAACACTAGACGTCTTTCGACATTGGGAGAGACCGACGGAGAGGAAGTCATGAACAACTCAACGGTGCTCTCGATCTTTGAAACCGTGAATATCGAAGATCGTCTCAAAAACGTTGAAGAGGATAAACAATTCATTTACGTCCCCATAGTCTCTCCCAGAATCGAGACTCCCCAATTGAAAGAACTGGGTGATGCTACTCCACCATTGGAATGGTTTGGACTACACAGAGACAAGTTCCCCAACCTGACCCACCAGGTAATTATCATGGGATTGCAGAAGATAGTGGAGGCTGCGGAGACCCAATATGCCAGGGTTTTGAAGTGAACACTTTTTTTGCACAATTTATTACGAAGTGATGACAATTTTGGTACTATTGAAAGAATCTATGTATATTGTAATACAATTGGGTAGTACACACCTCTTGCCAACATACATGTTTTGTCGCTATTTGGATTAGAGACCTTGTACAAACGAGGCAACTGGTCACTGAGGTTTCGTTCACGTCTCAAGGGTTATTCTTCTCAAATTTTAGTCCGTTTTCACACCGTGAAGAAGGTGATTATATCATCTGAATCAGCCACCCCCAAAGCTCATCTCATCGTGTTGGGCTAATTGATCTCGCGTGGTAGACAAACTTCCAGTTTTCGCACCATTGATTGCGTTCACCCACAACCATACCAATGCCGTTGTTGGAACGTGTTTCAAGAGCTATAGATCAGCATGGTTTGATCCCCAAACTGGTGAGGCAGCTGCCACGTTTCACCATGTTGCTGGCGATTCTGGGTGTCTCATGGTTGTTCGTGTTGCCCCTCCATGGCCAATACAGAATCACATATATATCCGAAAACGCGTTGATGCCGTCTCAGGCATACTCTTTTTTCAGAGAAAGCGAATGGAACATAGTGAGGGGCTACAGGGAGGAGGTTGTACGCGCCTTTGAGGAGCAGGATATGACTGGAAAAAACGAATTGATGACTACGTGGTTAGACAACATAGGCTACAAGGTGGCCACTCACGAAATAAATAGCAACGAATCTGTTGTGTATGGAATTTTCCATGCTCCTAGAGGTGATGATACTGAGGCCATGGTGCTGGTTGCTCCGTGGTTTACGTTTGATGGTGAACAGAACGCCGGTGGTGTGGCTCTGACCATAGCCTTGGCTCGGTACTTTTACCGCATGTCCATTTGGTCCAAAAACATCATTGTCGTTTTCCCTAAAAACGGCCAATTGTCGTTGAGGTCATGGGTAGAGGCTTACCATACTTCTCTGGACAAGACGGCTGGAAGCATAGAATCTGCTGTTGTGCTGGAATACCCTTCCGACGCGGACCATCTCGATTACATTGAGTTGAACTACGCCGGTGTGAATGGCCAATTGCCAAACCTGGACTTGGTGAATTGTGCTGTGTTCATAAGTGAGCACGAAGGTTTCAAAGTCTCTTTGCAACAGACCCCAAAGGGCCAGCTATGGGCAAGGGACTATGGATCTCGACTTACTGTCCTGTTGAAAAGCATTTTTGAGCTGTCCATGACGGGTTTGCTTAAAGGTGGAGGGAACGGATGTGAGGCCTTCAGTGGCTGGAATATTCAGGCAATCTCTCTGAGAGCCAAGAAAGGTGCAGACTCACACGACATCACCACCTTTGGTAGAGTGGTCGAAGCGATCTTCAGATCCGTCAACAATCTCCTGGAGAAGTTCCACCAATCCTTCTTTTTTTACCTGATGCTTGCTCCTAGAAATTTTGTTTCGATAGGTACCTATCTGCCGTCTGCTGTGTTGATCTCGGTTGGTTATGCTCTGGCGTCGCTTTCTGCGATTTTAACCAACAACAACAGAAACAACGATCTCTCACAGACACTGAGACTGAGGTCTCCAAATATTGACCCAATACCGCTGTGTGTTGGGTTTGCCATATTCTTCCTGATCTTCACGATTTCGACAATCTTCGGCGTGAGCATGATGTACGTGGCTGAGAGATACCCATACGATAACGATAATGTTGATGGTTACAGAAAGCTGACTTTCACTGTCATCTTCTCGGGGGTGTTCTTTTCATTCTACGCTTCATTGGCACCCAGTTTGAGTCTGTCGAAGGAGACTGATGATCACAAAAAGTTCAAAGCACAGGTGGTCAGGACCTTGAATGCGTTGGCTCTATTTTTCTTGACTGTAGTGTTGATCGGGCTTCTGGTGGTTCATTTTGCACTCAGTTTCACCATTGGGGTGTGTGCTTTGCCGTTGGCATTCATTAGCTATGGCCCTCAAAGCTCACAGAGCAGAGCAAAGTTGATCAACTCAGCCCTACTGCTGATATCGTGTCCTTGGTCCACCATCCTTGCTGCGGGTGTTTTGTCATCTGTCGGATTCGATCTCGACATGGTACGCAACATAGCCCAAAATTTTCATCTTGGAACCGCGCGAGAGATTGTGAGCGCATTGCACTTTCCCTCCAGTCTGGATTATGCCGAATGGCAATACCTTCTGGATGGGCCCACCGAAATCTTCGTCGGACTAATTTCTGCTTATAAACACTTCCAGAGCTGGACTTGGCTGGCAATTTGCTACGGCTGGTTCACCACATGGTTGTGTCTATGGGCGATTTCGATATCGGATGTCACCTATGGTGAAGAGATAACGGAACTTGAGGCGAAGCCTGCTAAATGATACCTATAGACACTAGGAGTGATATGAGTCACTGACCAAAAGTACAGAATGACTGATTTGTAACACTGATGTGTAGTTATTACTGAATTCTGATGAAAGCAAGCAATACTGTTGGTACTCCAAGTATGAGTATGTTTGTTCGTATTGGTTTTCTCGGTAATTTAAAAGATTGGAATATTGTTAAATTTTAGTCTGAGCAGGTCTATTGTGTGATGGTGAGATTTTTCTCGGTCTTTAGGCGTACTTCTTCATGAACATCTCGTGGAATTCCTTCCATTGGTCAATCCATTCAGTGCCAGGGGCCAAAAAAGTGGTCCTGACATGCCACGAGCCTGGAACCTGACCAAAGCCAGATCCTGGTACGGCACAAATACCAGTGTTATCCAACAATTCACTGCAGTAAAACTCATCAGGCTCCAATCCCGACTTCTCGGCCTGGTCAACGGCCTTTTGAGGAATGGTCAAGTTGGGGAAACAGTACATGGCACCTTCGGGCTCCTGACAAGAAACGCCTGTCATTTCATTAAAGGCAGCATACAGTGACGCAGCTCTTTGTTCCAACGAGTCAAAAATCGCCTGCGATTCGTACTTGAACTGTTCGTAGGACTCTTGGCCCTTCTTGGGAGGGTTGATCATGAGTTCGACAAGGGCCTGACCGGTGACAACAGGACACAACGAAATGGAGGCCAGTTTCAACAGCTGCTGAATGACCTCATCATGGAAACCAACAAGCTCCATATAACCACCTCTTTGACCACATTCACCAGAGATACCCTTGGAGGTGGAATGCAGCGAGGCAAGTTGCACATTTGAAAATCTGCCTTGGTCATCACCTTCTTGCAATTCCCTAAGGATCTTCTTGACTGATACAAATTCGCCTTTGAATACATTCTCCTGGTAAACCTCGTCAGCGATAACCACCAGTCCGTACTCCGCAGCAAGAGCAAGCAAGTTGGCGATCGCATCCGGCTTCAATATCGCACCTGTTGGGTTTCCCGGGTTGATTATAACGAGACATCTAGGTATAGTTCCTTCTGCAATGGCATTTTCAATAATCGTACGCAAACTGGACGAGTCGATGGACCAATCTTCCTCCTCCTTTAAGTAGTATGGCAGAGCCTTGGAATTGTTGAGAGTGAGAGTCGCGGTGTACAAGGGGTATTGCGGGATTGGGATCAAGAACCCGGTCTGTTGCCCCAATCCTAAAATGGAGACCAGATAAGAAACAGCGGTGGAGGCACCAGAAGTAAGGAAAATTTCGTTTGCATCCGACTCGTACCCGTCTCTCTTTTGGATGAACTTGGCAACTTGTTCTCTGACATAGGGAATACCTTGGGAATGCGAATAAGCTCCCACTGAGCCAATCTTGCCGAGCAATAGTTTCGCACGCTCGATCAAGTCCTTTGGAATGGTCTGCACCAAGGCAGGATTATAGATCAACTCCGGGTATTGCAGTATGGCCAACACCTGTCTGTAGAAGGTGAGTGGCTTTTGGTCCAATTGTTGGGGATTTCCAATGTTCGCGTTGATGATTTTGTTAAAAGGCAAAGAATGGGATTCGCCTGCGAGTTTTGCCCTCAATTCCTCGGCCTTGGTGGGGATAGGGCCTCGGACCGCGTACTTGGCATTGATAGCGTGCGGGTTGAGGTCCTTGGCCAGCAGCTTAGTGGCCGGTTGGAAGGTATATTTGGAAGCCAATGATTTCAGTGATGTGTACGACATTAGCCGGTGATAATAATGTACAAACCAAGCAAAAAAACACAGAAAAAGGGAAAACGGCTCTTGTTGGGAGAAGAATTCCGGTCTGTCTATCAGAGCTGCTGACTCAACGTTCAAAAGTCGATGGGGACCTGTGAAATTCAGGCAGAGTCCACATTCAGTGGGGGGTAAATTTTAAGCGAAACAAATGAGCGATTTGATTGGTTTGTTTCGCGCGAAGAATATATTTTATGGTCAATTACACATACACAGCACTATTTTCCATGATAAAGGTCCTGCGCTTTTTTACGCCGTAAGATAGCTATCTTCTGGTTATCTCTTCAATCTCTTTAATACTGTGGGTGCGCGCGTATTTTTGCGGAGGCAGCAGCTCTTTTCCTGGACCCCGGTAGATTTGGGAGGTGTCCCATACTTGAAGGGATCTGTCTGAACGGTTTTTGCCATAATATGCCCACTACAACTCTACTTCATACAATATCAGACAAACACATTGCTTGTACATAGACAGCATTTCAATAGTGAGTTTGTAATTTTGCGATCGTTGAAGTTTTCTCGTGCTAACCCCAAACTTTCTTTTCAGTGGGCGCTGATTTATATGAGGTTCTAGGAGTGGACAGGAATGCGACCTCGATAGAGATCAGAAAGGCATACAGGAAGCTCGCCCTTCTACACCATCCCGATAAGGTGCCAGAACATGAGCGTGACGAGGCTGAGCTCAGGTTCAAGGAGATATCTTCTGCTTATGAAATACTGAGTGACGAGGTCAAGAGGGACGAGTACGACCTGAGAGGTGACGCTGCATTTGGAGCAGGTGGCGTTCCAGGCGCCGGGGCGGGAGGTTTTGGGTTCGAATATGATGATAGAGACTTCGATGAGGATGACTTTGCCAACTTTTTCAACATGTTTGGTGGGGGTGAGCCACAGGCCCGAAAGCCAAAGGAATCCGAGTTTACCCCGGATGCAGAGCTGGAGATCACTATAACACTGGAAGACATATACAAGGGTAAAATCTCCAAATTCACCTCCACAAGAGAGATCATTTGCACACAATGCTCTGGGTCTGGTGCCAAGGCTGGTGCAAAGCCAAAGAGATGTGAAACCTGTGATGGGGAGGGCCATATCAGAAGGATAAGATGGATCGGGCCAGGTATGGCTGCCAATGAGTACATCACGTGTACTAAGTGTGAAGGTACCGGGGTGACCTTCAAGAAGTCACAGCTGTGCAAAAAGTGCAAAGGAAAGACGACCATTCCAGAGACAAAGATCCTGGAGTTTGTCATCCCCAAAGGTGCTACCTCACTAGATGGAAAGATCATTTTGAAGGGAGAATCTGACCAGTGCGTTGGAAAGAAACCAGGAGACGTTGTGTTGAAGTACAAAGTTGAAGATCATGAGGTGTTCCGCAGAGGTGAAAATGAAAATGAACTTTATGCAACCATTCACATTGCACTAGTGGACTCGCTGTGTGGGTTCAGCTCGCGTGTCGTGCTACATCATTTGGATGGCAGACCCATAAAGATCGATTCCAAACCCGGGAAGGTGTTGAGACCTGGAGATCTTCTGAAGATCCCCAACGATGGCATGCCGTACGTTGGAAATGAAAACAAACTGGGGAATCTGTACTTGGAGGTGGTCATCGACTTCCCTCCTGACCACTGGTTCCTAGAAAAGAGTGACTTGGATAAGATCAAGACGATTTTGGATGTGAATTCGAACCAGCCCACAAAAGATGATGAGAATGATGGTGTCTCCCCGGTGTTCTATTCTGTTGTGGATCAATCGAAGAAGGAGAACAATAACAGTTGGTGGTCCTGGTTCGGGTGGAATTGATCATAAGGACCCTGGTCCTCAAGTACATAGATGAATGTCAAATGAATGCAATACCAATGATTATACAAGTTGCGAAAGACGATCGTTAACATAAAACTCCAAACACGACGTGCCCTTTTTTCACCTCCTCGTCCTCTGGCTCTTACCCACTATCTTATGTCTCGAAGAAGATGTACTAGCCATGAACCTCCGCGGCCTCGACCTCAAACCTGGTGTAACCTGATGAACTCCAGGAGCAACTTCTTCCTCCTCAGAGAAGCTGAGGTCGAATTTCAAGTCATCAAACTCAACTTTGAGAGCCGCTTCCAGTTTTTCGGTTTCGTCGTCTTCTGAAATCATATCCTCCACGAACCTAACCTGCTGGCCTGGGGCATATAGTTTGAACAACAAATCCTTGTCAAAAGGTTCGTAACCATCCGGGATCTCCTCCATCTCCTCGAGCCGTTTTGAAGATGGCAGATCAAGTTCTAGCGAATCGTCGCTTTCGTCCTGCTCAACCTCAGCCAATTTGGATATCAAATTCACCTTTGGGACTGTTTCGAGCTCGGGTGATGACATAACTAATTCTTTTCTCCTGCTGGAGAACAAAGGCGAGTCTTTTTGCACGGTAATCTTTCTTCCCCTGTGCAAACCGAACAGATCTGCTGAAGCAGCAGGTTTCTTAGCGCTTGTGAACAGCAGCGACGCCCCACCAAATTCCAGCGAATCATCAAACAGTCCATGCTGAGACTTTAAACCCTTAAAGTTGCCATCCAGAATCGACTTTTTCTGGCCGTTTGGCTTCTGGGCCTTAAGGGGCGTCTTGTGTAAATGAAATGTCTTGCTGGGATGCGATTCAACCAAATTATGCTGTTTTTGCCTCACATCGACTCCTAAACCTTTCCCACGTACTCCGATGCTCGCATTCTCTTTATCAGCATTCGATATTCGTGTGGCCATGATGATGTATAGTTAGCTGTATGGAGTTTAATAAAAGACATGGAGAGACTGGAGATTGTTTACCTTTCAGTCAAACTTAATGAGTTTGGAACTACCCAATTTTTGAGCGGCGTTAATTTTGTTAGTGCACTGTATATTTCGAAATATTTATAATGGGGAATTAGACAACTTCACATTAGACCTTATTGATACTACAGCGCTAACATGACAAGCCCAATACCGCGAATAGAGAAACTGAATTTATATCGAGATATCAAGCGATCGATACCGCGTTTGCCCCTCGACGGTCTGACAAAGTCACTGGTGGCCCATCATGTCAATACCCAGGCCCGTCGTGGTCTCCCAGAACGCCGCAGGTTGAAACGGCAGTACGATCTAATGAAGCAGGGGAAATCGTTGTCAAAGGAAATGCACAAAATAATAAGTGTTGCTGATCACACTTCCACTTATAAGCTTCTATCGCTAGTTTACCTCGATAATGTGCCGAAGAAGAAGACTTTACCCGGTTTCGTGCTGGACTTCATACGAGACAAAAAAGATGTTGAAAAATACAGAAAATTATTTGACATAAGGCATGTGATAGCGAGGCTACCGTCCTCACAAGAAGATGTGAAAAAGAACTACTACGAATATTTGGATAGGCAACAATTGAAAGGCCGCAAACTGGATAGTTTCAGTTTCTCGAAAATACTGGGATTTGCGAGTAATGAGTCGATAGAACTACCCGAGCCAATTCGAGAAGACCCCATGGAGACTCCCGAGAAAGATTTTGATTATGAGGAAAAGCAATTGCGCAATATAAAAAGATTCCATGACCGTACAACCAGGTACAGAAATCTGGTATACGAGCATGGGGCTACAATCCCCTCGCTGAAGATAGAAATGGGAGTAACACCATTCGGATTGCCTCGTCCAGTGAAAGTTCAAACAAACTCGCTCGCGAGAAGAGCACAGAGCGTCAAGTGTGGATTTCTGAAACTTCGACCTCTGACTCGGGGACACTTTGAGTATCTGGAAGGGCTCAAGAGCAAGCATGCATTCGAACAGGCGGTCAGTGTCAAAGGCAGCGACAGACTTGACAACTCTAAAATCTTGAACAAGATGTCTAGAAACCTAAGGGTTTTCATGAGAAACAAATATTTCATTGATGAAAATGGCGAATACCATTTTTCAGAGAATTCCAAAGATTGCATGTCAGAGGAGCTACTTGGTTTATACTCGAAAGCTGGAGAGCTAGCTTAGGCTTGAAGTCGTTATAAAGTCTCGTCAATCATCTCTATCAAGGTCGAACACAAGCATGTCTTTGTGATTCTGGTGGATCATGCATCCCACTCGCCTTCCACTAAGACCATTCACAGCCATCGCCAGGGGACTGAATCCTTCCATGGTGCCTTCTTTATTGTTGTTGGATGTTTCATCAAAGTAGCTTTGCATTATCACCGCATCTCGGGTCAATTTTGTGGTACCCTCGGCAAGGTCGGTGTATCGAAATGAACAGAGCCCTGGTCTGGCATAATCTGTAGATACTTCTGTGGAACTTGATGTGGAAGCGGAAGAGGGCTCCATAATGCCTGGTCTGGATAGCAGCAGAATCTCCCGGTCATCTATGAAGGCAGCGCTCACCCCCAAATTTTCATGTACAAGCTCGGTGACATCGATTTCATAGTATTTGGGAGCTTCTGGTGATTGAGAATTGTGCTTCAGCTTGATTAGTTGCAACTTTTTGGAATTATGAACGTGCAGCATGCAGATCACGTTAAACGCTTCGTTCTCTTTCACGATTCGAATATCGGAATGTATTCTCATGCCAGGACACTTTTGGAATATGCTGATGGGTGGTCCGCTTTCGATCATTCCTCTCATATTCATTTTGACAGATTCAAAGATGATGTCGGTCTTCTCAACCACGTCGTCGTAGTAGCTGTGCAGTTTGGGAATTCTCGATTCCTCAGTTTTGACGAGATTTTTGAGTATGGACTCATTCAATCCCAGGGTGATGTATTCTGATATATCGCTGACCTCAAAATAGCGGTCCTTGATAGGATCGTCAGAGGTGATGTCTTGCAAAGCATATGATAGCCAGTCGATGAAGTTTTGGAAGAGCCGCTGCTCGGAGTTGATGTCTGCTATCAGCTTGTATACGAGTCTCAGCAGATCGGAGGTAGCTTCTATAGCAGACTCAAATAATGCAGCCTCCATTCCCAAGTCATCTTCTATGACATTGGACCATTTGGCATAGCCGGAAAGTTTGGTCAGATGGAGTATCAATCTCTCCACTCCTGGAATCACGTATGTGAATAGCACTTTGCGAGCACCTTCAAGTGCCTGGTTACCCAACTTGATCCACTTTTTGATGCCTCTTTCTCCCACGTATTCGGTGAGCCATTGCAGTACTGGCTTGCTGACCATACCTGTCAGCAAGAGGTCATAGAGCTTGAACCCTGGTTCCTCAAAATCCAGCGAAGAATACGCGGCATCCTGCTTTATCTCATCCTCCAGCAATGACATGGTTCTGTGGTTGAAGTCTATGAAAGGCTTGCAATCGTGTGTTATCACATCCATTGCTCCCTTGAGATAACTCATGATGTTCAATGTCTGTGAGATGGTCACTGAAACCACGGGCAGGAAGGCTCCGTACTTCGAGACAAATGTCGTGTCGATTCGCGCAATATAAACATTTTTGGTGTCTTCCATAATGGCATAATGCGACTCAAGATCCTCGGACGAAACAACATTGACGAATCTGAGAGTTTTTAAACTTTTCAATTGTGATCTCCCAATGGCGAAGAGACCGTATAGCGTCAGACTGAGTTCACCATTGTCCAGGCCAGCAATCAGAAGATCACTAGTAGAACCCTCGCATTTCAGAAGGTCGTCGGAAAGAATTTTCAAGCTCTCAGAGAAACTCGCGTTGGGCAATTGTGATAGAGCAGGAAGAGACTTGGCGATATCCATCTCGGCCAGCTGGTCAAACTTACCCAGCGATCGGAACTCCTTTTCTCGTTTCGACCAGCAGCAAGCCAGATATCTTGAGTCTGATAAGGACTCATCTAGCAAAGCGACTAACTTTCCCTTGTCTGAATCATAGAGACGGCAAGACCCGTCTTCCCCAAACAATGCCATTAGTTTTCCTACAAGTAGTTAGTAACCAATACACGAAATTCAACCAAAAATTCACATACCATCAGGCCTCCACACAAAATCCCGGATTTTGACTCCCTTTATCGCTAGCGACCAAACCCGTTGGCCGTTCAGACGGAACACAAACAGTGTTGAGGCATCCTGAGAAGTCACGGCCACCAGGTCCATGGTGGGGCACCAACTGAATACCCCGTGCGGTTCAACTGGCCATGGCAAGGTCTTGTGGCTGATAACCTGGAATTGCACCATAAAGTGCTGTTTTGAACTGGTTTATGGTGTTGAGTATGAGAGGAATTGACGTGATTAAGAGACGCGTGTTTTGAGCCCATGTTCCCCAACTTTGAGATGGGCACTCAATTTTTCAGGCTCTCTATCTTTTTCTTATCTCTTTTTCATGAAAGAGCAGGTAAAATGTTCAAAAAAAAACCAAGCGTGGGTATTCGATAGTTGTTTATGGTCTCTTTTGCTTATTACTGACTGTTGATTTTTTCAAGATCAAGGGTTTCTCCAATATAAAGTCATCTTTCAGAAGAGACGTGCTCGATGCTATCTGCACTCTGTACAATCTTCCAAAAGAGAAGCTCTCTGCGGAGACAGCGAGGGAGATTTTGCCAAATCCTACTCAGGAGGCCAGATTCTTGACTGTGAAAAACGAGGAAGGTTCTATTTTCATGGATGACCGGAATATCCCAACATGGTTCTCTGCCTTCGATAAGAACGAGGAAGTGTTCTACCCAGCCCTCTACACCTTGTGGAGATGTCCATATTTGTTGCCTATAGTACTTACCCATGATGTTTTAATCAAAGAGGTACTTTCTATGGGTGCGAATCTCATGCTTCCGGGAACGGTTCCTCCTTTCGAACCCAGGCTTACTGCTGGAACGGTGGTTGCCATTGCTTCTAGCAAGAGTCCCCACACGGCCATGGCTGTGGGGGTTTTGTGCATGGATTTGGTTGGAATTGACTCGGTGATTGGGAAACAGGGAGAGGCTGTCAGAATACTACACATAATAAATGACGAATTGTTCAAGATGGCGAAGAAAGATGTTGCTATTCCACAGTTGAGCGAGGCCAGTTTGGAAGTTCCATGGGCAGAGGATGAGGCTGGTGAAGGTGATGAAGCTGGCGAAACTGGCGGCACTGTATCCGTTTCGGAGGCTCAAAATGTTTTAGAGTCTACAGAAAATCTGGAAGGGACTTCACAAGAAAATTCAGAAAACAATCCTGAGCAAACCGCTTCCTCTTCTCTCGCAGAAGGTGTCTCCAAACTCACTCTAGAAGACATTGACAACTTCTTCTACAGAGCTCTGCTGCAGTCAATTGCAACCAGTCATATTGAAACGCCAATAAGCTCCTCCAATTTCATGTCCAATCACGTTTTGAAAAACCTCCCTCCAGTGGATTCGAACCACGTGAACATCAAAAAGACTTCCTGGAAGAAAGCTGCCAAGTTCCTCAAAGCCATGGAGAAGGCCAATTTGCTCAAGGTGAAAGGCAAGGGTGATGATTTGGTTATTTTATCACTTGTAGGTTCTGAAGATGACCGTATCAAGAATTTTGTTCCTCATAGAGTGAAAAAGGCCACCAACTCTGCACAACCAGTGGCTACTCCGAAGAAATCCAGTGACAAATTGCAGATCGTGAAATTTTTCAAGCCCACTCCAAAGAGCAACTTCTCTCAATTCATGCCTTCAAATGTTGTTTCACCTTTCTTCAAAGATGAAATAAAAGCTGCTCTTACCGAGTATGTGAGGGCTCATGATTTGGTGAATAAGCAGAACCCTTCATCGGTCCTCTTGGATGATGTCTTGACCAAGGCAGTTGGTCTGAAATCTGCAGCAGCCATGGACCGGTCTGAAATTCTTCCGAAGACTTTGGCCCACTCATTCAGTGAATTCGATGCTCTGGTTAAACCAGATCAGGATATTAGAGAGGCAGCGTCATTTCGTGGTGGTATACCTCCTATTAAGATCATTACTGAGATGGTGATAGGACGCAAGTTGGTCACCAGAGTGCTTGGATACGAAAACTATTATGTGAGAACCGAGGAATTTAACTCAGAGCTGAAGGTGAAATGTTCAGCTTCCACCAGCATTGGTCAGAACCGTCAGAACCCCAAAATTACAGAGATATCAGTCCAAGGCCCCCATGCGAAGAAGATCATTGACTTGCTCGCTACCAAAGGTGTTAGGCCTCAATGGATAGAGGAGGAGAATAAGGTGAAGCCGAAGAAGAAGAAATGACTTGGGAAACCCAAATTTCACGAGATGTGTTGAATGACGTGCCTATGTAGATATAAAAAGATGATTATCAACAGTTAAAAAAAAACCAATGACATAATGCAATTCTCGTCCCTGTAGTTAGGTTCGTGCTTTTTCGGTCGTTGAAGCCATTTTGCTTGCCTCTTTCCTCATTGAACTCCACTCCTTGAAAATCCTCAGAGTACCCAAAAAGATGATTGTTGCAAACGGACCTAGCAAAGGAACGTAGACAGCCATCTTGTGTTCGTCTGGAAAATACATCTGCTGGATCATGTCCTTCTCGAAGAAAGCACGGTTAGATTGGTCCACCGCCTCAATCGAGAGCTTGTTGGCATCTGCAAAGTCCTGTGAGTTGATTAGGGTGATTGCCGAGTTGATGGACCTCAGAGCGGATTCCACGTACGCAAGAGTGAAGTCCGGGATCGAGATCGTGGGAAGCTGTTTGGTCAGTTTGGCCAATGACAGGAGATTGTTGAGGGCCCTTTCTATATTCTTGATGGTTCTTACCCTCGTGAGTATGTCAATCCGTATGGCAAAGCTTCCAGGAGTTTTGGGACTTCCCAACAGCGATAGCAACTGAGAGGCAAAAATCTCCATTATTGGGCTCAACGTATCGTGTTCGAGGATTATCGGTAAACCTTTAGGTGCATTGTGAATCTTGAGTCCTCCCCATTGTGGTACCAAGAAGCTGTTTGAGTTGGACCCCTTTATCGTTATCGGTGAGTTGGCCTCGGAAGGAACATACACCACAAAATTGATCACGTTCTCAGATATGGTGTTTTCTTCCAGTCCCCACTCCGAGTGGTCGATGAATGTTGACATCTCCTTCTCTGTCAGCAGATAAGTCTGCGACTCCTCATCCCAGATGTTCTTAAGGGTGTCCTCTGATAGACTGGCGTAGTACCCGACCTGGGAGTCCAACGAGAAACTGGCAATGGGTCTCAGAAACTCAAGATACTGCTGGAATTCTTGGCTGCATCTTTCCACGTCCCAGTCCATGATATCCCCAGCTCCCTGTAGCAAACTCAGCGAAATATGGTAGGTCGAAGAATATGGGATCGTCATGAGATCGTCCTCGTGAGGGCTCTTCAGCGAATCCAGCTCCGATCGGAAGATCTCCCCTATTAGATAGTCAGATATCTGTTCCGGAGTCGATATATCGTTATCGGAGTTGAGTCGGAGTCTCAGACGGAAGCCGTCGACGTCTTGGAACGTGCTGTCATCGTCAGGATCGATCAATTCCAGCAGATAACCGGCATTGCTAGGCACGGAGTCGGCCTCCTTCAGCTGTATCCTCCAGTCCACACGTGGCTGCGATCCCAAAATCAAGCCTATGCGTGAATCCAACAGCGTCTGAGTCACGTCTATGATTTCAGACGAACTTTTCACCTCTATGGGGATCTCGATGTGCACTTCTTCCAAAGCATGTGCCTGTAGCGCGTATATCTGGTCGTAAGGTAACTCAGCGCGGTATAGCCTCGTTGTCCAGTTCCATATCGGCGTTCCTATGCAAGCGCAAATAAACTGGGTAAAAGTTAGTAGCCGTTTAGATTTCGAAAATCTCGGGATCTTGAGTGCAGTACTTCTGAAATTAGGTCCCCGAAGACAACATGAAACCGTTGAGAAACTTACGAGAATAGAAAGCACGATTTTTCTTCGCAGCGCCATCATCTGAGGAGAATCCTCAGGCAGCGATCTGGAGCCCATTTTTGGAGACTTCAGCGATACTTCCAGGAAGAAACAGTAGAAGGCTGGGGGCTGAGATTTGGCCGAGTTGTGGTAGGTGTAGTCTCGGATCATGCTTAGACGTGTCCAGGGTGTGTGATTATTAATCACGGCTGTGCAGCAGCGCAACGTTCCGAAATCTGCGCGTTGTGCACCTGCTGAAAAGTTTAACAGCCATTAGGCATTTAAAGTGGAGACTTACTATGGTTGTTATGAAAGCATCAATGCTCTTCTTTCTAGGATGGTTCCCAGTAGTTTATATACAGTAATACCGCGGTGCTTGCAACTCAAAAGTTTATCACTATTCCTGGACCGTGCGTGGAAGTGATAGTGGTCTGGCCAATCAGCACTGGTTGGGGCGAGTCGATCTTGGCGGCAGCCTCCCTGATTGCCTTTCTGGTGGCCATGATATTTTTCAGGATTTCAGAGTCGGAGAAATGGCACTTCCCAACAGCGAGAGCCACCAGCACTGACTTCTGTCTGAACGGCGTGGTTCCAGAGGCCTCGGTGATCTTCTTCTCCAAGTCGTCAACGATAGTGCCTCTCTTTGCGTTTGGCATCAATCCCTTTGGTCCAAGCACTCTGGCAATCTCGCGGAGATGAGGCACCATCTCAGGCGTGGCAAAAACGTTGTCAAAGGTGAGTTCAATGGAGCCATCCTTGATTCCCTTGATCACCTCCAGGCCACCAACAACCTGCGCACCGGTCTTTTTCGCATTTTCAGCCTGTTCTGGTATCGTTGTGAGCGCACATATGTTTGTCTGCTTCAGAGGCCTGGGGAGTCTCACGGATCCGGCCACTGGGGTCACTCCCTTGTCGGAAACCACCACGGTAGAGGTGGTAATCGTGGCTTCGTTAACTGGTCTGCCCACTTCAGCAGCTCTCAAGTACCGCAACGCCTCGGGCACCTCTAAAAACAAAGGAGAGGTCTCAGGGGCCTTTCTGGCCTGTGTACGCTTCTTCTGCGTTCTCTTAGCGTTCTCCTTTTTAAGGTCAGCACGGGTCATCTTCTTGGCCAGCTGCGGCGCCGAAGTCTGGAAAAAGCGCCTGTTGGCAGGCGCTTGTATCTGTAGCAGCCTTGTGAGCATTGTGCAAGTAGATTGGAAAAGTATTTTCTAGTCTGGAGGGGTTACGATCCGCTGAAGAAACTGGCCGTCGTAATGGTGGAAAATTCAGAAACCTTGGTGTTCTGGATCAATGCACGACCTTGGAATTTTGGGTTGGTACACGAAATTATGGGACAGGACAAAGTTGCTTGAAACATCTAACTATTCGTTGGTAAGCGAATACAAACACAGGTGTAGGCGTATCACAGCTGCTGGTATCACAATTTGTTCATTGGGTTTGCCCGAACCCGGGGAGCAGTGCATAGTAATAGATTCTTCCACGGCCTGCTGACGACGATCTGATCGAAGAAAGTTTCAAGCAAGTTTCAAGCAAGGCATGTACTACATATTAAAGGCTTGTCCACGGCAAGTCCTTGGTTGAATTTGAATGTAAACGGGTAATCCCGGTATATGCGTATTCATGAAGCGATAAAAAGGTATGAAACCATAGCCAACACCTGGTGTATGGAAAGCGCGCGCGCGCGATAGCGAAACAGTCCCTGCGCGGGGAATCTGTTATAGGATCTGCAATTAAGCCAAAGGTCAGAGGGGTATCAGGTGAAATCGACGTTTAAGCTGACTCGGCCCATCTTTGGTCGACCCAGCCTTTGACAACAAACTGAGTGTCGCCAATGGTACCATATGGACGTAAGCATCCATTGGAGCCCATTTTTGACTGCGAGTAATTGATCCAGGGTAAAATGGAGGAGTTCATGCGAGTGCGTGAGTTGGAAACACCCACCTCACTTAAGCATGCGTATTTGGATTTGAATAGCGATGAATCAGCAAATTGGTCGTCTCTTGGGGGTAGTATCACGTTGGACCAGAGCTTTTCGCGTGACATAAGAGCAAGTCTGAGCTCGTCACGTTTCTGGTAGATGTGATAGGGCAGATAATGCTGGTCGTCCGATTCATAGGAATCAAGCGAATCGTCAGAACTCAAACTATCAGTGTCAGGAATGGACTGTAGGCACTGTTTCTGCTCAATACATTGCTGATAGAGATCGATTTCGTCTTCAGTCACATTCAACAGGCCAATAGCCTTAGACGAGTAATCCAGGGCATAAACTCGCAAGAAACTGGAGTTGATTCTGGGTTCTCTGGAGCGAGTGAAGCTGGTGGGGGTTGCTGGTGCAACCGTTTTCTGTGTAGGGTGGGAATGCTGTAGTTCCTCTGTGCGAAACGTCTTCATCATGATTGGTTTAGGCTCGTCCGCCTGCTTTTGGATGGCCAAGGGTAGCCTGTTGTCGTTGGCCATGGCCTGGTATGTTGATATAATGCGCTGGTTGCGCTCTGCGGAAGTAGTAAACGCGTTAGCGAAATTTGAGATGGATTTCAGCGAGCTGCTCAGCTTGGAGACAAACTGGTCCCGCTTTCTGAGTGGTTGTTGTGTGGAAAGCGTGGCCTCTGCTTCTTCATCCAGGTGCCAATCGTCGCTAGACAGTGGGTGGTCATCAACATTGAGCCATAATTGCGGGCTTTTTCTCTTAGGCGACGAAGAGCAACTCAGAAGACTCGAGTCAGAGGAAACGGATGTGTCGTCGTCAAAACAGCTCGTTTCCATATACGAGGATGAACATGACATGAAAGACCCATTAGGGTTGGAGTGGGCACAGGGCGAACAAGCCAGTTTCACGCAACTGCGTCTCTTTCGACTAAGGACACTTGCTAATGAAGGCGTTGTGGTGGTTGGAAACGACTCGGCCACAGGGACGGAGGGCGACGGAGTGGACAGAGCTATGTAGAACTCGTCGTTGTCCGCGTCCACAATCCAAGGGTCTTGTCTTAGACTGGGTATAGGTATGGCGGCTATGGGCATTTTGAGCAAAGACACGGCCGACTTAACACGTCATCAAAAAACAAGAAGCTTTATAAAGAAAACGATCGAAAAAAACCACCAGAGCTGCAAGAATGGACAACAACCAAGTTATAAGGCAATGCTCCTTGCTGACCTTTTCGATTGGCGCCTCATGCTTTTGGTGGAAATTGATTACCGTTGCGGGAGGCCGTTCCCCAAATGGTTAGCCTGCACACGACTAACATTTGTTTGGTAATTCGGCAGTCCGTACCGAAAGTTGCCTAACTGGGAAGGATGGGGGGCCGGATAAGTCTTGGAAGGTGGGCGTGACGGAGGTCATTAATGATATAGCGACTCCGAATTCGACCTCCGGTATTTCGAAGTGCCCGACTGCTGTTTAGGATTTCCGTTTGGTTGAAACTCATAAGCTTTTGCATTGGTTCATTAGCTCAAGAGCGTCAGGCTCGTACGCATTAAGCAAAGCCCTCATTTGTCCCAGTGATGCTCCCCAGCCACTGACGGTTGAACAATGCCGAGCGGCGCGGAAAGTCATTCCGAAAACCGGGACCAATAAAAGCTGGGCGTTTTGAGTTGCCTCACGGTGGAAATTAGTGGAGGTGTGGAATTTTACACACAAAAATCGCGCCAATCATTTACTGTTACAGGCTTATCGATTATGTACAGGTTACCCCGATAAATAGTGATTGTTTCTACGTCGGGTATTTGTCTTCTGCGGAAAAGCTTCTCCCAAGTCGTTGGAGACCCCGTTCCCTAGACCGAAAAAGAAATTTTCGCTTGAGGCATTAAGCATAATGCCTTAAGTAATCTGTGTGCAAAACTCATTTGTCTAGAATTGGTGTGTGCACTTGGATTTGGTGATCACGTGATCAGTTTCTGTTGGCTTTCGCAGCAAGTGGGGGCCGTTGGGCCATCGGTCCCTCCGTCAGTTCCGCAAAGTTCTGATCTGGTTCGAGTGCCGGAGCGTTGTAGCGTTTGGATGAGAAACCGGGTTGCTAATATTTGTAAACACTTGTAGTCCCTAGATGTAGGCACCGGCTTTTTAGTATTAAGTTTTGCCGCGGAAACCTCGGCCCCTGACACTTTAAAAGCTAGGTACCCAACAGGCCAAAAGCCAAGAGCGGGTCCCTCATTTGACTTTTGACATTTTTCACCGAGGACCTCAGTCCACGTTCCGCACTCCACGTCTGTCTTTTTACTTTGGCTGCTGAAGAAAGGTTCTTGATTGCTGTTGTTGAAAGTTAGTTGGGTTTTATCTCGCTATATTCCTGCGCACAATGTCTTTTGATGTCACATCCGCATTAGCGGCCAGAATCAGCGAGATTTCCAAGCTGGTGCACTTTGACATTCTTCCAGATCCTCAGGTTTGGTTGTTCCCCACGTTCAAACCGCCGTTACCATGTCCATTCGCCTCCGAATTTCTCACATCCTTCTATTTCTACACCCTCCGAGGCATGGTTCCGGTGGTGTTTGCAATGGTGTACTTCAGCTCGGTTCATCTGTTGAACAATCTAATAGTCAAGAGACAGAAAACACTAGGAGTGAAAGTGGCCCCTTTTGCTATAACAAAGACCAGGGGCTTCAAGTTGTTTGTTCTCGCTCACAATATTGGGCTCTGTGCTTATTCGTTGTGGACGCTTGTTGGAATGACCAGTACCATGTACAAAGTGTATCTCAACTTTAAGGAAGGGCTCGGCAACTTCAAGCATTTCAACCGTGGCGAGATCTTCTGGGAGGCTGTCTGTGATATCGACAAGGGAATCTGGTTCAACAATGCCGAGCAAAACATTAAGGGATTGGGTTTCTACGCTTTCTGGTTCTACATCTCGAAATTCTACGAGATAGTGGACACCATCATCATCTTGCTCAAGGGCAAAGAGGCCAGTTTGTTGCAGAGTTATCACCACTCGGGCGCGATGCTTTCAATGTGGTCAGGAGTAAGATTGGCCTCTCCTCCTATCTGGATTTTTGTTTGTTTCAACTCCTTCATTCACAGTGTGATGTACTTCTACTTTACACTATCGTGTTTGCATGTAAGAGTGCCCAAGTTTGCCAAACAGATTTTGACCTCTCTCCAAATCTTTCAATTCATCTTCGGTGGCTCTTTGGCAGTGGTGCATCTCTTCTTGAAGTACTTCGACACTCATGAGCTCGTTTTCAGATCCTGCATTGCCAACTCGGATCAGGCTCTGGCCATCTGGATCAACGTTATCTACCTCACTCCCCTCACGATGCTGTTCGCTGCATTCTGGATTAATAGTTATGCCAAGAAGCCCGCTCCAAAGCTGGCTGCTAAGTCCAAAAAGATCAACTAAGGACCATCTCATTGCATTTCATTCATCATTAAAAGATTTTTTTAAAAAAAGATTCATTAAATGCTAACCAAGACCCCGGTAGAATAACGCCGTCGTTTGCAAATGCCCGTTGCGGCGCGCAGATTGCTGCCTCTATGACGTCACCAAAGGGATCGACACGTCCTTCAGGAACACAGTTTTGGCACAAGAGGAATGAGGGTTAGCGCGTGCTCTTTCCACGGCCAGTCTCATTTGATGTTCTCGACATGACGAGCAACGGATATAAACGATTGGGAGAAACGGGGAGACGAGTGGAGGATCCGTTCGGAAATCCGTTTGATTCCGACGAGGAGCAGTCGAGTTCCTCGCAAACGGATCCCTCACCTTTTGCCAACCCAGCATTTCAGGGCAAATCTTTCAGCGACTTTGACAGTGTGGCTGAAATATCAGACTCGCGGTCCGAGGCGATTGATTTGAGGCATCTAGACACAAGAGGCAAGCTGTTACCCGATGAAGAAATTGATCCTGATGAAGACAGTTTCGCAGGGTTTAGAGCACCACAGGATGACGGATTACAGGTCCCCACCTTGGATTTCGATGGAGTGCCGATGGGCAAAATAAGAGGCCAGCGGCTTTTATATATGACGTCTATATTCGTCAGTTTGGGAGTGTTCATGTTCGGGTACGATCAGGGAGTCATGAGTGGAATCATCACGGAACGCAACTTTGTACAGTTCTTTGACGACCCCACACGTATTCAGATTGGCACCATGGTGGCCATTTTGGAGCTAGGTGCTCTTTTGGCGTCACTGGCTGTTGGAACGGTGAGTGAGAAAATTGGTAGAAAAAGAACTATCATCCTGGGTGCCTTTGTGTTTGTGAGCGGTGGGTTGTGCCAATCACTAGCACCTAATCTCGCGATATTGAGTGTAGGAAGAGTTGTTTCCGGCATTGGTGTCGGTTTGTTGAGTACCATTGTGCCCGTTTATCAGTCAGAAATCTCACCTTCTCACGCCAGAGGAAGACTGGCGTGTATTGAGTTTACAGGCAACATCTTCGGGTACTCAGCCTCGGTATGGGTCGACTATGCATGCTCCTTTTTCCCCGGTGCAATCTCCTGGAGAGGTCCTCTACTGGCACAGTGTGTTCTTGGTACATTCTTGTTGGTTGGTGGTTTTTTCATAGTCGAATCGCCTCGCTGGTTGTTGGCAAAAGATATGGACACCGAAGGTTATCGGGTGCTGAATTTACTATTCGCAGACTCACCCGCCGGGACTGCACGCAAGGAATTTGAGGCCATAAAGGAAAATGTATATCAGGAACGCGTTTTAACACCTCCTGAGAAAAGAACGTATCGCGAAATGTTTAGAACGCACAAATACCGCGTATTCATCGCGTGTTCGGCCCTGATGTGGGCGCAGTTAGTGGGCATCAATCTCATTTCATACTATGCTCCAATGGTCTTTGAGGAGGCTGGGTTTGAGGGCAGGGCTGCCTTGTTGATGACTGGAATCAACTCTCTGATCTATCTTGCATCTACCGTCCCCACCTGGTTTCTCGTTGACCAATGGGGCAGAAGGCCCATCTTCATCAGTGGAGGTATCATGATGGGCTTTGCATTGAGCTTCATCGCTTATATCATGTGGCTTCAAAAATCCTACACTCCAGCCTGTGTGGCTGTTCTGGTGGTGATCTACAACGCTGCTTTTGGCTACTCGTTCGGCCCGCTGGCCTGGTTGTACGCTCCAGAGATTTTTGCAGACTCCACTATGAGATCCAAGGGAGTTTCGCTTTCTACTGCCACAAACTGGTTTTTCAACTTTCTTGTGGGAGAAGGCTCTCCAGCTCTATTAGAGCTCATCACCTGGAGACTTTACCTTATCCATGCCGTATTCTGCTTTGGGGCAGTCTTTTTTGTCTACAAATTGTATCCAGAGACCAATGGTGTTGAGCTAGAGGACATGGATAAACTGTTTGCAGGTGAGTTGTAGAGCTGGAATAAAAAGGGCCAAAAAGACATTTTGTGTCTTGTTTTCGCAGATTAAACCAAATTAAACCAGATTGTACCAGATTGTAACAAATTCTAAGAGTTTGTAACAATTTTTAACAAACTATAACAAATTATAACAAATTAAAGTTTGGATGAATTCTTAATGCAAGTGGCTGCACTATGCATATTGTTGCATATTCTGCAGTTATTGATATTCTTCAGAAAATCATAAAATTTCGAAAACCATGACGGAAACATTAACAAAATACTGAAGATTCATTTTTGAACTGAAACATTAGAAATAAAATGATCACTCAGTAAAAATTATCTTTTACAATTCTCATAAGTATCATGATCTTTTGGTCGTTACTTTATATATGGATTTACTATGTTAGGGCGCGAAGCGAGCGAGCCGGTTCAGAGCCAGAATGTCTGGCTAGACGGAAATTGGGTCATGAAATGTTATCTGGAATAGAGAATGCGTATCTGCTCTGAGATCAAAGCTTGATTCGAAGACTCAGCCGTTAGTATTCTCGTGTCAAAGCTCGCTGACAGGTTTGAGACTTTACCTTTTGCTGCGCTTGGATTGTCGACTGGTTCTGTAGTTGGTTAATCAAATGTCGCGTCTCAGTACGGTTTCAGTGAGAGAAAGTTGCACAGCTTGCAGTGCAGCGGCTTCAGCTATATGGCTTACCTCTTCTATGTCGTCGCCTGGTGAGTTTGTGCCTCTCAAGGACGATTCAAGCTCTGCAATTTTCTGTTTCATCATCCGTATTTGCGATTCTTTCGCCTCTAACTCTGATGTGAACTTGTACTCAGGTTCGTCTTCTAGCTCGTCATCAGAGGACAATTCTATGATGAGGGCGTTCATCCAGCTAATGTCCGCAAACTTGGCCGGTCCTCTTTTCAAGTTGGTCTGAACAGGTCGCACCGGATCCAATGAAGACGCACGTAAAGAAACCGGAGAAGGAACAGGCGAAGGAATAGGTGAGGGTTCCCTTGCACGTTTGAGTGTTCTCGGGGCAATATGTAACTTCAGTTTCTCAAACGCCATCACTAGACACTCCCGGTTGACGCCAGACTGCAACAATATTTCCTCGAAGCCAAAACCCAAACGCGCCAAATCCGAAACTGCTTCCCAAACAGGATGACCATCGTCAAGTTGTGTGCTCTCCCCGGGCAAACCTGCTTCACTCATTGTTCAGTGGTGCCGTATGATCATTGACTAGGGGAAGAAGTCTTGCTCGCAAAGGGAAAACAACTATGGAGAATTATACACTGGTTAGGGCCACCGCTCTGCAACGGACTATCGAGGTACTTTGGGGGTGTTTTCAACGTGGTGTCTACCGTCTATACGGGCATCTGGGACTTCACCGCAAGTTTTAAAAGTAACATTGTCTGACCAAATAAAAGTCGTGCACAATCAATTATTAGCCGCACGATATCATCCATTCTTCGAGGCTGCATTGAAATTGGAGAACGTAGGAGCAAACATGCGCGTATAATGGATTCTAAAAAAACAGTTTTATAGAGCAGTAGTCACTGTCATTGTCTTGGAGTTGATGAGCATCACTGGAGGCAGCCCTTCACACCATAGATCCAGGTTTTTTATGTACTCCAGGCTCTCCTGTTCGGAAATGTGAGTCCCAATTGCTGGAGTTGGTAGCGTAGAAAATATGACAGCACTTTCAGAGGAGACCTGGGTGAGAACATCATTCAAAATCAGGTGTTGAGCTTTCGATGTTATCTCGTTGAACGAAAACACCAGATCTTCTTCGTCCTCTTCATCAACGGCGTTCAAAGAAGAAGCATCCGATTTGGAGACGCTATGTTCTCTCAACTTGGTGCTCTTTTTCACAGCTTCCTCTTCAACACTCTTCCTCACGCTGGAGGCCCTGCTGTTGCGGGACTCACGTTCCACATCTGGTACAAACATGATAGACGGCTGGTCCCCAGTAGCATCATCGAAAACCTGCGATTTGGGCATTGCATCTGCAGAGAAGTTGGATCTGAGCAGTTTACGACTTGTTTTGCTCTTGATCTGGTTTTTGATGGAACCAGAAGATTGCATTGGTGAAAGATGAGGACGAGAATGAGGCACACGCAAGTGAGTAGCCGAGGAAATGTTCGACACCGGCTTGAAGTTCTTCTTCTTGATGAAGGCAGAACTGTCATAACTCCCTGTGCTATGGGTACTTATCGTGGATTCATTGTCGTCTGTGATATAGTCAGATTCGTCGTCCGAACTATCACCGATAGTTCGTTTGATATCTGAGTTGAGAATCCTATTTGTCACCATGGAGAGAGAAACCCCGAGCTTCTGCATGTTGGAAAGAGTGTATCTCCTTCTATTGCTGGCCTCAAACTTGTCAACTGCCTTAGAGGAAATCCTGTTGAACTGGAAAGACTGAAACTTCGATTTTGAGGTCTTGGAGTCTTCTCTGAACTCTGAAAGTGACTTCCACCACTCATCCTTCTCTAGGACGTGGTTTATTCTGGATGATAAACTCTCATCTACCTCTTCGCCCTTGCTTATATAGTTATACGTTTGAAAGGCCCCTGAGTTCAAACATAGCACCAAAACCTCGGCCTTGATTCTCAAAACGTCTAGCAAAGCTGCGACTCGTGTGCGTTCGTCCTCCACATCGCTTTCATACTCCACAAACACAACCACTCTCAGATTGTGGGTCTTTTTCCATTCTGGAACCGTGTTAAGAATCGCTCCCAGTTGAAGAATAAGCGTATATGTGTCAAAATTCGTCGTCAGTGCACTTTTGGTGCCAGACTCGTTCATTATCTGAGCACTCATCTGAATTGGGTACAGGTCAATGTACTTGGGTTGGCCCTTCAGTTCAGGCGACTTCTTTGTGGGTATTTCCAACCTGGGAAAACCTTTTGCAACTGCAACATTACTGTTGAGAAGTAACAGATCCTCTATGAGTTGGACCCACTCGGTGATCGTCAGCTTCTTCTCCTTTTGACAAGAATCGGTGGGCAGGTGCTCCATGTTGAGCGTAACTTGGTCGTTGTAAGCTGGGTTTAAACTCTCAATATTTCGGTGACCATTCCGAGCAAATGGCAACTCATCGGGTGATGAGTATGAGCTGAGATCATAGAACCCCAGGACGGTGATGTTGGGACGCATACCTCCCAGACCACTACCCAGGAACACATTCCGAACACCCCACGAAAGCGTGGGAGCAATAGAAATTTGAATAAACGCTTTGATATCGCTGATATCACGAAGTTTGGTCCATTCCTGTCTCTGCTTCGCAAGCTCTCCAACTCTTTCCTGAAAGTTTTTGCACACCATCACATGTCCAATTACGTAAAGACCGCCCTTTTTCAAATGGTTGCAGAAGCTCATGAGTCTCCAGCTGGTTCTTGGGTCATCTACCAAAAGCAAAACCTGTGGTCTCCAGTACTTGACGTTGTCCTGTTTGAGCTTGAGCAAGTATTTCCTCACCTGGTGGTAGATAAGCGACTGGGAGACATCTCCCCATTGTTTGGGAGGAGACACATAATGGATAGCTAAAATTAAGAACATGAGGAAGATCACCACCAGCGTCGCAGAAAGACCATCAACCACAAACATTGCGGCTACAGAGGCCACAAATCCCATAAGCGCAGTATAGGTGTTAAAGTATTTGAAGCTGGGTCTGAAGTTGGGAGCAGATCCTACCTTCAACAGGAAACAGGCCATATTGGTCACGATGAAAGTCATGAGAAATGACATCGTGATAAACGTGGCGATCTGGTTTATATCGGCAAAAAGGAATACCTGAGTCAACAGCCATGTGAAAAGGATGGCCGCGATAGGATCATCGTTGATCTTGGTTCCTTTGGCGAACACTCCTAGACCTGGAAGAATACCGTCTCTCGCAATGGCTTGAAGAACTTTGGCTGCCCCAACAATTCCAACAATAACCGAGAACAGTGATGTCGACAATTCACCCAACACCACCAGCAAACTGGATAAGTTGACCGATTGAATGACCTGAACATCTTTGTGGAGCAAGTCTCTAGGAATAGAAACTCCCATTGAGATTATGACAAGGGCATAGCACACAAATGTGAGAAGAAGCCCCCACAATGTTCCCTTGGGAATAGACTTGGAAGGTCTTGAAAGATCACCACTCATGGAAGCACCGGCAAAGATACCTGCTGTAGCTGGAAAGAAAATCCCAAACAAGTCATTGAATGTCTCCCTTCCCATTATCTGCGACCCAGCAGCTCCCTTAGTGAAATGCGGCATAAGATTCCCTCTAAAGGTCTCCCAGGATGGGCCCGAGTAGAACGAGTCTAGCTCAGGTATAGCAAACGGCTGCACAAATAACGTCGAAATCGGAACCGATATCGTCGCAATAAAAAGTATAGCAAACAGAAAAGAACCTGCCTTAGCAACAGGACCAGCACCAACAAGAGAAACAGAAGTGCAAAGAAACAAAAAGACAGTGCAATAAGAGAACTGCCACCAATACCCAACCGGCAACACATGTGCAAATAACCCACCAACCTCGTTGAAATTGATCATCAAAGGCTCAATGAAACCAGCAACATTAAGAGCAGAGTTCAAAACCTGCCCTATATAAAAAATTACGCCAATGGCTCCGCCAAACTCAACTCCCAGACTGCGGCTTATCATGTAGTATGCACCCCCACCTTTGACAGTGCCATTTGTAGCAATAGCAGAAATAGACAAAGTGGTCAAGAGATCTATGACATAACTCATCACCAATAGCAGGAGAGCCCCCAGAATTCCCATTTGTCCCACTATAAACCCAAATCTTAAAAACATCAGAATGGATAGGACATTCAGGGCAGTCGGCAGAAAGACACCACCGAGAGTGCCCAGCTTACCGCTCTCCGCAGGTGAGTCGTTGGACTTATCTTCTTTGATATTTAACAGGGTATTCGGATCATTAATGGGAGGAATCGAGTCATACAGGTCAAGGGAAAGCGAATTGTTCCGAACGGACCTTCCCAACAAGGGGGAGGTTTCGTTATCTCTGTTTGACATGATGCAGTAGCAGTAGCAAAAGGCGCCGCCTGAATAGCTCTATCCAAAACTTCAATTGAGTAAATTGTGGAAACGCGACAGGAAAATCTTTCTTATCCTCTTTCAAACCTTTAGCAACTTTATTACCCCTGAATACAACACCCCAAGTAGAGTAGCAGAAATTGAAAACAGATCATGCAAAGGTAAAAAAAACAGCACGATAAGCTAGAGGTCGTGCAACGCCAAACCATGAGAGTAGGCAGATAAACTTTTCGAGTTTGACTTGTCTCCAATGCGGTTTTAGACATAATTGACAAGCCGAACAATATCGAAAGTTAGCCAAATGAGTCGAGGAGGTTTTGACAGGAGTAAAGATGATGGTTTCCACCGTTCAGGACAGTCTGAGAACAAAGGTACTGGAAATGGCCATACACGGGGCGCAGATGCTCTCCATGCTCATACCACTGCTTCTACTGCTTCTAAACCAGAAGCACAACACAACACTCCGCAAAATGTAAGTAACTTTAGGCGAAACGGAAATGGTGTCAATGGTTCAAATAATTTGGTGTTAACAGATGCCAAAGCTGCTAGCCCGAGCAACAACATCCTAGCCCAGAATACAGTGCAGCCTGAGATTTCAGCAGAGGAGAAGAGGAGGTTGAGGCAGGAGAAACTTGCTGCTTGGAAGAAGAAGAAGAAGGAAGAAGAAGATGCGGCAGAGAAGAAAACAAGAGAAGCCAGTTTGCCAGCTAAGAAGACGTTTTCCCTGAAAAGCTCGGTCGTTGGAAGACCTCCTGTACGGAAGTTTGGTATGGTCAAGAAGAGCCTTTCCAAAAACGCATTTGGACAAGATGGCGAAGAAGAAGGCCCTGAATCAAGATTATCACGGTCCATGTCACCCTTTTCCAAAACAGCCGCCATGGAAGAGAAGCCATCAGCGGAAGATGATGAGCTGGAATCATTCATGTCTGGATTGAAAGAGGATGAGAAAAGCAGAGATTCGGGCGACATAGACATGGAGGATGCGTACGAGATTGACGATCACGTTGAGGAACATGATTTAGAAGAGCAAGATCCACAGAAACTCATGAAAGAGCTGGCCGAGAAGAGCCGCAAGGACATACCAGAGTTGGCAGCCAGTACTGAGCCCTTTAAAAAAGACTTTTACAGAGAATCGAGTTTTGTAACCGGCCTTACCGATGAGGAAGTTGCAAGTTTGAGACTTACAGACGGGATAACAGTTAGAGGAAAGTCTGCTGTAAGACCGATTCTGACATGGTCTCAGCTGGGATTGCCTACCCAGCTGTCCTCTGTCCTAGAGGAACAGGGGTTTGACTCGCCAACTCCTATTCAGTGTGAAGCTCTTCCGAATATTATGAAAGGAAACGATCTGATTGGAATAGCAAAAACGGGGTCCGGTAAAACCTTGGCTTTCCTACTCCCTCTCTTCAGACAGATTATCGATCAGAGACCGTTGAGGTCTGGTGAGGGCCCGCTTGCCATTCTCATGACTCCAACCAGAGAGCTGGCGATTCAGATATTCAAGGAGTGTAAGCCATTCCTGAAGAATCTCAACCTCAAAGGTTGTTGTGCATACGGTGGTGCTCCTATCAGTCAGCAAATTTCTGAGATGAAGAAACAACCTGAGGTGGTTGTTTGCACACCAGGCAGAATGATAGACTTGCTTACTGCTAACGGTGGAAGGGTGACTAACATGGCCAGAGTAACTTATTTGGTCCTTGATGAGGCTGATCGTATGTTCGATATGGGGTTTGAGCCCCAGGTGATGAAGATCATCAAGAGAACGAGGGATGACAGGCAAACTGTCCTTTTCTCTGCGACTTTTCCGGCTCGCATGGAGGCGTTGGCCAAGAAGGTTCTTCAAAAACCGGTGGAAATTCTGGTGGGGAGTAAAAGTGTTGTTTCTGATACTATCGAGCAAATAGTGGAAGTCACTCAAAATGATGACAAGTTTGCCAAAACTCTCAAAATCCTTGGAGACTTCAGAAACAGAGACCCAGATGGAAAAGTGCTCATTTTTGTGGATAGACAGGATGGAGCCGACTTCTTGTACTCGAAATTGCTTGAAAGAGGCTATCCATGTCTGTCACTGCATGGAGGTAAGACTCAAACAGACCGTGGAGCTACAATTGACGAGTTCAAAAGCGGTAAAGTTGATGTTCTAATTGCAACCTCAGTGGCTGCGAGAGGATTAGATGTCAAGGGTCTGAATTTGGTCATCAATTACGATGCTCCTACTCATATGGAAGACTATGTTCACCGTGTCGGGCGGACCGGCAGGGCAGGAAATAAGGGTAGGGCATATACTTTCGTCACACCCGACCAGGACAGATTCGCATCTGATATTGCACGTGCTCTCGAGCTAAGTCATCAGATTGTTCCGGCCAGTATCCAGGAACTCGCGGACCAGTTCAGACAGAAGGTGAAAGCTGGAAAAGAGAAGTTTAGTTCTGGATTTGGAGGAAAAGGTCTGGAAAAGCTCGAGCAAATCCGTATCAATAACCGGAACATGGAAAGAAAAGCTTTCCAGGATGAGAACGATGAAATAATTCCAGTTCAGGAGAAGCAAGCGGACCCGGGAGAAACCACCGCAGCCGAGCCTGCATTAACAGTCTCTGCCGAAGGAGATTACAAGGTGGTTCCATCAACAGAAAATGCCAACGAGTTCCAGGCTAAAATTCCTCTCAACGATCTTCCGTCAAAAGTCAGATGGCACGTTACCAACAGAGATAGCATGTCGAGGGTAATTGAAATGTCTGGCACTTCGATCACGACTAAGGGTAGATACTACCCTCCAGGAAAAGGCCCAACCACCGAGAAGGATGATCCCAAGCTGTACCTGTTGATAGAGGGCCAGACCGAACTCGCTGTTAGCAAAGCTGTGAGTCTTTTACGCGAGTCCATGATAACGGAGTTGAATGCAGCCGCTAAAGAAGACCACAAAGGAGGAAAGTACACGATCACATAAAAAATGACTCCAATGTTAATTAATGAATGCCTCAAACAATTATAGAGACTAAACCATCACGTCATATCTTTAATTATTCCATCAGTAACAACTGAAAACTTCAATAATGTGCGATGAACGAATCAAACATACTAATTTTACTCATAGCCCGTCTTCTCAAAGCAAAACGCCAGATAAAAGGCTGCCGCCTCCTTTTCTTCTCCTTCGACACCATAAGTACCATCAGCACGCCTCATACCTTCCAGCAATCTCGGGTTCAATCGTTTGATCCAGTTTGGAATTTCCTCCGCGAACATGTCAAAAAACTGCTTTTTGTATCTCAATTCAAGGTTGTACTCTTCGCAAAGAGCTCTGAATGCCTCAAACGGGACAACAAACTCGGGAACGTTGTCAACTGCATCAACCAAGTAGTATGTGTACAACTGGCCATAAGCTGGTCTAAATATTCCATCACGCGGAGGATCTTGGTCAAAGTTTACACGATAAAGGGAGTTACCCCAACCTTTCTCGCCAGCTGGAAGATCCTTGAGTTTAGTCTTCATGAAATCTGAGGAAGGGATAGTTCCAATGAACTTGCCTCCCCTTCTGAGTGACTTTGAAACGTTCTTGATCATGGATCTCGCGGTTTCCTCGGAGTCGAAGCCGTAATGCATGCAAAACTGCATAGAGACCATATCAAAAGGGAAGCTCACTTCGGACTCGAACCCTTTGATCACATCGGGAATAGCAGTTTTGAATGCATCACCAGCAACAAATACCACCCCGAAACTGCTGAGATGTTGCATTGTTCTGTAACGCCTGATAGCCTCTTTGATGGAGTCATCTGATAGATCAATTCCTGTGTAATGTCCAATTTTAGACTGATGCCATTTCTGGAGATCACCACCCTTTCCACAACCCAGATCAAGGACGTTGTCGCCTGGTTTGGAGAACATGTAGATCAGCATATACTTAATACAATTGTTGAAATTCCTGAGCTTGTAAATTGGCGACGCAGATCTTTTCTCCCTCTTCGAGAGATTGGTACGCTGATTATAATGGCTTTTGATCATGTCGTCCACTTGGCCTGCTTGGTATGTGATCATTGTCTCTTTGACCTGTCTCTGTTCCTTTTGGTCTTCTCTTTGTCTCTCTTCTGCAGCGCGACGGAGTTGGTCTTCCATATTACCCCTTCTCTTGGGCTTGCGGAGCTTTTTGGTTTCATCAACAGTGGGCCCAGCCGCTGCCTGTAGGTTCTGATTGTGCTTGGCGAACTCTTCATCAGACATCCATGCAGGTTTCTGTGTGGGAACAGCCACCGGAACAGCCGAAGATGCGGTAGTAGAAGCAGACAAGCCCAGCGAGGAAGGTACAGCTTTGGAGGCTGCAATTTCGGGTTTAGACACAGTTTGGGTGTTTGCCTGACTCTCATCTCTTCCTCTCAGTGAGAAAGCTCCGCCAGCTCCGCCAACTCTGGCCGGTTTCGGTCTCTGGACCTTCCTCCGCTTGTGTGAGTCCTCAAATACCCTCTCCTTGTTTGAGGAATCTATAGGTTGCGGTATATCTGTCATTGTGTACAAAAAACACAGAGGTGCACAGTGGCAGAATAGTACAACATCTGATATTGATACTGAATCCAACATGATCACAGAGTCGTGCATCCACCACAATAGCCCAATGCGTTACATAACATCTTACCAAATCAGCGGGTGGGGAAAATCTCCGCAATTTATCTCTTTGACTTTGGTCGGTCTCTCCACATTCTTAGATCTTCTTCCAACAATACTTTGTCCAAGGATCTATAACCAGTCCAAGCTCAACGCACTAAATGTTTGTGTTTCCAGCATTTAATACCGGGTTCAAAGCCCGTAAGAGGTCTTATATGTCTTGCAGTTCTTGCAGGGTTAAAAGAGTGCGTATTGCTAGTGTAGTCTCTCCTGGGGAAGCCCCTCGGGGAAACACGGTTTTTTCGGGATTCAGTCCCCTTTTTTTGGTGATTTTTTCCTAACTTTTTCCAGGTTCGCTGTCAACTGTCGAGCGAATATGATATATACGGATGTAACAATTGTCTCGAGTCGGATGACAAAACGTGCGATTTGATATTCCGCCCGAAGATTGCGGAGACTACAGGGACACCGATGGGGACATTGAAGGAAACGGCCCCGAGAGCTTCCCTGGTGAAAGAAGAACAAGATGACAATAAGAATGACGATGTGCTGTTAATGCATGTCCCCAGACGGAAATCCACGCCGGATCCGAAGGTGGCTGTTAAGCAGGTGACCGCGAAGGAGGAGGGGTTCAAGATATCCAACGCGATAAACACGACGGTACAGGAACCTGAAGCGAGACCTAAGGCCACTATTAATGATAATAATGCTTTGGACGGCGACAAAGCTGATGTCAAGGCGGAAACGCCGACATTGCAGAAAACCACACAATCAGCAACGACTCGTCCGATCGCAGAAGTCCACCAGGAAGGACTTCCAAATGAGGACGATTTTTCAGACTTTGACAACGGAGTGAAGTTCGTCTCCACAAAGGATTCCCTGATTAAAATTTTGAACCTTCCATTTACTCGAAAAAATGGATCCTCCGAGATCAAGAAGTCCAACTCAGTCACGGCCTTCCAAGCCCTTTCCTCCAAGTTTGTGGGCTCAACAGATGCAACTGCAGTTTTCATACAGGTTGCGAATTCGAACAAACCTCGCAGACGTGGTTCTGCGATCAACGAACCTGTACGGGCAGCCACCGAAGGAAGTATGCTTTCCGACGACTCCATATCGCCCTTTGGAAACTCCAATTCTCCCGACTCAGAGTTGCCCGCTTCAAAAGAAGTTATCCCCAACTTTGAGGTTGCGGCTTGGAATCCAAGGCACAGAAAGGACAAAAAACAGCCCAAAGGAGGACCTGCTTCTGATGAGAGACGCGCGAGTGCAATTATCGCCAACGAGAGTGTCAGAGACATGCTCGGAGTCTTCATCAGGTCTGATGATTCTAATCCAATGTTCAAAAACACACTGAACTACGGTCCTTTCCAGCTACCCCCTTCGTTGTACGAGTATCTCGACAAAGATTGCGATTGTTTCAACATCGGACTTCAAAAGATTACCCAATTCCAGCTCATAAAGCTCTATTTCGCAAAGTTCAACTGTGTTTTGCCCTTGCTTTCGGAGGAGTCTTCACTAACAACTTTCAAGAACAACCACATGCCGACTTTGATACTATATGCATTGATACTACTGGCTACGCGGATCGATGGCGCGGCTGAAATTCTGGCCAAAGAAGGAATCAAGGATATAGAAGAGTTCGACAAGGTATTGGAATTTAAAACAAGGACGATGATACGCTTTGGACTGGATGAGAACAGACTCACGCTTCTACGTTCCCATGCTCTGCTTCATATGTATGGAGGAGGCGGCCTGGGTGGAATCAGTCCTAACCAGGAAAGAAATGTTGGATTAGAACAATCGTCAATGGATCTTTCTTTAGCGATTCACCATGCTTTCACTTTGGGAATTCACCACAACCATTACACTCAAGAAAATAAGTTCATGAAGAGGGACACATCGATCTCCAAAGCGTGGTGGTGTTTGTTCATACTTGACAGATGCAATTGTCTCATCAATTCGAGAACCATGCTGATCAACAGAAGAGATTCCAGCTTAGAATTTCCTACAGATAAGAGTCTCAACGGTTTAGTACAGGCAGCCATGAGACTGGAGAAGGTGTTGAGTTTCTACCAACCCCACGGCGATAACAGATCTGTTCCCAAAGACATTGACTTTGACGTTTTTCCTGACATCACCAGCATGGACTATATCGTGAAAGAAGGAGGAAACGTTGGTGCCGAGTGTCTGAGACGACTGATTGTGTGTATCACCATCATGTTTGCACAGAAGAAGAGATACGATCTTCTGGATCCGAGCAAAGAAAATTACCGGAGCGAGAAAGAGATCCCAGACCAACGCTACGCAAACTGCGCACTACAGATTCTGAACATTACATCTCGGTACATGATGTATCTTCCAGTCATCAATTTTGTTCCTTACAGCGTGAGTTTCACACTGTCTTCATTTCTGAGGCTGGAGATGAGACCCATCAAGAACGAGGACACCCAGTATCTGAGCCACGATCCTTCCATCAAGTACTGGACTTGGTCCAAGGTGCTGGAATTTCTGGAAGTGTTGGGACACAAATTCTGGTATGCCAGGACTGTGGGGCAGCTGTGTGGTGATTTCCTTAATAAACTGGAAGCCGAGACGTCTGTGGTCCAGTTCAAAAACAACGTAGGTATGGAAATCAACGGAAGAGTACCCACTCTGGGAATTGACGAGAATCTCGCTGCATTTGCCAGTCAGAACCACTTTGAGTTTCTTGCAACCAGTGCAACCAAAAGCTCCAGCAATTTGGGAGGAGTTGCTGAAGTTGATGCTGATTTCGACTTGCACCCGGTAAAGATGCAAAAGTTGAATAATGGTACTGCCAACACCCAATCGTACACCACATTTGATACTCCCACCAACGGCAGCAACCAGTTTCCATCCCCACCAGACGACCAACTGTTGCTTCTGTTTAACGAATTGCCTTCCGTGGAGCAGTTCTTTGGAACCAACCACGATTTCAGCTTCTTGAACACTGGGGATAAGGGAGAAGGATATGACTACGATTATGATTATCCGGTCAACTAAAAGACGAGGTCATAAAGAGTGATATTATAACTGAAAAGTCTAGCAATAATGTTAATTTGGACAAATATAATAGAATAAATATCACGGAAAGAGCGATTACACTCTACAATCTCGGCTAAATAACGATAATCTTCATACTGAAAAATTATGTAATCTCAGTCTAAGAGTGATAATTCTTATGATATCGATAATCTTAGGACCCTGCCTTGACAACAGAGGCCATATTAAATACTCTTCATCTCAACTTCCCCATTTATGTGCTTATTTAGGTCCAAGCATCTTCTCTGGTCTGACCCATTCGTCAAACTCCTCCTCGGTAAGAACACCAAGCTCAAGAGCAGATTGCTTCAAGGTCAAACCCTTTTTGTGGGCATTCTTAGCAGTCTTGGAGGCAGCATCGTAACCGATCTTTGGGTTCAAGGCGGTGACCAACATGAGAGACTCGTTCAACAACTGGGAGATTCTGGTCTCGTTGGCCTTGATTCCCTCAACACAGTGAACTCTGAAAGAGTAAGAGGCATCGGCGATCAATCTGACCGACGACAACAGGTTCGAGATCATAACTGGCTTGAAGACGTTGAGCTCGAATTGACCAGAGGCACCGGCAAAGGTGATGGCAGCGTTGTTACCAAAGACCTGAGTGCACACCATGGTCAAGGCCTCGTTCTGGGTAGGGTTGACCTTACCAGGCATGATGGAGGAACCAGGCTCGTTTTCTGGCAGCGAAAGCTCACCGTATCCACATCTTGGACCAGATCCCAAGTATCTAATATCGTTGGCGATCTTGAACAGAGACGTAGCAACGGTGTTCAAAGCACCAGAGGCCTCGACGATGGCATCATGAGCAGCCAGAGCCTCGAACTTGTTTGGAGCAGTGAAAAATTGCAAACCGGTCAGGACGGAAACCTGCTCAGCAACCTTCTCTGGGAAACCAATCTTGGTGTTCAAACCAGTACCAACGGCAGTACCACCCTGTGCCAAAAATCTCAGGTTCTCAAGAGACCTCTCGACTCTGGCAATACCGTTGGTGAGCTGTTGGACGTATCCAGAGAACTCTTGACCCAGAGTAAGAGGAGTAGCATCTTGAAGATGGGTTCTACCAATCTTGATGATGTCCTTGAACTCCTCGGACTTGGCCTGCAAGGAGTCTCTCAAAGCAGTCAGCTCTGGGATCAAGTGGTTGGAGATTTCTGTAACTGCAGCAATGTGCATGACGGTTGGAAAGGTGTCGTTGGAGGATTGCGACATGTTTACGTGGTCGTTTGGATGGACCGGTTTCTTTGATCCCAGCTCTCCTCCCAAGAGCTCAATGGCACGGTTAGAGATGACCTCGTTAGCGTTCATGTTGGACTGAGTTCCAGATCCGGTTTGGAAAACAACCAATGGGAAATGGTCCAGCAGCTTTCCGTCAGCAACTTCAGTGGCTGCCTCCTGGATGGCAGACGACAACTTTGGGTCCAAAGCACCCAGCTCCGTATTGACTATGGCTGCGGCTTTCTTGAGGATACCAAAAGCATGGATGACTGGCTCCGGCATTTTTTCTCTGGCACCACCAATTTTGAAGTTTTGGAGAGATCTTTGAGTCTGGGCACCCCAGTACTTGTCATTGGCAACCTCGATATCGCCGAAGGCGTCTTTCTCGGTTCTCAGCTTCATGGCAGTGGAGGAAAATGGACGAACTGAGAGCTTAGTGACGGTTGATCTCAACATCGATAAGCTGGATGAAAATTGGCGATTTGATAAAGGTTATAGAACTGACTCCAAATAAGGATCAATTACCGATACAGAATCTGTGAAAATCTGGGAAATCGTTGAACGGGTAAAGCTGGAGAGGTAATCAAAAGGTTCAGATCGAGCTCCAGGTGTCGGCCCCGAGAGGAAGTGGTTGTCTGCACGTGGAAGTGATGGCAGAGGGAGTGCGAGGATTAAACCTGTTGGTACACTAAGATGAAGCTGATGATGTTTACATTTGGGATAACACTTTCTTGTGTGTCATCTTTATAAATACATCGCTCCAACAATGTGGGGGTTATTCTACAAGTACGAAGAGGAAGAGGCACAGAGACGTGCTATGCAGCAAGGCAGACCATGTCCTCACGGAAATGTGAAAGGTCTTGTGCTTAAAGATCCGAAACACGAGGATTTGAACAGGCTTCTGAGACGCGAATTGCCTGAGGATATAATCAAGGCCAAGTTTGAGAATCCAGCACAAAGGGTAACTGCTCAGAAAGACATGGATATGGACACGGATATGTTTTTCTTCGGAATACAACCTACGACCGACAAGTCCGAAAAGACTTCTGATGACAGGAGCTTTCTCCAGTACGTTCTGGAGGAGTATCCCAGGGTGGTAGCCAATGGGTTGAAGGGAAAGGACATAATTGATACAATCAAGGTTTATAAGAGGGAGTACAATAGGGAACGGGCCGAAAATGAGACCTTGAAGGAGAGGGTTGCACAACTAGAGAAGCAGTTGGATTTGGCTAAGTTGAGGAATACAGTGACGGAAAAAACGGAATCAGCCAGCCACAAGCAGAAGCAGTTTGAGCCCGTGAATACAGTACCAATTCGCGAAGAGCAGGTCTTTTCTGCGAGGAATACGGTTTCCGATCAAGGCAAGGAGAATGTGAATCCGAAATCTGTTGTACCAAAGGCCATAATGCGTGAACCCCAGTCTCAAAAGAGCCCCACAATATCACAAGCATCAGAGATTGCTCCAATAGCGGCTGCAGTCCCTATTTCGCAACATGCTAACGGAAACACCCCGCTGAACGTTTCCTTCAACGAGCAAGGAGAAGCAAGAGTGAACGTACACGTTGTTTTGGAAAGCCAAGGCGGCGAGTTTAAAACAATCGCGACTCCAAAACCTGTTGAAATAGCAACCCTAAAGCCTGTTGAGACAGCGAATCCAAAATCTTTGCCGGCAGATGGCTGTAAAGTGTGTGGTGAAAGTATGAGACCTGCGCTCAATGCCGGGCACGGGCACGCCAGTTGCACCTCCAAAGAACCATCTGAGCTTCCTGATTGTATCAAGAGTCTGAAGAATGGGAAGCAGGTGCCAAATAGTTGGTTCTCTTTGAATGAAAACGATCTCGGGCAAACCTATACAAGCTACTAAAATTGTTGTTCATGTCTTCGTTTATAACATTTCGAGATAATTCGAGAAAGCCATCTTTTAATGTGTCAACTCAACAGGTTTACCTAGCTCCCAGTTTTTCAAAGCCGTATCTATGTTGACCCAGTATTTGAGCTTGATCGTACCAAGAGCTGCAGCATCATAGTCTTCAGCCTCATACAACTTCTCCAGTTCTTGGACCGTTTCCTGAATCCGGGCATCATTTTCCTGTTTGAGTCCTTCGATGTCATTTTCGTTCGCATTTTCCAGTTCCTCGTGGATCTCCAGAATCGTCATTAATAGCTCCTTATCCGCCATTTGCCGGGTTCTGAAAAACTCATCTTCGGCAACATCGTACCCCTTCAATAGCTTCAATAAATACTGTGACCTATTCAGCGGGCTCTTCAGAGTGTTATAAGCATGATTGATCACAGAAGAAGCCCCTTCTTCTTGGTTCAGTTTTTGGTTGAGATCTGGGTGGTTGATGGCCTGCAATCCTCTGTACTCTTTGCGTAGTTTCCGTAGGTCCACCTTGAAGGTTGGCCGCTGCTCAGGAAACGTCTTTGGAAAGACCTTGAAGTAGTCCTTCGTTGCTGTGTTGATTAGTCGTTTAAATATGAATGACATTTGATGGCGGCGTGAAGGCGTGAGATGCTTAGATAAGTATATTGGAGAATACTCTACGTAACAGACAGCTGCCGGCTTGCTCATCGCTCGAGGCCTAGGTAAGTGCCTAATTGGGAAGAGCCGTAATAGAGTAAACATATAGTGAAATATCATTGTAAGTAGGCATATATATATATACAAGAATTACGATATAATAAGTGAGATCCACCGTATTTGTTACAGAAAAATCAAATATCAATATGTATGGTTTAGTATATGGTAATAGTGAATTGGTGTACAGAAAATGATCATTATGCAGTGAAAAGTTCAGAGCTTCTCATTCTTTATCAAAGACCCTTCCTCGTATAGGTTCTTCAAATCAGTATTGAATTTGGTCAAAGCATTGTTTCGCTTCAATTTTAGGGTTGGTGTCAAAACCTCGTCTTCCACTTTCAAGGGCTCAATGCCAATCTTCAAGTTGTGTAACTTCTCATAGCCATTAAGACCTGCAGAACTCACATTTCTGTTCATTTGTGCCAAGATAGCTGACTTCAGCTGTCTGCTGGATGAAATAATATCCAAAATTTCTTCAGGAGTCTTTCCTTCCACTTGTCTCCACAAATCTGGATGTTTTCTCTTCAAAAATGCTGACAGACCGAGTATGTCGACTCCAACTATACCTACCAGATAATTCGAGAAAGAGTCTCCATGAACGTAGATCTGCGACACGAAGTCAGTGCAACTGGACAAATAAATATTCTCAATTCTTTCAGGAGCAACATACTCTCCCTGAGACAGTTTGAAAAGATTTTTCACTCTGTCGATCACATAGATCCGGCATTTAGAATCGATTCTAGCGATATCACCGGTGTGGTACCAACCATCCTCGTCTAGTGCTTTTTTAGTCTCTTCCTCGTTTTTGTAGTAACCAGGAAAGACCTGGGAACCCCTCAAAAGTAATTCACCACGAGGCCCTCCTTCATCGCTAGAAGTGTATCCCAACTCAGGCGTATCCTTGAGTCTGCACTCAGTAGCAATACCGATCACACCGCAAGAGCCCGGATCTGTTTCCAAACCTGCTGAAACACACACTCCAGCAAAAGTCTCAGTGAGACCATAGCCCTGGTGAAAACTCACCCCAAGGGCAGCCTTGAGGAATTTTATTGTCTCCGCACTAATTGGAGCAGACCCTGTCACAACACCGTACAAATTGTCAAAACCGAGTGCGGCTCTGAGTTTGTTATTGAGAAGCTTGTCATACAAAATGCTCTCGCCTCTTTCACCGTCCTTTGAACATTGCTGCTTCATTTTCCACTCAATTATCCTCTTGGCCAGCGCCCTCTTTGCTGGCGAAGCATTGGGGTTGTGAACGGTTGCTGCCTTCAACACACCCTCAAACTTGTTGAAGAGCCTAGGGACCCCACTAAATAGGTTAGGTTTAAACAGGCGCAGATTTGGAACAATATGTTCGGGTCCAGGCTGGTGTGGAAATCCAAGACATCCACCCCTAAACAATTGTAGGGCCATCGTCATTCGTTCATAAATGTGAGCCAGAGGAAGAATGCTCAGAAGTTTAGCCTTTTGCTTGGGTGTATCGATAGTAGCGCTGGTGAAGGCAACCCCAGCAGCAACACCTGAATGAAGGAGAATAGCACCTTTGGGAGGCCCAGTGGTTCCGCTGGTAAATGAGAGAGAATATATCGAGTCTGGCGCTGGTGGAACTTCTTCATGTGGGAACAATATGCCGGCCTCAGTAACCTGGTCCCACTCATAAAGCTTAACATTCAACTTGTAGGCCCTACGACTCAGATCGCTATACACTTCCGGTTCTAGATTATCCATTGCCACAAGCATGATCAAGTTCTTGAGCTTGGCAGGGTCAGCCTCTTTGAGATCCAATAATTTGGAAATCTTATCGGAAGCAGCAACCACTACCGGCGATTTGGTCAACCCCAGAATGTAGGTGGAAGTGTCTGGGCCCAAAGTGTCATAAAGAGCAGTGTTTGGCAACGAAAAGAGTGTACAGGAAATATCCGCAACAAGCCATTTAGCTCTGTTTCTGGAGAAGATGGAGACGATGTAGTCTTTGTCGGGAATTTCAGTCCCCGATCTGAACTCGTTCTTTTGGAGCAAGTATTTCAATCCTGATCCGAAATTGAGCGAGTCATGATAAACCTCACCATAGCTCCGGGGAACAAACTTATCCGACCAAGAGTTTTCACCGGTTTGTGGTCTTTCGGAAACACAGTCTTCATCCTTAAATATTTCGAAAGACCGTTTGAGGATTCGATAGTACGTATCCAGTTCCGGAGAGACCCGGTCGTACAGAAAGTCGGGCGTGGCTGCACTTCTGTAGATGGCCGAATACCCTGGCTCGACGGACCCTGGAACGGCGATTCCCCTTTGGTTTCTTTCTGGAGGGAATGGAAGAGCGTCTCTGGTAATATCCTCTGCCCGCTCGAAGACAGCCCGGTACGGTGGTAATGGTAAAGAAGGCATTGTTTATACTGGCGGAAAAGACTAAACTGAAAAATTACTAGGAAAATTACGGCCTTTATAGCTGCGACAGGCCGATATTATTTCGGGAGGGGTTTTGTTAGTGACGTGAAGTGCCAAAGCGCAAGTAAGGTCCACCTCGGCACGGTGAAACTGTGGGGTAGACCGGGGGAGGGGAGGTCTTTCTAGTTGAAGGGAATTTTGCTGAGAAAAAGTTCGTTTTTACCAGATCAAAAAACTGAAATTTTGCTGAAAAGGTGACGAGAATGGATTGCTCGGGTTTCATATCGATCAGCCTATTGTGGAGTACATAGATTGTGGTTAGCTGAGACACCGTTTGAACATGCGTGCATATGCCGACCGTTTGATTTTTCTCGGAACCCAAGAAGTGAACGTGATTCTTGACATTCTCCTGGGCACGACCCACTTTGTGCACGTGACACAAGTCAGCACTATTGATTAACACACTATAAAATGAACGTCTAAACCAATCAACAAAGTTGGGATTGAAATACGGCAGAGAACAGGTTTATTTTACACATATCCAGTATCCATCCATCCACCTTTTGAATCAACTTCTAGGAATCAGAAATGGCTGGCCACGGTCCTCACTGTATGTATCCGCTTTTTATTTTTTTGATTTACTCTGCACGATCCCCCTTTTGCTAACACGCAACCTCTAGTGCTCAAGTCCGATAAAGGGTTCATAAGGTTCAACGAACTCAGAGATGGATTGTCCAATTTTTACAGATTCAACGGCAAGGCCTTGAAACACACAACGATGTTCTTCGTGATCATTCCTGGTCTTCTTGGGTACGCCGCGCTCAAGTACGAGGGCCGGATCGATTTGCACGCCAGGAGAAGGAAGGAACCTTTGTTTGAGGAGTATGTTCCCAGAAAGTAGGAGAAATCAACGGCACAAGACATAAAGATTCCATTATAGGTCTTAAAAAGATATCTATTCACGAGAAATTCGGTATGATGTAGAAGAAATTGTGGGATACTGGGCTCCAGTTACTGCATGCACCGCTACGAAATAATCACATATAACCCTTTATAAGAACTATGAAACTCTTCAGAGAGACAAAAACCTGGCCGCATGATAGAAAAAAAAGAAGATAACAAGGAACAGAGAGGAAATAGATGTAGATGAAGTTTGATGAATGAGTGAAAATGAGAGGGAAAAAGGTAGCAAAAACAGATGGTAGGATTGGCCAATGACAAGCAATGAAAGCAGAGAAAGAACGCATGGAAAGCAAGGAGATCATATATACTCTTGGTCAATAGTAATCAGCTAAAAAGTTTCAAACTTCTCTAATGTCCCCTCTTCCCAGGAACGTTCAGCTGGAATTCAACCATCCCTTCCCTGATATCTTTGTAAACCTTCGGCTTGAACCTTTGCTGCAAATTAGTCGGGCTTGAGCCGTTCATCATCATTGATCTCAGCATTTTTTGCTTCTTGGAGTCCATCGAACCCGGACTGGGTGACGAGCTGAAGTTCTCAAATGAGTATATCTGAGGAGTTGGAGATGAGTTAGATGCAGTTGAAAGTTTCTCGAACTTACTCGCCAAAGTAGGCGAGTTGGAGTTGGAACGAGGCGAGGTTGAGTTCGAAGAGTTTGGATTGTGCTTGAAGATTGCCTGTGGAGGACTCTGTTCCACGATAAAGGCGAACTGCTTCGAGTTCTTGATATTAACCTTGGGCTTGCTATCCTTCGGAGGAAAACTGAGGGTTGACGAACATTCGCTCAGCGAAAGCGTTCTGTTTCTTCCGAAAGTAGGAGTCGAGTTTGTCGAATGGAACCCGCTGTTTTTCAAAACTGGAGAATTGTTCACGAGGCTTTTGGCGTTCAAAGTAGACTTGCTCTTTTTCAGCTTCGGAGCAATCGGTCCCAAAACGGTTGCATTCTCAAATACCGGTAATTTCTTCGGCATTGAGCTCTTGAAGTCGATTCCAAGACCGAGAACCTTGGTGAAAACTTGTTTGTCAGCCTCTTTGGTGGCTCGTTTCACATCCACCTCGTTGGCCACCACAATGGTGGAATCTGCTTCTTCGTCCTCCGAAACTCCAGGACTGCTTTTCACGAACTCAAAGAGCTCCTCGTCTTTGGGCGTTATGGCTCCGGTGGTGAATTTCAGTAAAGGGTCATCGTCCTTTAGAATGTCCTCTAGATTGACATCAGAAGATGTCTGTAATTCCGCGTCGTTCAGAATGTACTGTGATAACGGGTCATAGCTGGAAGATTCCATCAAGTCCCAGCTTGAGTAATCTTGTGAGTAATCTGATTGGCCGTGGCCGTGTCCATGGGGAACCTGGTGTTGTTGTTGGTGCCCCTGGTGATGTTGTTGTTGTTGTTGTTGTTGCTGCTGAAGGGAAACATGTTGTTGGTGCAACATCTGCTGATGTTGTTGCTGGGGATGGTGGTGATGTATTGGATATTGCGGATAGGCCGCAACCTCTGTGTTAAAGCGAGCGTTCGAGGCCATAACGGGTGGATTCTCCGAGGCGGGTTGGTGAGCAACGTGCGAAAGAGCAAACTTTTGCGCGCCAATATTTCGGCGAGGCAGAAAGTGCGCAGAGTTGTCGGTTTTGAGCCTATTCTTCAGCGAAAATGCAGCACGGGATGTGGTGGTGATGGTGGTGTGGATGCTGTTGTTGTGGTCCCTGATGAATACAGACGTGAAACAGAGCCCTTTGTTTGTGTATGGCAGAACAGTGTTTTTGAAATTGGATATTTCCTGGTAAGCGAATGGAAGTGAGCAATGAGCTCTGAGGGAAATATTCACACTGAACGCTAAACGCGATGGTCGGGTGAAGGATGTGAAGTGGTGGGTTGCTTGTAAGAAACGGAAGGCTTGTTACTCTTCGAAGGAGCCCTGAGGAGGGGGTGGTTCAAAAAGTGGCCCACTTTGTTTGAGCGGCTAATAAAAATAGGACACGGTGAGTGCACGCCCATGGTGGGGGGAGAGCGCCGAGGGACAGAGGCATGTTTAACCGCGGTAGCAGAGAAACGAGGCGGCAAAGCCCCAATTTCACGGGAAATCGTTGCAAATTTTGGGGTTAAAACGTAAAATAGTTATTATAATTGTCGAATTAATATATTGTGATTATATTAATGCGAAAAAGTAGAGAAAGGCGTGAGATTAATGCCAGTCTTCGATAACTGGCCCTCGATGCAATGTTTACCTTTGGCCTTTTTCGGCGCTAACCACCAAACGGGTTATATTGCCATATCATAGCTAACCAACTTAAGTGACTTGTGACCTTCTTTCATTCACCAGAGTTGGCTTGTCTTCCCCCGTATTTATTCACTGTTCTGCTGCCTCTTACCAGATTTTCCCTCGCTCTTTTCCACCATGCTAGTATCGTCTTCGCAGTCCGAATCAATACCAGATGGCCATTCCGTCACCAAAAGACTCCAGAGCGAGCTGATGCAACTCATGATGTCCAATGTGCCCGGGATATCCGCTTTCCCTGAATCTGACTCGGATTTGCTCAGCTGGAGAGGTATGGTCGAAGGGCCTACGGAAACGCCATACGAAGGGCTAAAGTTCAAGCTATCGCTGCATTTCCCTCCAAATTACCCATACAAAGCGCCCACGATCAAATTCATATCTCCGATGTGGCATCCCAATGTTGACATGTCTGGGAACATCTGCCTGGATATTCTCAAGGAGAAGTGGTCTGCGGTGTACAATGTCCAGACCATACTGCTCTCCTTGCAGAGTCTTCTGGCCGAGCCCAACAACAAGTCGCCATTGAACGCGCAGGCTGCTGATTTATGGGATCACGATAAGGCCGAGTACAAGCGGTTACTGCTTAATAGATACGAGGAGATAGAAGATTGAAGAGACGGAGATAGAGACTCAAATAGGAGGGAAGGACCAGGGTCACTAGATGATGCTTGAGTGAAAATTGAGCAGATAATACTTGGAAGGAATTCAACTTTGAAGAAACTCAAGTTTGAACAAATTCAAGCCCAAGGAGGGAGACCAGCGCTCATGAAAACAGTCTGAGCTGGCTCTAATGACATTACTTCTGTGTGTTATTCCATGGAAAAACCAAATGTTAAGCGTTTATATAACGAACCGAACACTAATAACAAAATAAAGAAAGATGTAGACCAAAACCAAAAAGCGAGAAAAAAGACGAAAAGCACCTAAAAAAAAAGACAAAAAGAGACTCAAAAACACTCCAAAAAACATTAGAATTAACCAAACTTCACTTGAAACCCCAAAACCAACGCTGAACCTTCAACGTATAATTCCAACATGTATCACCTTCCTATATCACCATTTCAGAACTCAGGCTTTATCTAATAATCGCGTAAACCCAGGAGTCTTTAACCCAACCAACCCATTACATAAACTTGGTGAAATTTTTGTCCTGTAACCACCCAACCTTCTCGAAAGCAGCGAACAAACGACTGGCCTTGTTGACATCGATCTTACATGCCTTTTGGGCGTCGGTTCTTCTGAAAGGAAGACCCTTTCTGGAGCGAGACACCTTCTCGGCAAACAACCGTCTTTTGGAGTCCAGATAGACATTACCAGGCAATCTTAAAACGGACGCAAGCACAACTTCAGCAGGATGCAATTTGCCAATCAAAGGATCCTGTGACAGGTCCATTGGCTGACCTTTCCACTCGGTCTTCAAGCACTTGGTGTTGTTAGCGGGCAAGGAATCGAGTGGAGGGCAGTAGTCTGTGATGGCCTCGTAATTGTAGATTGGTAGAGAAGGTGAGTCCACTCTTGGGGACGACGTCTTGATAGCCCTGTGTCTCTTTGGAGTCGAAGGTGCGACAGATCTCACCGTGTTATTAGCAGACGACACGTCAGAATCGTCAAATTCAACAGTGCGTTCTCTCGCGACTCTTCTTGTCCTCACGCGCTCTTCAGCCGCACTAGCGGTAACATCAGTGTCGTCAGAAACGTAATATCTCCGGCGATTCACCGTGGCGAATTTTCTTCTGATTGCTGCGGAGTTGCTCTTGGCTCCATTCAACTTGTACTGTCTCAAAAACGAGAGCTGTCTCTTCTTGTATCCGGGCTTGTTCAAATCCGACCACGGATTGATGCACAGCTCTGTCTTTGACAAGTCCTGGATCGGAAATGGTTCGACATTGACGGCCTTCTCCACCAATTCCTCCAAACTGGGAGTGGAACCGCGTTCCGGAAGTTCCATCCTGAAGGGGGACATCACCAAATCGGCAAACTTGCCGTCATAATTAGAGGTGGTGGGCGAAAGTGGCGGCGATGGTATAGTGCTTGAGTTTGGCGTCTGAACAAAGTCCAGTTTCGATCTTGGCTTCAAAACATTCTTGGAGACCGAGTTGGTCTCTATACTAGGCGTAAAACACCCGTCTACCTGACGCGAAGACGATGTGGCCTGGTAGATAACTGACATTGTGCTATTGTTCTTAGAGGAAAACGAGTAAACAAATCGAACGTAAGTCCCTAAAGCAAGGATGTATCAGACGTAAACTATTAAACAACAAGATGAAAACGGCAAGAGGATGTTATTTAAGAGACTCTAAAAAAATTTGAAACAACAAAAAAAAGATGTTTCTTTTTCTTTAATTTCTTTTTCCGGTTTCCGGATTCCAGGACGTAAAGTTCACCAGTTTCGGGGCTGCGATGTTCGGAGAAACTGTGCAGAAAGGTGGGCAAAAAGGTTTGGACAGGACATGGTGATTCGATGGCAGGCGAAGCAGTCGATTGTTTGTTATAACAAGTTTTGAACTGTCGACAGTACGTGACCGAAAACCAGAGTCGCAAAGTCATGACCAGTCACATGTCCGGGTGGACCCATTGAGCGGAAACCGCCGGTTAGGGTTGCCGAGCAAGATGACCCATCGAATAAACCCAGAAGCTTCTCCTCCATGGGGTAAGACTTAATACAGCAACTGGGCAATTTGGATAATATTTTGCCACTCAAAGTACGAGAGATAGATAGATCTCTTTTTGAGTCGGACTTTGGTGCTGGTTTTCTTTTGAAAAGGCCTCGGGGAGAAGTGGGGTTTGAACTCGGTTCAGGTAGGTCTACATGAGTCAGCATGAGGATCCTATTACGATAATAGTCGAGGATTATAAATGGAACTTTTCCCAGAGCAAATGACAGACTTTACAATATAAGTAATAAGATCATTTTTGATATCAGCACAAACATCCGACTATAATCACTACCATCACTCACTCATACCCTCGTCATTCCCACCTTATCGTGTCATCTCATCGCGTGGGGTTGTTGTTGTTATTGTAAGACGGGCTCAGGGAAATCTGAGGCCAATCGCCCATTTCATAAATACAATTGAGACCAATTGGTTGAATTGAGGAAACTACTTCTTAATTGAAGTATAAGAACGAAAAAATATAATCATATAAGAAAAACTCCTTGATCACCACCCACTCAATTGTTAACTTGCCCTTGGATCTCAGCCTTATCACAATTCCGGTTTCCGGATCTCATCTCATTGAGATGCAGCTAATATAGAACTACCTGTGCAGCTCAATGCTGTCAAAAGAATCCATTGACCTTTGGTATAAGAACGAGAACCTCAATTCGTATACAATCCCATGGTACAGTCTTTAATGAGTTTCCAGATGTTGAATAAAATAGCAAAAACATACTAATTTTATGAGATCTTGCAGGGTCCCAGCCTCGGGCTGGAAGAATTTATCCGAGGAGCGGAAAAAGCTGCTCGAAAGAACCGACTAGCCGTTTCTTTTTCAGGCGAGACTGTGTTTTTTTCCTCATCTGATTACTCTTCATTTTTCCGCCAGTAAAAGATGGATAATATATGTGAGATCTCCCAAGGGTATTGACAAGATTATGGAAACAGTGATAAAAGAAGATTAATATAACGTTCAATTGCCTTTCAGAAGTGATCAAAGTATTCATCTTCGCAATCAATCCGGATTGTAGAAAAATATTCAGGGAGATGCGATTACGTAGTTTCGGGTAGGTAGTACAGTGCAGAACCAATCAGTTCCTGCGAAGATCAAATCTGAAATCCCCAGATCTCACTCAAGTTTCCTTCGATCCCATTTCCCAACTCACGAATTATTGAATCTTTTCGCAATCATGTACCGAGGGTAAAAAAAAGTAGGGAGCTTCGGTGAAACGGGGGGGAAAATAGTCAGAGTAGTTGGAGTAACCGGAGAGTAATTGGGCAATTAGAGTGACATAGTATTTACCACACAGTTCTACCCCGTTTTATGTGATGACCTACAATCGACTAGAGCTAATTGTTAACTAATCATTTGACGGTCTCGATTTATTCTCCATATTCCGTTTCGGTGTCAACATCATGCGAGTGTACAAAATTACTATTGTTTGAGGGGTGTCACGTGCTGGATCAGGCGTGCCGATCCTTTCGGTGCACGACCCCGGGATTTCGCTTGGCCTTCTATCCCTTTGTTAAATTTTGGGATTTTCAATCGCAGATCAATTGGAGCTCTTTCTCGACCACGACCGTCTTGTAAAATCCCAGCGATAATGTTGACAGTCTCGCGCCTCATTGCTGCATTGCTCGCAGTCAGCTCGGTGGTACGTGCGGTTGAAGAGCCTTACCAACTCAAGGCCAACCAGAAGTTCCAAACATGTGCAGTTGTTGCCAACTACAGCCATTGGTTGTTGCTCTCGGAAAATTTGGACCCATTCGTTGGAGTCAAAATTGTTGACAAGGAAGCTTTAAAGGGCTCGAAGAGAGTTCCTCCTGTCAAGGAGGGTGAGGACAAGAAGGAGGAAGAGAAGTCGTTTGAATGGGATCTCGATGTTGTGATCATTAGCGCCGAAGATCTCGCTTTGACTAAAATGGAACCCGGTCCAGCTGTGAAAGTCTGTGATGAATCGGCGATGAAAGCTCAGTTGTGCCATTTCAACCCATCGACCGTACCACAGTATCCGTTGGACCAGCTGGTTGGGGAGAACCTTAACAAGAAGCCTATTTCTGCCTTCAAGCTCTCTGCCGATAATCACGATATTTTCCAGTATCCAGTTGCTTTCACCGAGAATTATTGTGTGATCATGCAATTCAACACTGCTGAAGAATCTCGGACGCTGGAACTCACTATCAATTGGCAACAGTCATACGGGCAACTGGTGCAATGGGACTACCATTACATGTACATCTATGCTTTGATCGGAATCATCTACTTCATCGCTGCTATTTCATACTTCTACTATGTGTTCTTCAAGAGAAGATCCACTACCTCGGAGTATCAGGGAGTGGTGAACTCTAAGACTCAACTCAGAAACGCAGAGATCCAGCTTCGCATTTTGCTGTACATGATCGGTAATTGTCTCGTGTACTTCTTGACCTCGATTCATCTTCATTCATTGAACAAGATTGGATACGTTCACTCCAATTTCAGCGAAGTTTTGCTTTTCTTCTCGTCATTAGCATCCAATACCGTGTTCTCCGTGTGGGTGCTGTACAATCTCTTGCTGCTCTCCTCTGGCTACCTATTTATTTCAGGCAAAAAGGGAGGTCCGGTCTTACTCTTCATCAGGTTTTTGACCGGATTCACTTTTATTTCGTTCTTAGTATTTGACGTGGAACACTCCAACGTCTACTCATTCCTGAACGATAAGAGCTACACATTTATGGGCTCTACCATTTACATCGAGTACCTCATCAGTTTCGTGACAGCTGCCTATTGGTCTTTCAAGACATATGTGCATCTGCGCTCTAATGGAAAGACGGGTACTGCCAACCGTTTTTTTGGAACCATGATTCTAATTCTCTTGCCTGTCCTGTTCAGCGAACTGGTTCGCGAAATCATTGCTTTTGTCATTTCTTCGGATGCTTTCTCCACCATCGCCAACTTGAGCTCATACAGTTATATCTTCAACCTGGTCATCACACTTGTGGTGGCCTTTTTGTGGAGAAACACCTTGCTTGACTCTGAGAGAGTTGGTAAGGAGTAGATCAAGCAGGATTGCGTTGGCTCATGCTGCGTCATCAGGGTGTGCTGAAACTAAAGCCCCTATCTTCATTTGAACACTTTCATCACTTCTAGGAATAATAATCTCTTTGTGCAATAAGCTCACACCGTAGGCCGACCATTATGGTTAAACATTGCAAGACTTTTTGGAGGACAGCTCAGTGCTCTGTACATCTTAATGCGCCCTACGCCATACATCCTACCTAATATGCACCGCCTGCATGAGCCCCATAAGTGTCAATCTACTCACTGACCATAGTCAAACTATCACCAGACCATCAATTCACCCGACAACCACTATGACACCACGCTCAAAAGCGCAAAACCAAGATAAGTAAATATATTGTACCCAAATAATCAGAGCATAATTTGGCAAATTGTCATTCTCGTAAGATTGTCATAAGGACAACCCTCATTGGGTGGGTCGTGTACTCGTTCCCGTCGTTTGGGTCCGCTTTTGTTTTTCTGCTCAACCCTAAAAGAACCATTCTGCTTGCACTTACACCAGACTCGCTATAATCTACCTTGCTTTGGTTTGCAAAGAAATGGAAGCAGTATCATCACGTATCAGTGCGCTTTCGAACTCCACTGGCGAGTTCCAGCTGGAGTCTTTTATTTCAAACTTTTCATGGTGGAAATTCGCCGTTACCGCCCTAGTCTTGGTGTTGACATATGATCAGGTCTCTTACCAGATCAACAAGGGGACTGTTGCTGGTCCCAAGTTCAAGATTTGGCCCATTATAGGACCATTTTTGGAATCGCTCGACCCAAAGTTCGAGGAATACTATGCCAAGTGGGAATCCGGTCCGCTGTCATGCGTGTCTATCTTTCACAAGTTCGTGGTGATTGCATCAGAGAGGGACCTCGCCAGGAAGATTTTCCACAGCCCTGCCTTTGTGAAGCCATGTGTTGTGGATGTTGCCCGCAAGATTTTGAGACCAACAAACTGGGTCTTCCTGGATGGAAAGGCCCATGTTGACTATAGAAACGGTCTCAACGGTCTCTTTACCAAAAAGGCTCTGGAGATCTACGTTCCAGCCCAGGAGAAGATCATTGACAAGTACCTTGACAGATTCGTTGAAATGACCAAGGAAGAGCCATCGGTGTTTTTCCCAGCTTTCAGAGAACTTATGTGTGCTATCTCGCTCAAGACCTTCTGCGGTGACTACATCACGGACGATCAGATCAAGCACATTGCCGACGAGTACTACCGTGTGACTGCTGCCATGGAACTGGTGAACTTCCCAATCATTATCCCATACACCAAGACCTGGTACGGCCAGAGAGCTGCGGATATGACCATGAAAATTTTTGAGGTTTGTGCGCAGGCCGCCAAGGACCACATTGCTGCTGGTGGTAAACCTACCTGTATTGCCGATGCCTGGGTCTTTTTGATGCAGGAGGCCAGAGACAACAAGACTGAAGATGTGAACTCCAAACTGTTGGTTCGTGAGTTCTCGAACAAGGAGATTTCCGAGGCCATCTTCACCTTTTTGTTTGCCTCGCAGGATGCCTCGTCGTCTGCCTGTTGTTGGTTGTTTCAGGTTATCGCTGATAGACCTGAGGTTGCAGCAAAAATTCGTGCCGAGCAGTTGGCTGTTCGTAACGGTGATCCAAACATGCCTCTCAGCAGTGCCATGATCGACGAAATGACTTACACTAACATGGCGGTCAAGGAGTGTCTTCGTTACAGACCCCCCGTCATCATGGTTCCATACGTTGCCAAGAAGGCCTATCCTATTTCTGAGAGCTACACCGTTCCTAAAGGAGCCATGATCATTCCAACGACTTACCCTGCGCTGCATGACCCAGAGGTTTACGACGATCCAGAAGAGTTCATTCCAGAGAGATGGGTTGAAGGTTCCAAGGCCTCCAAGAACACCAAGAACTGGCTAGTCTTTGGTACCGGTACCCATGTGTGTCTGGGACAGAACTACGTAAAGATGGTGTTTGCGGCCCTCGTCGGAAAGGCGTTCTTGTTCCACGACATTGAGCACACCATTACTCCGTTGTCTGAAAAGATCAAGGTGTTTGCTACTCTGTTCCCTCAGGACGATTTGATTCTCAAGTTCAAGAAGAGAGATCCATTTGCACCTACCGTGGGCGCTTAGAATACCTCTTGACATCATTACTTTGCCACATTATTATTTATGTAACTATGTATACTTTGAATATAGCGGTATTTATTAAGCACCGTTGGATAATGCATGCAAATGCTCATCTATTGATAAGAAATTGTATTGCAGTCAAAAGGTAGTGGAAACAACCTTTGCAAAGTCGGTTTAATGTTTATGAGTCATTTTATTTCCATCTTTTATGCTATTTTCCCGCAGAAACGATTATGGAGATATCTGTTCTGCTCCCTCGTAAGCATGTTGGCTAATCTGTTTAGTGTATGCAGAGATGCTTATCGCCCATACAGGTTATTATTATACCGCTTACACTACTTTCTGTCAAACAGCTCACAGGACATGAGAATTTTAAGGCCAGCTAATTCAATAAACTTTGTTATTGAAGGTTGAAAATTCAAGAATGCAGAGATTTTCTGCTGCATTTATCAATGAAAACCTTAATGCTACTTTTTGACTCATGTATGAGTCAGCTGCTGCTTGAGACGCATCTCCGGTCCGGTCGTGACTTTGCATAAGTAGACTCTATTCCCAATTGTTCTCTGTCTAGGCAAACATATCTTCAAAGATTGCACTCGTGACTTCCATTCGAAACTTTGACTGGATAATTTTGGTATTTATGTTATATATGAGGCATTACAATATGGGTCTTCGGCAGTGGATTGTCCTATGGCCAGAGCAAGGGATGAAGATAAGTCGTGAAGTTAAAAGCTACCATTTTCTCGCATCCTCTGTTTCAGAGCAATTCCAACCTCATATCAAGTTCAAAGTCAGAAATATTGATTATTATGGAGAGGAAGATGATGACCAAGAGATCAAAGATAGAATACCGTGGTCAATTGATATGTTAGTTCTCGCCGAAAAGGATTACCAGATCATCAAACTCGATAGGGATATTCAACTTTTCTATAAGATGTCTCCGGATAACGAGAATGAGCAAGAGCAGTTTGACTCTGACCCCGATGGAGTTCCTGGTAGCAATATAGAACGGTTCAGTTTAAACGAAGTTCTGGCCAGGAATCTGAACCAATCTGTGATTTCTTCCTTTACACTTTCGCCTGAAACCCCCTCCGCTGAGCATCCCCTTGAATCCCCAGGAAACTACGTCATGATTGCACACTTTCATAATCCTAAAGAGAATGCATTTGCAATAGTTGATGTCCATTTCGAGTATCCTTCGTCCTAGCGTTATCAAAAACATCTAGTGGATGCATGCATTCTTTATTCAGTGAGTTTTGAAGTAAGGGTGCTCTAATATCGTGAGATATATCGCTTGATTTATATATAATACAAACCTCCTTAATAGAGCAGTTTTTGCAATTTAAACGCTCATAAATCATCGAAAAAGCTCCGAATCTAGAGCTGACTCTGCCTTTCAAGATACCAATTTCGTCAAAATCGATTTTGAAATCTCAGAATTTGCAGCAGATCAACAATAAAACGGCTAAATACTCTATTCATGTCGCCTTACTGGTGCATAACTAGTGAAGCACATGGTTTATTCTTCTGCTGTGGTCCAGACACAGAGACGAGAGATCTTTCACAGAAGCCCGAGCTGCAGTGTATAATAAGAGCTAGCTTTTTTTACCCAACGCACTACTCTGCCAATGGCCTGCGGCTGTTCAAGGGCCTCAAACGTACGTCTTCTACTCTCGATACCACTCCTACCGCCCAAGTGATCTCCACCTAGTTGGCCGTTATATGTATTTTCCTCAACAATGAGCGGCTCGACACCACGACCACGGTCGCACTCCATATCGGCACAACTCCCCCATCGCATCCAGCTCCAAAACGCGCCAAATCAACAGGTACAGCAACAGAAGCCCGAGCCCGTACTGCTACGAAACATCAAACCCCCGAAGTTGTTGCAAAGCGAAAATTACGAGACATTTTTCGATATCATTGGTCAACTGATTGCAAAGGTTTCCGAAAATAGAGAGCTGAAGACCAAGATTCTGCGAGACTGCGAAACGATCTCGTCCTATGTTGAGCTCAACAAGCCTCTTCTGGGAAAACATTCAGTTAAAGAGCGCAAACCTGCTAACGGCACAAAAAAGAATGGTTTACTATCAAATGGGATTTCATCAAATTCCAAATCTTCACTGGAAGAAGGGGAAGCAGATCCCAATACCTACTTAAAGAGCATATATCGATATCAACAGGAGTTGCAGATACTAGAGGAGCAGAGACTGAAGAATGGTGCCGAGCGGAAACCCAAAATCAAGTCTTTTTTTAAGTCCAAACCCATTTCTGATGGATCTGGTATGACTCCCAAACAGAAAAAGATCATCAATCTGAGAAACGAGCGAGAAAACCTGTTGATCCTGTTACATGAAAGGGTTCAGTACAACGGTGCTTTGGTCGAGGTTTTAGAAGAATTCGAGGCGAACATCTCGTTGATATTGAAAAACTTGCATGGATACATCGTGACTCGTGGCGAAGAGTCTATGGTCACTCTCAGGGCGTATTGTGAGGAATGGGACCTGAAAAAAAGAGAGGTGTACGGTATGTATCTTGAGCTCATAGAGTCGAGGCGAGAGTGTGTGGATTTGTTCAATTCTGTGAGCAAGATGATGAATGAAATGGACGAGAATGAAGAAATGAGGGAGATCGAGCTGAGGCTCAAAGAGGAAAATTTCTTAAGGCAAAAGTAATGGTGAAGAGCATACATTCCTGTCTTACGAAGGTGCCGAGTATGGATTCCTGTATAGAAGATGATTACAGCTTACTTAATGATGATTTGAACGAGACTGATGTTCACAGCGACATAGATTATCGACTAATTTGGGCATTCAGAGGTTCTAGATGTGTTCTCTGGTACTTTTCGAACCCTGAAACCTAAAACCATTCACTTGTGTTATCTATCATACGAATTCGTGTGCATCACGTGATCATATCCCCGCGCTCGTAACCGACAGAATGGGATCCAAACACAAGATAAACCAAAACCAGACTTACGCATCCGGGTTGTACAACACCTTTTTGTTTAGTCGGTTCTGGATTTTTGGTTCTTGGTTTTGATTCTTGTTTTCAGCTCTCTGCTCTTTTGCAAAATGCCGGCCCTGCCATTTGTAGGGGATAGGCAGAGCTATGACTTTGGTAATGTACCGGATGACACCAACCTTCCGTTCATCATATTCGTGTCGTCCCTCTTGTCGTTCGGGGTCCTGCTCATTCTCATTGTCGCAATTTACTATATATTCACAAATGGTGTGCTTGCTGGCTTTTTCAGTGAAATTTCAAACTCGGGAGATCCACAGGTACACATCCCCGATGCTTTCACGTACAATGAAGAGAGTCTCAAGGAGGATGAACTCACGTATCTCCCGGAAATGACTCCGGAAGAACAGGAGGATTATCTTCTGGCCAAGGAATTTTTTAATAGGAACCCGCCACGACTGAACTACATGGGCAGTGCTTATGGAGTGCCTGAGGAACTGCTGTTACGGGATCGTGGTCTGCATGCATTTTGGTTCAAGCCCTATACTGATCAAGTTGCTGGTCTCATGAGTGCTCCCAGCACTAGCACAGCTTCCAACTCCGTTGAAGTCAACTCCAGTACATCGCTTTTGTCAGCCCCGATCAACTCTTCTATGCGAGCCAACTACGGCAGTATGGCCTCATCACATTACACCACAGTACCATTTTACATCGAAGACAAGACCGATATTGTTTTTAGAACAGCACAGACATCCTCAACAACGTTGAATTTTCCGATTCCCATCAAACACAGAAACAACGATTGCGTTTACTTCGAGACCAAGCTGTATGACTTTGACTCGGAAAATACTCTCATATCAATAGGGCTGAGTACAAGTCCTTACCCCAACTTTAGGCTTCCAGGCTACAACTTCTACTCTGTTGCCGTTGAGACCTCTGGTTATTTGCGCATTAACAAGCCGTTCCCGCAACCGTCTACATGTCCCGTGATTCTCCCACAGCTGCTGGAAGGAGATGTGGTTGGCATTGGTTTCAAATCGTCGACCGGCACTGTTTTCGTGACTCATAACGGAAAGAAGATTTTGGATGTGATCAAAAACTTGAAGATGGACTTGTATCCGTGCATTGGCTCTATTGGTGGACCATGTCGCGTGCAGGTCAATCTGGGACAACTGGGGTTCGTATTCATTGAAGCTAATGCTAAGAAGTTGGGATTTTGCGAGGGAAATAACGAGGGCACCATTGGAGCACCTCCTTTGTACAATGAAGTTGCTGGAATCAGTTCTAAGGAAAATGCAGATATCATTTTGGAAGAAGGTGAGAGGCTTCCGCCTGATTACCCCGACTGGGAGGAAACCTTTTTTGGACCAGTGGGCGTGCGGCCCTCTCCTAAAAACGGCAATTCCACTCGTGGCTTTGAGTATATTACAGCCGAGGGAAGCTCCCATTTTCCAGAGAGCCATGCAGCTTCTGTTGATCTACGCGAGCCCGGTTCGAAGCCACCAAGCTATAAGGAAGGTGTCAATCCCGACTCAACATCGCAGATTCTCAGTGTGGACTCGAGAAACTACGAACTGAACGTTTCTAATCGTCTCTCTCCACCTTCGCCATTATACCCTATTCAGGTCCAGAGTGGTTCTCTAGGCAAGAAGGCCAAGAGGACTCAGTCGTGAGTGGCCTATCGCTTGTACGTTTAATGATTCGATTTTTGCTTTTTGGTGGAGTTTGCATGTTTTTGAGCTCTTTTGAGAGTTTTCCAGCTTGGAAAGTCCATTGGCTGAGGAATAACCTTTAATTAGCATAGTCAACGCCTCGTTTTTATTGAGCTTTTGAAATGTAGATGGCTACGACATATTAACACCGACATAATTCACAAGATTTTAACGCTTCTTACCCTTCTTCTTTCCCTTCTTGGGCTTGGATGCCTCGGCTGGTGCCGTTTCCGTCGCCACGTTCACGGCTTGTGCTACCTCTGGTTCTTCGTCCGCAAACTCTCTGTTGGTCAAAATGGCTGCGATTCCTCTCTCTTTGATCGAAACAACCTCCGACAAAACTTTCTTCGTCTCGCCATCCCTATCCACCGTTTTTTTCGTCTTGGTCAATTGCATTCCTCTTGGACCCAATAATGCAAGCAATCTGGAAAGCTCCTTCGCCTTGGAAGTGCTGGTGGTGAAACATGTCCCACTAACCGGGTCAAAAGTCTTAAATGTTGTATAGTGTGTAGCGGGTGGATTTGCCACCGAGGTCTTTGGTTGTTTTCCCGATTTTTTAGCCTTTTTCTCCGCAGAACCGTACGTTATCGTCACTCGGGTCTGAATGCATCTGGTTAGTCCTGAAGAAGCTGCATCAATAGCGTAGTCCACTTACCGTCGATGGGTTGGCCTCAAACAGCCTCAACGACCGTTCTATATACACGTCTATGGAGTCAACTGTTGGCATTTTGATGTTGAAGTAAGCTGTTATGAATTATAGCCAAAGTGAAAGAACAAGACAAATCACCTTCCCAAGCCAAACCCTCCTGCTTGAGCTCATCGTCGACACTTTTAGGAACCGCACTCCAACTCCACTTTTCTTCCTCGAATTGATAACTTATGGCTGCGTATAATGATAGTGATACCGCCAACTATATCCAAAGATCTGCTGAAATGCATGATAAGATTTAGAATAAAGGTCTCTCATCGGCCGCAGACTCAAAGAGAGGTGAATAATCTGTTCAAGGTGTATGCCGGGATCCTCGATAAGTTGAATGAAAAAGCCAAGGTGAACACTTTCGAAATGGTGCGGTTTAAGGTGAAATATGACCAGACAAAAAGTGTCGAGAAGTATGGCAAGATTATGGATATTGTGGTTAATGTGAATGGTCCTCCAAAACACGCGAATCGAGCTTCCTATGCGAAAATGTACAGACCGGGAGTCAAGGCTGTACAGCAGCGAATGGATACCATTTCTTCGCTGATATCTGGGGTCTACGCTGTTATGCTGCCGAAACTGCAGAAACGCCTCTTTTCGGGTGCCAGAGAACAGATTTTTGAAATCCCGACTTTCGAGGAAAATGCAGAGATCCGTCAGTACCTGAGTGTTCCATCAAAGTCCGCACCATATTGGAGCTTGGTGGATACACCTCCAGATGGGTTGGTTGAGGCTACAGGTCTCCATCTTGGTGATATACAGAAACTGGAGGTGGTGAGCGAGGAAAGAGGAATCGAAGTTCTGGCCAACGATCTGCGCGGATTTGGTCATCTGGACGACGTATTGGAGGGTTTCCGTGGGTTTACAAAAGGGTCTGGTATAAGCTGATAGTGTACAATTTTTTAAAGCTGATTAATTCAGCACAGGCAATACGAAGTAATAATTAACAATCGTCTCTGACCCGTATAAGTCTGCACATAATCGACAAATCGGCATATTAGTATCTTCAAGCAACTGCTCGGCGAGCTGTTACTTCGTTGAACACTCGTTGAAAGCCTTCTTCAGATCCCCAGCTTTGTCGACAACTTGCTCAGCGTCTCCTTGTCATCCTCAATTGTATCATACAAAAACTGAATGCCTTGTTGTTGTTTTGCCAGGACACTGGTAAACTTTGCAACTACCGCATCATAGCCGTTATCCCTCTCAAAGTCGTTTGCCGTATCTGAAACCCCATTTGACAAGTTTGTACTCTCTTGGTGTTCTAATTGAACCGAAATGTTTCTCGCCCTTTCCCTAAGATTAGACAGTCTTGCCCACAACTCGTTAGATCTAGCCAGGCCAACAGGGTCTTCTACAGATTTGAGCAAAGTCTCAAACTGCTGGCTCAGCTTCTCCTCATCTTTTGTAAGTGGGTATCCCTTAGATTTGAGAATAGACAGTATTATGGCGATTTTCAGCAACTTCCTGGAGAGGGCTTTGTGCTTGGTCTTGCAAGCTGCCAGCCTCACACTTGTGTCCAAGTCATGTTTGTCGCTTAGCTTTGTCAGATTTTCATGAATCTCATTCAAAATCACACGTGATTGCTTGATGTGCTCCACCTGTATATTGGATCTTTTCAAAAGATCATCAAAGCCTCTGGCTCTCACGGGAACCGAGTTGTACTTATTTGGCCTCTCAGACATGGCCTTTTCCCATTCCTCCGGAGATTCATCCTCCGGTCTTTGGTAGTTTGCAATAAGCTCATTGGATGACACTTTGTTGTAGAAATGAGTCTTTAGAAGACAGGAAGGGGAGTTGGGGTCCCATGAGTTCTTGATCTTGAAGAGCTGGTCGTTGATGCTGGGAGTGAACGAGTTACTTTGAGATGCAGCCGTTGATGCACTCTGCTGCGCTTGCACTAATAGAGGATGCTTGACTCCAGACCCCTGTAGCTGGGCTTCAGGCTGAGACCACGCGAATGCTGGACGGGAATTGAAAATAGATGGTTGTGGTTGGGGTTGTTGCTGCTGTTGTTGTTGTCCTGATTGTTGGCCATTCTGTTGCTGTGCGAATAAGCTTGGGTTTTGGCCCTGCTGCTGTTGGTTTTGACTCCCAAACAAATTTTGGCTCGTGTTCCCACTCTGATTTGCGAACAAGCTTCCCGTCTGCTGACCAGCCGAGTTGCCAAATCCACCAAACTGGCCAGATGGAGTCTGACTGGCGGTATTGTTTCCAAACATGCTTCCTGTTTGCTGGGTACCAGAATTATTGGATCCAAACATTCCGCCTGGAGCTGCAGAGTTAGTCGTGTTTGAAGTGGCTCCAAACAGATTTGGGGTTTGATTCGTGTTTGTACCCGCATTGGTATTTCCAAATACTCCGGTGGAAGTGCCAGACGTCGTATTATTGGCAGGAGCACCTCCAAACGAGAATCCTGAGCTTGCTGGGGTCGTTGTAGCAGGTTTGGGACCAAAAAGATTTGACGATGCCGTGTTGGTAGATCCCTGTTGCTGGTTGTTGGATGCTCCAAAACCAAAGCCGCCGGTATTAGTGTTTGTACCGGTGGATCCACCTAGCGAAAACGGCGTGGGATTGGCATTATTGGCGTTGTTGCTTGCAGAACCAAAACTGAAGCCCGAACCCGTGTTAGGCGCAGCGTTCGTGTTGTTAGCGCCAAATGAGAAGCCACCTGTGGCAGGCTTAGCAGCGCCAAAACCTCCAGAAGAACCAAACATGTTTGGTGCAAAAATTAACAGAGATGAAGGATCCGGTAGGGGATAAATTGGCGGCCAAAGTAGGTGTGATCTTGTCTTGTCTACAACACCGAAATGTTTACTCTTGAGATGTCCCCAATTTCAGCGTTCCAAAATGTACCCGCCAAATCATCCGGTCCGTGTAATTCACAGAACCAACCACAGCATCGCAGTTCAGCTTACTCCAAGCTATATACTGACCTCCATAAGCTTTAAATATTTTATTGTTCCAAAGGCGCGCAAAACTCCACGTTTAAATCTCCAGAATGTCCACCTCAAACACAAACGACAGTATCAGCACCTCGCGCTACACGGATAAGCTGAAGAACACCCATTATGTGTTGGAAAACGATCCTCTGCCTTCAGAGATCCCCCATGTCACTGAGATCGGTGCTACAACCGCTCCATTGATGTCTGCTGCCTTCTTCATTGGAGCCAGATGCCAACCTTACAATGACGATTTCATGCTGTGCCAAAAGGAGGCTAACGGAAAGGGTCCCATTGACTGTTTGAAGGAGGGACGCAGGGTGACGAGGTGCGCGGCGTCCGTTTTGAAGGATATCAACACACATTGCGCAGATGAATTCAAGTTGCACTGGAGATGTCTCAGTGCCGGCAACTTGGAGTACAAGAACTGTAGAAAGGCGGAAACCCTGTTGAGCAAATGTGTGTTTGACAACTTGAAGCTGGTCAAGACGATCCCAGGAGTTGAAGAACAGATCCATCTCAAGGCCAAGCCGGTCTACAAACCCATCGTTGAAGATAGGGCTTCGAAGTTGGCCTTTGAAGCTGCCAAGGCTGAGGGAAAAATCTAAAAAGGAAGACGAAGAGAGAGAAGGAGTGGAGAAGGAGTGGAAGAATAAGGTGCAGGCGAGACGAGGGAGAGCAGATATTGAAAAAAAATGGCCAGCCATGGTTAATGTGTGCTCTAATGACGAATATCGAAGCAGAGGTCATGTCCAGGAGGATTTCGAGATGCATTTAACGTACGTTCATCTCAATGGTTGCCTAGATCCAGACTATTTATACAGCAATGGCGGGATTCTCGCACAAACAATAAAAATTCGAAAATTAGCATAAATGGGGAAATCGAGATCGGGCAATCTTTTGATGAGAATAACCCTCTTTGCGTAGAGAAAAGGCGAGGAAGCGACTTCATAGAAGGTTCTCTGGTAATGAGAATCACGACAGATTGGAAGTGTGGACAACAGCAACCTTGAAGCTGAACAAAACCATTCACCAACCACCGTATATACGAACTACACTTTTGAATTAAAATGGGCAGAAGACTCAAAGTCGTTCAAGGCCTTTTCCAAACTATCATGCAGTCGTCTCTTTACGTTCCTCACATATCTGCAGGCAGAATACAGGCCAATTCTAAATGCTCAAATAGTGGCCGCTCTCGGGTGTTTCTGTATGACTGTAAGGGATATTATACGTCATTGGGCGATAATGTTTACACCCCGCTGGCCTGTTTGGCATCAGTCTCCAGACGAGATCTCATTCCGGTCATTTGCCAGACCAAAGTGTGAACTCCGCTACACCGGTGCGGCGTCGGGAGATTTTTCCGGCCGAGGAAGGCACAACCACTGTTGAAAGGAATATTTTCACCAAATCATATTACGGAATAATTGATACATCTTTCCAGACACTATCCGATACTTTCTGCTGAATAGTGTCTGTGTGCCAGGCAGAATTTGCTATCAAGGCGCATGCGTTCATGTGCCAATGCTGAGCCTGATGGAATTGGAACAATCCCACTACCTTAGATTGTGTCACACGAGATTGTCACTAAAAGCACTTTCCTGCATTAAACTCGCCTCGGTAACTGGAAATATGATCTATGACGAATCAGACGATCCTAAAACTACTATTTCCGAGTTCAGCGGAGACTTTATTAGGGACCGAGCCTTGCTCTAATTGGTGCGCTTGGCTAGCCGCACTGCGTAATTTGAAAAAATGCCCCACGTGGGTCGGTGGTGCACGACCTCCCCCATAGTTAAGCCCTTGTGAGATATCAGATGGGACTCAGGCAACCCAGGCCTCTCGCGAAAACCAGGTGTTGTCCACTTGCAACTTTCCCGTTAGGTATCGTGCGCCATTGCGACATATAGGTGCTATTTGGTTTGTCCCTTGTTATTGCGGTGTTTCTTCCTGGTGTTCTTCCGTAACTGTTAAGGGTATTCTCCGCTATCAGTGAACGGCTAAAGCAGCTGCAACTGGATAACCGCGACACGAAGGTCAAACTGAGGCTTTAAAAGCAAGAAAAATCGATCAAGTTTACGCTAAGAAGGCCAAAGAGGCGGAAGAGACGAGATTTTCAACGGTTTGTCTAGTTCGAGTGTTCAGCATCTGTTAGACTCTTATTGCTTCGTTGCCGTTCATGAATCACGACTTGGAGCCAGCCTCTTCAAAATTCAAGATGGAAACTTCAACAGATCGGCAGATCCATCACTCTCAAGTTTTAGGTACAGACCACGCGTTGAGTTTGACTCCCCAACAACTAGACGATTTGGCTTCCTGGGCCGATTACACCAATTTCAACGAGGGAGACCTACACTTCGAAGACCAACTAGGTTTCAATGTTCAGCATCAACAGCACCAAAGCGACGATCAACCGGCCCACCAAGGCCCTCAGGGTGAGAATCAGTCACCATTTGACCCTGAACATCTGGAAAGTTTGGACTTCTACAATTTTCAAAATGGCCAGAAGCAGCCGTCTGGATCTCATTCAGGTCAAAACCACAACCCCAGCTTCCACCGAGGCTCTATTTCTAACGCAGATTCTAACAGTGGGGTTACGGAATTTTTGAATGACTCGCATCTGCAGTTTCAGTCGCCGTTTGTGGATATGCCATACGACAGCAGTTCTGTGTTTCAGTCCTCCAAGGGTGATAGACTTCCACAGTCGTATAAACCGGAAGTAATTTTCACGCCTTTGATATCGCCAGCTGTCACTCCCCTGGACTCCAACCGCAACAAGTCGCTGAGTGCGCAGGGAAATGGTAATTTCAGTCCTTTGACATCCCCGGCGCTGGAATTCCAGCATCCGCGGTCACCAGTTATGAGAACCAAACGGAGTCCCAACTCGATGGGATCCAGCTCGGTGTCTCCACCCATTCCTTCTCACGACGAGGCAAGCTTGAAGACGAAAAAGCCCAAAACTCCTGCTTCCACTCCGTTGGTGGGGCCAAGTCTCTCGGGCAGAATGGCCAAACAGTCGCCAGTCATCAAGGCCAGAAGAGGCGGGTACACGCCGTCCCTGAAGAGACAATCATCCTCTAGCTTCCACGGGTCTAGCCGATCGTCATCGGTGATATCCATGATGACTCCTTCTTCGGTTTCAACCCAGGATACGGAAGTGGCTCTCCCTGATGCGGAATTGATGCTTCCACCTCCCGTTCCCAGAAAGGAGAGGCAGACCACTAGTCCCGAAGAAGATGAGCGCATCAGTTCCACCAGCTCGGAGACCATGAGACCGGCTACTCCAGCGATGTTGATGTCCTTCACGATGCAAAAACTACAGCAGAATCAAAACTCAGAACGCAATTTACAGCAGACCTCTCAGAGCCAGTCCCCTTTGAAGTCACACCCACACTCGAACTCTCACGATAATTTGAATGATCCCGCCTATAACGGAAATGTCGTGTTTGCAAATCCAAGACGCCATTCGTCGACCCAATCGTCCCCGGTCATTCTTCCATCTTCGAGTTCGATGACCACACTGACGAACGTGAAATCATCGACTTCAGTGGATGATCATCCAATTGAACATACCAGAAGCGACTCGGTGCACTCCAATAGTGGATCTAGGAGTTATGTGGAGGAAAAGATGCCTGACAAGAAGGTGAACCATAAACTGGCGGAACAGGGAAGGCGGAACAGGATGAATGTTGCGATTCAGGAGTTAGAACAACTGATACCGGAGCCACTGAGGAAAACTGTTGTTGTTCCTTCGAAAGCCACTACGGTGGAACTTGCTTCTAGATACATTGCACATCTACAGGAGCAGATACGGCAAATGCGAGGTTTGGAAAACAACGATCCTTCGTGTTTGAGCTCGAACTCTTCAATAAGTCCTCTGGATTATGCTGAAAACAAGTGAACGGAATGAATGAGCAAATCTAGAATTCACTAAGAGATACATGTTACAATGAAAAACGAAAGGGTAGGAGTAGTAGATAAGAGAGACCTTGAAAGTGCTTTCTCGTGGCTTCAAAACACTTGATTGGCCATTTTCAGCACTTCTGGGTCTGACAGTGACATTCCTTGGATTCCCCCGACTTTAAACTTTCTAAAAAAACTGGTAATTCTCCATTTTCTTAGTCTTCTCTGTAAGTTTTGTCGCCCTGCAGGGCTATCGGTAAGACGTGTACTAACCGTCTTTAGATGACATATTTTTTATTTTTGAGATGACACACCACTCACGGTTGCGCCGTGCTTGAGAAGGCGTAGTCTTCCCCACTTTACCTTTTTCTTCTCACTTCTTATTTGCTAAAGATGTCTGATTTACAGAGAATTCTACAATCGCCACGGAGCATGAACAGATCTCACTCCAAAGCCTCTGTGCGGTCGGCTTCGCAGACCCCGTTAGGATATGCCTCAGACAATAGCGAGGATGTGGATGAGGATGACTGGAACTACGGCAAGATTGACGACCTGATCATCTCCAAAATCGCCTCTTTGAATGACGATGATGGAGAATCTGCCTCTCGCAATGGTAGCCAGGTAAATCTCAGTGATCCACTCAAATTTTTAAAGACACACACCATCGATGAGATCATCACTAGTCTCAGTCTACCGAGAACACAGGTTTCCAGTGCATCACGTGAGCTTCTTCTGGCCCAGATGTACCATCTAATAATCAAATCACCCTTGCCTATTGATGGAGTTGCTGTTAACGAGAGAAATACGGAGTTGCTTGTGGACTTCTGGAAGGACGCCAGAAGCGAGAACGAAAGGCTGTTTGCGTTTCGGTGTGTGGTAGCGTATGCTTCCAGTGATATTGACGAGGTTGCCAGTGTGGTGATCTCTGACTTCTTACCTTATGTTCTGAACGATTTAACCCCCAAGGACAATGAGGATGGGGCTGTGAGTGTGACCCTAAGGTCGAACTACATCATTGGTTATTGTGCACTTTCTTTGGTTGCCATGGACGGATCTGGATGTAATGGCGTTGAGGACATTGTCACTATGCTGATTGATCTTGCGGAGGGGTATGATGCCTCTTCTGAACTGAATGCAGAGGATGTAGCCTCTGCTGCGTTGCAAGGTGCCGGTGTGCTGATAAGTCTGATATTCAAAGGAAGATCCACCACGAGAGGTTTGGATGAACTCATCCAGGATGTCTGTCCTCGTGTGGTTGTGTTTTTGGAGGCAGGTCATCACATAATAACCCAGAAAGCTGCCGGAAAGCTGGTTGCGTTGATGTACGAATTGTTTGACTTTCAAGACGACATTGAAAAGGACGATAATGAAGATTACGGCGACGAGGAGGAATTGAGTCCCTACTTTGATGTGAGTGAGGTATTGAGTTTGGTGAAAGAACTTGCTACCCTCAGTTCGAAAAAGGTGAGCAAGAAGGAAAAGAAAGAGTCTCATTCGCTTTTCAGAGACGTTCTCAGAACCGTGGAAACGCACGCAAGCAAGACAGATCGGCTGGCCGAACAGAATTCGCTCGAAGAACCCAGTGTTCTTTCGCATCTCAAGATCAGTAAGAGCAAGAGTCTTTCAATAACTTCGTGGTACAGTTACCTGAGACTCGTCCATCTGCGATGGATTTTTTCCTCCGGATTGCACTCGCAATTGGCCAATTCCTCGGAATCCGGCATTAAAGATCTGATTGATTTCCCCGAGCAGTCCAAATACCAATTCTCAAGGAATATCGAGGAGGATTCCGGAATAGGTGAGAGGGAGTTCACAACGAAGTCGAAGGCTGTAAATTCCAAGACTAGGACCAAGGAAATCAACAGTGCGAGAGAGGATAAGCTAAGAGAGACGCTGGAAACCTTGAATGTGACCGATGGTGATATCGTATTGTCACATTAAGGACGAGCTGCAAGGGAACGAAAAAACTAATAAATCCCAGAAAAATAATTGATGTTCTAACATGTCTGTAGGTACCAGATATTGGCTACTAGGCCACTAGTTAACGATTGCCTCCAATCTCTCAACCTAGCCTGATAAAATACTTGGAGTAGTAGTTTTTCCTGTTATAACAGATATCATACCGGGAATTATATGTTTTTACAATCAACGATTTCTTTCATTCATGCTTTATTATGTTTATCTGAAATTTTTATGCCGTCTCCCAAATTGTATACCGCATCTAATTTTGTATGGCACGCGTGTGGCACGCGAAAACACACGCAGTCCATACAATATTGTGTATTTACTTTACTCTTCCCTCAATGGGATAGTTAGCACTCCATCCCCCAACACACACCATACAATGGAGGATCAAGTGACTAAAATTCTAAACCAACCTGTTGTGATAGATAATGGGTCTGGGACCATTAAGGCAGGTTTTGCAGGGGAGGAGCGCCCGAAGTGTTACTCGTCTTCGATGTAAGTGTGACTATACAGGGATGAATTCTCAACAAAGACTAACTTTCGAACAGAGTGGGAAGACCGAAATATTCGAGGGTTATGGCTGGTGCGCTTGAAGGCGATACTTTTATTGGCAATTCTGCGCAAGAAAACAGGGGGCTGCTAAAACTGCGGTACCCCATTGATAACGGTATCGTTCAAGATTGGGATGATATGGAGCTGATATGGAACCACGTGTACACGAAGGAACTCAAAATCAAGACTGAGGATCACCCTTTTCTGCTGACAGAAGCCCCTTTGAATCCTGTTGCAAATAGGGACAGAATGGCCCAGATATTCTTTGAGAACTTCAACATACCGGCGATGTATGTTTCTGTTCAGGCGATACTGGCCTTATATGCCTCTGGACGAACTACCGGTGTTGTTCTGGACTCTGGAGATGGTGTTTCACATGTGGTTCCTGTGTATGAAGGGTTCTCGATACCGAGCTCCATTAAGAGGATCGATATTGCCGGTAGAGAAGTGACGAAACAGCTGCAATTGCTGCTACGCAAGAATGGGGTTCCGCTATTGAGTTCTTCGGAAATGGAACTGGTCAGACTGATCAAAGAAAAGCATTGTTTTGCGTCATTGGACCCTAAATCTGACGAGAATGACTGGCATTCGTATACCATGACCAACCCCATTCTTAGTTCAACACTGGCAACGACTTCCAGCTCTGCGGTCTTCACTTCGTGCAACAGACCTATACGAGACGTATTCAAGCTGCCGGACGGCAAACTCATTGAGCTGGGGCCAGAACGGTTTAGGGCCTCAGAGGTGTTGTTTCATCCGGAGATCATCGGATCGGAGAGTCAGGGAATTCACGAGATCCTACTGGACTCTATAAGCAAGACAGATCTGGATCTGAGGCCATCTTTGTATCAATCGATCGTGCTAAGTGGTGGCACGACTACCACCAAAGGATTCGGAGACCGATTGCTGAAGGAACTGAAGGATGAGATTGCGAAAGGCACCAAGCTCAAGATATACGCTCCACCAGAGAGAAAAATGAGCACTTGGATCGGAGGGTCTATCTTGGCTGGTCTGAGTACGTTTAAGAAGATGTGGGTGAGCCGCGCGGAGTATTTTGAGAATCCAGACATAGTGCATACGAAATGTTTATAGAACCGAGCCATAGAAAGGACGATGAACTGAGGAACGTTGAACAGTTCAGGCATTTAAGACAGGCAATGCGCAATGAACCATACTGCAAAGCTTGGCGATACCTCGGCAATGGATCAGCTTTGGCTGCACTGTAGTCAAACTAAGTACAATTGTAATATTAAAATTAAGTATATTAAGGTTTATAAGGTCTACAGAGGTTGACTGCAATTCAGCCGACTCAACCATATATCAATTACAGTCCTTAACTATCGAAATCACAGCTCACCTATATGCAATAATATCTATCACCAAAGTCGCCCAGACCCGGAACAATATACCTGTTAGCATCCAACCCTTGATCAACACCACCGGTGATGATCTTGATCTTAGGGAACTTCTCGTAAAATGCCTTGATTCCTTCTGGAGAAGCTAAGAGATTCAGGAACAAAATCTTTTCTTCCTTGACTCCGTTATCAAGAAGAACTTGGGCTGCCATGATGGCCGAACCACCAGTCGCCAACATAGGGTCTAGGAGCAAGACGTATCTCTCTGCAATGTCTTCTGGGAATTTGACGTAAAAAAGCTTTGGAAGAGCAGTTTCTTCATCTCTTTGAATGAGAATCTTTCCAATGCGAACGGAACGGCAACATTCCCTCAAACCCTGTTCCATAGACTCACCTGCACGGATGATAGAGACACCGCAAATCTTGCCTACGAACCTGGAACCTTCATAGGAAATACCGGTGGAAGTCTTGACAGTATGTGGCTCCACAGGTAATTGGTTCAAACCTTCTTCGACCAATAATCTTATAATTCTGTCGGAGTAAAAGACAAAGTCTCCGCGACGGGTGTTGACATCACGAATGATACTGAAAAATATGCATTAGCTTTCTGACCTTGCATTGAAAACACTGGAAAGCTCCCGTCACTTACGAGTAGAGACTAACCAATTGGTTGGTCTGAGGTAAAATAATGGTGTTTGGATATTCGGACATTATTCGTTGCTTCGGATTTGCAATATCACACGGCGTGTTAGCGTTGACAATCGTATCAAAAACCGTGAAATATAAGGATAGTATGTCAGGGTCGTTTCCCAACGGTCTCCGGCGGGCTCTTGCAGCCAGCTGCGGGCAATTCTTTATCTTCGAATTGTGTTCGGAATATGGGCACTCCACGGTTGAATATTATGGATATTTGAAATATATGTCCCCATAGTCATGCAGATAATTTACCAGAAACTAGAATTTCAGTCGCTGTTCATCAAGAACTATGTTACGGTATTTTACACAGACTGCTATCTACTCCTGAGCCGCTGTAACAAATGGGTTATCGATGATCTCGGAGCCCTCAGCTGGTGATATCGTCAGCAAACCGGTACTTCTTACCACGATCAATCCCAAGGTTCTTTCTCCTGTCTTTGCTCCCGTCTCGGTGTCTGTAACTGTTAGTCAATTGCTGTGGGAAGTGAAAAGTTACTCTTTTTTCAACTTACCTTTCAATGTTTCAACAACCTCGTCCAGAACAAGGTTCATCAGCTGATCATAGCCTTTCAGAGTTCCCGCAACTGCTCGAGCGGTTAGTGTCAAGTTCAAAGTCATATCTTTAATTCATCATCTCTGTGTTCGATATGGGCCTTCCAAAGACCATATCTCACTATCTTCAATACTCACCCTCTCTTCCACCAACAAAGGTCACAATAATTCTCTGGTCCTTGTACTTGGCCAAGTCCAACACAGCCTCCTTCTTTGGACCATCACGAGGCTTCTTGTCTGTTCTTTCTTCTTGCTCTTTGGAGCTCTGTGATGTGTTAATACTCCGTTGTTTGTAATAAACCATGTAACTAGCTATCACCGCAAAAACTTACAACCGTTTCAACAACCTCCTTTTCAGACATTATATTATTGAATTGAAAAAGTGGACCACTTCCGGACTCTAAGTACATTCCAAATGAGGTTACCTCTTCAAATGTTGAACCAGACGAAAATCTGTCATGGTTTAACGTGCCATCATTTCAGACGCGTTATAGTAAGAACGCATGACAGTATTTCCGTTCGTTTAGGGTTCCTTTCATAAAGGCAATTGCTGGCTTTCATTTGTATTTTTTAGGATTGCACTCGTTTCTAGTGTTTTGCAATGGCAGATCTGAGCGTCTACATAACGTCGGAGCTCACCTCCTCCGAGAGAAGGGTATCCCCACAATGGTCTGTGGAGCACTTCAAGAAGAAGATGGAACTGATTACTGGTATTCCACCCGAATCGCAAAGGATATGGGTATACAAGAGAAGAGAGACGAACGAGCGCTTTGAATTGAAAATTCCGGAAAAACCAGACGAATACACCTTTCTCTCAGAGTTCACGATTGTGCCGTTCACGAGGATAGATATAGAGGATGTGAGGCCAGACTCTGAATTGAAGGAACTGAGTGAAAACTCCAGTGAAACTCAGTACAAAATGGAGGATGAAGATTACGACAAGAGATCGAACACTGTGAGAAGGTGGAAACAAGAGAAGGGATTGGGAAGATTTGATCCTGAGTATGAGTCCAGAAGACAGGCAGTAATAGAGTCAAATAAGCATGCCGCGTCGGCCATAAAAGTCGGTCTCAGATGCAGAATATTGAACTCTGATATTGAAAGGAGGGGAACGGTTCGGTATACAGGCATTGTACCCGAGATTGACAACGAGATTTCATGGGTGGGTGTGGAATTAGACGAGCCTTATGGAAAGAACAATGGCTCTATCAAGGGCAAGCGATACTTCACTTGCAAAGATGGTTATGGGTCGTTTGTAAAGGCCATCAACGTGGAGGTTGGTGATTTTGAGCCCGAGGATCCATTCGATCTAGATGACGATGAACTATAAAAGAAGAAGAATAAATAAGAGAAAATAATTGAGATACCAAAATCAAGTAATGATTAAAGTTAGGAACTTTTCAGAATCATGATACTTATTAGTCGTGTGCACTCTAAATCTGATGTCGAGTTCGGGACTCAAGGCTTGTGATTGTAATTGTAATCAATGGCTTTATCTCCATCGCATTCTGGATTACCTTCATTTGTCATGATTGAACTAAGTTTGGATGGTTTGTACAACCGCTTTTTTGCCGACTACAGCATATATAGTCTGTTGAGACTTATCTCCATCATTGGAGGTTATATCTTCCTGCGTCAGATTTTGTTGAGAGACATCAAAAGGCGCCAACTTAAGGCTCAGCTGGATTCCGATAACAAGCAGAAACAGGCTGATCTGATTGACAACCCGAACGATCTCGCGAAGGCCACCGGTGTTCAGGCGTCGGACCAGATTTGGGGTTGGGGAAAGTCAACCAGGCAGAGAGCTAAAAGGCAGGAGAAGATAGTGCAAGAAATGCTTGAGAGAGATGCCACCAGGAACAATGGAGATTATGACAGTGACGAGGATATTGCCGATCTTCTTGAATCTGACAGTGACTGAAGGAGTCTGGAAGACGGTGGAGAAACATGAAATCTGGCCTCAGAATCTATAGAAACCAGCCTATGAGTGAGCCTTACTGCTACATATCTAAGTTCACTCTACGGTTGAGGTTTTCACACGAGAAACTGTCATTCTGACCAACATTGGTTATCTTTCTAATATACTTTTCTCGCATTTGTACTGATCAAATTGTCCGTAAATAGTAACGACGACCAGTCACAGTACTCAGAAGAAGTGTTAGCTTTGCTTTGCATGATGGATCTCAACGTGTATCCTGCAGTCTTCTATAAATCATACGAACAAAGAAATATTGCAAATAAGGTCCCTGGTTGTGTGTTATAGACAGGTTGAAAGACAACAGATTTGGAATTCTACAAGCGTACCGCATTCGTCCTGGTTAGTACACTCCCAAGATATTTTACTGTATGCAAGTCTCAAAGGGAAAAAAAATTGCAACTAATCTCTAGCACTCCCCAAAACAACTCCCCACAATAATGAGTTTCAGAGGAGGGAGAGCCGGTGGTAGCCGATCTCTGCTACCGTTTGGGCTGGACTATCATGACATAAAAAAGACGGGTGAGGATGAGCCCTTGAAATACCCTCTACCCGTTAACTCTCAAATGACACAGAAAGAGAGAGATTCAGCCAAGCATCTCATTAACTTCACAAAACTGATGCGGGATGGACCGTTTTACACAGGAAAGTTGGATTCTGTGGACTCGGACAAGTCGAATAAAAAAGCTGAAAAGGATGCAAATTATTACGAAGGCGGAATAAATGACGGGATCAAGAGGTACTCCGACAGGTACAGAAAGAAGAGAAAAACGGTTCGGTCCATTGATGACCATCCGTATATAATACAGTTTTTCCCTGATGAGCTTTTGTCCGTAATGGGCGTTGATAACAGCAAGAAGAAGAAGCTTCTCTCGATTTCGCGGTACAAGATTTCTAGTGATCCAAACTTTGGAGATTTGATCAAGAAATCTGAGGATAAATCCAGCGAGATCATGTCCCGTCTCCAGGATGTGGAAGAAGACACGACCACCAACCAAGAGGTGGAGAATGACGAAGATGTGGAAGAAGATGACGAGTTTGAGGAAGACGAAGATGACGATTATAATGCTGAGAAGTATTTCGACGATGGTGATGATGACGGAAGAGACGATGACGATGGTGGAGACGAGGCAGCTTTTTAGGTCGTAGAAAGGGCTTATAGTGGTGAATTTAGCTGCAAATTTGTGCTGTATAATATATTATTGAATTGGTTTTCAGATGAGATATCATTAAAACTTGTAGATAATTTTTTTAATTACCCTAGACTGTTTGATTAGGTTAGCTAGACTCGAGTCAAGGACCGTTTACCTCTCTGCAAAACGGGGTTTCAAAGCAATCAACTTAGCTAAAAAAATTATCTTGTTAATACTATATCAACCTAGATCACCATATTAGTTCAATCCCTTTTATTCTCTCCAGCCGCTCAAAAAGTCCATTGGGTTTGGAATATGAAAACCCTTTGAAGCTGGCTCGTCCGTCCTAGCACCAAGAGCAGCACTTCTCTTGGACCATGCCTCGTCATGATTCTGGTCACTGGTACTTCCCGAAGGGAAGAACGAACCCAATATGTTCCATGATCCCTTGGCGTCTGGAGCTGGTGTTCCTCTCAACGAGCCGTTCATAGGTGATAGTGGAACCCTGTGGGTTGGGACTGCTGGTTTTTGGACCCTTCTTGCTGGGGCATCCGAATCAGACTCAGAGCTTGAATCGTCATCGGCGACTATTTGAGGTTGTCTGTGATCACGATTAAGCTGGAACCGTTGTCCTAAATATCCGTCACAATCAACCGACTGGGTCATCGAAGGTGTACTCCGAGATATGGGTCTAATCCTGCTTGATCTGTTGCCAAAGGAGGGTGACTCTGGCAGGGTCTTGGTTTGTATAGACTCGTTGAGTGAGCGCATGGACGGCCATCTGGATTGGTTTTCTGGGGACTCTCTGGGAATTTCTTCACGACTGAGGTTGGGGCTTGAACCTTGCGAATTAAAGTTCTTTGCAGCACTCACAGGCGGAGGAGGAAGTGGTCTGGTCAGCTTAGGTCTAGAGTCCAGTAGCCTGGGTGCATTTTCCACCACTGTAGGGACGCTTGTTGCGGACGGATAATATGTCATTTGCAAGTATATCCTTCCAGCAGGTCTTCCCTCATATTCCAGTGGGAACCAAGCATCGTATCCCTCCTTGGAGCTTCTTTTCATCACGATTGAGAAATCTATATCAGCCTTGCATACCAGTTCCTCGTCTTTCTTGGTCTGGTGGTATATAGTAAATATCACCACCGAACCTGAAAGATCATCCAAGCTGAACCACAATTCATCGTCCCATTCGGGGTTTTGGCCCCCACGGTGGACAACCTTCGTTTTTTGAATCTGGTCTTGAATGCGGGCAACGCAGTATGGGCTCTGTTTGTCCAGCTTCTTCCTATTGGGCAGATTCTGGGCTTTTGTCACCACAATAACCAGTTGGTTCTCTTCTCTTTGTAGGTCGTTATAAGCCATTGGATTTTTCATTAGCAGTAAAATTTATTGGTTCCAAAGGTGGCAATCTCTCAACTTGAAGGATTTATTCAATCGTGTGAAGCAAGCCAAAACATGCATGCATCGCCTTTTCCCGATTCGGTAATGATTGTTTACATTTGGAGGACTATGATTTCATTAATTGAAAAATATCCTGTAATGACTATTGTTAATTATATCATGAAGATATCATGCTTGATCTTCGTTCATTGTTTAAGGGGTCATTGTTGATCTTCCTATTTAAACTTTTACTTGCATCTAACAGTTTTGTGGTTATACGGCTTTATCCTTAAAATCTTCTCCTGCGAAGCTCATCTTCCTCTTCAATCAGTTTATTCTTTTGAAAAGCCAGTAGGTGTTGACTTTACTGCTATAAACTAAAATTAATTTCTCAGGCATTCATGACCAATAATTTACAACTCCTAGTTATATCTTCCTCTCTTTCTATCATTTTCAAACCCACCAGTATTCCGCTTCCTGTTGTCTCTGTCTCTGTCTCTGTCTCTGTTGTCACCACGAGGACCAGGGGCTTTTCTCAATTCGGACTGAGGTGGCAACGGATTTCTCGGACGAGACTCCTTCTCTCTGGAGTTCCTGTCCCTAGCATCCCTGTCTCTGGTATCCCTGTCTCTGGTATCCCTGTCTCTGGTATCCCTGTCTCTGGTATCCCTGTCTCTGGTATCCCTGTCTCTGGTATCCCTCTCTCTTGGTGGCATTGAAGGAGGGGGAAGAGGGGCATCCATTCTTCCTCTAGGAGGCATTGGAGGAGGAGGTAAAGGATGATTGTTCGCAGCACTTCTACTATCGTGATTTCTTTGGTTGTCTCTTGGGTTCGAGCGATACGAGTCCCTGGAATAGTTCGATGGTTGATCCCTGCTCCCTCTCGATTGTTCGTAGCGAGAAGTAGATGACCTCGAGGGTTGATTGGGCAAAGAAGATTTGGGTGTCTGAGGTAATGAAGAGCTTGCCTTGAGCTCTTTTTCCTGTTGAAGTCGGATTCTTAGAAGTTCAGAAGCAGAGGGCTTAGACTTCCTGTCGGAATCGGCAGATTCGTTCTTCTTTGGTTCTTTTTTGTCTGCTGGCGATGCCACTGGTTTTGTCTCTGTGCTGGTCACCTTTGAAGGCACTTCATCGCTAGATTTGGGCTTTCTTGCAGCCGGAATACTCTTATGGGTTTCCTTTGTCTCTTCACTATCCACAACAGGAGTTTCGGGCTTTGCGGTAGCAACCGCCTCAGGCTTCGCCTTAGAAGGAGCGGATAACCCAGTCAAACCATACGGGACTGCATTGATGTTGTTCAAGGCTGCTGCTGCTGCTGCCTTTTTGGCTCTCTCCTTTTCTGCTTCTGCTTTTGCTTCCTCCTCTGCCTTTCTGGCTAACTCCTTCGCTTTCTCCTCGGCTGCTCTCCTCTTCGCATTTATCTGATCACGTTTAGCTACCTGCTTTGCTTTCTCTTCTTCATCCATTTCGAAAAATTCCCACATATGAATCCAAGTGCCCATCTTAGATTTCAGATGTCCAGATATCGCATTCGAGGCAAGAGCAAGATCCTCTCTGGAATCTTTGCTGCTGCTGGTGTTGATGACATGCAACAGTTTTTCACAATGGTCCTCAACTTTAGGAAACACACCAAGAAGATTTTTCAGAAATACAATGGCGTTGTTTCTAGACATATACTCCGACGATTCCAAGCTTTTAGACAAATCTTTGAGGACTGATTTGTGCCAGTTGAACATTGCTCTTCCATATTGTTTGAAAGTGAGAGGGACATTGGATCCTGGTGGGATCATACCTTGCAAATTTGAGACTTCAGGCTCAACCTCATCGACATCCATAGAATTCTCTTCGGTCTCAGTCCCCTCCTTGGTATCTCCGCTGCCTTTCTTTTCGCTATTCACTCCCAGAGCAAACAGATCGTACTTCCTTGAATCCCTCCAAATCTCAAGTTGGGACATAACTACAGAGTAAAACAGACCCAGGTTCTCAGTCTCCAGTGCAGTAGATGCAAATAATGTCATTGGGAGTAATCCAGAGTTGAACAGCTTATCGAGTAAGACAACCGTGGAAAACCCGGGAACATCCAACTTATGCATCAAAAAGATGAAATTTGCAGCAAATACAGCGTCAAAAGACGAGTGAACGGCTCTGGGCAATATGCAACCTTCCAGAAACATTTGAGTATTGCTTTCGGCTAATGACTCCTCTGTTTCATCTTCCCGAAGTTCTGTTCTAAACCAGCTAGTCTTTGACAACTCCAACATCGAAATCATGTTTTGACAGTGAAAGATGTGCTTTTCGCTTCCAGCTCTTACACTGTCAAGGATGCCTGAAAGAGAGTCGATGTCCTTGTTGATCTTTTTCAACACCGAACTTGGTGTATCCGAATCTTTCGCAGCATACTTAAGCTTCTTCTTTTCTCCCAGGAGTTGCTGGTGAATCTTCTCGCGTTGGCTTTCGTAATCAATTCTTTCGTTGTTGATGTCATATAACGACAGTTGCCAGAATACCAAGTACAACTCGGGGGTTAGGAAATCTTCAGAGTTGTTTGGTAAAATGGCAGCCGGGTCTTCTTTGGTGAGTCTTTTGAATGAGGAGCACCACACAGTAGCAGACTGTGCGTCATCAAATTGGTTAGATATATCAAGATGTTTCCTCCATAACTCAAACGCCCATTCTGCGGAGACTCCATATTTGGATATCAGCTGTGGAAGCGGTACGGAGGAGCTTTCATGTGTCTCATTTTGAACTTCATCGACCATTGTTGTCAAAACGTGGATGATACCGTTCAAATCATCAGATCTTTGGGACAGAACTTTGAGCGGTCCATCAAACTCGTAGACAAGTTTTTGAGGCAGTTGACTCAACAAGATGAACAGCTCCGACAAAATTCCATTCTGTTGTGTTGCTTTGTAAAGCCTTTCCATGCTCATGCGTGATTCCAGGCGCGTATCTTGAATAACCATGTATACCAGCTGCTTGAAAGCGTCTGTTGAATTGAGAAGATGGACCTGAGACTCAGTCAAATTCGAGATCTGCTGAATTCCAGTCATGTTGAAAAACAGCTCCTTGACTATGATCAGTGTATCAAAGGATCCAGAGTGGAGTTTTTTCACTATGAATTGCAAAATAGGCTCGATCTGGAACTTTGGTGATCTTTTAGACACTTTGCCGACAAAAGTTGCCAGATTCTGGATCCATAATGCCATGTTTATCCCGTCGTCTTGAACAGCCTGTCTTTGAGACGTTAGTCTCAGAAGCATCACAAATGTGAGCACATCCCACCCAAAATCAGAGAAAAATCTAGACGCATCAATCGCCAAATTCGTCAAACTATCATAGCTTTCAATTTGCTGGAACAAGGCAGTGAAACAAGCGATCGGGTTCGAAATGGAGATCTTTGCCAGCCTTCTCATCATCAAACTAGCGTTTGTTTTGGACAATCTTTTCAAAGTATCTTTGGTCTGTTTTTCAGCTTTCGTGTGATGCACTTTTACCTCTGGGTTGCTTTTGGTCGTCATTTTCAGAAATTCTCCATAAATGTTATAACGCTGGTCAAGAGAGAGCATTCTCAGTATTTCGAACGCCTCCTCCACGAGTCCAACATTCTCTCCCAAAGAGCAAACTGCAGGAAATAGCACTGTGCGGAAATACTGTATCCATTCAGCATTGTCGTCAGCAGAACCGCGCATTTCACTAACCACCAATCGGCATAATTTGCCGAACAGGGCAGGATTGCGGCCAATATTAACATTGTTATACTTCAAGAACTCCCGGGAAAACTGTTTGAACGATGCAATAGTAGAAATGGAGGGTAAATCATTCCAGAAACTGGATTTCACGGCGTCAACTTCAACATCCGAACCGTTGGAGAACAGATGTTTCAAGTCTCCACGGAGTTTTGGTTGTAGCTGTATATATTCCTCCAGCATATAGTTAGCAACCTCGTTGATGAGATCAGCAATGTCCTTGAATACCAGAGGGAGGTATGGGTACTGCGATAATACAAAGAGCGACTCGTAGTACATCCCACACTTCAGCAGTCCCCGCAGCAAATCAGCCTTATGATTGACGGTGATCTTAGCAGCTTCAACCGGTTTGGCTTTTTTGGAAACTTCCTTCTTTTTGGTGTCGATCTTGGATGGTCTTTTGTCATCTTCATCATCCGAGTCCAAGACAAGGGGGGCAGCCATGGCTAGAGCAGAGGCCCCCACACCGGACGACTGTTTCGCCATTTCTGTTTTGTAATTGCCTTCCAAAGAATTCATTTCTTCATCATTATACGGCAGCAAACTTTCTAATACGTCCACTAGCGACGCAGCACCATATTTAATCAATGTGGCATATACACAGGCGGTCCCCAGATTCAATGGCTCTGTAGACGACATACTAGCGTTCCTAAATTTCAACAGCTCCAGTAATCTAGGGTTCAAAGCCGTTGAAGAATTATTGAAATTCTTCAGTATTCCATCATTCTGAGATGAGATTGTCTTTGTGTTTGCGAAATAATGGAATGCTTCTGTGGTAGAAGTGAACTTTGGCGGGGCATCTTGCTGCCACCATGGTAGTCGGTTCAATAACTCAACGCAAGTCTTCGTGTTCTGAAAGTAGTACACGGATATAGCCTCCAATGCAATAAGAATACATCTTCCGATATTCAGTCTGTAATGACCGACATATCTGTTCAATACCGGGATGGCTGAATCCAGCTTGGACTGCGAATCTGGGTCAGACAAAAGAGCGTCGAAAGCACCCGTGAGCTTGGAAAATCCCTCACTGGACTCAACCAAAGAGTTGTTTGTCGGCACTCCGAATTCGTTCTCTCTGAGCCACTCAAAACTGATCTTCTTGTAGTCCCGCGACACCAGACCCAATCCTTGCATGTATTTGGTATTCAGATACTGAGCTTCCAACTTCGCATCCAAGTTCACTTGCTTGAGCAATTGCTCCAGGACTGGTGATGAGGGCAACGACTCAATCACCACCAAGAGCGCAACAGCAGCTTTCTCTTCTTTGGTGCATTCTTTGAGCACTGGAACCACATCTGACAAAGTCAGTCTCTGCGGATTTTGTTCCAGAGTGAGGACAATTTCATAGAAAAATTCGGAAAGTTTCTCTTCCACAGACGATATCGTCTCAAGACTATAAGATTATGAGTTAGTACGGTCAATTTTCTAAGATCTGCCAATGAGACCTTGAGTCAAGTCAACGACACGCAGTAGACACTTACACCTTGACGGACTCAGAGGACCAGGAACCAACAACCTCGTCAGTAAGGTAATCCCACTCAGTGTCTACAATAAGAGGAATTGGCGGAGGATCTTCCATCTCTATATCGTGATCACTCATTGTATAATTGGAAGAGCTGATGAAGAGACATCACGGTATGGGAAATGATCTCAGTCTTGATCGATGTGCCGAAATGGTCTGCCATGCGACAATTGTGTCAGTAGTGGGTCTTGATTTTTCTCCCAGTGTAGATAGTTCATTCCCGCTTTTCTCCTCCTGAATAAACTATTATAACTGCACAAATATGGTATGTTTTTATACTTTTATTTCTATTTCAAGCTTTATACTAACATCCATTTCCAGGCTGACAAAATCCACGAACAGCAAGAGTTCGAACATCTCAAGTCAAAGCATATAGGACTGGGGAACAGCGACACTTCCAGAGATGAATGGATCAGGAATATCCACAGAGACACGTATTCCTCCCTAGCCGGACACAGTCCCTCAGTGGACTATATCAGCACGGCATTGAACAAGCCTAAGGTACAGGTCAAGGCCGATTTGATAGAGAAGATGATTCAGCCAGTTGAGCCGCGTGGGAAGAGCTGAAAGGTGACTACAATGGTGAAGGAGGTTTGAAAATTTTTTAGTTTACTTATCGGGTCAGAGGTCCGTACTCTTGCTCAAGCGAGTAATGGAGCTTGCTCGCTGGAGCTTTGACGTGCATTGGGGGTCAGCGTTGACCCAACGGCCACGAGGGCTGAGGCAATGAACACCAACCCCGCAATGATGAATGCGAAAATCCATTGCAACGCAATAGCCTTAGTGAAGAATTGTCCCAAGCCAATTCCTAGGGTCAAAAACGCAGATGAGAATCCAATTGCCCAGTCTCCGTAGAAGGCAAGGTACATGAATGGGACCAACAAGAAGTCCCAGATCAAGACATTGGCGAGAATCCTAGCTGCGAGACCATGGTTGTGCGAATGAAACAAGGCAGCACCATTCCAGAAAATGGCGTACAAAACCCACGAGAGTGGCAAAGCGGCGGTCGAAACATGGACAACAACGAACCGACCCAGGGTCTTGACGGAATACGTCTTGTGCAACGTATACAATGACAGCAGGTTGAAGAAATTCGCCACCAGGATTATGAACGAAATGACGAAGGAATGGCGGCTGAAGAAGTAGGTCCAGAAGAAATTCAAAATGTTGAACAATGTGAAGTGGTAGCCAACAATAGCCGATACATTCTTCTGTTCTCTTGAGGTAACCGACTCATTGGACACGAAGAATTGCAGCACGAACAGTAATTGAGTGAACAACAGAAATGCCCAAAAAATTGCAGTGATTATCCACAGGCCTGTGAAAGGAGTCTGGTACTCCGCTGTGTGATGGTGGAATAGAAAGTAATGGAATGAACCGTACACGGATAAAGCATACGAAAGCACGGTCGTAACTTGTTGAGCGTAGAGATTTGATTCTGTAGTCATATTGGAGCAAAAATGCAGTTGAGTCCACAAGAGCTAGAAGACAATTGGAAAAAGAAAATGAAAATGTGCGAAATAAAAGGGGATCAGGTGGCTGTTATATGTGGGGAGAGTTCAAGGTTGCTCCCGCAGGGTATTGCGGTGCCATTGGAGACCGGGTCAATAGAACGAGCCACATTAAAAATGAATATATTTCAATGATCAGGGGACATGAAGAAATAAAATTTTGTGAGAGTTGATAATGACAAGTTTGACGTTGAACGTCACCCTCAAATTGTTCTTATGAATGGTGTGGTATCAGGTTCGGTGGTTGTTCTGGCAGTTTTCCCATCCCATGACGTCAATGGAACGGTTTTGACGTCTGTTGATACTCAATATTCCGTATATGCTGAGCCGCACCTCAATGAAAACCTATCCTGATTTTCACTGGAACGGGAACATGAATATGGATATGGATTTTATAGCCTCTTAACTTTATGTAATTTTCGGAATCCGGATTGTGGCTTTTATTTTTATAATACGACGTCTCACGGTGTACCACTTTGTGCCGGTTATGCTAGTCGCTTTAAGCACTGTCAGAGGGACCCTTTAAGCAGTTTCAGGGACCCTGACTGTTTGAATTGGCTGTAATACTTCAATAAGTCAAATTTAACAATCAGCAGGAATTTCTTTCTATTGGACTGTTCCTGTGAGAAAGAAAAAAAAGATTTAGTGAACAAACTTCACAGGAATAAAGTTGTCCTGAATTTCCACAAATTTCCGAAAAAAACAAAAATCTTCATATATTCTCAGGGAAACTACTCATTGTGTCTCGTAGAAAACCCATCCTCTATTGTTCTTGCGAGTAAAATGCCAATCAATTGTTCTAATCAGAAATGGAGTCTCGGAGTAATCTTAGTATTAAGGGCTGGGCAAGGCTCTTAAACTTTACTTATCTAGGGCATACCTTCCCACTATAAACGATTATAAAGCATTATCGTTTTGAAGCAACAGGTAACTTATCGCAGCCAAATCAGTTTGCTCCCATCGATTATCGTTATCGATTAACATCTCGATCAAAACAGCCAATGTCTTATCGATAGGCAGGTAGCTTATCCTCGATCGAGATGAGCTTAACTATGGAGAAGCATGTAAGATCCCCTACGGCCGTCTTCGTCCGTCGAGTATTGCCGCGCGGAATTGGCAGTCTCGAAGCTGCGACCGGCCGTTTCGACGGCCGAAACTTTGCGAGAGGCCTGAGTAACTGCTCACTTGATCTTGTAATTTGGTTCAAGGTTCAAGATAACACCCAAAATTTGGGTAGTATCTGCTCCTGATAACATCCTCGGTCTTTCTTTCAGGATAAAAGGTCCGATATGGTAACTTGATCCAGGATTACCGGCAACCCACGAGAGCAACCGAGGGTTCGGAAATTGAACGATAGCCCACAGATCACCCTCGGAACTCTTATCAGTAATGCAAACGATGTCCGAAAAAAGACATTGCTTCTCAAAGATAACCAGAATGAAAAATGACATTTAACAGAGCATATGCTGTGATCCCGAGAAAAATCAGTGATCCATCTTCACTGAAGAACTGATCTACCCGAAATGCCAGATAGCAAAGAAGTCAACCTCATTTCGGTGGATGCTGAGAATGATCTTAGTTCCACTAGCAACTCTTTCGATAACGGCAATGATATGGATGCCTTGGGCAACGATGTGGTTCTTGACAAAAAAATGTTTCTGATTAACGATGCGATTGACGAAATTGGATTCACTTGGTATCAATTCAAGATCTTCTGCCTGGCAGGTTTTGGTTACTCTGCCGATTCTCAATTGACCTTGATCCCCAGTACCGTTCAATCGTTTGTCCAGCTACAATATAACAAGGAGTTCCCAGTCTCGACAGAAATTGCATATGCAGGTCTATTTGCAGGTGCATTGCTTTGGGGTATTTCTGCTGATCTGATTGGTAGACGCTTCGCATTCAATTCATCTCTTTTTTTGGGAGCGTTATTCTCGTTTGTGGTGGGCGGAACCAGTTCTTACCCCATGTATCAGGTCTTCAACTTTTTGTCGAATTTGGCACTGGGAGGAAATCTGGCTCTTGATATTTCGGTTTATCTTGAGTTTTTGCCATTCAAACATCAATGGACTACTACGCTCATGGCGTTTTGGTGGGGTGTTGGACAAACTGTCTGTGTTCTTATCGCATGGGCTTTTTTGCCCAAATATTCTTGTTCTTCTGCCGACGATTGCCCTTCCAGCTCAAACAGAGGTTGGAGATATGTGTGGTATGTTAACTCTGCAATCATGATGGCCGGTGCTCTAGCGCGGTTTTTTCTGGTCAAGCTCGAGGAAACACCAAAGTTTCTGGTCTCCAACAACAGAGACGAAGACGCTGTTGCATGTTTACACAGAATTGCCACAAAGTACAACAGACCTTGTTCCTTGACGCTTGAGCAGCTGACCGAATGTGGTACCATCAAAAGCAACAAGTCTTTTAATTACACCTGGAAGGGAGGAATCCAGCTGATGAACCATCACTTTGCCCTGTTGTTCCCTAATAAGGTGTCGTCCTGGTCAACATTTCTGAACTTTTTCTCGTGGTTTGGAATTGGTATAACTTACGGTTTGTTTTCAAATTTCTTGCCGTACTTTCTTTCTTCCAGAGGAGCGCAAACCTCGAACGGATCTGTGTATCAGACTTATCGTGATAACACCATCGCCAACTTTGTGTGCCTGTTTGGCCCCATTATTGCAGCTGGACTCATTTTTATTCCAAAAGTTGGAAGAAGAGGCACAATGGCCATTGGAGGTATTTTGTCGATGATATTTCTTTTCTGTTACACAACGGTCAGAACCGAGCCCCAGAACGTGGCTTTTTCATCTATAACCTATCTTTGCATCTACGTGTACTACGGTTGTTTGTACGCTTACACCCCTGAGGTAATGCCAAGTGCGGCCCGTGGTACTGGTGCCTCGGTAGCGATGGTGTTCAACCGGCTGGCTGGTCTCATCGTTCCTCTGATCGCTTACTACGGAGATACCTCTTCCTCGGTCCCTATATGGGTTTGTGGTACATTCATTGGTGTGATTGGGCTTCTCGCAATAACCTTCCCGTTCGAGCCAACGACTATGAGATCTGTCTAGCTGTATGTTTAGCGTTTTTTAAATAGACCGGTCAATGGTAAATATGTATTAGGCTTGAGACGAAAATACGATAAGGGTATCCTTTTTAAATTGATGTTGAGCAAAAGAGGGCAATCATTGTAGTATTCGAGCCATATTTAATCTTGTCCCTTGAATATCTAAACTTTCTTTCATATAAAATAGCAAATATAACTTCTGACAACTCCCAATATCAATAATGCCGATATGGTAAAAGATAGGAAAAACTAAACTGCGTGGAAGAAATTAAACATGAAGCTCATTCTTCATACATCTTCTCCTTTGGGGAAAACATGGACTCAAGAACTCTCTCGCCCTCGACAATGGACTTGTGCGCACTTAGGACATGATCCAATTCAACTACACCATCCGCTGCCATGAGCTTTTGGCCCTCTTTCAAAAAGGTCTTAGCGGAAGTCTTGAGCTCAAAAAGAGTGTCGATGACATCGAGGGAAAGACCTTTGACCTCTGGAAGACCGAAATAGACCATAATAATGGCCAACCACGAAACAGAACCATAGACAAATCCAACTCTTCCCTGAAGATTACCTTCACCCGCATTCTGTATGTATGGGTTCACAAAAGAGACCAGCATGCTGATACCGAAGTTCAAGAACATGGCCACCGCAAGAGTCTTTTCTCTGAGCTGGGTACTTGGAATCTCACCAACCGTGATATGAGCCAATGGGGCCCAGGTCGCTCCGTATACGATACACCAGATGAACAAAAATGCAACCACCGTGTTGTTAGCAGCATTGGACCTGACGTACCAGGCGAAGACCGCTACCAGATAGAACGAGATAGCCATGAAAAAAGAAGAAATCATCAGCAAGTTACGACGACCAAACCTGTCGGCACCCCAGAATGAGAAAGTGTTTGTGGCAAGCAACACGAGCATGATGACCATGAGCATGAGATTGGCATCATCAACTCCAATACTCTCGAGAAAAAGAACCAGATAAGCACCCATAAAGACGAGACCTTGTCCTGTGAGTAGACAGGGAATAGCCATAGCAATGAGGGTCCTTCTGAGATTGACACCCTTGAACAGATCCAAGTAAGAGGTGTCCTTTCTGTAGTTCTGAAGAGCGTTGTGGGCCTCTTCTATCTCATCTGCAATCTTGTTGATATCGTATTGAGTGTCCTTTCCGTACAGTTTGCTCATTGAAATGACACCTTGTTCGCGCTTGCCAGTGATAATCAACCAACGTGGACTTTCGATGAGAAATGGAGTAGCAGCGAGCATGAAAGCTGGAATCACGACTTGGACGAGAATCGCCGTTAGGTAGCTCCACTTCGTGGTTTTGTCCTTGGTGAAATAGATGATGAAATAAGCCCAGAACTGGCCAAATGTGAAAAACCATTGGTAAAACGAGGTAAGAGTACCACGAACAGTGGGTGGAGAACACTCGGCCAGGTAGATAGGAACAATACTGTAAGCAACACCCACACCAATGGCATTGATGATACGTCCAACAGTCATGACCCAGAAATAGCCCGAGGCTGCACACTGGATTATGACACCGGCAATACTGATAATTGCAGAAACGAAGATTGAGGCCCTCCGTCCATACTTTTCACCAACAAAAGACAGACCAAGAGCACCCACCATACTTCCAGCATTAGCAACACCAGTACCAGTCGATTGCCATGAACTTGGCATATAATACGTCTGAGTCAAGGGGTTGTAACGTCCATAATCCTTCAAAGAGTTCTGGTTGCTCATAAAAGTTGACCACCAACCACCGTCATAACCTGCACTCATGGCACCCATCGAGGCAATAGTGGCAGCGAAAGCCATGGTCAAGGTCATGTCGGTAAAGATAGGATGCTGTAGCACCCTGGAATAGAGACTCATTGTTGGAGACTTTAGCATTGAGAATGTCACCTCAGAGGGTGTCGCATCCATCCAAATGCCAGAAATGTGCCGATAATAAATAGCTCTTACAAAAAAACATCCTTGCAGAGATGGGAAATGACTTTAGGCAGAATTCCGATAGATCGGAGTGCAAAGCCGAAATCATGCACTCGAAAGCCGACGCATTCCTATCAAGGCTCGGCAATCTTAGATAAAAATGCGCGACCAGAACAAAACTGGGTTTAATCCAGCCCCGGCAAATCTTTGAAATTGCACCACGGAAATTTACCTTACAATGGTTTATTCTGGGAAGTGGGCTGGTAACACCTCAGATGGTATCTTTGAGAACTACACCGAGATCATAATTGAGGCTAAAGATGGTGAGCAAAAGGTGCACACAGTCTGGATGAACGACCGTCGGATAAGTTCCCCGACAAAGAAAACAATTAAAATAGAGAATGATACATTTTCAACTACAATGCCCAATTGGCTGATGAGCAATGACATTGCGTTGACTGGGACATTCCATGGAGATAGTTTGCTTAAGCTCAATGTACAAAATGCGGGAATGGTAGGGCTGCTAGAGTATGATATGGAGTTGCATCTCGTTGAGAAAACCGGTTCTGAAGCTGAAGAGGAGTACAAATACTCCCCACCAGAGGACATTGACGGTTTTGTAAATGGGGCCGACTCAAGCTCGGTGGGTATTCCTGGGACAAAAGCGGAAACGCTTGTATCGGCAATCAGAACTGAGTATAGTGGTTCACACGAAAGCCCTGAGATTCCACGCATAGAAGGTATTCTTGTGATCAAAGACGGTGTTGCGATACTTGAAGAGTATTTCAATGGATTTTACAAGGAAGCGAAGCATAACACTGCTTCTGCAATGAAAAGTGTCACTTCCATTCTTTTTGGGATTCTTTACGATCAAGGATTGGCGAATCTGGATGATCTGATTACAGATATCTTCGATTATCCAAACAACTGGAAATCAAAAAAAGCTACTATTAGAGATGCTCTTGCTATGAGTGCTGGGGTGGAATGTGGTATGAACGAGGCCCAGTTATTATTGCGAACAGATAATGTTCCTCGGTTGTTATTGAGTCTTAATCAGGTCAATGAACCAGGAATTAAATATTCGTACGATAACTCACTCCCTTGCTTGATTGCTTGCTATATTGAGCTTAAGAGTGGCATGCATTTTGCTGCGTTTGCAATGAGGTATCTTTTTGATCCTTTGGGAATAAATGTTGGATGGACCTATACTCGTGAGACATCTGTTGGCGGGGGCCCTATGGTAATGGCAAGTGGTGGCCTCCACATCACTCTGCGTGATTATTCAAAATTGGCGAAGATGATGCTAGATGATGGTGTTTTTGACGGCAAGAGAATTCTTTCATCTGAGTATATCGCGCTTTCAACCAGCCATCAAAGCCCACCAGGTGACTATCCTTATGGCTTCTTCTGGCATCTCAACCCAAAGGAGAATGGACGCATGAAAGGGTTGTGCGGATACTGGGCACTTGGTCAAGGTGGCCAGTTTTTTGGAATATTTCCTAAGCATAAGACCGTTGTTGCTGTAAACTCTAGTTGTTGGCATTCAGGCGACTATGAGCCAAAGATCCTCAAGTTATTGCAAGCCTACTTGTTTTAGGTAATGGTATTGACTCTAATTCTTAATCTATAAAGAGTTTTCAAATTCGTAGACACTCTTTGAGACTGCAGAAACAATAATGTCAATCTCCTCTTCAGTCACATTGAACATAGGAGAAATCAAAATATGGTCTCCAAATTTTCCGTCGACAGTACCCGTACCCGGATAAACTGCAACACCAGATTGCCAAGCCATGGATTGTATTGTTGGTCCAACCTTCAATAGTGGATCAAATGGAGATTTGGTTGAAATGTCTGAAACAAACTCTATTCCCCAAAATAATCCACGTCCCCTGATGTTGCCCACAATCTTAGAGTCCTTGAGTGCCTTCTTCAGTTCAGAGGACAAATATTGACCTTTAGACTTCACATTCTTCAAAAGATTCTCTTCCTCAACTTTTTTGAGAACAGCCAGACCTGCTCTGCAACTCAGGGGAAATGCTTGATAGGTGTGCCCGTTATTGAATGCTTTGGAGCCCATTTCCAAACCTTCGATTATCTTCGGAGTACAAATACAGGCAGACAGAGGTCCGTATCCACCCGACAACGCTTTTCCACATGTGACAATATCCGGAACCACATCTTCCTGCTCCCAGGCAAAGAAAGTTCCAGTTCTACCCGAGCCGCACATTATTTCGTCTAGAATCAAGAGTACATCGTATTTTTCACACACGGCTCTGATAGCTTTAAAGTAACCAGCAGGAGCAGTCATACATCCAGAAGTAGCACCCACAATTGTCTCTGCAACAAAAGCTGCAATTTTGTTCTGTCCAATTTCCAGAATCTTGTTTTCTAGTTCATTGGCTAATTGCTCAACATATTGCGCAGTTGTCTGGTCTTCTGCCTTGTACCTGTACTCATTAGCAGGACTAACAAAGTGAACGTGATCGCTCAAAACCCCTTCAAAGGGTGCCCTTCTTGAGACATGACTACTGAGAGAAAGCCCACCTAGACAGTTACCATGATAAGATTGTAATCTGGATATGAACTCAGTCTTTTGTGGCTTTCCGGTCTCGTAGAAGTACTGAACAGCCATCTTCATTGCGGCCTCGTTAGCTTCACTTCCGGAATTCACAAAATAGGCTTTTGCCAGTGTCCCCTTGTATGGCTTTAGCATCTGATTTGCTACCGCTTCCGCAGCCCTGGTGGTGTAGTCCAGAGTGTGAACATAATGAACGGTCTCAAGCTGATCTTTCAGTGCAGCAACGATCCCATCATCAGCATGTCCTACTGAGACAACTGCAGCACCACCACATCCATCCAGGATCTTCTTACCGCTCGAAAGATAGAGATATGATCCTTTTGCGTGGTCGACCATGTGAGGCTCACTGGCAAGGCTTCTATGCATACTGTAGCGACTGGTTTCAGACGTCATGTCTCCAGATGATTCGGATACAGGCGCCATTTTGGGTTCTTGTTAGAAAAAATTCACAGAATAATCGATGCTCGTAAGACAATTCGTCAAAAGATGTTAGGAATTTCCGCTATTCTTATTTCTGGGGACATATCAGAGGGTATTAGCATTTCCGAAAAGGGTCGGCTTTGATTATGCTTTTCGGGTTTACATTTGCGACACCCGGAAAAGCAGAGCATATCGCTGAACGGACATCCGCCGGAATAGGTCATCTGATCGGCTTATACGGCTGACTATTCAACCAATGGAGCTGTTGTAACTTTGTGAGAGCAGTCCACTTTTATTTTTCAAAGAACATCAGATTAGCATTCTTCACTCGGTAAGCTTTGCCGTATCACAGAGAAAAGGCAGGCTGGAGCATCAAAGCGCCTTCCAGACATGCTTGAATTTACGCCGTGTCTCTCGCATTCAATCAGTTGGGCGTGTTTCCTGATACCGTAATATGGCAATTTGGATTGACCACTGACTTGCGAACTTTAAACAGCCGCACAGAAATCTGCATCAAAAAACGTGCTGCTGCTAATTGTTATCACGAGAGCAGAAGAGTGCCAGTGAATTTCGGCGATCCGATGAGTTTTAGGGCCTATGCCTGGTGGCTGTGTGATAGTGGGTTTTGAGGTGCTCATAGCGGCACATACACTGATGTTGGCGTGCGGGCTTTACCCAGACAGAGTGGACAGCTTCCGCCAATTGGTTTTTGAAAATTATTGTGTTTGGGATTCAAAATAGTATTTTGATAAAATGTCAACACTTCGGAGTTTTTCGGTTCTTTCCAATTGAACATTGACCTTTGTCTACTGGCCGTCCCTAAACCGTGCGGCTCAACAAGCCTTACGAAAATTCAATCAAAAAGCCACGTTTCTGGTGTCTGCAAGATGAGAATCGAGGTACCTTTCTGATCATGGCATGCCAGATCAAATTAACAGTTTCTGTATGACTCCAAGCCCGAATACCCCAATTTGTCCTATCAGACCCCTTATCAAACTTTCGACCTTACATTACTAATCCCACGGGGTGTGGCCGGTTCACTTTTCTCCACTCCTTCTTCATGAAATCAACCAATAAAGTGTCATTTACCGCTTTGTTTTACCCCACACCGCTGTGGAATATAATTGAGATATTAAAGCGCATTGAAGCTGCTTGCCCTTCCAATACTTTGTACTCCATACCAACGCACAATGAGTGAAATAGCCGCAGATATTTACACTAACCTCGGCCAGAGTGGTCTAAAGATCTCTAAATTAATTGTGGGATGTATGTCGTATGGATTAAAATCATGGGCTGATTGGTTGTTGGAAGACGAGGAGCTGGTGATGCAGGTGTTGAAGAAATGCTACGACACCGGAATCCGCACATTTGATACTGCGGACACCTACTCCAACGGAGAGTCCGAGATTCTTGTTGGCAAATTCTTGAAGAGGTACAAAATTCCACGCGAAACCGTGGTAATTCTGTCCAAGTGTTTCGCTCCTGTAGACGAAGAGAACAAGTTTGTTCGAGGCCAATATCGTCCTGGCGAGTTCATAAATCGCGTCGGTCTCTCTCGCAAACATATTATCGATGCGGCTCAGGCCAGTGTCAATCGTCTTGGAACTTATATGGACGTGCTACAAATTCACCGATACGACCCGGAAACCCCACAGGAAGAGACCATGCGCGCTCTCAACTATGTGGTCGAGCAGGGCTGGACGAGGTATATCGGAGCTTCTGCTATGAGGTGCTATCAATTCGCTATGTACCAGAACATTGCTGAGAAGAACGGATGGCCCAAGTTTATCAGTATGCAGAACTACTACAACCTCACCTTCAGAGAGGAGGAGCGCGAGATGATCGCATACTGCAAGAAAACGGGTGTTGGCATCATCCCATATAGTCCAATTGCACGAGGACTTCTGGCAAGACCTCTGGGAGCTCCGTCAGCCTCAGGAAGGATTAAAAACGACGTTGGAATGAAAACAAACAAACTAGACGTTTTGAGCACGAGCGATCAGGAGATCATTAACCGAGTTGAAAAACTGGCGAAGAGCCGCAAAGTGGCCATGGCCACTGTGGCTACAGCCTGGGTTCTTTCGAAAGACTGTTATCCAATTATTGGTATCAGCAAACCTGAACGTGTTGATGATCTTCTAGCAGCCATCTCTTTGAAATTGACACCAGAGGAGATTTCGCAGCTGGAGACTCCCTATTCTGCCAAAGCGGCCCAGGAACTTTCCTCTTGAGGGATATTCTATATTAATGCTTATAACGGGTTTTAATTTCTTGCGTGAAAATTGCGTAGCTGTCCAGTTTAAATGGCTGTGTAGATCGAGACATGCACCGGTCGTTGCTGAAGATGCGTTGGAATGGTAAGACAGTCTTGTTTCAGGTGGTAGTGATGGTCTGAAGGAAGAGCGTCAAGAATTCATGCGCAGACTGATCCGAGCCTATCAGGAAAAGATCTGACGATTCAGGAGCTCTTCTGTGACTGTAATCTTCCATCATTGGGACAGATCCCGGCCTTTTGTTGTTGCTTTCTTCTTTCCTGAGGTAATCACCCACCCCGGGGACATCTCTTATAGGAGGAGGAACATCAGAGTTCACTGCCTGCACCGAATCTTCCAATTTGAGAAAATAGTCTCTGCCGATGTTTAACCGTCTTGCCCTCTCCAGATCGTGTGTCACGAAACCATATAGCTCCTTGAGTTGGTCAAGTACCGTCAGCCAATTTGCCGACAGTGGTGAAATTCCAATTCTTTTTTGAAGGTAAGACATAAGCTCATTAGCGAAGAACTCATGCTCTTCAGGATTATTCTCTGGGTTCAGCCAGGGAAATTTGCATGCATAGAGACATACTGTAGCACAGAAGAAATAACAATTTGACAGAAAGGGAACATCTTGAATGCCCTCAACGGGATCATTGAGAGCCTCCAGCTGTGATGCAATAAGTGCCATGTTCTTAGCAGCAGCAAAGAGATCTGACGCATGAATTTTCCAATATTCGGGGTCTGTAGGCGGGTTCAGCAATGGAGGCTCATATGGTCCTTGCGGGAAGGGTGTTGAGTGTGGGAGGAAAGGTATGTATTCCCGGTTCAGATAAATAATGCAGAGGTTGTATACCAAGTGGGTTGTGGCAAATAGTACGTGAGTTTTGACTGTCTGGTTTACCCTAAAAGCATGAACCGACCACTGAAATGACGAAGGCAAAAGCTCTTTCCATTCCTTCAATGCTATGAATGACTGGAAAACAAAAGAGTCCTCGGCCCAGGGATCTTTCTGCTCAGTACGACGTCCTCCATTGAATAACCATTTTGATATGTCCCCCCAGATCTGAAATATTTTGATGTAGTAAATAAGAATCTGGTTTCTTTCGGCAAGAGGAATTTGGGAGAAGTTTGCTAGAGTGATATCGGATATCACCGCGACATGTGAATCTTCTGGGTTCATATACATAAAATCAGCGTCTGGCGAGGGCAATGGAACATGGGCAACATCCTTGATCAGGTAGGTATAGGACCGGTTTTTACCAGATGATATTATTCTGTCAACACAGAACGAGGACCAAAAGGTCCGAATAAGTACCTCATACTCGTACGCATTTTTTGTAGTTTCCGTTGCATTGTGGAACTCCAGTGCCTGCAAAATCTTGGTGGAGATTCCATATACCATCCAGCTGCTGTAATTGCGACCTTTTCCCCATTCATGTATGGACATCATAAGCAGACTCTGTGCAACCTCTAGCTTCGGAGTGCTCAAGAGCAATCCTCCATCCAGAAAAAAAATCTTCTCCAGAACATACTTGGAGTATACCTCGTCGCGAACTTGTGGGCTTGATAAACCCAAAAATGGGTCGTTTTCGATTGGTGCGAAAAATCCGCACAGCGCCAGGATGGTGTTGGAAATCAGCGAGTTCTGCCCGTCTGCTGAGAATAAAAGACTGGGTTTGTGGATGAAAAAAAATTCCGGAAAAATGTAGCTTATTCGTTCAATGGCCTCCCTAAGCGTTTCTTTGGATACCTTCGAGGATGGTGCTTCATCACGAGGCGGTTCGTCTATTTCCTCGTGCCAGTTAAAAGTGGCTGGGGTCTGTCTCGGGCTGTCATAAGACTTCGCCGGCTTGGTGCTGTGTGCTCCCAACTTTACACGGTGAGGGAGTTCCAGCACACATCTATTCCCTTTGAGTGAGCAGAACCTGCATGGGGCAGTTCCTTCGTGTACACATTTTGATTTCCGAGCCCTGTGTGTGTTAGTTGAAGTGTGAAACAGCAAAAATCATCATTACTCACCTGCAAAACGAACACGCCTAAAATCAATATGTTAGCACTTTCTGAAGCACATCATCGCAAACTCCAGAAAAATACTTACCAAAGTCACTCTCATTGTTTGCGTTGCACGCCAGGCTTGGAAAGAGACATTCAAAAAAAGGACTTTGGAAAAGGGTTACGTCTGCGGAAGTGTACCGAAGAAATCGCAGATAGGAATCGTTTCTGGACCGATCTCGGGAATGGGGATATCCCCATTCCCGATGGCCTATGCAGGATGCCCGGCTTTCGATATACTTTTATATAACCACGAGCACCCTCTTCAAAAAGTCATAGCATCATTAATGCTGAAGATCAAAATAGAAAAAAATGTCTAGAATTGATACCGAGGCTTTGAAGCCGGAAACTACAACCCTGGATATCCCAACCTTGGGCTCCGTCAAGGGAAATAAGTTCATAGAGCTTGATGGGTTGACCCAGTATAGCGGCATCCCCTTTGCCTCGATTCCTGGTCGTTTCCAGAAGCCTGTTTTGCTAACCAAATGGGATGTTCAACAGCTTGACTGTACTCAGTTTGGCCCTTACTCTGTCCAACCACCGAGAAACTTCTATCCATTGCCTGGTTTCGCCAGGCCATGGGCCAAGGCTCCAGTTCAGAGCGAATTAGATGTTTTGAACCTGAACGTGTCTGTGCCACCAGGAACCAAGCCGGATGACAAATTGCCTGTGATGGTTTTCATTCACGGTGGTGCCAATGCATATGCCGCCAACAGTGCTCCCATGTACGACGGGTTGAACCTGGCCAAATTTTCCAAGGAGCTGGGCGAGCCAACGGTGATAGTTACTTTAAATTACCGTCTGGGGTCGTTTGGTTTTCTTGCCTCAACAGATTTGAAAAAGTACTCTGAACGCTTGGGCCAGACTGGTGTTGGTAACTACGCTCTATGGGATCAACTCACCGGTTTGAGATGGGTCAACCAGTACATTGGTGCTTTTGGTGGTGACAAGGAGAAGATAACTTTGTTTGGACAAAGTGCTGGAAGTCAGGCCGCCCACATGATGATGTTGAAAGGAGAGAAGCTCTTCAACAGAGTTCTTTTGCAGAGTGGCCTCTCTCCTCTGTGTGGTATCTTTAGCCTTGCTCAATATGACGTTGTGTACTTCAAGATCCTAAAAGAATTGGGAATTGACACCAACCTGAGCCCTGAAGAAAGAGTCCAGGCCTTGTTGAAGACAGATGCCGTTACCCTTAGTGATGCCACTGCCAAGGTGTTTGGAGTTCCTGTTTTGACCATGGCATACACCCAGGATGATGACTTCATTGACCATATTCCTTCTTGGGGTGAATTGGGAGCCGCAGGCCAAATTCCTGACTTTGTTGATGCCGTTGTGGTCGGCGACGCTGCGAACGAGTGTATTATCTGGGATGGCACCTACGGGTCCTTTGCAACTAGGGAAAAGTTTCTGCCCAGGTTGAAGTCTATGTGCTCTCCCGAGCTGTACACGTTAATTACTGAGTCGTACGATATTACGAGTGACCTCTCTGATGCTGACACCTTCAACAAGGTCGAGCAGTTTACTTCAGATGGAATGTACATCTTGCCCAACTACGTATTCACCAAGGGCAATGCTGATACCGACAAGCTCTACACCTTCCACTTCAACCAGCTTTCTGAGTACGATAATGCCTGGGGCGGATATGCTCACCATTCTTTGGACAACGCCCATGTGTGGTTGAATCTTTACAATACCTTCCCAGACCATGGAAAGAAGCTTGCAATTGCCATGGCAACTGCGTGGCTTAATTTTGCCAATGGCAAAGAAGAACCATTCGAAAAATGGAACTCTGGAAACAGATACCTAAATTTTGGTCCATCGGGGGAGATCGGCAGGTTCGTTACCCGCTCAGACGACGAAGTTAGAGCCGGTAGATACAATATCTGGGATAAAATTATTTCCGCTGGTTTGGTTGAGGAATTTGGCAGAGTTTCAGAGGATATCAACCTGGAGAGAACCAAGCTTCACGGTTACTGTTGAAGGTTGTAAGTCTTAGTTTAATAAGAGATGCATAAAATTGAAAATTAAGCTTTTGAATCAATACACGACCATATTTGCGCCGCTTCGAATAAGGGGGAATTTCAGGCTAGGCTCTAAACCCATTAGTTGTTGGTGGCATTGAATTGTTTGGAGAAAGGCGGTGTCTATCGCGATATTTCCAGCATGAAGGGAGTCCAGTTTTTTGGAAGAGAAGACGTTCGGTTTTCGCATCTCGTGCCGGAGCCTCAGATCCGGCATCCTGCAGATGTCCTGATCGACGTTGCTTGGTGTGGAATATGTGGATCTGACCTCCACGAGTATTTGCACGGACCTATTTTCTTTGAGTCCAATGCGACAGATGCAGGCAATAATATTTCTGGTAAAAAGATGCCATTGTGCCTTGGTCACGAGTTCAGTGGGGTAGTAAAGGCCGTTGGCCCTGGGGTGACCAAAGTCAAGACTGGAGACAGAGTGGTGGTTGAGCCTACCGGCCATTGTCGTGACCGGGTTAGATACTCCGAATTTCTGGACAAGGAAAGAATTGAGGAACCTCTTTGTGCTGCTTGCAAAAATGGAATGACGAATATTTGCATATACAATGGACTATGCGGCTTGGGCGTTGACAATGGAGCACTTGCAGACCTGGTTACATATGGAGAGGACCATGTTTTAAAGATTCCTGACAACATCCCACTTGATATTGCGGCTCTAATCCAGCCTCTAGCTGTTGCCTGGCACGCTGTCGAGGTAGCACATGTGGTTGCTGGCTCTAGTGCTTTGATCCTCGGAGGTGGTCCTATCGGTCTTGCCGTGGTCTTGGCCCTACAAGGACACGGAGTCAACCGTATTCTGGTAAGTGAGCCCGCAGAAGTTAGGCGAAAACAAGCCGCATCGCTTGGATGTGAAACTTTTGATCCTATGACTGTGAAGGCCGAAAAAATTGGAATTTTGAGAGAGGCAGCTCCTGGTGGGGAAGGATTCGATTACTCTTTCGACTGCTCGGGAATTCCAGCAACATTCAAGGCTTCAATTGAGGCCTTGGCTCCCAGAGGAACTGCTGTCAACGTTGCGATTTGGCCCAAGCAACCAATTCCCCACTACGTAATGGACCTTACCTACCAGGAAAAAAGGGCCACGGGCTCAATGTGCTACACCATGAAGGACTTTGAAGATGTTGTGGATGCTCTCGAAACTGGGAAAATCGATTTGCGCAGTGTTGAAAGGTTGATTACGGGTAAGATTTTACTGGAGCACACTGTGGAGAAGGGACTTCTCGAGCTAGTTAAGCACAAAGAAAAGCATGTGAAGATTCTGATCACTCCAAAGCACTTGGAACTGGTGTAACAAAGATTCTCAACATAGATATAGATTTTGTGACAAACAGTAGAGATATTCCAATATTTAACTCCAATTGGCTGGTAGAGTGTATTCTTTACGACGTGCTCAGACTTGACATGTGACAAAAATTTGTTTTGAGTATGACTGCTCCAATTTTCTCAAAGTGACCGATAACGGTTCACATATGATCAGTTGCAGAGTGATACTTTCGTAATACAACCAGGCGAAAAAAGTGAAGGAGGCCAGAAAAGACCAAAGAAGGTGGTCTGGGATTGGAAAAATCAATTGAAGAGATCCGGAATCTTGCGTCTTCATGCATGTTCTATAAATCAAAATGCGAGATAATATTATACTGGTTGGATTTCTCGAACGTTTCCATCTATCACTTCTCCACATCGCACACATACTGCTTTCGACCTGCAGGAAGGATGCATGTGTCATTCTGTCTCGAACAGGCCATCTAGTCCACTCCGGAAAAGAGACAAAGCATACGAAATATAACTAGAAACAGTATATCAGACTACAAAATTGATAATGCATGTTCAGGTTTGTTTTTCGAAGAAAGAACTGGCTCCATCTGAGTGGTTCTTTCCCCTCAAATCGATACAGGGTGTGTGCGTGAGCCTCTATTCAAACTTGCAACCATGGAGGTCAATATGGCCACCAAGAACCAATTGACCCGGGCAGTAGAATGTCACTCGTATATCATAACGCTTTCGCGCTATCGGATTTAACGCACCTCGAAATCAACTGGCCGACGACCATTCGGTTGGAATTCCTCTCGAACTTTTCAAAGGCCCGTAGGGCACCCCATTCGGTACGGCAAGCAAGCCCAAGTTCCGTGGTGTTTAATTGGCAGAGTAATCTGCCATTCCGTAGACCTTCCCTAAATGTGGAGATTCCGAGCCCTCCAATTGGTCTTTGGTGGTGTAGCCTATTCATTGCCTAATCGGGTCAATTCTTCCAGAGCACGACATCAAATACCCGGATGTATGAGACGTTATGGCTGGACTTGAAGCCCGTTTGTAGCTAAAAAGGAAATGGTGCATGGTATTGCAAGAAGCCAGCATGATTAAGTTAATTGACCCCTCATTACTATATAAGCACCCGTGATCGTCTTTTTGCC